CAACAATTCTTAATTTTATTTTGTCAATATGTTCATGGCATGTGTTAATTCATTGAAATATTCCTGATATGATATTCATGTCAGAACTAAATCAAATTCATTATTAAATTAATACGATTCCTAATTTCAAATCTAATGGTAATTTTACGGTAAATAAAATTATTAATGTGTCCTAAAATGACCCCTTATAAATAAAATGTAAAGAATTAATTTTCCATACAATTAGTATACTAATTAGGTTTGTTTATGTGTTTTTTCATTGCAAACGTGCATAATTTTGTAGAAAACCAAAGCAGTGTACATTTTTCATGATCAGAAAATTATGGTTGAATTGATTTAGTTGAGCTTTTCAAAAGTATGTATCTATAATTCAATCTCCAGTCTATGATTAGATTATTATACTAACTCTTCCCTTAATGATTCTATATAAGGGATAAATTGTAAAGTAAACTTAGTCTACTATATGTTTTTTTTCATAGATAAGACCAATAAAAACAAGACATAAAAACGCATGATGATATATGCATTTCATATGATTTTGTCTGCACTACTACATCTTGTTTTTTATTGATCAGGTCTAGCAATAATGTGACAAGCTAAGTAGATCAAATCATTTCTCTGTCAAATATGCTGATGCTGTCAACATCACCATCAACATCTCCATCTCTAGCTCGTTTGCCATAGGCATGCCCTACCAACTTTGTCTTTCTATTGACTCAGAGCTCTGGGCATCCAATCTATGCCTCTAAGTCATGAGTTGATAGCCATTGGAAATTTCTGTAGTCTTTACATTCAAAGGTACTTTCCATTATCTTCGACATCCTTCTCTTGTATCCGGTTTCATTGATGAATCCTACTCATCAAAAAGTATGAAATAGTCTTTACATTCAAAAGTGCTTTCGATTATTTCAGCATCCTTCTCTTGTATCCGGTTTCATTGTTGAATCCTACTCATCAAGAAGTATGAAACGAGGTGGCCATAAATGAGTTTGTGTTGATACGTAAGTGAAAGCAAGCCATCGGAGGAAGAAAACCTGGCATATCATTTGCAACGACTTGAGGTGGCCACGGAGGAAGTGGCTGGTGGCTGTTGTGGGTTAGTGGGACCCACCCGAGTTTTTTGGGCTTCTGAGGGTCTAATGAACTTAGAGGTTCTATAGTATTGATTTTTGATAAAAACACTTTTTTTTTTTTTGTCAATTTGAATCCTTATAATTTGGTTTTTTAGGCAGCAAATGTTCGTTCAATTATAGCTAAGTTAAAAAAAAAGGAAAAATTTTCGTTTCATTTTGACTTTTAAATAAGAGAGGATACACATATGTTTTTTTGTTGAATTCAATATATAAAAAAGAAGAAATGATAAAAAATAATAACAAAAATTAAAAAAAAGGGGGGCTAATTTTTTTTCCAACTTGTTATTTATTTATAGCTAGATTTTTTTAATCATTAAAAAATAGCTAAAAAAATAACTAAAATGAATTTGTTAATTTTCTTTCATTATTCGATAAAATTCCAAGGGTATCATCATTAATATGAATTAATTTATTTTGACTCTCTTTTTGTGATCATTGGGTATCTCATTCACTCGTATATACAAGATAGAGATAATTATCCAAAAAACTTTTTGTATATATAAAAATTTGAATTCAAAATTATTTATTTAAGTGACTAGAAGTTTTTTCCCTCGATCCAACTCTTGGGTTATCTTAACTCTTTTTTGATAAATGAAATTACCCATCAATTTCTCAAATCTGCTTACGCAAAAAATAAAATAATCATAAAAAAATTCATCCAAAATGCAATTAGTAAAATTACCAAAATTATTTTGGATGCATTTACGCAATCAGGAGACTGTTATTAGTTCTTATTTGCAAGATAATTTTTATATTAAGCTTCTTTCAATTAAACAATAACTGAAGATTGAATTATATATATATACTTTTCAATAGCTCAATTAAGTCAAATTACCAAAATTATTTTGGATGCATTTACGCAATCAGGGGACTGTTATTAGTTCTTATTTGCAAGATAATTTTTATATTAAGCTTCTTTCAATTAAACAATAACCGAAGATTGAATTATAGATATATACTTTTCAAAAGCTCAATTAATTCAATTAAATCATAGTTTTCTGATCAACTTGGCAATCATGAAAATCTATGTTGCTTTGGTTTTCTACAAAATTATAGATATATGATTTTCTCTTTGTATTTATTACTCGAGCCCAAGGATTAGGATACTTCCAAAACACTTAAAAAGCTATTGAATTGAATAAATATACAAGTCAAGAGATTTTTATCAATCTTTTAAAATATTTTCTTTGTATTAAAGAAATTATCTACTTATTTATTTATATCTATTTTAAAATATTTGTCTGTTGTAAACTTTTTTAACATACTCGTAATTAAAATTTATTTTATAAAAGATCAACTAAATACAATTTAAAAAATATAAAAAAAATATGCTATGTAACATAATAAAATTCTGTATGTAAAATGAAATAGGATAACTTTTTTTAAATACATTTATATAATTTATATGATGAATTCTTATGGTTTTAAACGAGAACAACACACACATATATAAAGGTTAGAAGTGTATTTAAGATATTTCGTATTAGATTAAAAAATTAAAAAATGAATTTTAAATGTGTTATTCAAAATAACAAATCATTTTTTTTTCAATTGAAAATTTATAAGAAACACAGAGAAAAATTAATTAAATATAAAATTTTAATCAACAAATTATTAAATTTGTTTTTTAATATATATTTTTTATTCGATATGTTTTAATATACTTGCAATAAAGTGTAGAATATCAAATTAAAATGATTTGCTTCTGCGTGACTTGTAATGTAACAAAGACAACAAAATAGTGCTTTCTATTTTGTGTTATAATTTCATTATTTATGCGTTCTTTGGTCTAGCCAAGTTTTTTCTTTTTAATATGTTTAGGGCCTTTTGGCCCTTCCCTTACAAAAAGAAAAACCAAACACTATCTCTTTCGAGTTTACAAAACACTATCTTCCCTCATTTCATACTCTTGTCCATCATTGCACGGTCTAAAGTCTTGTATTAGGCAAGATCCATCTCCTAATTCATTTATTGTATAATTCGGTGAAAAACACATAAATTAGCATATAATAAAATAAATTAAGATTAAAAAAAAATTGAGCATATATAGTCTGCAAATTATACCCCTCATCTCAACTTTTTGGACTATGAAAATTTATTGTTTTGTTAAAATTTTTAAATTCTAAATAGAGAGGAAAATAAAATCCAAATTTTTTATCGTTAAGGTAAGTCCAAAGCCATGCAATATTTTTTTTTCATGCAAATCGGGTTTTCAAATTCTCCATCACAAAAATCATTTACTTGGCCCCACAAGCCTCAGAAACTACACATTGACCAGGAGGATCTTATCATCAATCATAAACGCAAAAACAAAATCTAACGGTGGGAAAGGCATTAAAAGACATGATGAATCCACCCACAGACCGTAACGGAGATCCTCTCTCCCTGTCTCTGTCTTTCTCTCTCTCTCTCCTTTCAGTTCTTTTGATTTTTGATTTGGTTTTCTGCTCATCTCAACTGCTACACGTAGATGCCGTAAGCAGTAATAATATTATAACATCCCACACGCAACCCATCCCTCTCTCTATCAAAAACACAAAATAAATATAATGGTAAAATTCAAATAAATCCCCCAACTATAGATAGATTCTTGTTCAAGTCCATAAATAAACTTTTCTCTCAATTACACTTACTTCCAGACTTACGAGATACTATTAAGTAACTTACGGTTATACTCTCCAAGATGGACATCAATAATCTCAAGACAATTTGAGCAAATGATCATTTAAAAATCTTTTCAATCATACAATCCGGCGAGGATGTGCCAACTGTAAAAATTCATAAAGAATTCGAATTTTGAATACTTTAAGGACCCGATTGAGAAAATAAAATTCTTAAAGACTCATTCAAGATTTGGTTTATAATTTGGGGATTGACTCGAGGCTTGTCTAAATAAAATTACGAAACCTTCTCGTTTTCCTTTTATTGTATTTTTTATCTCTGCAAATGTGAGAGAGAAGGAAAGAAAAGACCCTTCACGTTATTCAAAGCCGCGTTTCACTTCCCTGTAAGTGTCCCTCTTCTCTCTCCATGCCCATTTCTCTCTTTCTGCGTACATATGATAAGTTTATTTGTTTGTTTCTGCGATTTAAAGCTTTGAACTTTGGTTGTTTCATAGCTTTTTTAACGATGATTTAAGGTAAAATTAGAAGCTTTCTAATGGATTTTTATTTTAATTTCTGGGTTTTGAATTTTGGTTTATGGGGTTTTAACGGTTTGTTATTTCATGATCTGCTGTGGTTATGTGGTGATTTTTTGTTTGGTTTCTTGGAAAGTTGAAGAATCTTGAAAAGATGGATTCTTTGCATTTTCTTTATAATTGAAATTAAATTTTCTTGACTTCTTTTAAGGGTAGTAGTATTAGTTCTGTGAAGATGAGGTAAATAAAGGGTTTTGTAGAAATGGGTTTTCACGGTGATGAATTTTGAGTTTTATGTTTTGGTTTCTTATAGCTTTTTAATGTATCTAGTCCTTTCTGTGTTTGTTTCCTTTAAGCTAACTGTTATGTAATGTAGCCTCTGGTTGAGTTTTGTTTTGAATGATTGGTTTCATTTCTAGAATTGCCATGGAAAGGACAATGTGTGTCGAGGACTTATTTGTTTTACCAAAGAAAAGTTAAAAGGAGTTCATGTAGACTTTAGTCTCATGACTCATTGTATTGTGTTTTAGATCCATACAATTGAAAGTGTTTTTTTTTTTTTTTTTTCCTGATCGTGCTTTCCCATGTTGTGTTTGATTGTTTGCAGTGAAGGCCAGTGCTCTTTGCGCGTGTCCCGTTCTCTTCTCCAATCCTCCACAGATATCCTATTTATCTAATATTGAAAGTAAATTTTTCCTGCTTCTTTAAGTTTATACTTGTATTCCCAAATGGAGGTCAAGCTATGGAATGACAAGCGCGAGAGAGAAATGTATGAGAATTTTGCTGAGTTATATGCAATAATAAAAGCCACCGAGAAGCTTGAAAAGGCTTATGTTCGTGACATTATATCCTCATCTGAGTATGAAACTGAGTGCCAGAAACTCATTGCCCATTTCAAAACTTTGGCTTCCACTCTGAAAGACACAGTCCCTAGCATTGAGCGCTTTGCGGATACATACAAGATGGACTGCCCAGCTGCCATTAACCGGCTTGTGACCTCTGGGGTGCCTGCCACAGTGGAACATCGAGCTGCTGCAGCTGCCTCGTCTACCACCTCAGCTGCCACCGTGGCAGAGTGTGTTCAGAACTTCATCACAGCTATGGATTCGCTGAAGTTGAATATGGTGGCTGTGGACCAGGTGCATCCTTTGCTTTCAGACCTCTCAGCTTCACTGAACAAGTTGAGTATTTTGCCACCTGACTTTGAGGGTAAGACAAAGATGAAAGACTGGATTTTGAGGCTGTCTAAGATGGGGGCAGCAGATGAGTTGACAGAGCAGCAGGCTCGGCAACTTCATTTTGATCTGGAGTCCTCGTACAATTCATTTATGGCAGCTTTGCCTAGTGCTGGTACTTGATCGATATGAGTAATTGTATATTACTAAGCAAGTTCATTTGGTTTGGGTTATGCAATATATAGTTTCTTATTTGCTGCGTCTACATAGTAGAACCTTGGGTGATGATGAATGAGAAGATTTACTAATTTTGTAACTGCTTATACTTTTGGGAATGGTAACATTGAGGGCTGAAGAATGGTATTTTGTGCCCATTTTAAGTGCGTATTTGTTGTCATATGTAAAAAATTGGGTTGTCCTTAAATTTGGTTTCTTAAATTGTATTCGTTCATCTTCTGTTTCTGAAATGACCTATCTTCTAACTAAAATAGAGCTATCAATTGTTTGCATATCTGATTTGGAATAGCATATTAGAGCACAGCCGGATCATTAAATTCGATGTGATTGATCATCTTGATTTTCATCTATATCTTGACGTTGATGGTTTCATCAATACAGCTTAAATCTGGAATAGGACTTGATCCTATTGAAAGAGTACTGTCTTGATTTTGAAAAGGTTGCAGTGTATTTATAGAATTGCAGGTCTATCGTCAAAATCAGCATGTCTTTCCATCTGTAAATGATGTAACTTTTTAATTTTTCTTGCCCATCGGGCACCAGCTTTTCTCTTGCTGTTTAATAATGATTTTTGTTGGGCCTAATGGTACCGCATCTGGACTCCCTGTTTGCCTCGTATGAACCAGGTCTCATGCACGATGGCCTAACTGTATTTATTGCTCAGCGACACCAAGAATTCTTCTTATGATTCTGAGATATATGTAGTCATTTGAATGTTCATCCATGAAATGATGGAAGTTTTCTTGCTTCCCCAGAAAATGCAGGGAAATTCATCCATCGACTGAAAGATTGATAGCTTTCCATGTGCGACAGAAATTTTTGTTGTATGTATAATAAATGAGAAAAATGAGACAGAGTAGTAAAAAAAAAAAAAAACTAATTGACAGGCATGCTATTTCTTTCAAGGAGTCTTGAATTTGAGAATACAATGATTGTTCATTTGTCTCTTGATGTGTCCTCTTCTCCCCAGCAATCACATGTGCACTTCAATCAAAACTATCGTGGTTTCTGCCATGGCCTTTGTTTGGAATTTGCAGGAGAATTTCATGCAGGCAATGCCAATTGCCTCTGTTGGGTGTGCCAAAAAGGAAACATGTCTCTAAGGATGCCCGAAAGAGAAGAAGCTTCTCTGACCTCCTTGCAGTTGTGCTTCCGTTTGAGATTATCGCAATTGCTACCTTTGGAAAATGGAACAGAGTTTCCCAAGATAACCTTACGGCTAAAAATTTTCGGTTGGGGTTAAAATCAAATATTTGTTTCTGGAGTTCAAAAAGAAATTCTGCTCCCTCTCGTTCCTACAAGAGAGCCAAGAGATGTGGCATAAATGGTAATAGGAGGACAATAATGAGGACAGCACCGGCTAAAATGGCATAGCACGTCCACTTCCGAGAGCTCTTCTGATATTCCCTGGCCTCAGCAAGCTGCTCAGTCCCTCGCCTGACGAACGAGCTAGCGTGCGCAACATGACTCTCAATGTCATTGAGCTGGTGACCCTGAGCTTCCACAAGAGCAGCCATATCCAAGAATACCTGGTGAAGCTCAATCAAATTCTTCTCTATCTCCTTCACAGCATCATGTCTCTCCTGAATTTCTGATATTGTGTCAAGAATCTGGCCTCTCCCTTGTTCCTGAATTGCCTTTTGCATGAAACTTTCGCTTTCACCACTGGATATCAAATTCTCAATCGTTTCTTCACTAGCCCTTTCTCCTGTGATTGTGAAATACCTGCGTTCCACAGTTTCCTTATATTCGGCTGCCATTCTAGCTCTCAAGTCCTGAAAATTATCCATGAGATCCTTCAGCTTCTTTCCCAAACCGCTAACCACGGATGTCCTGGTTCGATCCGTAGATGATCCTGGACCGCACCCTGGAATGTTGCGGTGAGCTGCATTGGATCGATCTAAGGCTTCGAGCTTTCCCTTGATGATTTTAACACGTTTCAGGACTTGTTCAACATCTATGTCCATCCGGGAGCGAAGATTTTTCATGGTCTTAGCATTATGAACAATCTTGCTTTCTTCGTTGGCTTCTTGTAAACTCTTGTACAGCCTCTCAACGGTTTTCATATCTTCCTTCACATTCTCTACATCTTCAAAGAATCTGTCCAGATTCATACTATCCTTCCCCGCCTCCATGTCGTCTATTTGAGCCTGCTGCTTCAGATCAGTGTACTTCTTGAACGAACTCGAGAATAAATCATTCATCTTGGAAGAACACAACAATCAATCCTCTTCTTCCACAAATGTATGTGTTTTATGTTGTTGGAATCACTGGAAGATGTTTATAAAGCCAGCAAAAAATGGTTCCTTATCTTCTACAAATGTATTAGCTCTTTAGGTGTTTTTTTTTTTTTTTGTCCGATCGTCTTCCAGTTCTGAATCTAGAGCCAAATGAGAAGGAAGGGAAAAGGTGGCAAAAAGCAAGAACTATGACCAACAAAATCTTCCTTTATTTTTGGCTCGAGGTTATTCTGAAATTAGGACCAACCAAATTTTGACTGAAAGGCCGTTTACAAAGTTTGCAAAAGGTTGTCAAATATAAGTAACAAAGGGTTCCCCCTTTTCATTGGGAACCATTATGGTTTTGCTGACTTGGTCTTCCTTTTCTTTAACCCAACCCACAAAGCTAAAATTAGAGATTGCACAACCTATCAAAATCTAAACTTTGGTCCCCTCTTTATCTTTAGGGCAAACAAAAACATGGTCAGAGAAACATTTTTAGTGTCCCATGAAAAAATTTAAGGGGGTTCAAGTCTTAGTTTTTGATGCGTAAAAGAAATCTGGCTTATGACTACTTCCCATGGCAGTGGGTTCAATAAAGGCCTAAAGAGATTGTGGCTGCTTAAACATTTGTGAATTTTGAGTTGCAAGCATGCCCAATTCAACATGGAAGCACATATTTTAGGTCGTCCAAACCTACTGGTGAGCTATGAGCATCAAAGGCTTTAATCTTTGTTTTTATTTTATTATTATTTTTTTTTTGGGGGGATGCATAAAAGGCTATAAATTTACAGTGCAAGATTGATGATTATTTACTCGATAGTGTGGTGACATGATGGCACGAGACACTGAGGAGACAACAATTCACAAGCAGCCGAAAAATGGTTCTTTCAATTGTCTTAACATTTGACCAAAAGAACTGAGACATAAACCAACTCCAGATATTTGGAGAAGGAATAATAATCTTTCAAAACCTGATGGAATCATCAGAAGCCAGCTTTAAAGACCCTTTTGAAGAAACCTAGAAATCATGCTGACATGATACGGCCATATGCGTATGGGTGCCATGTTCTCCCTGCTTTTTGGAAAAGAACATGGATCTATTCTCAACAGTATACCGACCGAAATGATTTTGAATATCCTGGACATTTCAATAGATTCTTTCGAAAACAAGTTTCACTGAAACAGAGACAACAATAGTGCCAAAATAACCTCTGATCATGCAAGATTAGCGGACGCATCGGATATATTTTTTAAGTTCAAGGGTTCAACCATGTTGCTGTTATATATCAATCAAACTGTGAGATCAAGCTAAACGGAAACTAAACTTACAACAAGAACGCAATTTTCTTTTCACTATGTGCAAAAAGGCACAAGCTTAATTACATCCTCTGTGTTTCTTAATTAAGGGCAGCAGTGAGCTTCCAACAATAAACTACATAGCTGCAACCTACTACCCATTTGATTGAATAATCAATCACCTGCTAAAAGCATGTCAGTGTCCAATTGTATCAGCATAGAATGGATAATATTACACAGTATGGACCACAAAAAATATTGGTTCTCACCCATGTTGCCACTTTCCTACCCCTCTACTTTATATACAGAACAATGGAGTTAAACGCCGATGTGGACAAATGTGCCACGAGAACTCTGAGAATCATGTGGTTCTCCTTGGTTGATCATCATGCAGAGTCAAGGACATTATCTATCCAGTGGCTGGGGTGGATGCAGATGCATTCATGGAAAAGGTTGAGGGATGATCCTTATTAGCATCTTGATGGCTGCTGCCAAGCATAATGCCACCACCGACCTTTTCACCTGTTCCCCCACTTGACAGCGTGTGATTACTGGCAGAGTTATTGTCACCATCTGGGGTCAAGAATCTCTGCATCCTGAGGTATCTCTCAGTGGCATCTTGTAGCATCCTCATCATGCCTCCAGAATCTGAACCAGGTGACAGTTCATCCTCCCTCTCTGGCTGGATATTCAGGTCTATTTGACCTTTAAAGGGTGAGGTGGAGGATTTCATTCGGTTAGGATCATCATCAGAACCTTCACTGACGGCCTTTTTCTTGTTCGGACTGCCACTTTGACTTGCTGTGTTGCTAGATGGTGAGAGTTCATCATCAAGCAATTTATCGGCAGAAGGCTCTTGCTGCTTCTTCCGTGTAGTTTCTGCATCTTTCTCTGATTGCTTCTTTTCACGCTTCATCATTAGGGTCTTAAAACGGCGTTTTACCGTTTGGCAGACATTACATGTGCACGTCGGCTTGTGCTTGGAACCCTTACCACTTGGGGGCTGAATGCACACAATGCAGGAGCAGCCAGGTCTGTGTCGGGGGTGCTTTGTGGTGGCCTGGGACGAAGCCTGGAGAGTCTCACCCTCTCCTAAAATAGCTAGGTTGGCAAGAGTGTCAAGCCCCTCCAAAGCTTCAACACTATCAGTATCCTTCTTAGCAGCCTTCGATCTCTTGGGAGTGACTCCTGATTCACAACCATAACACCAGATGCAAATTGGACAGTTGGCAAGGAGATCATCGCCATTTGAACAAGAGATTCCATAAAAATCATTAAAATGCACATATATACAGCAACTGCGGTGAAAATGTAGAACATGATCGTGATACTTGGCACCACACTCAAGAATAACTTAATTGCTCTACATGACTATGAATTACTGAATTTCAATTACGGAGAAACAACAAAATGAAGTCACTATTAGCAATTTATACCTAAATTACAGGAAGGCAGTAGATCTTCAAGCTGCTCTGCTGTCATTTCTTGAGCCACAGAACATGATGATCTGGCAGCAGATGTAACTAAAAATGTTAACAAAATGCAAAGAGCCAGCAATTAACATGTGTTCAGACAACATTCAACTTTTATTTATCTGCTTGTCCATTGTTCAAGGGAGAACAGTGAGGGCACTGCCTCAATTCATTATTTGCCATGGAAACAACCAAAAATTACAGGCTAGTGAGAAAGAGAATACCAAAGTTAACCGAACATGCAACAAAGCTAGTGAATTCTGACCTCAAATCTATGTTTGAATGTTGCAAAGAAATAAAAAGAAAATACATTTATTCAACCATTGAATAATTTTGAGATCACACAGGCTATCTAACAGGTTCTCAGAGCATAATAACAATTATAAGATAAAAGGATAAACCCAAGCCTGAATGAATAAATGGATTCACGTTATACCTTTCAGGATCCCATGTATTACTAGAACATGTCCATTTGGAGGGAAGAAGAGCATTGGCAGGCAATTTGCGCCACTTACGACAATCTTCACATTGAACCCATTGAATCTTTTGACTGACAGAAAACATATCATATTAGAACTTTATTTAGTCAGAGAGACAATGGACATTGTGAGTCCCTTATTATATGAAGCAACGGTATAACTAGGAAAATTTAGGAAGAAAAAAGTGTCATTCAAGTCTGCATAAGAGTCAGCAGGGAGCAAAGACTGTATAGCAAAGCACCATTTTACCATGCTGAAAAGGGACGAAACATACTAATATTGAAACATCATCCTAGGTTTATGTCAGCATTCAGTCTAATAGCCCACTAGTATAAAGTATTGAGTAGATTTACATACAAACTTATAGGTTGGAGAGATCATACATTTCTCAAAGCACAACCCGCTGGTGTCAAATGTGAACAGATTCTAATACAAACTTATAGGACATAATATATTTCTCCTAGCACAGCCCACTAGTGTGACATGTAAACAGATTCCAACATACACTTACAGGACAGATAGTAGACATATTTCTCCAAGGAAAAAAAAACCCAAACCACTAACATTTGTTATGAATACCCAACCATTTTACAAATATAGTGTGTAGATAAACTTTTGAGAGAGATCTGCAAGCCAAATCATGAAGAACTTTTTAAAAAAACTAACACAAAGGTACAGGTACAAGCTTCAGCACTCAGGATAAGCAATTTACCCCACATTATCCATTGCAAAAATTGTTGGTTTCCCAAGTACTGGCGCATCCTGTTATAGCAGCACACTTGTCAGAATGCATGAAAAGTATGACCTCCTGGCCAGGATAAAGTTTGGCTAAGAAGAAAATATAACAGAAGCCCAATAAAAACCATCAATGCAAACGCATGAAATGATAAAATAAAAATAATGAAAGATAACATATTAAACAATGTTCAATTAAAATTACACGAGGAAATATTGTTCTTCAATCAAACAACCAATTATATCAGCTATAAGCATACACACACACACACCAAAAAAAAAAAAAAAAAAGACCTCTCAGATTTTCATATTCTCTTACAATTTTATTTGTTAGAACCTAAAATTCAATACGACTAAAGTCAGCATGTTTCTACCAATAGAATAGCAACTCTTAACTATTACAGGACCATTTGAAGCACTGAACAATGTATTCCAACTATTCTCCCCTCAATGGTCCTATGTTAGGAGGAAAATTTATCTTTGCGTTTTTTTTTTTTTTTCATTCTTTAGCCATCAGCAAAGAGTTTTTGGCTGGGAGAACCTAAAAATTCAAGCAGTCTCACCCATAGATTTAAATAACAGACGAAGTTGTAAAAACAGTCGCAATCATGATCGTGAGTCGTGGTACTAAAATAACAATTGTGGAAACCAATATCGTAAATACATTAATAACTGTTAATAAATTTATTTTAATTCACATATTTTTAACAGTTTTACTGATTAAGCATAATAATATCTATAATAGTTTAATATCATATAATAATAGTTGAATTTATTACGGAAGGAAGTTAATAACACTTTTAATAGTTTAATATCACACAAAAAATAATAAAATACATTACAATTTCAAAATACACATTACAAAATATTCACATGTTAAATAGCGGCAATAGCAGCCGCTACATAATAAAACACTTCTAATAGAATGCAACCGAATTTCAAAGGCTGCAATATAGGCTGAAAAAATAAGGACTCACGTGGGTAGGCAGGCTGCAAGGGCTGGAAATTTTTTTTGATTTTTGCTTTTTTCTTTTTAACTATGACAGCCTGGATCTGTTAAATAGCGGCCGTTACATTATATAACACTGTGTGTGAAACGGCTATAAGGTCCCTATAACAATGAACAAAGGTAATGGGTGTGTCTAATACCATCATATAACGGCTGTTATGTTACATAATGACCACTATTTCAAACTATGGCCTCAACCCCCACCAGATTAGTAGCCACAATCTGGTAAGTTAATAATCACGTTGTCCCAAAGTTTTGTAAATGCTACTGTAACTACTGCAAAGGGACAAATAAATAAATAAAACAACAGTTAACATCAAAGTAATGTAAAACAAGCAACCTGTACCTTCAGAATGACCGAAACACAACCACATTGGAAGGACAGATGTCATAAGGGATATCAAGGGTGGCTAAAGACAGAAAACCTTTCATTGGCACAAACTTATTTTGAGCAAGTAAACAATCAAACCTCATATTCCTCAAACTCAAATCCTTCAATCACCACAATACTAGGATCATGGTCAGGAGGGGGACGGAGCAATCCTTGTGCTTCTTCCCATGTTAGCTTCAGTTCTATCATATCCTCATTTTCAATCCTTAGGCGCTTACTCTTAGAACCCAACGTACTGCTCTTCCTCTTTCTGATTGAAGATTTTGCTTCAAGAACTTCTTTTGCTATATAGCCTGATTTGTCAACTTTAGACCAAGGACTAGGATCCAATTCAGCCTGCTAGATTGATGAAAAGCTACATGACCTTGTGTTAACTTAAAAAAGACAATAAGCAATTCCACTAGTATAAGTTTTGTAATACTAACATCTCCATTTGTAGAAACACCAATACCAGTCTGACTTGTTTCAGTGTCCTGTAAACAAAACACATATTTTAGAATTTATTTTGTTGGATTAACTATTAAAGTTGGCTAACAACTGAAGAGGCAACATTTGACAAACCACAATTTTGTAGCAAAGCATCTTACTCGACATAAGTAAAAGCAACAAACCAAACTTTGAAGCACATAGCAATCACTCTTATGAAACTATCTAACATCCTATTTTCAGGTTATCTCTTGGCTTTCTCAGATTAAATGCCAGAAATGAAACACAATTATGTTAAACAGAAAAAGAAAAAAAAGAACCAAAAAATCCACTTTATTATACCTTAGCCTTTTCTTTTTCCTGTAAAATGAAGTACTATATAAATATTAACACGCTACAAACTTCCCTTTCATCACAAAAAATTTGATTCATGCACGAACTTCCAAGTTTTTAAAGGCATACAGTGTAAAGTCCCATGGCCGCTTTTCAGGTAAATTTAGGCTATGATGCAATGAAATTTGGAAGAAAGGAGAGGTAAATTACTGCTGGTAAATTACGTACCAAATTAAGACTTAACTATGTATTGGAATATAATATCATTGATCTAGGAGAGGTACCAGCAAAGATTTCAAGTCTCTGGTGTCACCCATATACAATGCGTACCAAATTAAGACTTAACTATGTATTGGAATATATTATACTTGCAAATCGCTACATAAACTATTGTTTGAACTGCAGCAAGTATAAATGGATAATCTAGAAAAAAGGTGCTTGGCAATTGCACTAGGGCATACCTGATCGGAAGGTGAAGCAGTGGAGGCCTTTCTAAATCCCATAACCAATTTGCCTTCTGGCTCTAATCGACTAAATGTTACTGAGGAAACAGAATTAAATTTCAGATCCAATATCATAGACCCTAAAATCATGATGTGCTAAAGAACAGGATGATGGCACCAAATCACAAGGAAAATGAATTGAAAGGCGTGAAAGAAGAAAAAAGAAAAATATCAAAACTATGAAGCAGCACTAAGACGCTTGACCAGGTCCAAAGCCATGACATTGACAAATCTAGTGGACAGAAATAAACCAAGTCCAACATAACTAGAGAGAAGGAAAACAAAGGCATAACCCTTGCTGCAATTAACAAATTAAGACTCTTTTGAACCATTATTTTCACATAATCTGGTTGTTACCTATATCGCCTGCTTGCAATTGCATGTTTTGTATGCAAGGAGTAACTCCCTCCAGAACATACATTCTACTATTGTTGTTAGGCCAAAACCGAAATTGAAATATCCACTCTTTCCCTTTAGAATCTTGGACCCTGAGAGGTAGACCTTCAGGCTGCGAGATGGGTGGAAAATAGGCCTGTTTCATGGTGAGCACAATGTTAGTATTGACAAAATTATAGATGTGCCAGCACGCAAAGGGAGAGAGTTAGATATTAATCCGTGAGGAACTTCTTAATGAAATTATACAATACAAGCTACACCATTAATGTGGCAGCATAACCCTTCAACTAAAATCGTCTCATAGGAGTCAAAACTGCACTTCCATAAAAAACAAGCATGTATTTAACACAACAAATTGCATTCAGAAATTTTCTGTCCATATTTCTAAAGAATTGTCAATAAGCAGTCAGGAAAATCAACAAAAGGAGTTGTTGATTCATCACCATTTTCGTGATGCTCCATTGTTCTTATACCATTGCTGGGACCATTAACAATTCTTTCTACAAGTGTACATGTCTAAACTCTTCAATACTATATATGTAGAATCATCTTCCAACTGGCAGTGCTAGGACAAAACTCAGAGAGAATATGGGGTGTGCAAGAATACACAAGACTATAGCAGAATGCCTATAGTATACACTGCTGTTATCACAAGCAGTCTTGACAGTGACCACAAATACACACCAGTATATTATCCATGAGGACCATAACTATGACTCAAAAACTCCTTGGTCCATCTAAAGAAAATAATACCACTACTATAAAGCATTGCAAAACCAAGAAAAAGAATATCTATAGCCAACATATATTGTCAAGACTAATAAAATTTTCTTTCAATTGATCACCTTGTTTATTCTTTTTCTTCATTTTCTAAAAACAAGAAGAAACATTCTGGGTTCCTCAAAAATCCAATATGCAAAGCTTTCAGAATAAAACCGATAAACAAAGTGAAAGGTCAAGTTGTGAAGCATGAGTACCAACCTCTGCACATTTTTTCGGCAGCACCAAACGCCCAATTCGTCCAGCATCGCTAGCACTCAGCATCTTCTCAAACAGAGGTTTGATCACAGAATTAGAACTTAAATAGGGTTAAGGTTTCAGGATCCATAATTGTACAGAGAACTGGAAAGTTATAGCATCAAAAACAAAATAGAGCAGAACCATCTCACGAAACCTAACTAATCTTCATAAATCAGAAAACAACTGTGGAGAAGACCAGAGGTTTTTAGCTTTTTTTTAAATACAAAACTGCCTCAAAAACAATATGCAACAGATTAACTAAAATGATAACTTCTCAAAAAATTAAAACATAGAGAAAATAAAGGATACTTTCCAGAAATCTGCTGTAGCTCTTCATCAGTAAACCTTGGCCAGTACCGAGGAAGTAACTGGCTCCTTCCACGGGCATCTATTCTAGGCCTCCCGTTGCGTATCTGAGCATCAACTGATGAGTCAACTCCATTATGTAAACTCCCAGGAAAATGCTTTGTAAACGGAGGTGGGGGGCTGGCTGTAAAGTATTTACAGAGCACTCAATTTGACCATTTGATTCGTTTACAGATGCATAAGGTATTGTTATACCAAATTGTTGAGCAGATGTTTCCTCCGTTAAAGATGATAATGGTTGTGGTTGCTCCTCACCAATGATTCCTGCAATAAAAAATTAACATCCTGTTGTTTCTGACACACTCTCAAGCATGGCAGCATGAAAATGCCAAGTCATCATGCACTCCTTCCCTTGGAGCAGCATAAAATGCAGGTCAAGGATCCGTACCTGCATTCCCATTCTCAACTATATCCCGTAAGCGAATCCTCAGGCTTCCATTGATAAATCTTTCAGAAAAATCCTCAACTTTCCTTTTCTCCAGGGAAGGGGCAGAAAATCTTTCACCAGCATTAAGCCTGTCAACTTCATATGGCATTCTTGGTTGCAATTCAGACTGAGTAGCAGAAGAATTAAACAAACTGGGTGCTTGACGCCATGGTACAGGACCTGACCCAGCTAATTGACTCCAACTTTTGATAGAAAGGTCTTTGAATCTCTCGGGGAAAGGTGTGTGATAAAACAAAGGAGGCCAGGCAGGGTTTGATGTCTGGAACACATAATATAAAGCAAAATAAATATATCGCAAATTCAAATTGAGCAGGGTTCTCTACCACATTAGCAGAGGTTACGGTTAGAGGAATTTGTGGATTACTTTCATAAATAGCATGATTCTAAGGTGCTGGCAGTAATTGAAGGAAAATATTTTCCATTGTCCAACTAATGGCATAGGAATCATCTATTTGATCAGATAAACCATAAATAGTCATAAAAAAACATAAAATGATTATGATTCAGCAGCGAGAGATGAACTCATCCTTACCAAAACAAAACTTTTCCTTGCACATGCCATGCACGCAATACCTCCAGCATCCAACAATGTAAATGCTTGAATTGAAACAATACATCCACAATGAACCCTCTGTCATGGAAAATTAAACTTAGATGATTCACGCTAAAAGAAATGGCAGATGCATACCATCCATTTGACAACGATATAAGCACAAACAGCATATAAATAAACCAGAAGAATTTTATCTTACCTTCCCACAAGATTCACAACACCTCCAACCACTGGCCCTCAAGTGGAAAGTCTCACAGAACCTCCCCTCCTCATAAGCAGAACTAAGTCACGCAAGGTTGAGTCAATTGTTAAGTTAATAAATAATAATAACAATGACATAGCAACCACGAAAAAAAGATAATTGCTTAAGTATAACTAAGAATATGCCAGAAAATTGTCTTGATAAGCACCTGTTTGAAAGTTTTTCAAAGGAATTCTTCCCTCTCCTACACTCTAGAGACAAGGCCAATTCGAAAAAATAAAAGAAATTCCACTCATAGCAAGCATTCAGGATCTCAATCAAATGACAAAACACAAACACTTGCATTTCAGGCCTTACTAAAACCATAGTCAGAGATTTTACTGGAAAATCACTGATATATCACCCTCTAGAACCATTATCCACAAGAAAACATTGCCAAAAATTTCAAAAGTTAAAAAAAAAAAAAAAAAACTAATGATGTAGGAAACAATAGCGTGCCATTAATGACTCGTAAAAACTCATCATTCAAAAAGTCTAAACGGTTACAATATATAGGAAAAAAATTAATTTCTTGATGGTTTTCTGTCACTACAACTGTAAGCTAGCTAGCCAATGCCAATTTAGACCAATAGCACACCAACATGAACAGCCAAATCACAGCCACACTCATTAATTGGAAACTCCATTAAATTTAACTCAAAAAAAAAGAAGAAAAAATCATTAATTAAACATATTCACCAAAAATAAAATGACCCAGAAAGGTAAAACAGCAGTAACCACTGAATTATACTCTTTTTAGTTACACGCACAAGGATAATAAATCATAAATAAATTCATTTACGTAAAATTAAAACAAAAAAAGCATAAATATTCCAAATTTAACACAAAAAAATTATGGGAAAAAAATATTTTTAACAGCATTGAATTCGTTCCTATCCAATTTACCCAAATTAACCTCCAATTTGTTAGCTCCACACCAAAAACACCACAACCACTTACTAAATTTAGTAGCAAAAACACAACCACTAACACCACTACTTTTCTCTCCAAAATTGAAACAAAAAGAAACGCACTCGTTGAGTAATACTCACGCGCATCGATCGCAAAGCTCGGCAAAGTCACCGGAACGGAGCCTCCATCCTTTCCGAGATTTAAATTCCGTACAATCGGAATTGAAACACTTCCCTGACAGTACCGTTGAAGAAGAAGAACATGAAGTATTACTATTATTGTTGTTGTTGACAGCAGTAGCAGTTGTTGAAGTAGTAAGAGGAGAAGGAGAAGAAGACATTGAATTTTTTAAAAAAATAAATAATAATTTAATTATTTTCAAGAGAAATTATGAAGTAGGGCATCATGATAAACCCTAGAATTTGAAAATTTGTAGGGCTGGATTGATCTATGCAAAAATCATCATTGAGTAAAATAGAGAGGGTTTTGTAGAGAGAGGAAATGGAAATGGGCCTGGTGTTTGTTTGTAGAGAGAGAAAGAGGGAAAGGAATAATAAAAAGTGTGAGAGTTTGGTATTTATATGCGCGTGGGGGTCGAATATTTGTTTTTGTTTTTGTAGTTGGAGAATGGTCTTCTTTTCTAGCGTCGTCGTTTTTCTGTTTTTGGATTCATGCATATATAAAGTCTTTTTTTTTTTGGCCTTTTGTCATCCAAAAACTTAAATTTTATGTGGTGAATTGTATCAAAGAGCAAATTATAAATTAGTCCCTCTGTTTTAAAAATAAATTAATTAATCCTTTTTATTTTAAAAATAATCATTTAATCCTCATATTTTGAAATTTATTTTTAATTTAGTTTTTTTTCTCATTTTTAGTTTATTTTTTTAAGAAACAAAAAAAGGAGACGATATAAAAAATATGAAAATATTTATAGAAAAATAAAATATTTTGTGAAATAAAAAAATATTAAATTAAACATGTTCAACACTGATTATAATATTAAATAATACTTTTTTAAAATGAGAGGAATTAATTAATTTGTTTATTGAAACTAGAATGATTGATTTATAATTTACTCTACGAATCACACATACAAATTGAAGAAAAAGATATGTTGTTGTATTGCTAATCTTTTCAAAATCAATAATTATGGAGAATGTTATTATGTTTCACTCAATAGCTTATTGGTTTGATTTATTTTCTCTTAACAATTTAACTTCCACCGCGCTAAATTATAGTACATTGAAATTAATTCAAATTATACCACTTTGCTGGTATAAGTATATAAAGTTACAATAATAATTAATGGTATGTTTTTTTGAACCACACAAGTGATTTGTTATTTTAGATATCTATTAGATTATAAACTATATATAACAAAATCAACATTATATATTTAATTGATCTATTATTGAGTCAATTTTTAGAGATCAATTTTTTTTCCAAACGTTTTTTATGTAGGTTATCTATATCTAAAATGATGCATTTATGATATATATATATATATAATTTTTTTTTTTTTTTTTTTTGGTGTGTGATTTGAACCGTAAATAATAACATAAAGAATAAACCAACTTATTAATTAGGTATTTAGGTTAAGCCTCTAATATTACTTAATTACTTATATTTATTATACTCCATATCATTAGACAAAGCAGACTTGGTCATTATTATATTTTATTGATTTATAATTTTTTTGGTTAGATATGGAGTATTTGTCCATGGGTCACATCTTTCTATTTTTCAATAATAAGAATGTTTTTGAATTAATTTTTATATATTTTAAGATTAATTTTTTCCTAGATATGATAAGTAACACTTTCTAACATAACATTTTGAATATTCGAAAAATAAATTTTCCCAAAACTCCTGAGTATAAAAATCAATTCTTGAATTTAGATTTTTAATCCTTAAGTCAATATTTATTTACCTGAGCTAACATAAATGTTAAGGTCTCTTTCTTTTGTCTTTCCTAGGTAAACGAGGTTGAAAGGTGACTTGGGGGCACGCTTGCAGGATTTGACCAAAAAGACCCAACGAGGGCGAGTATAGGTCTCTGTTGTACGTGAGAGAATAGCACAGGAATATGTAATGCTGGTTTCTTGCATGGCCCGCCCTGGAGAGTCATGCAATCACGTAATGCATAAAATTTCACAACACGCGCTTTTGCTCTCCTGATTTTTCAGTTAAAAGCTTTTCTGTTCTATCTCCTTCTAATTTTGTGCTCCCTCTGTCAAAAAATAAAAAATAAAAATGATAGTATCTACTTTTATTTATATTCATGTTAAAATGTTTGTTTAGTAAAAAACATTTAATAGTATATTTTTTAAAAAAATATTTTTTTATACATATTAAACTGAATAAATTTTCTTTTTAAATAAAAAAATATTTTTAAAAAGTATTATTAAAAAATACTGATAGAATATTTTAATTAGTAAATTTTTAAATTGAGTCAAAAGTCCAATGAATTATCACTTTAGTCTCAATATATATATTTTTTTAATCGTAACCCATTCTGTAACTAATCTGATCTGCTGATACGTGTCTAAATCTATTTTTTCCCCTTTACATTTTTTTTTTTTTTTTGACTTTCCTCTTTTACCTTCTCTCTTCACAAACATGTAAAAACCCAAGAATCTCAAGACCCCACACCTTACCAGCAACCATGCCAGTGCAGGTACCATCGGAGTCACTTACAAGTTCTTTTTACATAATTTACTAATGTTTTCGAAGTGAGTTTCTTTTGGTTCGTCTTTACGTACACTTCTGTAATCTGACTTAGTTAAATAGAATCCAATTTTTTTACCTTATTTTATAACATGTCTTCTGCTTATCTCATGCTTGTGCGTATGACTGAATCTTCGTTGTTTGTACTTCTTTACTCTTTTATTGACGTAAATGCTTTTTGGCATGCATTAATTGTTAATTGTGTCCCATCCGTGAAGCAATGCAAAGATGGCATCTTTTTTACCTCTAACAATATTTTATGGGGTTATTGTGTTTTGTACTCTTCGATGTGTTGTTGATTGGGTTAATTGGAAAATGGACAAATAGAAATCCATTAGATGGGCAACCATGGTAGAAAGAGAGAGGAGGAGGAAGAGAAGGAAAAAGGAACGAGAAATGGAAAAAAAGGAAAAAAAAAATTGGACATGTATTAACAAATTGGATTGGTTACAGACCGAATGACAGAAAACTATAGATATTTATTTAAAAAAAAAAGACATAAAAGATGATTTTGAATATAAAATGAAACGTAAAGACAAATGAGAATAGAAAGGCAAAACTAGTTTAAGAATCCGTACAAGCTTTTCCTTTCCATTTCAAAGTTGAATTCAATTCAAACTAGGAAGCAGGAAGGGTGGTTTGGTTCTTTTTCTGGTTTCAGTTTGTACTTACTTTTTTTTTTAATGTACTATCCAACTAAATTAGGATATACTGAAATTAGAACCAACATATTTTCAATTTTTGGCCCTGGCTTATTTGACCTTTCCATATAAATCAATAACGATATAATATCATACAAAATTTTTATAAAAATATTCACTACAGTTACTTTTTTATTATTTTATAGAAGACTAATCATTTAAATTCATGGAACCAAGACTTTTTTTTTAAATCCTTTAAGGTATCCCAAACTTAAAAACCCATACTTATACCTTACTCGTTATGTCGGACACACATAACAAATTCAAGACTACTTATTTAAACGATTAAAATCTCTTCCATTCAAAACCTACCTCTTGGGTTCATGGGACCAATATACTTTATTACTTACATGTTGACCCATTAATTTATATAAAACATTAAAAATTAAAAACTCATACTAATCTCTTCCTGTCTATTTAAATTCACGAAACTAATACTTTTTTTTTTATCCTTCAAGGTATCTCAAACCTAAAAACTTAAACTAATCTCTTACTCGTTACGTCGGACGCATAAAACAAAGATAGTTCTCTAAAGAGTATTTTACATATATAAATATTCGAATTTGAAACTACTTATTTAAGTAACCGAGTTCCTTCCAATCAAGTCAAACCTCTTGATTCATGCGACCAATACTTTATTACTTATATGTTCACGCATTAACTTACATGAAAAATTATTTTAAAAAGTTTGATTGTATATCATTTTCTATTCTGAAATCAATTAAGACTATGTTTTTTTTAAAAAAATCTAAATGGTTTTAAAAGCATATTTTTTACATCAATTTCATATATTTACATACCGTGACGTTACAGAACTGGAAGTGGTACAAGGGATCAGTAAATGCAAAACGTATGAAAATAGTCGATTATGAATTTCCCGAGAGTTTTTGGAGCACTGAATCAGTTTTGGAGCACTGAATCAGGTTTTGACAAAAGCACCATGCATGCATTTATCACAGACATAAAAGTGGTGGGGCTAATTTAAACAGGTCCAGGGTTCACAGAGCTCTGCATCAGGAAATGAGTGAGAAGCTTTCACATTATTGATTTTTAGATGTACAGTGGGAAAGGCTTTAATTAATTTGTTTCCTTAGTAGTCGGCTTTGATTGAGGTGCTAAAAAATCGATGTACGTACATGCAGTTTTCAGGCAATTTCTCTGTCGGTACTCGAAGAATGGTCGAATCGATAGGAGTTTCAACTTCAACCCGATAGCAAGGTGGCCCGAATGTTACAGCTAAATCCTGCTTGCCATACGTGATTAAAATTAAAGTGTGTTTATGATAGCGACAATGTGATATTAACATGCATTAATGTAGTAAATCGAGGTCAACGGGCAACTACGTCTTTTTCTTCTTTTTTCACAATAAGATATATGTTAATTAACATGTATTTGCCATGTTTTTATGGTGTATTAATCAAAATTAATTTATTTTCCAAATATTCTTAAACATGTATTCTCTATATTGTTACAAGAGAGATTTAATAAACTCTCAGGTACGAATGGTCTTACGATTTAAACCTATAAAGTTAAGGAAGAAAGCATATTACATGCCTTTTTAACAACCAGTTCGACCTCGTAACATGTATTGACTCTAGTCATTAATGGGAGAGCCAAAAATATCATGTCCAAGAACCAAGTAATGTATTACAATGAAAAATCAATGTAAAATGAATTTAAAAGTTGCATATCATGGATTAAAAGTAATATATATATATATATATATATATATATATATATTCGATTTCGAATATTTATATATATATAAAAAAATTAAATAGATGGTTCCGTCTTATTCGTTCAATTGAATAGAGAGATTGGTTTGAATTTTTAAGATTAAAATATTTTGAGAATTAAAAAGAAAATTATTATATATATAAATGTTGAAAACTTTGGGATATTTGAGGGAACGTTTCTCTCACCGAAACTTCTTGATCCGCCTATGTTCAAGCCATATATAAGAAAGATAGGGTGAATGTATTGAAAAATAAAGGAAAGGACTGCTAACCTAAGACTCAATTATTGGTCCAACTTAAAAAAGCAGTCATGGTTTTGTTTGGTGTTGAAAGTCCCAAATTCAGTGCCCTTGATACAGAGTTTTTTTTTTCTCTAAATATTTTCATCTCATATTAAAAATAAAATTAATCATATTTAAAATAACAATAATAAAATTTAATTTCTTTTACCAAATACGATTTTATAATTTAAATCTTATATATTGATATAAAATTTATTTAAAATCAACTCGTTTACTATTAAATCAATAATATGTTAATTGAAGTCTTGATACGAATTTAATTTTAAAATATTTCATAGTTATCTGTTGACATAAGAATCCCTGTAGTATAATAAACTTAACAAGAATCATGATAAAGCAATCACAATCAGTTAGTGGTATACTATTAATCAAGAAAAATATTTAAAAAGAACAAGAAATTAAGACAACTAGAGATGGATGACTGGATATGGTGGTGAGAGGGGGCATGAATTATAGTGTTTCATGCATGGGTGTACTATGGTGTTGGAAAAGTCCAGAACACGAGACAAACGATGTCAAACAAATTAAGACAAGGAGACAAGCATATATACGTAAGTTTAATTAGTATATTAACTAACGTCATTGATGAGTGGTAATTAGTATATTAATTAATGTCATTCATGAGTAGTAAGTAGTCCGTTAAAAAGCGATATTTAATATACTTAAATCAAGCAATATTGAATTAATCTCGGTCACATCTAACAATGTTGTTTTTCTTGCTTTTCACTTTCCTAGGAGATGGCTAAAAAAGCTTAAACAGTGTGATTAAGGACTAATGACTAATGAGCGGTGACGGACTGCCACATGTAAGATTCTTAATTAACAATTTTAGCTTGATATATAAAACTAAACATGGAAGATAAGCTCTAGAATCTTGCTAGCTAGGGCAAGCTTACTACATTATATGGTCGGAACTGCAATATTGTTTGTCTACATGCAGGAGATAGGATAGACAGATAGCTTTTGACTTAATCTGCATAGAATACCATTTTTTCCTTTAGTTGTTGATGAGTTGAGAAATGAACAACAAAGAACAAGAAGACAATGGGATAGTGTAAGTTTGCATTAATTTAAAATTCTACAATTCCTTTCACAACGACATCCCACGTCAGACAAACTGAATAACTACTCGATCCCGTTATCTGCTAAGGCATCCCTTGAAATGAAAGTTTGATTCAACATTTCTTGATTTGTTCTTAATTTCCAAATATATATACATACACACACATCATGGACTGAAAAGCTAACACAATTTGAAAGAATTTGAGTTCAAATTCTATTATTAGATAATTTGTATAAATAATTTTATGGATCATCGGGTAAAAACGAATAAACGGTTAAATGATTCAATTTTATATGAATTTGATTCAATTTTCGATTAACTGAATTAAAAAAAAAATCAAAACCGAACCGAAACAAGTTCGGTTTGAAACCATATTATTTTGGTTCTGTTTCTTAAAAATTTGGTTTTAACTAAAATAATTTTCTTTAATTGGTCAATTCTAAACATGAATTAAGTGAATATTTAGAAGCTTTTTATTTTTTAGTATATGGGCTCGGCTAATAAAGGAGAGAAAGGAATGAAGGATGGAGAGGTGCGACTGACTGAAAACTGAAAGCTAACCTAGGAATTTTAGGGTCAAAGATTTAGTAATGACCAGATGCTTTTTTTTAGTTTTTACTTTCAATATATTCATTTTTGGATAAAAACTTATTTTTTTTTCAAAAACTAAAATGAATTGAAATAATTTTAATATTTTGATTTAATTTTTAATTTTATAAATTAAAATTTAAAACCAAATCAAAATATATAATTTGGTTCAATTCGATTTGATTTTTTGATTAACTGAAATTATGCTCATCCTTACCACCAATCATAAACTCTTTTCTCAAAAATAAGATGGGTTTTCGTCAATTAAAAAACTGATGTAACCTGACACATCCAATGCTCTCAGATCCGAAAGGATTGGTTGCAAGAGTTCAAAAGAGGGGAAATAAAAAACCATAAATACCCTAGTACTGCTTGTGAATATATATATTAAAAAGGTTGATCATGATATTCAACTATTATCTTACGATATTCCTCATCCTCCTAAGAGAGAGTTGAAAAACTTTTTCATAAAAAACAAAGACCTGGAAGTGATCGCTTTTCAAAAATCGAAGGGTCGTATCGTGCGATCACAAAATGGAATTTTCTCAAATGTATATTTTGGTCCCTTTAAAAAAATTATTTTGGTCCATGTAACATGTTATCTTACAAATAAGTCATTGATTGGAAAATATTTTATCATCATATTTTATATTCATACACAATTTACTCCTTTATTGTTTTTTTTTTTAAATTTATTCTTTACATATTAAATTGTAAACTTAGTAAAAATTAGTTAAATAATTTAAATGGACTGACGAGTAAGATAAAAGTTAAGTAGATTTAAACATGTATACCATTAATTCTATGATATTAATTAAGACGACATTTGATATAATGAGAAATAAAGAAAAAAATTTAAAATAATGATGAACAAAAAACTTCAAGGTAAGATTTAAGTGGATTTGGCATATTAGATTTTAAATGGTATTAAAAAAAATGAAAATAGTCTTATACCATTTAAAAAATCAAGGAAAGAAAACATTTAAGAAAATAGTTTTTATACCATTTAAAAAAAATCTCAAAATGTTTGCTTTTCTTTCTTCTTCTTTTTAATCATTTTCTCAATCTAAACCTAAAAAATCGAGACAAAGAAAATTAAAAATTAAAAAAGGGAAAAAAAAATCTCAAATTAGATATTTGACATGTAAGGACTCGATTTAAAAAAAAATCATTTAAGAACTAAATTGTATATGACCAAAAAACTGCAAATTAAGAACTTATTTGTAAGAAAAATATAATATAGGCATCAAAAAGATTTCAAAAAAATAATGGGATCAAAATGTAAATTTGTAAAAAAAATTCGAGCAATCATAGTCGGAGACGCTGAGTGAGAGTAATGAAATTAGGGTTTTCAAAGCGAGGATTACTCCTCGTCACACATTGGCATGTGCATAGGGAAAGCATACATCCACACCATGTCATGTCACCATCCAAATTCAAGGCCTTGGGAATGAACAATGTGGACGGATTAACTTAACCATGCGGTCAGGCCAGGCTGCCCCTCCCTGCATGCATAGATTGCCTTTTCGAAAAAGATTGCAAGACAAAGGTCGTGACGTCAAAAATTCCCAGCTTTAGCATGATGTTGAGTACATTGACGTGGAAGTTCGATAATTTAGAATTCTCTCCAACCGGATTCACTCAATCTTTGCCGTCTTATCAGGGGGGCCCACGGATACCATTCCAACGAAGGCTTTGATCATGATGAACGGTGGACATGGCTGTGAATTTTGAGGCCCAAAGAGAATGAAAGATTCAGTTCACAACCAAAAAAATTAGCAACAAAAGTACTTTTTTATCTTGAAAAAACAATTGCCTTTGTGGTCCAAACATGCTCATTTTCCAGCTGACTTCCAGGTTTATCGAGCGTCCATGCATCTGAAGCGTAGTTCAACTTCGGGAGAGAGTGTTTTTGTTCTTTCGTATGATCGTTTAGGGTTCCACTTCAGAAGGATGAAACTTTTGATATTCATCAAGCATGGATATAGATCCATACGATAAGCGATGTCTTTTTTTTTTTTTTTTTTTAAATAAGCACGGTACCCTATAAATATATTAATAGCAAAATGAAAAAAGGAGGGACAGCTCCAGCCTAGCTCAAGAGATTGGATGGACAAAGAAACTTAACCCCTAGACATAAAACAACACTCACATAAAAAAATTCTAAAAAACTTAATTAGAAGTATCTAATCATAACATATAATCTCTAAATCCTAATCATTACAAAAGTCAACTAATCGAGTTAAGACCTGAACGATAATTGAATAGAACAAACTTATCATTCGATATCGTTTTACGACAAGACAAAAGTAGTTAATAAATAAAAAAAATGGTCTTATTTGTGTGATAGAGAAATTCTCAGTCTGCAAACCTGTCAATTAGCATATTTTCCTCCTCGTGAATGTGCTGTACTGTAATAGCTGGAGAAATGTTTGCCTAGCTAGCTCTAAAGATGTAGGGTAGGCACCAAGGAATCAAAGAGGAGCGATATGGTCAGCTGTGTCAATAATGGTTAATCATTCTATTTTAACCTAACCAAATGATTAAGCTTTTCTGCTTAAAAAATAATCATGGTTTGATTTGATTAATAACTAAACAACTCGTTTAGATGATGGTTATGATTTTTATAATAACCAAACCAAAAGAATAAAAATTACTTCCTCGCGTATTTTTATATTTAACATAAAAAATCACAATTTTGTATTTTTATTACGAATAATAAGAGTAACTAATTCATTTCTTGCTTAACAAAATGAGTAGTTAATGCTTAACTAATAACCAGGTGTTACATTTATAACTATTCAAAATTCATAAATGTCATTTAGTGGTTAGATTATGATTATTAATTGTTATTCTGATTGTGATTATGTCTAAAGGCAAAAGCAAACGAGTACTTTAAGACATTCGTTAATCATTGTCTAAGTGTATTTATTATTGGATTGGGTTGAAAATAAATATTTCAATGAAAATTATTGATATTGATCATAAACATTAAATAAGTATGGCTTATATGATAATTCACGATAAATTATATACCAAATATATGAAGATTTTACACACATACATACATATACACACACATATCTTATGTTTGTTAATTAAATTATTTATTTTAAAAAAAACTATTTAATGTTTTGATTCTTGTTTCTTTCATTCTTTCTTTCCCTACACACACACACAAAACTATTATGCTTTTTGATTAAATTATTTAATATATTTTTCAAAAAGTCATGTAATTTTTTTATTTTTGTTATTTTTTTACTAATGTTGTTTATGATATTTATATGTTTTTCAAATAAATAATTTATATATTAAACAATTCAACTTATTTTTTTTAAATAAAATATTTTATTTATTTTATTTTTTTATGATAATTTTAATCCAAACAGCACATCACTAGATTAGTAAGCAGTTAAATAATTTTATTCATAATCAAATAATTTAATATATTCAATCATATAAAATAATACAACGCAGCACGTTACAATACAACATACACAACAAAGACTACATAGACTCCGGTCGTCAATGGACCAAAACGGGGCCATGAAACCTTGAAAATTAAAAAAAGAAAAAGAAAAAAGACGCGAAATGTTTGGGAACCTTTAATCATTTTATCAACACATGGAATAACAGACAACTTTAATTGTTGGATAATGCTATGTTCATGTTAATAACCGACTGGAACTTTTGCAGATCCATTTTCAGGAATCTTACATGCCTTGCATGTTCTGCACGTGAACTTTGAAATTTTGTTAAATAATTTATATATTTATCATAATAATTCTTTTCTTTGTGGCTATGATGTCAGAAATGGTGGAGGTTGGCTAAATTCCCATAGCGCATGTGCTGTGATATTATCGGAGCCCAGGCCCAGCTCCTTACAGCCGCCATGGCTTTGTCCAGCGTTGTCATATCATTGAATTGTCAAATTAATAAATTAAAATTTCAAAAAAATTATTGTAGAAGGGATTTACTATTTAATATATTGTTAGATCCATAATGGTACAAAGGTTGATTTCATTGATGGCCAAGAGGTTTGTCATATATAAGTTTATTTGAAAATATTTTTTTTTACCATCTATAAATAAATTTATCGAATTTCTGGGTGAATTATGGATCTCTGAGGGGACTTATTTACATAATTTTTAAAATTCCTAATTTTATCCTTCCAATTACTGATCAAGTAATAAAAAAAAGTAATTTATTGGGCCAAATTGATCTCCTTTTCCTAATCGGAGAAAAATAATCATCTCGACCCTCTAGTGAAGTTAATTTGATTAACGAATTACACATCAATTGATAATAATAACAATAATAATCTGCAACAACATTGCCATGACAAGACCAAGTCTTGAAGTAAAATACTCAAATAATGGCAAATAATGAAAAGGAATATAGCCCAAATCATGTGATAAAGATAAAGTTGGAATGATATTGATATTTTCCAGTTGCCCAATAGATTTCCAACGACCAGTCAAGGTGGTAGATACGAATATAAACATAAATAAGTATAGTGTTGGGTTTTTGACTATGAGATACTAACAACCATTAGCGAACAAAATTCTTGCTTCCACTGGAACGATAATGATTGAACCCATTTGAAAGAAGTGGGCAATCTCGTGGCACCACATCTCACCATGCAACTTTTCAATCATGAAAGTGCATCATATGGACGAGTAAACTATAAGCTACTGTCTCTAGTTTTGATAAAAGAATTAATTAATCCCTCATGTTTAATTTTTTTTAAAAAAAAATTGTTATGTTTTTATTTAAGAAACAGAAAAATTAAAAAATTTAGATATTATAAAAAGTTTATGAGAAAAGAAGATATTTTATAATAAAATAATGTTAAATTAAGAATGATCAATACTAATTAAAAAATTAAATAATTAGTCTTTAAAAAAATATAACATCCCATTCGCAGTATCACAAACTAATTAGTCAATGCTTTTTAATTCAAACACAAACTATAATTCTATAATACTTGTACATATATAAAATAATTAATCATAATCAACAATCTAATACGACTTCCACAAATATATTCATGGAGCTTTAGAACGTATAACAATTTTAAAATATTACAATTAAGTGAGCTAGATGGTCAATATGTCAATTTCAAAACAAACAACTTTATAAAAGTCAACATACAATCTCAGAAGCTCTGAAAACTGAAGTGGTGAAGTTTGAGCAAAACAACTACTTAATAAGTAGATAATATATAATATAACTACAAAGAAAAATGGGCAAAAAGACAATAATTTAAAACTTTTTCAAGATGCAATACATGTTTCTCAAAGTCAAATACCTACTTATCTTAGATATCAAATCGTATCTCATATTCTTAAATCATTCAAGTTCATAATTGAAATTTCCTATTGAAATACTTATAAGCAAATCAAATAATGTCAAGTGTCAAAATCTACATATGAATTGATAAAGTGATGTCGTATCATTAGATGCAAACATCCAAATGCTATGCCTCTCGTAACCGGGTCATATCATTGGGCCTGGATGGACTTAAAGATTATGCTCTCTGTAGTTAGATATATTGTATGTTAGCTAATACATGAGCTAGTACTATACCTCTCTTATTAGCTAGAGCATATTTATAGTAGTAAGCTTACAGGCTACGCCCCTCCGTAGCTAAGTACTCCAAGTTAGGTGGTCAAATAAATCAAAAATTAAATAAACTTACATATATTTCAAAAATCCAAAACCAACATATTCAAATACAATTTATTCTCATAATCAAATTCGATAATAAAATTTAATATCAAATCCCGTAATCATAATCTAAACTCAAATCCAAACTCGTATTCAAAATTATAAATCAAATACTTACTTGTATTATATGATTTAAGCTATAGCAAATTTTTTAATTAAACTTGTAATTATATCCATAGGATTTGATCCAAACTTTAAGCAAAACACTTATTCAAAACACATAACCAATTTTTTCTTTTAACCAATTTATTTTTTCTTAGAATCATATTGAATTATTTTTGATGTCAAATCATTTCAAATTACACAAGGGATCTATTATCGTCTAAGTTTTAATGGATGATTATTACATATTTAAATCAAATGATCAAGTGAAATAATGCATGATGAAGATATCAAATGAACTAAAAAATATGATATGCTATATATTATCCACTCACGGTACAATCGAACCATCAAGCGAAATCACGTTCTATTAATTAAAAAAAATTTTAAAGCCAAGGACAAGACACGCACATCTAGGCCAGAGGACAAAGCCCACGTGGGCTTGGGCCAAAAAAAAAAAAAGAATGTTTGTTCCCTATTTCTGACGACCTCTGCAATTTCTAACAAGCTTGTTATGGCCGAAAATGTTGTTAGAAATTCGAACTCTTAATTTTTAGCCTCCCAATAACAAAATTAGCTCTATTTTTGCCTCAAAATACCTCAGGTTCATAGAAAAAACATTAAAAAAAAATAAAAATTAGAACCTCCAAATCTATTTTAATACATACAAAAATTCAAATCAAAATAAATAAAAAAAACTCAATATATTTTCCGATCCCGAACTACCTTCTCCGACCATATCATCGCTTGTCTCAACCAAAATAAAATTCTACTCTTGAAGACGAATAAATTGAATGTAATCTCGACCATCAAGATGATCGAAATGAGCCTATATCCCTCCTTCTCCCTCACTTCTCTCTTCTCTAAGCATATAAGGATCAAAATGAAATTACCGATTGAAAAAATAATGTTAAAAAAAGGACCAAAGTATATATTTGCAGGCAAACAATGTAAGTATAATGTGACTGAATAATGATTTAAGAGAGAAAGCACAATAAATGAATAGAAAAAGCAGAGATGGTGAACCATAAATCTACAGTAATTAGTAATAGTACATTGTTTTAGTATTATTAGTAATAGTACATAGATAAAATTGAAAGTAAAATCGTGTGTTTATAATCAATGGGAATGGGTTCTTTTCCAACTATATTTTTATAATAAAACGTGCTGAGTTGCTGTACTATTAATCAAAACACACAATCTATAAATAAATTATCCAACACAAATTAATTGAAGCAAGAATGTTACTGTCGCATACTAAACACATGATTTCACTTGATCCAAACTGAATGAGAAGTCGAAAACCTAACACTACTTGACAAAAGGACCAGATTTACCGCCTTCCACACACAAAAAAAAAAAAAAAAAAAAAAAAAAAATCTAAAACTACTTAGGTTAAATAATTTATCCAGATTGTTTGCGATTTAACCAATACTATGAAGGCTCACACATTGTACCCCTTCCTATATGCCGATAGACAGTCCCGAGTGTAAAGGCAAAGTTTCCAATGTCCAAGTAAACAAGATCAAGCATGCTTGCTGCGAGCCACTTATGACTAACTAAGCTTGAGAAGGGCTTAAAGCTCAAGTAAACCTTCCAAGTAGGATCTTTGTTCTATTTTCAGACTTACCAGCAGCATCAATCCAGACTATATGAATTAAATGACCAAAGGGTAAATATTAACTGCACATTATTTTGGATTGCGCCATTACAAAGGCCCATTCAGTTGACAAAGAATGCTTCCCCCTTTTCCTTCTATCTCCTCACTTCCCCTTATTGGTTCTATACAGTTAAAAATGAATATAAGAACAACTGAAAGCTCCACCTTTGTGATAAATATCAAATGGCCATGAAATGATGCCCAAGTAAAAGCTTTGACCTACTGTTGTGCAGGGGAAAATAGAGTAGCTAAGCCTTGATCCACTGTTATTTGAAGCTTATCGTACTTCATTAGAGTCTTTTGATCATGCTTGTATGTTCCATTTCCTCTGGCTAGGACCTCACCATCTACATCTATGATCCCTCCCTTGGTTGGGTCCTTTGTATGTTGACCAGGCTCTAAAATGAATGCTTTCACCTGTAGTTTGTTTCAGAACACAAATAGAATGGAGTTAGTGAAGTAAGTAAAGTACACTACTAGAAGTTGCATGAAAGAAAACCTAGAAATAAAATGACTGCATCAATATGCACCACAATCTTGTGCCTCCATAGCAATGAGGATGGACGTTAACTGTTTGTTACAAACATCATTTTCTTACTGCTATAGGCATGTCATCCATCAAGCCAGAGAAGGAAACAAAAAGTAATGTACCAATTGTTTGACAATTAACATCAAGCAGTAGGTACACAGGATAATGGTACTCTTTAATCAACTAACCTTCAGATAAATAACATGTGGTGATTTGACATGGCCTCCATTGCTCAAACTGGTCATCAACGATAGCAAGCCTGACTTTGGGCAATCCTTCATGAGGATCAAGTCCAAATTACCATCTGAGAACTGCACATCAACCAGGCACATGAGACTGTCAGTTGTGTCTAAAGAACAGGGCAAACAATGAGAAAGCTTCATTTAAATCTATCTCCTAAAACTGTTTCATGTATGGGGTTCATGCAGCAGGCGAAAAGCTATAACTATGCTAATGCATGATTGAAAAACAGAAGTGGCAGCATCAAAGCAGATTATTTGCCACAAAACCAATTCTAATAACATGTGATGCAATGAGAGTAATTTTTAATGTTCCTACAAAAGAAACAGAAGAGAAGGAACGTTTATAATACTCAAAAAGAAATTGCATACCGATGATTTATTTTAGATGGACAGTGAAGCAGGTGGAAACATAGTAATAGCAGCTGTATATCCTTGTTAACACTTTACTTCGAGTGATGACAATTTCTTATTGATGCTTTCATACTTATAGGAACCTATTCAGCTTAGCTTTCACGTAATCACAAAGCACTAGAATTACCTGGCCCAAACAGAAGAGAAAGCTGAAATTCATGAAAACACTAGCATACAAAAATCATGAATTCGGTTTCCCATACACAATAAGAATATAGGACCCGTATTCCAATTGTCAGGTATAATGTGTTTACTTTCATGTCAATAAGGAAAACAAAAATCCTAAATTATGTTGCATTAAATTCAGTGGCAATGCTCAAAAATAGATGATAATGTATTGGTCTGTGATACGAGAGAGAGCAAAAGGTCAAAAAAGAGGAGGAAAAACATGTTACTAAATTACGCATCACAAGACAAGCACAACATAGGCAAACCTTGGCATCAGGTGCTGCCATTGTATCTTCAGCACCCCAGGGGACATTATGAAGCCAGACTGAAATAAACGGTCCATCAATAGTCCTCCACTCCAGATTCCTTAAGTCAACATCAGGTCCCTGGTAACCATATTGTTGAACCTTATCAGGCTGCGCTTGGCTGGGATTGACAATATTCTGTGTGCTGGTAAATTCACCATTGTTGCCATTGTAACTGGTTGGCTCCCCATAAGCTTCAAAGCCAGGTGCAGGCACAAAAGAAATGCGTCCACTGTATAGTCTCAGATGTAACATTCGTTGAAGGGCCTGCACATGGAAGCGTGGAAAACAAAGGTCTGATACTAACAAAATTTCTCACAACACTTGCGGTTTAGAGTAGATGAAATATATTTTCCATTCTTTAATAATCTTTAAAGCGAGAAAAAAATAACCCAAGGCATGCACGTTGATGTGTACCATATCATCTTAGATAATGTTATGTTATATATAAGGCAAATCTATGCTGAGGATGATAATTTTTAGGCTTTCTGGTAAGAGAAAGCCACCCGTGCCATTCTCTTGCCGTACTTACCAAGAGTGTTGAAATGCTCTTTTGTTGTGATTTTTTAGATTGTTTCATTTTCTCTTCGGGAGTGACTCATTCTCCTTTTGTGCAACCTTGTTACCCTTCTCTTCTGATAAAATATTTCTTTCTTCTTACACAGCAACTGAAAAACTACTTATTTTTTAATTAAATTTGAAAACATAAATTTTAGGCCCAAAATAATGCAAGCATGATAAACTAGTAGACCAAAAAACATGCATATGCACATATCCATCAAAGTGCACATGTACATAACAAAATAGAACATAGGAAACAGAAGAAAAAGAATGAAAATAACATACGTAGAAATCAAGACGAGCACTCCCCATCCACCGATACTTTTCAGATTCAATGTCAATATCTGCCACCAAACCTGAAAGAAACAGAGCAGCTAGTAAAATTGATTAAATTACAACTTGGTGTGAAGGTAAAACCGATTACAGAAGGTATTAAATTCAACAGCAAACTATTGGGAGCATAAGAAAGCACTGATTCAACTTTAAAACAGTATTAATTGAAAATTAACTGTATGGTCTGTACCCCATGCAAACATCAAAACACTAAAGAATTTGGTCTCTCCTTGCAAGATAGTAGCCACATCCAGTGAGCACTTATGGCCTGCCAGCAAGTCAAACATGAAATCAATAAACTTCAATGAATGAAGAAAGCAAAATTCTGCATATCTTAAACATGAAAAGCTCAAAGTCAAAAGGCTGTGTTCAACCTCGTATAATAGCAACCACAGCATTAGATGCTGTACAGGGTTCACCAACAGAGTCCAGAGTGGATTTTACCATGCCATTTCCTGTACCTGCATCAGATACATCTTGTGTTAATTATCGAAACGTGAAATAAAGTGTTAATCTATGCAGTGCAAAATCATTCACCATACTTCAAAATATGGGATGAAAAGATCCACTATAGGTTACAATCATAAAAAGCACATCTAGAGAGTTACAAATAATGTTGTGAAGAAAACTATGCAGCCTATACAGTATAGATTACAAAAGACTAAATTTCTAGGGGGCTTTGGTGAAGCCTGAATACTTGGAGTTGTGTCAGCTTTGGTATTTTTGTACTCGATAGTTCAGGATTTTTTGTTTCTTTTTATTTCCTTTATTGTTTTGTATTAAGAAAACAAACAAAGCCTTCGTGCATATCACATTTTTCCAGGGGAGGGCTCAAAAACCTGACTTAAAAACAAAAGAGCTTCAAAGCAGCGTTACAAGGTTGTGAACTAAAGCCATTACACCATGTCTCATCAGTGAGGAAGCAACAGTCAAACTAATATTATCATAGTTCCTTGTCTACGTCAGCAAAACCAATTTAGAAATTTACATCTGGATAACGTTGATTAATGGAATAAAACCAAGAGCTACTAATATTAACAACACCTTAGCAACTTAGCAGTCCATTGATAAGAAATTTTACAATCGGTTCCCAAAGCACACCAACCATAACTGAAACAATGTTTAACGAATAGTTCATGGCAGACATGAATTATGGTCCAAGAAAGAAACGAGAATTAACAAACCAGCAGGAACCATTCCAAGAGGCATCTTTATTGCAGCTTTCCAATCCTCCCTTTCTAAAAGTCCATTTACCACCTACTAAAAAGTGCAGCACTAGTAAGAAATGGAAAAAAAACACACCAGATCATAAGAAGGTCACTGTTTAGCAATAGAACAAAAGTGCAAACAGCGTCTGTTAAACAAAAACACAATAAGATAAACCAACTAACCTCGACAAGGATACCATCTCCACTGACACAAACAATACCATCATATTTCGTGAGGTCCATGGTGCTAACAACCTCCTTAGCATGGAACTGATGTTTAGTTTCTGGGAATACAATCATTATCAGCACTTCTATTATTCCCCATCATCATCACAATAATGCAAACGAGACCGAATTCATGAAGAAATCTAAATGAAATTCACTACACAAAAACCGATAACGCAGACTATCATGCCCATATGTGGGACACGCTGATGGAATGGGGTTACATTATTCATTTAATGAAACAATACATCAACTCAATGATTTAACGTTGACCATCGGGCGATTTTAATAAAAAATGTCAGTACCTCTAGCATTACTCAATCAATCACATACAAAAAACCGCACAATCAATAATCAATATATACAAAATTTTCTACCTTGCACTGTAATTTGTACATCAGCATCTTCAAGCAAAGGTTTAACAACATCAAAAAAAACCTTCAAAGCCGATTTCTTCCCTCCAAATGGATTAACAAATATGAACAACCTCTTCGGCCTCCCTATTAACACGCAACAGCAGCATTAATTATCATAACAATAAAATCAGGAAGCCCGCCAGCCAAGTAAAATTCTCATGAATTACCTAAACGTTAGTTTCGATACGCTACACATTCACAAATAAAATAAAAAATAAATTTTTTTAATAATTATTAGTTAATTACCTAAAGAATTAATGTAATCACGAAGATGCTGACACCAAAGACGCAGTGATTCATTACTCAACAGTTCAAAAACAAAATTCTTCCTCGCCAGAGCTCCTCCTGCAGACGCGAGACAGCAGATTCCGTCTCGTTTTTCCGTAACTGCTTTGATTATTAATTTGGATCCTTGAATTATGAATCCAAGCACCTCTTTTTCCACGGTCAAACTCCTTTGACCTTTCTCTGTCATCCACCAAAGCTTTCCTTCTATTGTTAGAGTCAACGGAGTTAGGTTTCCGTTAACTTTTACCTGGTCTGATACTATTGAGCTGCCTTCTCGTTGATTCTCCATTTTCGAGGTCTCTCTGTTTCTTGTTTGGTTGGTTCGCTGGAAATAAAAGCAAGCAAAGCGGGTGGGTTTGTTATTTTGCTGGGTGTAAATTATAATTTAGTACCTGTTGTTTAAAAAAAATGATAAACTAATTCTTCCTAGTTTTAGAAATCATATATTTACCCCTTGTTTTGATAGGGTGGAAAATAGAGGAGAGGAAAGAAAAGTGGGGTGAAAAGAAATATTTCAGTCGTTTGGGAAGAGGGAGGAAAGCAGTGGAATGAAAAAAAATAATAAAAAATGCAAAAATGATGGGACCATTTTCCTCTCAAAATTGGAAGGAAACGGGGGAGAAAAGGCTGAGAGAAATTTTTTTTTTCGCATTTTTGCCCTTGCAGCCACCCCCTCATTTCCTCTCCACATAACAGATCTGCAGAACAGATCTCCATCGTCCTGAATAATGGAAGCAAAAGTTCAAAATCTCTCTCCTATTTTTCTTATTCGCACTTGCACTCGCACCCTGTTTCTGTAAAGAAAAGAATGGATATGGCAGTCAAAGAGTTGGTCAAGGTCTTGAAGAAGAATAGTTTTCCTGTGAAAGGGAAGGATGATATAAAAGGTCTCTATGTCATCTTTATTTAAAATTTGTTCAAAACCATTATGTTGACTTGGAAACTAAACTCTAGAATTTCTTCTCCTTGCAACTGTTGCTTCAATTTCTTCTGGAAATGATGAATTTGTTGGGAATTTAATTGCCGAAACTATAGAGAAGATCGGCTCTGATGGAATAAGCTCAGCACTATTGGAGTATTATTTTATTCAAGAAGTACTCTTATTTTAAGCGATGGTAGCTGTAGTGGAGACTGGAGAAAGAAAGCTTTGCTGGTAGAAGGAGACAAAACAGGGTCTGTAAAAGTCTTCGCCTTATCCAACAAAGCCTCCCTTTACTCTACGTACTAGAAATTCCAAACAAAAAATAATGCTTGCTTGACTAGAATTCCTCTTCTCTCTGTCAGTACAAGTTATAAACCAAGAAACCAACGACTTTTTTCGACCAAGCCAGAGAGAAAGAGAGACAGATTGCTGCTGTTTCTTCACCCTTCACTTCACTGGATGCTCAAAAGAAAAGAAAATGGAGATAATGAAAGCGTTAATGGTGGTTTTGTTGTTGTTGCTGGGTGCTTCATTATTTGTGGTGGAATCAAAGTACATGGTTTATAACACTTCACAAGGTATAGTGAGCGATAAGATCAATGTATTGAGCATTAGGCTTTTGTAGACTCCAGCAATTGTGGCATTTCAAAAGAATAAGGGGACCTGCTTGAATATAATAGGACAACATGCAGTTCATAGTGGAATGTGAAGTAAAACCTTTGATTCTGCTTACCTCCACAGGAAATTTTAATGATGATCCTTGTGCTATATATAGTTGCAATATCTGATTGTTGATATTTCTTCCTCACATACGTAGGCTTTTTTCCAACGGTGGTGGGCATATCAGAGTGAGACTATGCAGCATGTAGTCAAGGAACGCGTTAGCTCCGGTCAACTATAATTCATGTAAAGCACACACTTATCAACACTGATCTCAACAATATTCTTTCAGCTTACCTTGAGTTTGCTTGCTGTTTGGGATACTTATAGCTGTTATTATGAAAAGTTGGTTCTTGATGATGCCTCTTTCTGTGTTGTAGAAATGGGGGTATGTGCATGCACGATGAAGCAGTAACACATTATATTGACATGATTGACCAGACAACTTTTGGGCATCGGTTTATCAAAAAGGATTTTGGTGTGACTCCAAGAATTGGTTGGCAAATTGATCCTTTTGGTCATTCTGCAGTGAAGGCTTACTTGTTGGGAGCTGAAGTAAACCTATTTATCCTTAACTTCATCTAGACCTCTAAACTCTGTATGTGTGTCCACAAGAGTGTGAATGTGTGAATGTACACATGTATCTGTTTTGGTTCTATTTTTCCAGCTTCATAACTGTGTAAGGATTTAATGAACCTTGGTGTAGATTGGATTCGACTCTCTTTTCAATTCCATCAATTTAAATCAATTGTCTCATTTTTTGTGATTCAATTGACTTTTCATGATTATTCGCAATGTTGCCATATACTCTTTTGTTTTTTAATTGCTAAATAGTAATTGTTTATTCTAAAAAAAACGAAGAAAATGATGGATAAAAGCAACTAACTTATTATATGCATAGATAATAATACATGTTATACATATTCAAATTAATTTTATGTTGATAATTAATCTAAATTGGCTATTGGATTAATTAATAAATAAACGATTATCAATTATTCTATGAAGACGATTCATTCTCTATCTTATCATTTCGGATATATGCTACATGTTAAATTTTTATTTTATTATCATTTGTGTTATTTTCATGAAAAAAATATTCATAATAATTTATTATAAGTATTTAAATATAGAAATATAATCACAGGGGTATTATAGTAAATATATCATAATACATTTTCTTTCCTTCCTCTTTTTACAATTATCCAAACAAGAAAAATGTATTTTCTTTCCTTTCATTTCCACTCTTATCAAAACAACAAGTGAAAAATGATTTTCTTTCCTCTCTCTTTTCTTTTCTCTCACTTTCTTTCCTCTCTTTTATTTCCTCCCAAGAGGAATTATCCAAACAAGAGGTTAGTATTTTGACCAGAGTCAACCACCATCGGTTAGGTTTATAATTCTGTTTGGCTCTTCTGTGTCGTTGCTCATCTCTATCTGCCACAGTAAGGGTCGAACATCGGGTAGGTCAATCGGTTATTTTCAAATCGAACCAACCCGATAATTGATAACATGGGCTAGGATTATTATATAAGTTAAACTATGCGTCACAGAAAAATTATGTTATAATAATTATGTATTCAGTTTGGATCGATGTTTTTAGAAAATGTCAACCAAAAAAAAAAAAAAATTGATCTGACTCGACCAAAAAATATGACACCAAACCTAACCATTATTTTTGAAAAAAAATTGTCCCATTCGGATTGGATTTGGTTAGTTTTTTTAGATGATACAGATATCTCAATTGTGTTGCTTATCTCTAGCTGCCATTGTTGTGCAATTTTATGAGTATTGTGTTCTATTGCAAGATTAAACACGCTATTTGATAATTAAATTATGTATTTTACGGTGAGTAAAATTACTTAAATATCAGATAATTTATCATTATGTTGTTTAAACTGAAATTATTTATTAAAATAAATTACTTAAAAATATTTCCTTTATTAAAATCAAAAGTCATAAGTAATAAATAAATAAAACATCCAATATAGTTTTTTTGAACAGTAGTATAAAAACTATGTATCGAGATAAAATATTGAATATTGAATGCTAGTTTTTTTTTTTTTTTTTTGTGATTCAAAGTTATATAATATTATTTTAGTTTTTTAAATAAAACAAGAAGTCTTTCTTCTCAAAAAAAAAAAAAAAAAAAACAAACCATCATTTTTCATAATTTTTTTAAAGTGCAAGTCAATATACCTTTCAATCTACTGTTCTAAAAATTACATTCAACTTCCAAACATTAACCAACTAATTTTTAAAATTCTTACCAAATATCCTTTTGATATTCTTAATTGTTTTTGTTTAAAGGGCAAACATGCTCAAAGCGAATGCTCAGCATAAGGGTAACGGATATAAGAAACTATTGGGACTAGATGTAGTTTAATTTAAATAAAAGGACTATTATCTTATCTTACTAATACTAAAAGGACGAAAGTATAATTTATTTTATTTTGTAACAGTTCTATGGTTTGGTCGTTATTTTTAAGTGCTTTTTTTTTTTTTTTTTTTGGAGTTGCTGAATAAAACCCAAGCGTCTAGCCGGACGTTGATAACGTTGTTTGAATTTTGAATGACCTCGTCATTCATGCCCTGTTTATCCGCAATCATAAGTCGCAATGAGCCTCACCAACAGAAAAAAGACAAATAAAACAATAGGCCTCTCTTGTTATACCTTGTATAAATAAAACCTTGAAGAGTAATGATATAAATAAATAAACGATGATATTTTCCAAAGAAAATGAAAGAACAAATGAAAAGAAAAATTATAATTTTTTTAATGAAATTCATAAACCCATCGGTCTATCTCACATGGATCACTAGATTGGGTGGTTCACTGTTTTCTTTTATTAAAATTCAAAGTTGTTATAATCAAGTTATTTTGAATATATTACTAGTTACATACCCACGTTACGTTACGGTTAGATAACCGTTTATATGTAGGGATAATGATTCGTATGGTGTGGTGTGAATATAAGTTTTGTTTTTAGTGATTAATGTAAATCGAATCTATATACTAAGCGAAATTATTTGACTTATATATATTTACTAACAAAATAATTTATAATATTAGCATAAAAATATGAATTTGAATAATTGAGATATTATTTCAAAATATTAATTAAATTATTATATTTAAAAATATATATTTTAGAACATAAAAAAACAAATAATTGATGTTATCTATATAGACATATAATTAATTTCTAGGAAAACTACACATACACACGCACACTTAGCGAGGTTCGAGTATATAAAATAAATATACAAATATACAAAAATACCCACTTAAATTGCAAGGAATATATCAAAGTGAATAAATTTAAATAAAAATTATTATAAATTTGATTTTGATAAATTATATATATATATATATATATATATATATATATATATATATATAAGAAAATTAAATCTTCAAATTCTTTTTTTTAACTAATTATTAATTTTTTAAAAAAATTGAGTCAAATTATCTAACACACACTTTTAGCTCGCCTTTCTCTCATCGAATTTATACATGCAACTATGCCGACCTCATTTAAAAATTATAAAAATAATCATTTGTATAAATTATAATAATATATTTTAAAAAATAAAACAATCACGTTCTAAAATTTTATTTCAAAATCTATGTATAAAAAAATTATTAACAAATAAAATTATATTAAAAAAATTAATTGGATGAGAATTTTAATAAGAAACAAACGATTGAAAAAATAAATTTTAAACAATAAGAATAATATATATATATATATATTCAATCAAAAATATTAAAAAATATCATATATATTCTATTATGTCAAACTATATGTAAAACTTAAAAAAAAAAAAAAAAACCGATCTATTTCTTATGTTTCCACACCTAATTTTATGATAAAAAAAATATATAAATAAATTATTGGAAGAAAAAAGGAAAAAAGGTCGGGCATGTGCGGCTAGGCCGGTCCAGGCGCGAGTGGGCTCGCGAGCCGAGCTTGCGCATTAAGGTCGCTTCGACTTGCTTCTCCATTCTAAGCCTAGGCCGCTGGCCAGCCCAAAGAAAAAAAAAAGTTAGGCATGTGTAGCCGAGCCGACCTTAAAAAGAAAAGAAAAGCTTGCAACTTTTGATGAGCTAAAGTCAATTTTCGGGCTAAAAAAACTCAATTTCGACATTATTTTTTCTCTTAAACACCTCTAAATGATTGAAATAAAGTCAATAAATATTTTTAAGACCTTAAAAATCATTTTAATGGATGTTAAAACTAAAAAAGTACATAATCAAATAGAATTTTTTTTTCTATTTAATGGCATAAAACTCGCCATGAACAAACTCATTTTTCAAAAATAAAAAAATATAATAAAGTTTCGTGGGCTAAAGTGGCTTAAATAAGGTTGGTCGGTGTTCTTTCTCTCCTCCGGTCCTCTCTTCTTTCCTCCCTTCTCTTTACATTTAGGAATCAAAATATATTAACAAATGAAGATATAGATTAAAATTTTCCTCCTCTTATTTTTTCTCTCTCGACTCGGTCCGACCTCACATAGGTTGGGCTTAGCCCTACCCATGGCTCCTTTCGGTTAGCCCTCAAGGCCTAAAACACCAAAACAAAACTTTCCCAAAATTATTTTAGATCAAACATCCTTCTCCTTCTCTTTACTCTCCCAATCTCTCTCTCCTCTATCCTCCTCTAATTCTTCAAAGAACGGACTCGTAGACATCATCTCATGTTCGCTCTCTCTCTCTTCTCTTCAATTTTCCTTCGTAACTTATCTCCTTTCTCGATTCTCTCCTCCCATCAATCTCTTTCTCGCCATCCTCTCATTCCTTTTTTTGTTCTTTTTCTCGAAACTTGCTTCCATTGAAAATTGAAGCTTACCCCTTGCGTTTAATCATCCTTCCCCCTCTTTTCTCCTAAATGCTTGATTTCAAATTTAAACACAATTGAGTCACCTTCCAAACACCCCTAATTTCTTGTTAATTTGGAAACCCAAAACCCTAGGTTTTGTTCTTGTTCAAACAAGCCTACAATCGAGGCTTAAACCCTAAATTAAACCCTTAGTCGTCTTCCATTAATCCTCCTTCTAATCACCCTCAATTTCAATCCAAATACAAACCCTTAAAATTTGAAACCTTAACTATCTAAAACATCAAAATATTCCCAAAAAATTCAATTTTTGAAATTCAAACCCAATTTGATCTAGGTTTGAATTCAATTTAAACTTCTAATTGAGTGAAAAGCAAACTCGTGTGTGTATGTGTGATCGAGGGAATTCTCATGCACATTGCTACCATCAATCCTCTAGAAAAAAAATTATATTGGGATGAACTAAGAGTGGATTACCTTAAGGAGAGTTCGGATTAAGTGGTGAAGAAAATCCCCTAATGGATTACCGTTGCTCCGAAAATTAGGTAAAATCCTCTTCTTTTCGTTTTTTACTTAATTGCCTCTTAATTCCGGTAGACTAATTCCAGTTTTTGTAATTGCTTTTATTTTTTATTTTTTTCAATTTCAAAAACTCACTCCAATTGCTATTGTCTTTTGATTTTTTTTTCCAATCTTATTAACCCTTGTGAGGTTTATGTAGGGTGGTCGGCAAGAGTATGGGGAGAGTTTACAACGGGGGTGTCTCCGATTGTGGGCTGCAGAGTTAGGGGTGATTGAGTTTGTGGCGGAACGTTTTAAGGAGTATAGGGGTGGGATTTATGTTGCTAGTGGTTATAGGGTTGCTATGTAGGGCGTATAAGATGGTGGAGGTGCTCGGGTGGATTAACAACGGGTACGGGAGAATTGGCGGCAAGGGGGTAGTCCATAGTTGTGGGTTACGGGAATGGTGGTCTGCAGGATAGCTTGGGTAGCTTGCCGGTTGGGGCCTACTTGCAAGTTAGTTTGTAGTAAGGGTGACGAGCTAGAGGTTGGGATCGAAACAAAACTTTCGAAAATATTAGCGATGAAAGTATAAAAATTTATACAACTTCCATGTTATTACCCCTCGAAAGTTCAAAAAAATAACAAGAAAACCAAGCTACGGTGAATGAACAGGAAACACCTCGGTTCTTTTAGTTTTTTTCTTAATAAGTGATGGAATATTTGTAAATTTCTTTAAGCTTACAATTAATGTCTTATATTTTAAAAATGGTTGTATTATACCACACTGATCATTTGATTAAGAAGACTCTATCTTATTTTTCAATAAGAAACTCACTTTTTATGATCCACAAAAAATATTTAACATAAACTATTTTAAAGGAAATTTAAACCGAGAACCTTCTAGTGTTTTAAATAAATTTTTTAGGTGTTGTTTGTTTATCTAGAATGAAAGATTCAAAATATTAATGTAGAAATTTGAACTAAAATTAAAAAATCGAACAAATATTTTAAAAAATCAGAATGATATTTACATTCTCATAATATATTTAGAATAATAATAAAAAATCAGAATGAAATTTAAATTTTTTAATATGTGATATTTAAAACAAATAAAATTAACTTTATCAATTATAATATTAGTAAAAATGATAAATGTAATTGTAGTATTATTGCTAATGGCGATGGTGGAGTAAGAGGAGAAAATGATAACAATAATAATAAAATATATTTTTTAAAAGTTGATACTACTCCCATAGAAGATGACGGTAAAAAAAGAGTGATGGTAATGATGTAATAAAAATAATGATGGTGATTGTGATGGTTAAAAAAAAATATTGGAAAAATAATAATATTTGTTTATTTATTTTTATCACTGCCACTAAATAGGCTCGGGAATTCTTTTGAAAGTCGGCTTGAATTTATTTCCAAGGGAAAAATTGGATTTTCTTCTGGGACCATAAGGAGTTATTTTGATGAAACATTCGTGCAAATGTGATGTGATAAATACAAAGTGCCAAGTACCATTATGCGAATCTCACATGTTTCCTTTTCACAGTAGATTACTATACCAACCACGTCATTGTACATAAGTACTAAATTTTTAATCATTTTAGATTAAAATAAAGGTACGGAAAACAGATCAAATAAATAAATAAAGGCCTAAAAAATACAACATGCCATTGTGAATTACCTATCAAGATTTAAGTTCTTTTAATTTAACTTTTACGAATTCATGGAAGTTGGTTTTTGATTCTTGATTTCAAAAAAAAAGAAAAAAAGTCAGAACTATATTTAATTAGAATTAATTTTGATGTAAATAAAAAATTATTATAAAATTGAGTTAAAATTTTAATTTGTATACTTGTACCTTATAGATTATAATTTATACTATATATTTTTTTAAAGTTGCCTCCAGTTTGTTTTTATTTTTATTAACTATATTTTGAACTTAACTCATTTTTATTATGAGTTATTGGTTTTATAAACTCTGAATTATGACTAAGAGTTGAAAGTTAATTTTTGTAAATCATTCATGTTAAACAAAGTATTGATTTAAAAATATAAAAGTTGGTTTGGTAAAATACGGTTCGCATAAGAAAAATTCTTTTAGGTCAATAGGGTTCCTTCATGACATTCTGAAATACTTCTAAAATAAAATGGAGCTATTTATCATCAAAGGAGAGTTATTAAAAAAAAAAAAAAACTAAACCAACTGCAGGTGTGACTGTTCACATCCTGTAGCTGCAGACTCAATTCCCCTGTTCATTAAATTTTTGTTGTTTTTTGGTCCCTCTTTCTTTGAGACATGAATTAATTAGTCCCTTTTCTTTTCTTTTTTCAAAGGGCTGTTCGGGCTGGCCTTCTTTGTTTCTTTTTTTCTTTTTTCGAAAGGCTGGCCTCCTTTTTTTTTTTTTTTCCGGGCTGACTTTTTTTTTTTGGGCTTGCCTCATCTCTTTTTGTTTTTTTTGTTTTTTTTTTTTTAAACGGTTGGGCTGTCATTCATTGTAACGGTATTATCTTTTTCCCTTTTAATGGTTGACCTCTTTTTTGTTTTTTTTTTATTAATTAAAAAATTCATAAGTCTTATTTGATTATATATATATATATATATATATATATATATATATATATATATATATATATATATATGATTAAAATTTATCGAAACCAATTTTATAGTAATTTTTATTTAAATATATTCATTCCAATATATTTCATGTAATTTAAGTAAGTTATATATATATATTTTTATATACTATGAGTCCGTTAAGTAATATATATATACATGAACACATATATACACCAATCGGATGCGACCCTGCTCTTTTTTTCTTCTTCTTATAATTTATTTTATTTTTTTAAAAGTCCGGCCACTAATCTCATGATAGAACAAAAAAAAAAAAGTTGGTCAATTATTTTAAATCTTGGTGTGTTTTAGGATTGGATCACCGGAAGGTAAAAGGAAGCCTTTAAAAGAATATACATATTGTCATAATATAATTGGATTTTTAACAAGTGTTGTATAAGTTAAGCGATCATATATAATTGGTCCCTTTACTAAAAAAGAAAACATATATATTATTGGTCCCTTTAATGTCCTTGAACCAATATTAATTACATATTTGACATTGATGTTAGCATATATATTTGATTATTTTATTCTTATTGTTTAAAATTTATTTCTTCAATTATTTATTTTTTTATTAAAATTCTCATTAAATTCATTTTTAACTTTTTTATATAATTTTATTTGTTAATAATTTTTTTTATTATGTGAATTTTGGAATAAAATTTTACAACATCAATATTTTATTTTTTAAAATATATTATTATAATTTATACAATAATTTATTTTTATATTTTTAAATGAGTGTTTTACTTTTTATATATATTATAGAGAGAGAGAGAGAGAGAGAGAGCTGAAAGTATATTTTAGATAGTTTGACTCGATTTTTTTTTTTTAAATTTATGTGTTCAAAAAATTCACAAGTTTTATTTTTTTATATGTATTTATCCAGAATTTATTAGAATTAATTTTTTTGTAGTTTTTATTTTAATCTATTAACTTCGATATATTTCTACAATTTAAGTGTTTTTTTATATTTTTTTATTTATTCTATAGACTTTGAATTTGTTATATATATATATATTAGTTTTGTTAGAAATTAACTATATATAGATTCAATTTATATGAATCACAAAAAATAAAACTTTCTCCCGTATTATAGCATATTAATCGTTAATCCTATGTATGTAACAGTTATCTATCCGCAACGTAAGCACGAGTATCCAACTAGTTGAAATTCAATTATGTCTAAATAACAATAACAATAATAAATCAATAAATAAATATTGAAAGAGCTACATCGAAGCCCATCCAAGGTAAGAGCCCAAAGACCTGAGATGGCCCAACTCCTTCAAACCAAACCATGGATCAAACTCAACAGAAACCCAATGCCAGTTTGCTAAACCTCAAGCTCTCTTTGTAAATTCTAAACCCTAATTGGACCAGAGAGAATCATCAGGAAAACAGCTTTGAAGCTACCATGAAAGGTGAGATTGAGGACAATGGAGCAATACAGATACCACCAACCCGAGTTGCGCACATAAAGAAACGAGTTCTTAAGAACAAAGGCGTATCTGTCTCTTTCAGCGAGAAAGATCTCAAGTACTGCATACAATTTTTTTTTTTACTCGGCTTATGCTGTGGTAATAATTTGAGAAAGTATTTGTCGAACTTGGTTTGTTGATGTGATTAGTGAAGTGGTTTTTCTTGGGTTTTTGATTTTTGTAAGGGATTACGTTACTGGGTTTCATAAGAGGAAGAAGAAAAGAAGAAAGGAAGCAATTAAACAACAAGAAGAGAAGTTAAGGCTCAAGCGTATCGCAGGACGCAAACAGGTTCGTTTGGGATTTCAATTGGTTGTTCTCTGTTTTTTATGATATTGAGTTGAGTTGAGTTGAAGGCGTGGTAGACAAAATGAATGAATGGTCTTGTTTTGAAGGTGTTGGTACTGGTCAGGTCACAACCTGTTTGTTTTTATAGAGATAGAAGGTTTGTTTTTGGTAAGATTGTGTGGAAATTTGTGTTGCTAAATCATTCTTAGGACACACGGCTAATTTTTGAGTGCTTGTATAAGAGGATGAGAACAGGTTGTTCTTTTAGGCTTCAATTTAGATATGGTTTTCCTTGGACGAGAATAACAAATAATGATGCGATTGAAGGGTTCTCCATGATATTTCTTCTTGTGAACATGGTGAGTTTCTAATATGTCAGATAAGAAACCCTTAGCCTGGTCACCGGTGACCTTCATTCATGGTCAAACTGATACATAAACAAATACTTATTTGAAAATGTGCAATAGGTCATATAGGAAGCCGAAGTTCTTTATTTGTTTGGCATACGGAGAGCACTTTTCTGTTATTTTGGCATGCTTTCAGCTTCACTACCAACTCAGATTACCAAACTAACATTTGCCCATTGGTCATGAATATATAAGAGGAAAATGTTCTATTTGAGATTGGTTCGGCACCTATGAAATAGTAAGAACAAACAAAACTCTGATCCTCTTACAATGCCGAAGGGGAAAATTTCTCAACTTCTGTTGACCAACACTTTAGGATGATATGTCCTGTTTTGCTTTCTGTTCCATGGAGTAGTAAGAGTTAATGCATTCTTTTGTTCCCCGCATACCCTGGTATAAGCTGAATGACAGCTTTGGCAGCTGAGTTTCAAATAGAATTTCACCCTAATCTTGAGCCATCAGACTATGACAAGATGATTTGCCACCATTCTACTCATCAAATGCACAAAACTGGCACACACTAAAAGGTCGATTCAAATGCCCCTCCTCCATTGCATTGCTACCATCACCTTTTTGGGGAAGTTGGGGGACTTCATTTCCTGACTTTTTGTTGTCCTGACTTTGCCAACTAACTTCTGTTGTAGAGGAAACTGGAAAAAGAATTTGCTTTATATGGAGGAGCTCCACCAGCCACTGATCAAAGCAACGTGTATGAAGAGTATGATGAAGAAAGTGAACCAATTGCATCAATAAACGGTATTTTCATTAACTGCCAGCTTATGTTAAGAGATAAGTATGCTGCTTGGAAACATATTAATTTATTAAGCCTTATGATTAACTACATGCATCTCCAGATTTAATCTCCCTTTGGGGCTACCTTTTCTGGTACTGGGGGTATTCTTGGTTTATAGAAATGTTTGGGAACCATTCCAATGGATCTGCAATCACTCCCTTCATGGTGTTTTCAATTTTTGCAATAGTCTGATCCTCTGTGATCAATGCACACGGCTAATTCAATACAGTAATAGCATGAGAATCATGTTAGTTTAGATTACTTCTAATCATATAATATGTTTAGAGTGCATGCATGATAGGATCACGGTGTCACTTCATCTATAATACTCCTATAGCTAAAGCATTATAATCATTTAAAATTTGGTTTTGGGCTTTGTTTGTGGCAAAAGGGACAACAAAGTACGACAATGGGGAAATGCAGGTCACTGTGACAACTTGTGAGATTTCACAACAAGACGAGGATGGTCCAAGTGAAAAGACACAAGCAGACGTACCAAGGTTGATTGAAGCTGATAAAACGCACAAGTTATCTGTGAGCAAAAAGAAATCATTCAAGAAAGTTTCAAAGCACAAATCAAGGTCAAAGCCACAAAACAAAAGGGATAGAAAGAAGGGAAAGACGAAGAACAACAAGCGGTAGTTCATAGTTGATCTTCTTGCCATATGAAGCATGAGATCAAACTGTATTCTCTGTTGTTGGAATACATAGTTTAACAAAGGCCAATTGCTGAGACATAATGCTAGGCCATGTAAGAAAATTGGTTCGTTTAAGCTATAGTTAATTATGTTTTCTCTACTACAATTTGCCGACTATAAATCAATGATTCAGAATCCAGATTGATATTTTCACAATTTCTTGGTTGTAGAGTTCTATCAGGGAATCGTTCCTCCGTGTCCTCTGTTTTTACTCAAAACGTTAATGGCCAACAGGAATGTTGGATTGGCTTGGTTAATACTTTTTTTTTTTTCAGATCTTCTTGTCCAAACTATGCAAAAATATTTTTAAAAAACTTCAATTTAATATATTTTCAAACCAAATGTCTTTTGAAAAATACTTTGGAATAAAATGCAAATACACTGTTACACAGCTACAAGTATAAATATTGAGATAAAAATGCTATAATTTTGTATTCAAGAACAGATTACACAATAGTACAATTTCACTTCTCTATCCTCTTATCTTTCCTCTTTAACAGGATAAGTTTTTGGATGATTTGATTAAAAGAGGCATAAAGGAGTTGAGATTTTTTTGTTTTTCTTTTCCAACCACAAAAAGAAAAGGAAAAAAAAAAGAAAAAGGAAAGGAACAAATTGGTAACGCTTCCATGTAATTCCATAACTCATTATTGCTCATTGGATCAGGACGATTAGATTGGACTGAAGAAATGCCTTTATCTCCAACAATACCGCTTAATTGGACCAGTCCAACGGCTGTTAACTACCACACCAGAAAATCCAACGGCTAGTAACAGCAGCAGCAGCACACAATATCCACTCATCATGCTTACAACCACACCCACGACAAAAAGAAAAGCAGTCACGTGACAAATCCCATTATTGTTAAATTAAAAAGATTCCAAAAACAGAAAAGTCCATCCAATTCAACGGCTCAGATCAGCCAAGGCCAGAAAAAAAAATAAAAAAAATAATCACCACCGTACAACACCCCCAACCCAACAAAAAAAAACAAAAACACACGAAACGCAGACATCGCAGGGCGGTGGGACTCACTGCAAAGAGATTCGCTTTCCCTTTTCGCTTTCGTGACATTTAAGACCCATCACTGTAACTAAGCTGACTTGGCAATTATAAGCTAAACTACAAGTATGCCCTTAAACTGTATATGATGTTTCGATTTAGTTTTTTGATGTTTTATTTTAACAATTGTATCCCTTCAGCTGTTATGCATGTTGCAATGCTCTGCCATTTCAGTTTCCAATACTGTTTTTAGTGTGAGCTCAACCATTCTCATGGACTCGAGGAAGATCGAAGAGGGAAAGACTTCTAAATGTGTTAACAGAAAAACTATATCTTTTAAAAACAATTTTTTATGGCTGGTCACTAATCCTATTACAATCACTTATGCATATGTTTGAAGATAGAAATAATTAAAAAATATACAATAAAAGATATAGAAAAATATTTAGATTTGTTATTTCTTATTTTAGGGTTTTTTGAAGTTCGATTTAATTAGTTTTTAGGTGAAGTTAGCTTGTCTAATTAGTTCATAACCTCTTTCATTATTTAATCTAACATTATTGTATATGACTAAATAAATAAATAAATAGAGAATTGGCATTTGTTTATTACTAGAAAATAAAAAAAGAAAGGCAAGGCGCATGAAAGGGTAGCTAGGTGGGTGAGCTTTACCTTCTCTTATTTTCATACATAAATTTAAAATAAATCCACAAAATGTAATTCTTTATGATCATTGAAGTATGCAAATTAAATGAAATTATTGTTAAAACTAAAATTATTGATATTTTTTTATCAATATTTAATTTGAAAAGATAGTATGTAGATTTTATTGAAAAAAACTAGAAATAAACAAAGGATTCCTTTTCATTACTGTCGATGGAGAATTACATCAATATGTATTTTTTTTATGTAAAAAAATGGTCGAACTCGAAATCTTCTAGAAAAAAAGGAAAATAACATGAAATCACCACATATATTGGAAATCTAAAGGGTAAAATTGTCGAAAAAGAAACATAGAGAATTGAATTGAATTTCATCATAGACTTTGGCCATTGAAGAAAAAAGAACAAAACCAAACCAAATAAAACACAAACACTCGCTTCACTATCAGACTATCAGTCCCGTCCTGTTCGACGAAAATTCGCAGACACTTCCAGGAAACTTCACATATTCGTTCCTCAAATTCAGAATTTTCTATCAGACTCACCATCATTTCACTTTCCCGCTCCCTTTCTATTCCACCTTTCGTGTTTTCTCTCTAAAAGAAAACAAAAGCTTTGTGGGGCTGTTATTCTCTCTGTTTCACAGATTACAAAAACAAATCTCTGTTTGGAAAAAAAGGTAGTTTCTTGCTGGTTGTAAGCAGTGCAGGAGAAGGTGGGATTTGGTGAAGATGCAAACGAGGTATATGGAGAGATCGAATAGTATAGCGGCGGTGGCGAGGGAGAAGAGAGGACTTGATTCAAGCTCTGGTGATGACGAAGTCCAGCCTGATAGAAAAAGGCCTGCTTTAGCTAGGTTTAAAAACTCAACCTTTTTTTTTTAAAGAAATTTCGTTTTTGTAAATGAGATTACAACATATTTGCTTTGATTTTTGTTTTTAAATTTCAGGTACTAATTGTTTAGTTAATGGTAGTTTGGTAGTTATGAATCATTTACTTTTGGTCTTTAAGTCAAAGGGAGTCTTTGCTTGTGGGAACCTACACCAAACTAGAAAATAAAAATTTATGGTTTAAAAAGAAAATTTTGGTATTTTTTTTCCCTTGTGAAGAAGATCAAGTAGAAAGGAAAAATCAGTAATCTTTTTGGCTTGGTGTTTTATGAAATATCCTTTTTGTTAACAATTAGTTAACATTTGTTTGAGGAGAATGAAATGAAGGTAATTTACGTATGTTGTTGGGTTTGAAGTTGTTAATTGGCTGGAACTTGACAAACCAGCTGATTTTTTTCTCAAAGTTTTTGAGTTTTCTTGCAGTGTAATTGTTGAAGCTCTCAAGGTGGATAGTTTGCAGAAGCTTTGCTCGTCTTTGGAGCCTGTTCTTCGGCGAGTTGTAAGATAGTTTATTCCTCTTCTATTTTTAAACCACCTTTGAAGGATTCAGGATGTTATATGGCTCTCTCTCTCTCTCTGTTTGTGTATTTTCAATACATCGCTGGACAATTCCTTAATTTTTAATTTGTTCAATACAAACAGGTTAGTGAAGAAATAGAGCGTGCTTTAGCAAAACTGGGCCCTGCCAAACTGTCTGGACGGTAAGCAATTTTTTTCGTCACTCCTCTTGTTCAATTAAGGTTCAAATAGCACCTTTTCTCCCTTCAACATGTTGGTGCACGAACAAAGATGCATTTTCGCATTAAATTAGATAGCAGGTCATCTAAAAATTTATTGTGAGAGAATGAGATTTTGCATTAGGCTCTAAATTAGCGTCATGAATTTCCTTGACATTCTTTCCCCGCATTGTTACTGCCAACGGGATGGATTTCCTGATATTAAATCTATTCCAACCTTTTTCAAGCCAGGAACTGGGGGTAGTTTTAGACTCCCAGGTTGCATTATTTAGAGGGTATTCTTCATATTTCTAATGGTTGAGAGAATGCAGGTCTTCTCCTAAATGTATAGAAGGGCCTGATGGAAGAAACTTGCAGTTGCACTTCAGGTCCAGGTTGTCCCTCCCTCTCTTTACCGGTGGGAAAGTAGAAGGGGAGCAGGGTGCCGCCATTCATATTGTGTTGATTGATGGAAATACAGGCCATGTTATCACATCTGGTCCAGAATCTTCTGTAAAACTAGACATTATTGTGCTTGAAGGTGATTTCAACAACGAAGATGATGATAATTGGAGTCAAGAGGAATTTGAGTCTCATGTGGTTAAAGAACGTGAGGGCAAGAGGCCACTTCTAACTGGGGATCTGCAAGTGACACTGAAAGAAGGTGTTGGAACTCTAGGTGAGCTGACATTTACTGATAACTCAAGCTGGATAAGAAGCAGGAAGTTCAGGCTAGGGCTGAAGGTTGCCTCAGGCTGCTGTGAAGACATTCGCATTCGTGAAGCGAAAACAGATGCCTTCACTGTTAAGGATCACCGGGGAGAATGTGAGCTCATAATTAGAACCAGAACTTCAGATTTCATTTTTGTGCATGTGTACATCTGTGACAACCAGAACTTCAGATTTCATTTGAATGCATGGGTATGTGCTTGTTTTATTCTGTCTAAAAGATGCTAAATCTGCAATTTTTGCCTCACAGTATACAAGAAGCACTATCCACCAGCATTAACTGATGAGGTTTGGAGATTGGAAAAGATTGGAAAAGATGGATCTTTTCACAAGAGGCTGAACAAAGCTGGAATATATTCAGTTGAAGACTTCCTACGTCTAGTAGTTAGAGACTCACAGAGGTTGCGAACTGTAAGTAAGCTGTTTGGTTGTGAAAATATATTTCAAATTCAAATTTTGTTTATACTTATTCTTCTTTTCCATTTACTCTAGATTCTTGGAAGTGGCATGTCAAATAAAATGTGGGATGTTCTTGTTGAGCATGCAAAGACCTGTGTTCTGAGCGGGAGACTTTATATCTACTATCCCGAGGATGCAAAGAATGTTGGCATCGTTTTTAACCATATCTATGAATCAAAGGGCTTAATTGCCAATGGACAGTACTACTCAGCTGATTCTTTTTCTGACGATCAGAAGGTAAGAACTCTAGGATTAATTGATTGGATAGGTCTATATTGTTGGATTTTTGGTTGCATTCGCCATGCATTCAAATGAATTTGGTTTGCATTTTATCTGAAACCAGGGAAAAGAAAAGAACAAAGATGAACACCTAAAACTTTTTGAATGGTTTGGTTCTTGCAGATCTATGTTGACAGCTTGGTGAAGAAGGCATATGATAATTGGATGGATGTTGTAGAGTATGATGGCAAATCCCTTCCAGACTTCAAGCAGAATCAGGGCATAGTTGCTTCACAAAATGATGTTCCATCTGTTCAACAAGAGTTTTTGAACTCTTATGATCATCAGGGTACTTTACCATCCATATCAGTTCCAGTCCCTTCAGAGCACCCTGTTATGCATTCAGGTCCAACTGTTGGAGGTACAGTTTTGAAGTTTAAAAACAATCATAATACACATGAATAACATAGAAAGTAAAAGTAGGTGATTGTTAGAATGCTAGGTTGTGTTTGATATGTAAATTGTGTTTCTGTTGCTTTTTTAAACCATCAGGAAGGCTTTCTTTCCTGAAAGTCCTGTTTGCTTTGAACTTTTTGTATTTCCTTGCCAGTAACTTAGTAATGAGCTACTTTATTTGGTTGCTGACTCTGTGAATGCTCTCTCATCCTTTCTCTTTCTCTCTCTCTCTAGGTTATAATGATGATATGGCTGCCGGATTCTCAATGCATCCTCAGAATGGAAATCTCAACACCCCTTTTCAATTTGATGCCCCTTCACTACCTTCACAGAATCCTCTGGTTAATATTTCACATCAAATCCAGGTTCCAGGAACTGACAGTTTACTAGCTCTCGGCCCTCCACAGACTTCTACATCAGGCTTTCAGAGTTACAGTGCATCGAATCTTAATTCATACAGGGGAACTGAGGACTTCTTCCCGGAAGAGGAGATTCGTACGAGAAGTCACGAGATGCTTGAAAATGAAGATATGCAGCATCTTCTTCGCATATTTAACATGGAAGGCCAGGGTCTCCCCTCCTTTAATGTTGCCGAAGATGGGTATCCTTACTCATCCACATACATGCCCAACCCATCTCCAAATTACGGCTTTGGTGACGATCCATCTCGTTCATCTGGCAAAGCTGTTGTTGGATGGCTGAAGCTCAAGGCAGCCTTGAGATGGGGCATTTTTGTGAGGAAGAAGGCTGCTGAGAGGCGAGCACAGCTTGTCGAGTTAGATGATCCTTAGATAGCCTGTAAGGCACTGTTTATCTGGTTTTGGTGATAACTGGCTTCCTGTCCAATTCCTAACTTACTAGGGCAGGCTCTGTAGTTTTGCGTGTTACTGGGTAGGGCCTTTTGTTCGAGGTTCTGATGCTCTTAGATACTAATCTAGATGTCTAAGGATCTGTGTGTTTGTACAGTCCTCTACTGTTCAGTAAAGCTGATATCCTCAGTTAACAGCTGTTCTGCTGCGTTTGCCCCTTAGTGAAGCTGCTTTCGTTCCAGCACTTAGTAGTGAATTCTGAAGGTTGACTGAGTTGAGCTGTTTCTGTGGAAGATACATTTGGACAGTGGAGAGTTCAAATATTTTCGGCAGTGCGTTCCCGAAGCTGGAAAACTAAGCACGGGTGCATCTCGGTTTCTGTCAGGAAGTAAATAGAATAGAAACGGATGCTAATTGGATCACCTACGCATTTAGCTAGCAGGTTTCTTTTTTATCTTAATTACTGTCTTTTGTTTGTATAGGGTCAACAAAAAAACGAACTGCCAATTTTGTTGTTCCTTTGTAACATTAAAATAATTGTTAGTGCCAGTAATGAAGTTTGCCGGATCAAAACCTCAATTCAGGCTGAAACTCTGTGTGATTTGTTAACTGATGAAGAGAGTCTTCACCTAATGAAATAAATTTGATATTTGGTTGGATGATCATTGGCTAACTTTCCATTTCATTTTGTTCATTGCCCCACGTTTGCCAGAGGAAGAGTCGGCCAATTCCAAGCAACAATGAATTGAACCCTTTGCGTCTTTGAAGAATTTTCATTACAATGTCAAATGGCTATAATAAAAAACAAAACAGGTTTTACTAAACTGACAACTTATTGATTTCAATGATAAGTGAGTTGGTCTCTAAGCAAATAGATTAAGTGAATTTTTTATCAATATCTAATGTTTGTATTCTGAAATTATATTTATTAAAAAAATTAAATATTATCAATATTCTAAAATAGTATTTATTAAAAAAAAAAATTTGAAGTTTTCATCTCAAATATATTAGTCTTGTTTCTAATATATAATGAGAATACCTGAAGAAAAAAAAGCTACTAAAGTTGTGGCCATTATAAATTATTTTGTCTTTACCTTTCAATTGCAAGCAACGGTCAACAAAAGTCAAAGGATTAAACTGTTGGTTTTCCAACATGAAGGACTAATTTTAGTAGTTTTAAATTCCAGGGACTAAATAATTATTCACTTATAAAACTCTGTTCGTATTGGGTAGGGATTAGTCTCGTTGAAAAATTCCAGATTATACGAGTAGGTAGAAATTTTTTAAAAATCTGGAATAACAGAAAATTTGGGAAGTTATCCAAATTTTTTTTTCCTATAATGGGAAAGAAAAATTGTGTTATCAGATTTTTTTTATTTTACGAAATTTTAAATTTAAAAGGCTTGTAATTTTATTGGACTTAATTTTGATTAGAAAAAGCTTTTTTAGACCTAATTTTGACTAGTTAGTTGTAATTTTTTTGGAATTTTAGATTAAAAAATTTATGAATAGAGTAAAAAATTTGGATTACTCGATCGGATAAAGCATATTATAATTTTTTTTAAAAAAATATTCGAAACCACAAATTTTCACCTGAATTAGTTAAGAGTGTTTATTGCCCACCCAATCTTAGGGCGATAGCTGTAATGTCTAAAAGTTTAAGGTGGAAAGTGTAATCGTACTAAAATAAAATAAAAGGTAGCGGAGGTAATTAACTCCAAAATATGCTTATTTATTAGTCGAAAAACAAAAGTTTTCTGCTTTAACAGGAGAGGAAAAAAAAAAAAACTTAGTTTGGCTTAAGCTAGTTTGTCGCTGTTGCTCACTAGTGAAAGAGAAGGCGGGTAATGCAAATCGAGGTATATGGAGAGATCGAATAGTATGACAGCGGCGGCGGAGACGGCGAGAGGGAAGAGAGTTCTTGATTCAAGCTCTGGCGATGATGAAGGGCAGCCTGATAGAAAAAGACCTGCTTTAGCTAGGTAAAAGCTCAACTTTTTTATTTTTCATTTCTAGCCTCGAATTGGTTCAAATTTATTTGAAGATAATGAAGTGAAGGTAATTTTTAAGCATCAATTGTAGTGTTGTTGGGTTTGAAGTTGTTAATTGGTTGAAACTTGAAAACCCAGTTGAAATTTGTCTGAAAGTTTTTGAATTTTGTTGCAGCGTGATTGTTGAAGCTTTAAAGGTGGATAGTTTGCAGAGACTTTGCTCGTCTTTGGAGCCTATTCTTCGCAGAGTGGTAAGATAATTTTATGTTCCTAGTCTGTTTTGTTACCCTCTTTGAATGATTCATGTTTCGGTTGTCTGTTTACAAGATCCCAAAAGGTTGGTTTAACTGTAACACTGTTTTTGATTATATACGCTTGCATGGGTGTTGAAATGGTATCAATAGACAAAAATACCACCTTTTAATTTGGATATTTTTAATTGATTTGCTCATGCATTAAACAAAGGTCTCTCACTATTTCTTGAATATGGAGTTTTGGAGGTTTTCTTAAAGTCTTGACATCTTCGATGTTGAACAGGTTAGTGAAGAAGTGGAGCGTGCTTTAGCCAAGCTGGGACCTGCCATACTTAATGGACAGTATGTGATATTTACTTTTCTCTTCTTGTAAATAATGCCCCAAAGGCACCTTTTGCTTCAACATACTGGGGATAAATGAAGTTGCATGTTTTGATACACATTCAATCATTAGATATTCAGCCCATTTTAATAATTTATTGCAAGAGAATTAGCTTTTTCATTAAGCTTTAAATTAGCATCTTGGACTTCCTTGACATTATCCCTACATGATTAATGCATAATGGGATGAAGTTCCTTATATCAGATGCCCATTCCACATTTTCAAATGCTCAATTTTCTAGGAATTGGGGGAATTTATATCCTTGTTTGCATGATTTAGAGTGAATTATTGTGTTTCTAATGGTCAAGACAATGCAGTTCTTCTCCTAAACATATAGAAGGACCTGATGGAAGAAACTTGCAGCTGCACTTCAAGTCTGGGTTGTCCCTCCCTCTCTTTACGGGTGGTAAAGTAGAAGGGGAGCAGGGTGCTGCTATCCATATTGTGTTGATTGATGCAAACACGGGCTGTGCTGTCACATGTGGTCCTGAATCCTCGGTAAAACTAGACATTATTGTGCTTGAAGGTGATTTCAACAATGAAGATGATGATAATTGGACTCAAGAACAATTTGAGTCTCATGTGGTTAAAGAACGTGAGGGCAAGAGACCACTTTTAACTGGGGATCTGCAGGTGACTCTGAAAGAAGGTGTAGGAACTTTAGGTGAGCTGACATTTACCGATAACTCAAGTTGGATAAGGAGCAGGAAATTCAGGCTAGGGCTGAAGGTTGCCTCAGGCTATTGTGATGGAATTCGCATTCGTGAAGCAAAAACATATGCCTTCACTGTTAAGGATCATCGGGGAGAATGTGAGCTCATAAATAGAACCAGAACTTCAGATTTCACTTGTGTGTGCACGTATAACTGTGGTATGTGGTTGTATTGTTCTGTCTAAAAGATGCTAAATCTGCATTTATTGCCCCACAGTATACAAGAAGCACTATCCACCTGCATTAAATGATGAGGTTTGGAGATTGGAGAAGATTGGAAAAGATGGATCCTTCCACAAGCGGCTGAATAAAGCTGGGATACATACAGTTGATGACTTCCTACGCCTAGTAGTTCGAGACGCACAAAGGTTGAGGACTGTAAGTATGCAGTTTGGTTGTCAAATTAGATTGGTAATTCAAATCTTATTTATAATTATTCTTCTCCGTTATTCTAGACTCTTGGGAGTGGCATGTCAAATAAAATGTGGGATGTTCTTGTTGAGCATGCAAAGACCTGTGTTCTGAGTGGGAAAGTTTATGTCTACTACCCTGATGCTGCAAAGAATGTTGGTGTTGTTTTTAACAATCTCTATGAATTAAGTGGCTTAATTTCTAATGGACAGTTCTACTCAGACGATTCTCTTCCTGACAATCAGAAGGTAAAAAATCTAGGATTATTGATTGGCTAGTTCCATGTTGGATTTTTTGTTGCTTTTCCCAAGCATGCATTTGAATTAAATTTTTGGTCTGCATTTCCTCTGAAATGCCCCGGCGGGGTGTGGGGGTGGGGATATGAACCCTTAGAATTGTGTAATTGGTTTGGTCCTTGCAGGTCTATGTGGATGGCTTGGTGAAGAAGGCATATGATAATTGGACGCATGTTATAGAGTATGATGGCAAATCCCTTCTAGACTTGAAGCAGAATGAGGGTGTAATTGCTTCCCAAATTGATCCATCTGGTCGACAAGAGTTTTTGAATTTGTATGATCATCAGGTTACTTTACCAGCCCTATCAGCTCCAGTTTCTTCAGAGCAGCCTGCTATGGACTTAGGTCCATCTGTTGGAGGTACACTTTTCAAGTTCACATCACTCATAATATGAATGAACAACATAGAAAGTGAAACTACGTGATTATGAGAATGCTATGCTGTGTTTGATAATTAGATTTTGTTTCTGTTACTTGTTTAAACCTTTAGCAAGTGTTTCTATCACAAACCTGCTGTTTGTTTAAAACTTATTAGTATTTCCTTGTTAGCACTGAGCTCCTTACTGTATATGGTTGCTGACTTTGAATGATCCCTTATTCCTTACTCTTTTAGGCTATAATGATGGTATGGCAGCGAGATTCTCAATGCATACTCAGAATGGAAATCTCAACACCCCATTTCAATTCAATGCCACATCGTTGCCTTTGCAGAATCATCTGGTCAATACTTCACAGCAGGTTCTGGGAACTGGCGATTTACTAGCTCTTGGCCCACCACAGTCTTCTACATCAGGTTCTCAGAGTTTTGGCGCTTCAAATCTTAATTTGCACAGGGGAACTGAGGACTTCTTCTCAGAGGAGGAGATTCGTACGAGAAGTCATGAGATGCTTGAAAATGAAGATATGCAGCATCTTCTGCGCATATTTAACATGGGAGGGCAGGGTCTGTCCTCATTTAACTTCGATGAAGATAGGTATCCTTACCCATCAACGTATATGCCCTCCCCATCTCCAAATTACAGTTTTGGTGATGGTAAATCTCGTTCATCTGGCAAAGCTGTTGTTGGATGGCTCAAGCTCAAGGCAGCCCTGAGATGGGGCATCTTTGTGAGGAAGAAGGCTGCCGAGAGGCGAGCACAGCTCGTAGAGTTAGATGATTCTTAGATGTTCTCGGAGGCAATCCTGATCTGGTTTTGGTGTTAGTAGGCTTCCTACCCATTTCCTAACTAACTGGAGCAGGCACTGTTGTTTCGGACATGCATTATCGGGTAGGGGGTTGTTGAGTCTGAGGTCCTGCTGCTCTTCGACATTAATCTTAGATGCCTGAGGATCTTTGTGTTTGCACAGTTCTCTACTGTACAGTAAGGTAGGAAGTTTTATCTTAATTAGTGTGTGTTGTTTATACAGGTCGACGAAAACAAACAGCAAATTTGTTGTTCCTTTGTAACGTTAAAATGTAATTGTTAGTGCTAGTGATGGAATTCTAGATCAAAACCTCAATTCAGGGTGAAACTTTTTATTGTTATTTTTGAATGTCATGAAATAATATGATTTTGTTCGTCGTCATTTGCTAGAGGAAAAGTTGGCCTATACAAAGGAACAACAATTTGAACCCCCTGCACGCATCCTTTACTAGGAAAAACAATCAGAATACCTTCTCACGTTCAAACAGCAGGTACAGAAAAAATGAAAAAAAAAAAAAAACATATCTCCTCATTCTAGGGGAAATATTTGGTCCATCTATAATCTCTGCGAAGTGAAACCGTGGAGTAAAAGCTTGGGAGTCTTCTGTTACCATTGCTAGTAAATCCTTTTTTCTGGATTCCACTGCCAATTTAGCTTCAGAAGCGACTGGTTTGTTGAGTTGAAGTTGAAAAGGGAGCACGCAATTGGTCTCGTCGAGGAAGTGGGAAACGGTGTTGTTTTTTATTGGTTTGTGAGGGAGGGGAGTGGTGGCGGTGATGGGATGTGAAGTGGGGTTTTAATTTGTAACCGATTAAAAATTGTAAGTGAGTGAAAAACGCCGTTGCCGGGGATCGAACCCGGGTCACCCGCGTGACAGGCGGGAATACTCACCACTATACTACAACGACTTTGTTGTTCGTTTTTGAGCACGTTTTTATATATAATATCTAAACAAATAAATGTGGGCCACTTTTTCAAAGATAAAAGGAAATGGATAAGGTCGCTTTAAATTAAATTTAAATTTGCCCCCCCCCCTAAGGTTTATGTATTTTTTCAATTTCATCTAAAATTTTTGATTATTTTAATTAGATCCTATGTCTTTAATTTTTTGTTCTCTTCTATGTAAATTTCAATTTCATCTCTACAACGTATGAAATATGTCAATATAATCCAAAAGTTAAGAATAAAAAATTTAAATTAAAAAAATCATTAAAGAAATATATTTTTTCAATAAAAAGATAAAAAATATTTTTTTCTTTAATTCTATCTATCAGTTCTTTGATAATATAATAATAAAATTAATATATAAACAAATATGATAAAAAATATTTTTTAATAAGATGTTTCAATCACTATTGTCGCTACCTCTCAAACACTTTCTCACTAGTACATCAATCTACACTTTTATCTATTTTTTCAATGAAAACTTGAACCGAGTTCTAAAAAATAAAAAATACAACCGAAATCCCATATGAATGGAATTGTAGTTGAGTATAGAAAAATTTTATCATTATCTAAAGCATGATTATTTACATATATCAAAGATGCACTATGAAGACAACATCAAAGAAAGAAGAATGATAGTCGAGAGGAATCATAATGATTACAAAAAAAAAAATAATAATAATAAAAGAGAGATTTAATTTAATTTAATTTTACTTTTGATTTAACCATAGTATTGATAAAGAAAAAAAATGATGTTGTTATGTGAGAATTAAAGTTGGTAGGATTTGAGTAACTAACCCTTTCAAATTTATCATATTTATTTTAATAAAAAAATATTTTCCATTGATTTTCAATTTTCATTTTCATTAATTTTATTTTTATTTTTTTAACTTTTTGAATGATATTTCATTAAATTTTAAAGATAAAATTGAAATTTATGCACTTGACGAAAGTGAACGAAGTAGAAAATTAGAACGAAAGTGAAAGACGTCGAACTAACTGGAACAAAAATAAAAGATATGAGGTCTAATTGAAATAAATCAAAAGCTTTAGATAAAACCAAAACAATATATAAACCTTAAGGGAGTGAATTAAAATTTATCCTAATTTTTCTTAGAGTTTTATCTAATATTTATCCTTGGAGTACATATTAGTCATCTTCTATTTCCAATCATTTGATTTTGATCAATCAACCATTGCTAATTTATGATGTGATAAGAAAATTAAATGCCATCTTTTTAGGGTACAATTTAGAAAAATCCTTATTATAATTATTTTGATTAAAAAATTACATAATTTAGACATTTTTTATACTCTAAATTTTTAATTAGTGTTTCACTTATAAAGACAAGTATAAAAAATTAAAGATAAACAAAAAAAACTCACCACTAAATCAATATTTAGGTTAATTTTGACGAGCCAATGTTGTTTGACAAGTGCAACTTCATAAATTGCTTATTGAATTTGTTTTCCTTGTCTAAATCATCACATATTGAGTTTGCTTCCTTACATTTCAATCTCACTTCCATGGCATTGTGGAGAGTGATTTGATCCTAACTATTTAGAACCTTGGATGAAAGTGAGTGATAGGACATGAATAATGTTGTTTCATAAAGTCCGTTAGGCCAAGTCTTCTCATATTATTAGTCATCATTGTCCAAATACTTGTCTTATTACATGGCAACCTACTTAGGAAACCATCTTCTTTAAAAGACTAACTTAACCATTAGATGTTTCTTTTCCCATAAAAAAGGCTTGTTTTAAAGGTATCATAATTAGTTGACTCACAATCCATGATCTAGCTTATCAATTACACTAGCAAAGGGAAAAACATTTATATAAATCATCAATCGTGGTTCTCAACGTTGTCAATGATGTTCTCTATGGAGACTATTTTAAAAGCTACTTTTTAATTCTCCATACAAGCTTCAAATTTTTTCAATGGCTAAAAACTAGATGACACCAAATTACTATGCTGCATATTATTTTGCTAGTAAAAGTGCTTAACCAAACTTTTCCAATTACAACAACAAGTCCGAAAAGCTAACAAATGCACTTATTGTTATGCGAGTAGCAAATCGAAATCTTATTACTCCATCATCTTCATCGCAAGCTCAACTATGTGAAGTAGAGCATCCACCGTCTACTTATCAAAATCCACACGGGTAATGCCATCATATAAAGGAGTCATGAAAGCATGTTATGGCAAAAGATGGAATAAAAAAATGTCATTACTCCATTAACCCCTAAAAGAGTTGCTCTTATCATAACGATAAATGACCAGCTACTTAGAGCTTTTTGTCAAAAAAAAAAAGAATATGAAAGGTCGAGGCATCTCTAAAATACAAAAGAGCATCAAAAGAGATATTGTCAGCTCATCCTCTCAAATGACTTCGGTTATTCTAGTACCTAATTGCCCATAAGTAGGCAAAAGGTCGTCCACCCAAGTCTTCTTTTGTACTCGTTACATCTTAAATGCCACACTCCATAGGGAATCCATCTCCTTAAAAATAAATCCGGATTCCTATAATGGCCTAACTCGATCCTAGAGAGCATTTTCAAAATGTTAGGAGCTCTTTTAAATTGATACTTTAAGTTACCGTTGCCATATGCAAAGTCCTTTCTATCACTTCTAAGTTTTGAATCTATACTCGGCTTCGAAGACTTGTGCTCTAAACTTATAAATTATTTCTCCATCAAGCATCTCCATCAAGAAAAACTTTATCAATTTGTTCTTTGTTATATAAGAGGAAGCATCGGGGCTTACCTCTCTTGTTTCTATAAAAAAACAATACTTAAAGTAGACAAACTATTGGAAAATGATGGGGTTTACGATGTCAATCTATAGAGAAGACTTTACACCGTTCTCAATAGGACTCATTTCCGAGTCAAAAGAATAATAGAAAACCACATTGAAGTCAAAGAAACAACGAGTCGCTCGACAAGCTTATTTTTAATTTTAACAAATGGATGATGAGAAAATACGAAAAGAAACGTATTCATGAGGCCACTCCAACATAAGAAGGAATCCTAGAAGTTTAATCCAAAATTTGCATAATCTTTTTTCGAATTGCAATAAACCTTTTAAATACCATATAGACAAGGGCGTACATTATTGTACAAAGAGAAAGGAACATAAATCACTCTCTTGTAATGAAAGACCCTCCGTAATTTTATTCCAAAGAAAATGATGCTCTTTTATGAAGAGAATGATCATGATACAAAGAATTACTTTTCTAACATGTAGGAGATAAAAAAATTAATCTCAATGAGTTACCTTAAATGATTTTTAAAGGGAGCTAATAACTTGAATATGAGTCAAAACAAAATAAAGCCTATTAATCATCGGGTTTGATAAAGCCCAACCTCTCTAAACTATGGGCGGGCCAAACTCCATTGCAGGGGTATGGAGAGATAAGGAAGGATGCTAACTAAGCCTAATAAAGCCTCGATTTTTATAAACTACAATCAACCTAAACTCTACCATAAGGTATGAAAAGATGGGAAAACATGTTAGTTGGGCTTGATAAAGCTTGAACTCTAAACCATGCATGACCTTAACTCTATTGTAGGATATGGAAAGACTAGGGTGTACTCAAATCTCGTTATATGGGACAAATACGACTACTAACACAAGATGTATCACCAAATAAATATTCTATAACCATTTTATAATAAAAAAATCAATCAAAAAAGTAAAAACCCTAATTTTCTTTTCACACAAATATTGTTATATGTAATCCTAAGAATCGATGCTCTTACGAAAATCCATTCCTCAAGAAATCTATACGTCTTGAAATTCATGTTCCTTTAGGAATCTATATTTCTTTATGAATCCATTCAATTAGGAATCCATTCTTTTAGGAGCTTAGTTCCTTAAAAAAAACCATAAACATGCTCTTTTAGAAACTAATAATCACATTGCTTTGTTAAAAAAACATTATATGTCTCAAAACAAACTCGTTTTATCCCGAATTGGTCCCTATACGTTTTAATTTTTTTGATTGAGACCTTCTATTATTTTTCAGCTTGATTGAAATTATCTACACTTACAAATTTATTGATTGAAACCCTCCATTATAACTTTGTTAACTCGTTTATCCTATATGATATGTTAATGTTCTTAACAACCAATCACATATTAACACATGGCATAACGGATCTCAAATAACAATATCTCAATCATAAATTAAAAAACATAAAATTCAAAACTAATTTAAATAATAAAATAATAAAAATAATAAAAAGACTAAAACAACCTTACCCATTATTATTTTTAACCTAATTCGAAAAGTCAATCTAGGATGGTGCCATTTTATAGTTGTAGAGGTCTGTGGTTTTTAGGGTTGAAGGTTGTTTCGGTGGGTAAGGGTTTTAGGACGATGGCAAGGTAAGATTTTTAGATAACCGACGAGTGGAGATTTACGATGCTAAGGTGGTTCTTAAAGTTATTGAATTGTTTTTGGGCTATGGGTTTATGTTAATGGAAGAGTAGGCTCGATTGAAGTTATGTAGAAATGGTGTTAAGGAGGTTTTGAGGCTATAATGTTTTAGGATCTGTGAGTTTATGACAATGGAAGAGTGGGCTTGATGGGTGTTATACAAGTTCGAGTTCTGAATGTGTGTGTGTGTGTGTGTGTGTGTGTGTGTATGTGTGTGTGTGTGTGTGTGAGAGAGAGAGAGAGATAAGAGTCTTAGGGTTAGGGATAACGGGAAAGGCCATGTCCATGAATTTGCTTAAAAATGGCTTTAAGGTTATTATCTAGAATATGACTCTATCCAAGTGTAATGAATTGGTGGAGTTTGATACATCAATTGGATAAACTCTTATAGAAGTAGTTAAGAAACACAAACTTATTGTTGTTATATCATTCGAACTTATTGTTGTTTTTTCGATGGTTTTTGATAAAGATGGTGTACTTGAGCAAATTAATAGTGGAAAATTTATATTGACATATCCACGAGTTAATCCTAAAACATCTTCCAAGATCAATGAGGTAATTTCATCAAAGGGAAATGCATTCCTTGCGGCTCTTGTATCGAGTAGCAAGCGACCTTTAGAAATTGGTCCACCGAGTAATCCTTGCTATTGTACATAAAGAATTATACGAGAAAGCAATTCCGGGTTTTGATGTCTTGGGAAGAAGTCTTTCTTCTTAGGGCAAATTAGAAATAGAGCAAAAATGAGAATTGTGGTCAACATGATAATGGGCGATATTATGAATGCATTTTCGGAGGGATTGGTGTTGTCAAAAAGGAGTGGACTTAGCCCTCATGTTCTTTTTCTAGTCTTAGATCTAGGTGGAATTGCTATTCCAATTATCAAGGGAAAAGGACCAACTATGCTCAAAAGCAATCACTCCCTAGCATTCCTCTAAAACAAAGCAAGAGTTTCGTTGGGTTGGATGTATCTTGTCATGAGAGTTTCATGGCATTGTTAGCGATAATGTTAAACAATTAAAGAAAGCAAGAAGTTTCAAAAGCTATTGTCCAGATTGTTATAATAAAAAAGATAATAAGAGTGGGGGTAAATTTTCCTTTATAATTTATTTTTAATTCTAAGTATTAGTTATTAAAAATATTTATTTTTTTAATTCAAATGAACATATTGTATTTTGGAACCTATTTTGCCATGTATCATTCAATGGTTGGTTGTCATGAATAGTAATTTATCACGTAGGATGAACAATTGACGTAGTTATAATGAAGAGTCCGAATCAAAAAATTTTTAAGAGTCAAGGCTTTCAATGAAGCTGAAAAATGATAGAGGATGTTAATCAAAAAAATTGAAAGCTGTACGGGGACCAATTACGAGATAAACCTCAAAACAAACCTCAATTGAAGTGGACGGGATAAGTGAAAGGACTCCATTAAGTCAATCCAACCAAAATAAATTCTATCTTATTTGAGAGTTCTAAAAAATAAAATGTGGATAACGGAATCCCAATCCAATTTGAGAGTTTCAAAAGAACATAGTATAGACAAAGAAATCCCAATCCTTTTTAAGAGTTTCAATGATAACTAAATTCTATCCGAAAGATCCAAAGAAACAAAGTCTAGATAAAAGAATCTCAATCTTTTATGAGAGTTCAAGAGGTATAAAATTCAAAAAAAAAAAAAAACCAAATACTATTTAAAATTTCTAAAGGAAAAAAGTACATATAAAGGAATTTTCACATTGTTTATGAGTTCTAAAAAAAAAAAAGGGTACAAATAAAGGAACCTAAATCTTGTCTTAGAGTTCCTAAAAAACATAAGGTAGACACGAGACTTTAAATCCTTGATAAACCAAATCTCACACTATCTTAGAGGTATATATATAGATTTGGGCCCAAAGGAAGGAATTAATTTATTTTTTTCAATAATTTGTAAACATAGCTCGAACCCCACAAAATTGAGGTAAACAATTATAGGAAAAAAACCCTAGTCTATCCTCACTATATCTATAATTTCTATTATAGATTTTTTAGCACTTAGAGATTCGGGAGGCCTTGAGTTTGCACAAAAGACTCATCACTACCAACATTTGGCCCCTTAGCTTGAGAAGAAGAAAGGGTACGAGGATCACCATCCTTAACATCTAATTCCTCAACCTAAAAAAAGGGAGCTATAAAGTTCACCCTCAATGCATAGCAATTATGTCTTTATTTGGATGAATAAAATGAGGCACTTGTTGCTTTGGATGGATACAAAATGGTGTTCTTTACCAACATATTTTTTTCTCCGTACTAGTGGTTGTTTGAATGGGGAAAAACACTTTAAAATCTAAGACATGTGCACCATGAAAGATTTGAGAAAGATCAAAATCTATCTTTTTAGCCTTGCTATAAAAATAGACGTCTCTAAAACATTTTATAATCCTATCATTAGATGGAATGATCAATTTGACGATCCTATAGAACATCTTGAAAAACTCCCAAGAGTCATTCTCCACTTCTTTCAAATGGGCAACCTCTCCGATAATTATATCCTACTCTTGAGTCATAAGCTGTCATGGCCTTATTTAACTTTTCACCTTTTTGGCAATAAATTGTTCCAAAGCCATAAAGACATGTAGAGCCACCTCTGTCTGTTTTTTCCTTTAATAGTAGTCAACCTCTTTGCCCCAATAACCTCTTTATCTTTAAGAGTCTTATGAGTTTTTTTTCTTCTTTATCTTTTCCCTCAACTCACTATAAGAAATATAAAAAATAAAAAATATATCTCATTCTTTAATATAAAATAGGTTGCCCAAAGCTTGTGACATACCTTAGCAATCTTAAATATCTTTTTCTATTCAATCTTCCAATTATGAAAACTATAAAATTGCATTTAAGCGAGCTTATAAAGGAAGTCAAGTCCATATTTGACAAATAAAATCAAAAAATAAAGAAAGGAGAGATTACACTTATAACAAAGGTCAACTGCATAACTTTTGTCATATGCCCGAATGTAGGATAGTTTGCCTAAGAAGCAACATCCTCGGAGAGCATAGAAAGATATTCGAGCATGTATGAGCAATATTCTTTCCCTTATTCCCCCATAAAATGGCATCATTTCCAAGAAGTTTTTCCTCATATAGAGCTATTTACGTAATAAAAAAGGATTTAAAACACGAGCAAAACAGATTTATGGTTTACTAGTAGAGCTTTTTCTACTTTTTTTTTTTTATTGGATGACATGAGAGTTGAAAAGCTTCATCGGTTAAGGTAAGGACCCCAACATATGGTGGCATGACCAAAGCCTCTATTTGATTGGTGACATGTATAGGTATAAGTTGAAGCTTTAACTATTATTTGGGTGGATTTTTAATAGTGACAACAACTAGATCAACTTTTTATCTCTTACGTATCCTATCCTTTTCTTTCCTCACCTAGTACTCTTTTAAGTAGACACATGCGATCAAGAAAAGGAAAGACTTGGTTTAAAAGATCTTTTTTGGTCTTCACCCCGATGACAACGAGAGGGATAGTCTATTAAGACCTAAATCCATCCTTCCTAAGCGACTCACATGATGGGCTAGAAAGACTTACACTTGCGGCCAAAGTAACAACTCTCTCTCTAACCCTGTGTTTGGATATTTCCTCTTGGGAGGAAAAAAAGAGAGGAAAGAAAATTATTTTTCACTTGTTGTTCGGATAAGAGTAGAAATGAAAGGAAAGAAAGTATATTTTCCTTGTTTGGATAATTGTAAAAAGAGGAAGGAAAGAAAATGTATTATTATATATTTACTATAATACCCCTATAATTACATTTCTATATTTAAATACTTATAATAAATTTGTATAAATAAATTTATATGAATATTTTTTTATTAAAATTACACAAATGATAGTAAAATAAAAATCTAGCATGTAGTATCTAAGATTGCGTTCTTTAATGATAATAATTTTGATATATTAATGTTAAAAATATCAAAAAGTATCTTAAAAAAATATCAAATTAATGATAACATATTTTTATAAAAGCATATGCATTGCATTACCACATATATTTACTCTATTTTACCTCAAATTAAAGAAAAAAAAAACTATGTTACGGGGTGAAAAGCACGTGAAGAAGTAGATATTTTTTAGGATATGGAAAAGGATCGTGCCCAAAACCGATGTAAACACCAACCACAAAATATTACTTGGACTCACATAGAGCTGAGTAAGACACATGTGAGTAAGGGTAAAAACGTAAATGAAAAAAAATGTTAAGCATCATGGTTTTCTCCCACTTTCCTCTTAATTTTAGGAGGAAAATGGGGCCCACCAAAAAGACATTTGTTTAATATTTTTTTTTCTTTCCATTTATTTCCTCTCCAAACCAAACGGAGGAAAACTTTCCTTTCCTTCCTATTTTCTTTCCTCTCCTTCACTTTCCTTCCTATCCAAACAAGGGGTAAATCTCTCTAGACTAGCTTCTTCTTCTAATGCTCAACTTATTACAAAAAGAAAAAAGTTAATACTCTTGTAATTAAATCACAATTTCGAAATAGGGAAAGAAATAAAGTTGGCCTATCTTCCCTTTAAATTATGAGCCAAAGACAATCCCTTGATTAAAGCCGACTTTATAACTATCATATTTAATCTTTACATGATCTTAAAAGTACTAGTCCGTATAGATAGTGAAAAGACCGTATTACAATCGTTACTAGTTTTTCACTAGAAAGAAGCACATCTCTACACTTTTCAAGTTCCACTTAGAGGCATAGGTCCTCTAAACCTCATTATAATTTTATTTTATTTTTTTCCCCTCTAATCTCCTATAATATTAGCTTTACCCATTAAAACTCCTTCTAGTGGATTAATTTTTTTTTATATATAAAAAATGCATATACGGAACAATCTTTTCTTTCTTTTAGAAATCCTTTCTAAGAGGTAACAATGCTCGAAAAGCCCGAATGAAGAAACACTCCCAAACTCTTAAAGAAAATCATTATAGTCCATCTATTCCTGTGATTATAATATTGAAAAATCTTTATTGCAAACTCGTAGAGAGAAAAATTATAATTAAAATTATAATCATAAGTGAACACGAACACATGTCTAGTTATCTTTAGGTTCCCCCTTTTCTTGGCTGATTGTTTGTTAATTTTGTCATTTTAATAAGGGATAAGGGTGAAGTATTCTCACCTCAAATGCTTGTAGGAAACAACCAGCCTTTTTATGGTTACCTCACTAGGTGTTCATTGATAAGGACAAACCTAGATATACTTACAACCTTAAGAAGAGAAAGTACTATTTCTTTAATACGATTCACTTTCTTTCTCTTAGAAAATCTACTTGAAGAAACTCCGGATTCACTCTTAGCTCTATCTAAATCTACAATCTTTAATGAAGAAAGAAACAAACTGATTATTTAAGGTCGATCTACAAAAAAAGAAATTGATCATTGGAAAAATAGAAACGTTATAAAAATAGTACTTTTTCTTAATATAATCACCGGTTCAATGATAAATATTACCTCAAAAAATTCATAAATACTCCTATAAAAGGATTTATGGATAAGAATTTCTAAGAAAAAACTCTCACAATATGTTAAGAACTCGCTCATGTTAAAGATAAAAAGAAAAATAACAAAATAATGATAAAAGTAAAAATGAAAGAAAAAAGAGGCTCTCTTGCTATTTATAGGCTCAAACACACGAGCTCTAACTCTAGATCACCTAAAAGCCCAAACGTACTTGGCAAGCCTTATATAGCATGACCCATCATGATAGACCACCCATGCCATGCAACAAATGACGTGGATAAATTTTGATAGGAATTGATAAATTTAAAAGACCCGATCCTCTCATATTCTACAAAGTATCCACTCACAAATGATTGATGATCTTCCTTAGAAATATATAGATACCGATGTGGTAGATAATAAATGACTATAATTAAAATCCTAATTATGATAAGTCAAATAAAGTATGGATAAATTGATCTCTTAGTCACCCCATACACCAAATCAGTCTTTACAAAATTATATTTCTTAAGAATGAGGGAGGTAAGCGATTGAACATGAAATTCGAGCTCTCATACAAAGCCTATGAGGTTGGGTCTTCTCATAATTATAGACCTTTTTTTCCTTATGACCTCGCTGACCACTTGGGTCCATTTACATATGACATCCGATAACACAAATATTGATTTAGATTGGAGAAAAGACTACAATCCTTTTAAGCTACTTCTAGAAGACAAGTCTGGATGGTTTTATCTCAAACAACATGCCAAACGATTAATTCTAATCCCATCAATATGAAAAGGACATATCGAGTATCTATATAATGAGAGTAGGAAACTAAAATTAACTCTATCTAACCAATGATAATTATGACACGTCATACTTGTCCTAAAACGAGTCATGTCAACATCAAAGATATTTTTTATTAGGTGAACAATAGAAACTTATGACCTTAATGAAATAAACCATTATATCCCTTTCTCTATTCAACTTGACAAAGCCATTAACTATATAAACAATATAAGAGCGTAAGGTTTTAGGTTTTGGATGTCCGAACTCAACTATTATTCATCATCGTCATCATCTAGATCATGTCTTATTATATACTAGTCTATTTATACCACCATCTCTTTCAAAGTGTTAATTTAACCATTGAAGTATCTTCTTATCGACAAAGGACTTGTTTTTACAACTATCACAACCCGTTCGCTCATAATTACCATCTAACTCATTCATTAAAAAAAAAAAACCTTCATACACATAATTAATTGAAGTTAACAATCTTGTCATAGAGTACACAAAGCTTACGAGATTGAGTCTTCTCATAATTATAGACTTTCTTCTTTATGACCTCATGGCCAATGGGTCCAACTACACAAGACATCCAATAATACAAATATTCATTTAGATTAGAGAAAAGACTACAACCCTTTCAAGCTTCTCCTAGAAGACATGCTAGATGGTTTTGTCCCGAATAACATGCCAAACGATTGATTCTAATCCCATCAATGTGAAAAGGAAATATCAAGTATCTACTTAATGAGAGCATACAACTAAAATTAACTCTATTTAATTAATGATAATTATGACGCGTCATACTCTCAAAACGAGTCTTGTCAATATCAAAAATATTTTTCATTAGACGAACAATAGATACTCATGAGCTTAAGGAAATAAACCATTATATCCTTTACTCCATGCAACTTGACAAAACTATTGACTATATAAACAATATGAGAGCTTAAGGTTTATGTTTTATATTTTTGAACTCAACTATTATTTATCATCATCATCATCATCAACTAGATCATGTCTTATTTTCTCTTTCAAAATGCTAATTTAATAATCGAAGTATCTTCCTACCTATAAAGAACTTGCTTTTGCAACTATCACAATCAGTTTGCTCATAATTTACTATCTAACTCATTCATTAAAAAAAAAAAAAAAAAAACCTTCATACACACCATCAATTGAAGTTCACAATCTCGTCAGAGTATATGGCTATCCAGTGGCCCAGAAAATCATGCAATACTCCTACTCTCCAATGCCCACAAATCATGCATTAAGACCTTGTATACACCGACTATAATAGCAGTAAAAAATAAAATGTTAGAAGTGATAATTAGAACATGCCTCTGATGATCACATTGCCCTGAACACTGAAAAGGTTCCATTAGCATAGAGTATATTAGCATCTTTCGTTGACATCATCAAGGGTCAAAAAAGAGCAAAACATGTACAATTGACTTTATCCTGCGCTGTACACAATTTGTCGCTCCCGATTTGGTCCATTCCAGGTCCCTAAATTAAAGACATCAAAAAAGATGGTGAAAATTTCTATTGTGTCAATTCAAAAGAAAAAAAGGAAACCAATTAGAGGTATACACGTATTTACAGGAAAGAATTTGTAGTGCGTCTTAGGTGGTAAGAGTAGTACTCATGCAATCATTGGCTGATCAAAACCTCAACTCAAGCTGAAACTCTAATGTTATTTTTTGAATTGATGAATATTGTAAAAAAAATTGATTATTTGGTTGGTTAATCATTGGCTAACATGCAATACGATTTTGTTCCTTGTTACAGAGGAACAGCTGGGCTTTTGCGCCTTAAGGAGTTTTCATTAGAGAACCCAAATGGATGGTAATGGCGATGACCAAAAAGGTTTTGCCAAAAACTGGAGGATAAAACGCTGCCTCAAATTGCAGAAAACCAATATATGTTGATGTTTAACGGTCAACAAGAGTCAAAAGATTCAGTTATATGTTCTTAAGGACTAATTTATTTGTGCATTTAAAATATAGGGACTAAATAAGATTCATTGAAAAATTCTTGGCTCTTAGCGCGATGACTGTAATTTTCCAAAATAGACACAGAGAAAAGGTAGTGGAGGTAATTAACTCCAGAATATATTTATTATAAATCCAAAGTTTTCCGTTTTAAAATTAAATAAAAACAATCTCAAACCTTGGGCTAGTTTCTTGCTGTAGCTAAGCAGTGAAAGAGAAGGTGGGTAATGCAATGGAGAAATCGGATAGGATAGCAGCGGCGACGGCGGCGAGAGGCAAGAGATTTCTTGATTCAGGCTCTGGTGATGATGAAGGCCAGCCTGATAGAAAAAGACCTGCTTTAGCTAGGTAAAATAACTTTTTTTTTTTAATATATTAGCTTTAATTTTTTTTTTTTTTTTTAAATTTTAGTAACCAATTGTTCAGTTACTGGTAGTTTGGCAGTTACGAAACTTTGACTTCAGGTCTTCAAGTCAAGCTAGTATTTAGCTTCTAGAGGAATCTACACAAACTAGGAATTATCTTTTTTATTATTAAAAAAGATTGCATTTTAAGAAAAAATGTATGTTATTTATTTATTTATTTTTTAGCCTTGCATTGGTTCCAATTTGTTCGAAGAGAATGAAATGAAGGTAATTTTTAAGTTTAAATTGTATCTTGTTGGGTTTGAAGTTGTTTATTGGTTGAAGCTTGAAAACCCAGTTGAAATCGTTCTGAGAGTTTTTGAATTTTTTGGCAGTGTGATTGTTGAAGCTCTAAAGATGGATAGTTTGCAGAAACTTTGCTCGTCGTTCGAGCCTATTCTTCGTAGAGTGGTAGGATAAATTTACGTTCCTCGACTGTTTTGTTACCCTCTTTCAATTATTCATGTTTCTGTTTTTTATTTACAAGATCCTGAAAGATTGATTTAATTGTAATCCAGTGTTTGTCTATACACGCTTGTATGTGTGTTGAAATGGTATCTCTAGACAAAAACATAATATCTTAATTGATTTGCTCATGCAGTAAACGAAGGTCTCTCACTTATTGAATTCATACATTTCTTGAACATTAAGCTTTTGGAGATTTTCTTATACTTTTTAACATCTACAATGGTGAACAGGTTAGCGAAGAGGTAGAGCGTGCTTTAGCAAAACTGGGACCTGCCAAACTTACTGGACGGTAAATGATATTTTCTGTTCTCTCCGTGTTAATAATGCTCAAAAGGCACCTTTTTCCTTCAACGTGCTGTGGTATAAATAAAGTTGCATGTTTTCATTCATATTCAATAATTAGATATTCAGTCCATCTAAAATTTCATTGCCAGAGAATTAGGTTTTTCGTTAAGCTTTAAAGCATGCTGAATTTATTTGACATTTTCCCCACATGATTAATGTATAATGGGACGGAGTTCCTTATATCAGATGCCTGTTCCACCTTTTCAACAACTCAATTTCTAGGAATTGGGGCGGAGCTTTACATCCTTGTTTTCATGATATAGAGAGAATTATTGTACTAATGTTTAAGACAATGCAGGTCTTCTCCTAAACGTTTAGAAGGGTCTGATGGAAGAAACTTGCAGCTGCACTTCAGATCCAAGTTGTCCCTCCCTCTCTTTACAGGTGGGAAAGTAGAAGGGGAGCAAGGTGCTGCTATTCATATTGTGTTAATTGATGGAAACACGGGCCATGTTATCACATCTGGTCCAGAATCCTCGGTAAAACTAGACGTTGTTGTGCTTGAAGGTGATTTCAACGATGAAGATGATAGTTGGAATCAAGAGGAATTTGAATCTCATGTGGTTAAAGAACGTGAGGGCAAGAGACCACTTCTAACTGGGGATCTGCAAGTGACACTGAAAGAAGGTGTTGGAACTCTAGGTGAGCTGACATTTACTGACAACTCAAGCTGGATAAGGAGCAGGAAGTTCAGGCTAGGGCTGAAGGTTGCATCAGGCTATTGTGAAGGCATTCGCATTCTTGAAGCGAAAACAGACGCGTTCACTGTTAAGGATCACCGTGGAGAATGTGAGCTTATAAATAGGACCAGAACTTCAGATTTCATTTGTGTGTGTGTGTGTGTGTTGCGGTATGTGGTTGTGTTGTTCTGTCTAAAAGATTCTAAATCTGCATTTGTTGCCCCATAGTATACAAGAAGCACTATCCACCGGCATTAAATGATGAGGTTTGGAGATTGGAGAAGATTGGAAAAGATGGACCCTTCCACAAGAGGCTGAATAAAGCTGGAATAAATACAGTTGAAGACTTCCTACGCCTAGTAGTTAGAGACCCACAGAGGTTGCGGACTGTAAGTATGCAGTTTGGTTGTCAAATTATATTCTAATTCACATCTTGGTTTTAATTATTTTTCTTTTCCATCATTCTAGACCCTTGGGAGTGGCATGTCAAATAAAATGTGGGAAGCTCTTGTTGAGCATTCAAAGACCTGTGTTCTGAGAGGGAAATTTTTTATCTACTATCCTGATGATGCAAATAATGTTGGTGTTGTTTTTAACGACATCTATGAATTAAGTGGCTTAATATCTAATGGACAGTTCAACTCAGCTGAATCTCTTCCTGACAATCAGAAGGTAAGAAATCTAGGAGTTTTCATTGGCTAGTTCTTGTTTTTGGAATCATCGTTGCATCTCCCATGCATTTGGATGCAATTTTTGTTAGCATTTCATCTGAAAACGAGGAAATAGAAAACAACAGATGAGCACTTAGAAATTTGTGAATGGTGTGGTTCTTGCAGGTCTATGTGGACAGCTTGGTGAAGAAGGCATATGATAATTGGATGCATGTTATAGAGTATGATGGCAAATCCCTTCTAGACTTCAAGCAGAATCAGGGTGCAGTTACTTCTCAAAATGATGTTCCATCTGGTCAACAAGAGTTTTTGAACTTGTATGATCATCAGGTTACTTTGCCTTCCCTACCAGCTCCAGTCCCTTCAGACCAGCTTGTTACGGACTCAGTTCCAGCTGTTGGAGGTACATTCTCAAGTTCAACAAAATCTTTAATATATACATGAACACGCAAAGTGAAAGTTCTTATAATTGCAATGCGGTGTTTGGCAAGTAAATTGTGTTTTTGTTGCTTGTTTAAAGCATATGACCATGTTTCTTTCACAGAAGTCCTGCTGTTTGTTGAAAGCCCTTTGTATTTCATTACTGAGCTTGTTCATATATTTGATTGCTCTGTGAATGCTCTCATCCCTCTCTCTCTCTCTCTCTCTAGGTTATGATGATGGTATGGCTTCCAGATTCTCAATTCATTCACAGAATGGAAATCTGAACACCCCCATTCAATTCGATGCCACTTCATTGCCTTCCCAGAATCCTCTGGGACCGAACCATTTACTTTCTCTTGGCCCACCACAGTCTTCTTCATCAGGCTTTCAGGCTTTTGGCTCATCGAATCTTAATTCATACACGGGAACAGAGGACTTCTTCTCAGAGGAGGAGATTCGTACGAGAAGTCATGAGATGCTTGAAAATGAAGATATGCAGCATCTTCTTCACGTATTTAACATGGGAAACCAGGGCATTGCCTCCTTCAATGTCACTGAAGATGGGTATCCTTACTCATCGATGTACATGCCCACCCCATCTCCAAATTACAGCCTTGGTGATGATCCATCTCGTTCATCAGGCAAAGCTGTTGTCGGATGGCTGAAGCTCAAGGCAGCCCTGAGATGGGGCATCTTTGTCAGGAAGAAGGCTGCTGAGAGGCGAGCGCAGCTGACTGAGTTAGATGATTCTTAGATAGCCTCTGAGTCAACATTGATCTTTTGGTGTTGATAGTTTTACTGCATAATTCCTGAATCCTAACTAGAGCTGGCACTGTTGTTTTGGACTCCTATCAGGTAGGGTCCTTTTGTTCAAGGTCCTGGTGCTCTTAAATATTAATCTAGATGCGAAGATCTCTGTTTGTACAGTAAGCTAGTAGGTTCTACGTTAATTAGTCTGTGGTCAACAAAATAAACTGTGTATTTATTCTTCCTTTGTAACATTAAAATGTAATTGCTAGTGCTAGTGGTTGAATTGCCACATCAAAAACTCAATTCAGGAAAACCTTTTTTTTTTTTTTTACTATTATTTTTTCAATTGAAGACGCTAGTCTTCATGCTATGAAATAAATACGAAATTGTTCATTACCAATGCCAAAGGAAAAGCTGGCCTATTCGATGGAACAGCAAACTGAAACCCTGCTTCCTTTATTCCTTTCGAGGAATTTTTATTTGAACCCAGATAAATGGTTATTGTGAAGGCGTATTGATGATATAAAATTTGGATGCGCGATCATCTGTTTTACAGACACTATAATTGATTACTATGTAGTTAATTGAGAATTAGTACAAAATTGACGCACAGAAATAAATATAAATAAAATCAAATTCGTAGATCAGAAGTTGTTCTTAGCAACAAGGTTTAATTAAATTCACCGAATGGGGCGGGAACTGGGGAGAGAAAGGCAGTCACTCTGTGTCTGGAACTTCCTCTTCGTCTTCCTCTAGGATGTAGACCAAGGCTCGCTTTCTTGCAGCAAAAACACATGCAACACCTCTGGATGCTGTCGCAGTAAATTTTGAAATAAAAAAGTTTCAAGACATGCGTCCAACTTTAAGCTTAATTTATATTATCAAAGAACAATGCAACCAAAACAAAAGGTAAGTTCTGAAAGGAGAGAGCATTCAGATGTCACGAGGAGTTAAAATGTTCATAACTGTTTTTTTTTTCTTTCGTCTTACCAAAGCAGATATAGAAAAAATATATATGTTAATGCACAAATATACATTCTAAATATCAAAACAATCTTTTATTAAGATTATCAGTGGCATGATGAATTCACCAGATATTACCCTTAAAAAGCTACCAGCTATTAATAAACTTCAAAAAACCTAAGGAATGGAACTGTGAGAGAGACACTTACCACTAACTGCCAAGGGAGCAATTACGGAGTGAGGAATATTGCGAACTGTTTCGTTCTCCATTTCCAGGCGCACAGCAGAATCCTAATTGTATTATTTCTGGGTGAGAAATTGATACAAATGAAATTTGGAAATATATAAAGAAAAACGAGCAGTGACAGGATTCCTTGATGGAATTAACTTCTTACAAATAATTAATACTGTTGAAACAAGTTAATAAAGATGAAAATTAACCACAGAAAGCATAAATTTCAAGACGATAAATAAGAAAGTTGATGTGATAAAATTACAAAAGCAATGCCAAAAGCATTTAGGCTTGAAAGAAACTTTAAGTTCCACAAAAACTCAATGAATTATGTGGGAAGAAACAGCATCAATATCAAACAAGTGGTCACTAAGAACTATTGAACTAAGAAACTTAAGCACGAGACAAAACAAGAGACAGATTTCAAACACAAGTCAAAACCACAAAATTTAGTTTACAATGACACAGGGATTTCAAAGTAACTTAAGCATAAGATGAACAAATAGAAAACTTCAGATGCATGTCAACTACAAAATTCAGAAAAGATGCAACACTAAAAATATCTGTCTGTACAGACTGTATGTCTGTAATCAATCCAGAAGATGCTGACTAGAATAAATGGCATAAGGTACCTTCAATTGATGCAAGTTCCATAAGTTTAGGTCAGTGAATCTTGAAATAGATATAAATGGAAGCTCGCTAGCTTGTACAGTCATCATACAGGCATCTCCAGAACTTTCAGATGAGGCAGATGCCCCATTTAACAACAAGACGATCTGACTATCCTGGTTTCAGCCAAAACAGTTAAAACACATCCCACAGAAATTAAAAGAATAAGACTAAATGCTGTAAAGTCTAAGGTCCCACCTTATATAAAGAGAGATCCACGCAGTCATAACCAGAAGGAACACACAACAGTACGCCTTCCAATGAAGTGTGACCATTCTTTGAACAGCTCAAGTCATGCATAAATCCTCTCATTATGCCTATACAGTTTGCAATATCTGAAAATGGCTCATTGGGTACTTGGAAGCATATGTAGTCGACAAAACTGTGTTGACATGTCTGATGAGTGGAAACAGCTTGAGAAGCATCCTCAAGAAGGGGAGAAAAAGAAAAAAGAGACAAAAAGGTTAAAATCAACAAGGCCATTCAAATATACGGCACAAAAGATGTCACTTCAACTGCTTTCAACAAATTGGGTTAATTGACCAGTATCCATACACACTAGGATTTACTCGGAATGGCAAAATCCCTTGTGCATCTGGAACTGATGGAAACAACGTTTTTTATCATTTGCGCAATTAGAAAGTTCCAATGAATAAAAAGAAAAAGAAAAATCCCCCATGCATTGATGAAAATGTACCTCATAATATGATATTGACAAGGGAATTGCCATAGATACAGATGCTGGTGAAGATGGAAGGGGAAACAGTGGCAGCAAGTCCTCACAAAGCATCTTTCTTGATATGGTAGTAAAGGGCATCAGGAAAGCCTCCTTGAAGCTAAAATTATAGAGCCATGAATAAGGAATTTATAGGAATGGCAAAGCATGATATACTCAACAAAGAAAAATATAAACTAATCACTTAATAAAATAGAGAAATCTCACGATACTGTGTGCACACAATTTAGACCCTGCTAATCTACATTCTATTTGTCTGAGAACTTATAATACATTGGCTTGTTCCTCAGCAGTCAACAAGAATTACATCACATTCTAGGATTTTCTTTCCTTTTAGGAAACTTGGAAGTTCAATGAGCCATGTTTGCCATTATAAGATCTCCATAAACATAATTTACTTTTTAACAGATTAGGCAGCAAAAGGATAATAAATAAACATATACCTGTCCTCCATTTGTTGGAATTCTTTAGCCAATGTTCTTTGCAGATACTCACAATCTGAAAATCCCCCAAACTGAACTAATTCCTTAACTCTCTGCATTGTTTCTCTGAAACAGATTTTGCAAATATTAAAAAAAGTGACCACAGAAGTACATCAACATTTGCCTTCATGCATAAAACAAATTATGCAGACTTGCACAATTGAAGTGGAGCACACATATACTGTAATCTAAGCCGGTTCCAATAGAGATAATGAGAAATATGTAGCTCACAGTTATTCTGTTGATCTCTTTAAGAAGCATTGGAAATGATAGTTCATAAACCTGACATGTTTATGGCTAAATAGGTTCCACCTCCCCTAAACATTAACTCATTTGAGAATTAGTCCCTCAACTTCCAATCGAAATCAAATCCCTCTATTAGTTTTGTAGGGTTTCATCCATGTGATAATTGATTTTGCACATAAAATGCACATGACTGATACAATAAAAGAGAGTATTTTATTCAATAAAAATAGTAAAGTACAAAAATATAAATATGATAAAAGAAAAGGCACAATTAGAAGATAAAAATGCAATTTTTTTCTAGCAGTAATGTGACTTTCACATGCAACAATCCATTATCTTATGGATGGAATCCTACAAAAACTAACGAAAGGATTTGACTTCAAAACAATAGTTCAAAGGTCAAATCAGAAATTGGAAGTTGATGAACTAATTCTCAAATGAGTTAAAGTTAAGGGCAGGTGAACCAAATCTGAAAGAAAAAACCAAAAAGAAGACAAGATTTTCAGTGACAACAAAGTGCAAAATAGCAACTATTGTTGAATCTATAACTTACAAGTCAACTTCAATATCATGATCAACTTCCAGCAACTGCTTAACTGGATCCTGATCATATAAGAACTTTAAGAATATGACAACAAGTTCGCTGCCAGACAAAAAGAAGTTTTAAGTACAAAATTTATGTCAGTTACCAGTTGGAATATGGAAAAAGCCTCAAACACAAACCTATTGTATGGAAGAAGCTGGTCACTGGGTTCTTGCATAAGCAGCTTTATACATTTAAGAAGCCAATTGAAGAAATTTGAAAACTGAAGAAAAGAAAGGGGAACTATTAGAATTTTCAACAAAAGGATTTCATAATTCAAGAAAAGAAAGGTCTCTCTCTTTCTTCCCAGTACACCATCAGTTGTTTTCACAAAAAACATAGTTTAGCATGCCAAACAACTGATTACTTTTGTTCAAGACACAGCCCCCCTTTGTTTCTTCAAGTTGAAGACCAATTATTTACCTTATCTACCAACAGCACCAAAAAATTCATAAATAATTTTAGTTCCTCAGTTACAGTACCTGCTGCTCCACGGATGAAAGGACCCTCATAAACCGTTCAATTTGCACTAATATCATTCCAGATTTTTCTGTTGCATTGTTGATGAGCATCTCATCCAAACCAATACCATGGTACCGTGCACGCCATCTGGAAAGGCCTCTTAGTTCTCCCATTCTAAATCCAATAATTTCTGCAGCAGGCTGGGAAATGAAAATGTATCTTTTAGTTTCCACTGAAGCACCTTGGTATAAGAGAATATATTTGTATATGTATATATATCAGGCAGAATGAAATCTAATCACAGAACAACTCGTGAGATGAAAAGAGAAAGCTCATGGAATTTGATGAAATTATGACACGTGACCCATACGTAAACTGGGCAAACTAACAAGAAAATCAACTTTTTTTAGTTTGTTAATAAACGCAGTCAAATGAAATCACAACAAAACAACATAAAGTTCAAGAGATGCTGAAATTCATTAAACAATGCCCAAACTGATGCTCAGGCCATCATCTTTGGTGAAGGCATTCAAAGATATGGAAAGTTAAAATCCAAGGTAAAACCAATGAAGTTAGATTTTTCTTCCTTGCTGATAAGTAGTCCACTATTAAACAACCCTTGAAAAGCCCATGCTACTGATCCTCAATCCACTGGTTGAGGAGACTTCAGTACAGAAACTTCAAATTTTTATGGCTTATATAGGCTTACAAGATTTTAAACAAAAGCACAATCATAGCTTTTTGTGAGTATACAAGCCTTCTTTGACATGCATGGATTTTTTGTGAGCACAACACACTTTTTTTCTGTGACCACCTCATGTATGTATTCACTAAATCAGATTGCATGCCCAAGTGAGTGAATGATTCCAGGGCTTATGAACCCAAATATGAGATATTCCTTAACCCAAGGTACTCAGTGAAGCAAAGTTTGAGCAAGCTAGAACCAGATCAACCACTTAAAGAAAAATAAAATACAGCACCTGACCTGTAAATGATCAAGGACAATGTGCTGAAGCTCTTTTGCTGTACCACAAACGACCTTTAACACACGCTTCACACCCTGTAACTCAAGAAGAAATGAAAAATTAAAAAGCAAGAACCAAAAGCACAAGCCTCTGTTGGAAACAAAAACAATAAAAAACTCTAGCTAAGGCCATACCACTTCACCAAGGGAGTTAACTAGAAATTGATGTACTGCCGGACTAGTCCGAGCACCCCCTAGAAGGCTCAGAAATTCCTCTTGTGGAGAAGAGTCCAGTGCTGTATGCAAAAACTAGAAGTAAATGAATGGGATTATAATACAGAAGGAGGTATAACCAATAGTGGAATCTAGTTTTGTCATACACAGTTACCATGGTCAATAATCAGGGTAGATAAAGAATTGAACTTCTCATGAAATGTTCGCATGGCATCTGACCACTGCTTGCACATAACTGATAATGACGCCCTGATAACTTCAGTTAAGTCTTCAATATTGGAAGCTTGTTGAGCCAACTGATGGAGCTCATTTTTCCTACCATGACAAAGAAAGTGAGAAACTTAACTACAAAGCATATTTTGACAACTTCAAGTAACATTGCAAGCCAAAAAACCAGATCATGTGTATCCCAGCAAGGGTATTCAACTAGGTGATGGATGATAGAGTGGGCAAGAAGAATAAAGGAGATAAAATCCCAAGTGCATGGTTTTGCAGGCAACCTGCAACTAATCCCAGTTCTATGACAAAATTACCTCTTCCAAAATATAGAAGTATCGAGCACTAAGCCATGCATGCCCTGCCCATTCATTTGGCTTTCTCTTGATTCAACTGTGTTTTCATTAAGTTCTCCTGAGCACATGACAATCAAATGACAGAGGTCTTTTGACAGAGCAACCTGATGATAATGAACACAGGAAAATCATCTTGCTTTTGTACGGAAAATTATTCAGCATATATATTGTAGTCCTAAAATTCTAAACTCTTAAGGGTGTCCAAAATGGAAGATGGGCATACCTTGTAAACAGAAGAATTCAAAAGATGACGAGGGGTTTGCTTATCAATAAAGGGGGTTGGAACTGAAAACTTGTGTATATTCTGCATACAATTTTGCAGATATAACAGAATAAACCATATGAAAAAATAAAATAAATTAAAAATTAGGTTATTGAGACAATGGACGTGATACTGAAAGAAAAGATTAATAAGTAATAAAGTAATTCACTGGGTTAATTAACACGCATAGTAACCAAATATTGAACCAACAGGTGAAGAACAAAAACCAGTACGATAGCTACTCAATTATGACTTTTCATCTGATCAAATCTTTAACAGCTAAAGTCAGGGTAATACCAAGGATATCTACACAGCTGAACTTCTAAGAAGGAATGAAATGGCCTAACAGTCTTAACTATAACAACTGATTTGTATCAATAGGCTTATCAAATGGCCCAAGTCGTGTCCTGAGATCCTACATCCAATTATTCATTACCACAAATGACAAATCATGAGCCATTATATAAAATATTAAGCATACTTGAGATAATTTTTCCACAGTTTCATAAGCCCTCAATCAATTCCAAAACAAATGAAAAGTTTCGTTGTTAACAGGAGAGCGAATGATGAACAATGTTCAAATGTTTAATTAAAGAATAGAGGAACATAACTCACAATTTTTCCAATTGGAAATATACCAAATATACTAAAGCATATACTTCCATCTTTATCTCCACTACACAGAATATTAAAACGTTGGTATGAAGAATTTGACAGCTCTCTATATGAATCTTCACTGTCATCCATGAAGCTAGTATCTCCAGACACTACTCCAGGCATCCGAGGGACCCTTGGAGCAGGAGGGAAGAAATGGGAAGTGCGGTCTTCGTATGCTGAGAAGTTGTTAGAGTCATCCTGAAAACCAGTTTAAAAAAGCAACGGAAATGAGAATAAATGTTCCTGGGGAAGAAATCACAAGCTTAAGCCAGATGAAAAATAGCAAGTTGAATGGTAAACTAGCAAAAAATTTGTTGAGCGATCTTGTGCAATGCATGAGAAGTGAAAGACAGCATACTCTAATAACTTGTCCTTCCTCCTCCCAATTAAGACACACAACTGCAACAGTATGAGACTTCAAGCTTCTCAGCAACTTGCCATTCTGGTCGATATGCATTTCCAAGCATCAGAAACCACAATTCAACAAATAATTAAATACCGGCAAGAAAGTTAAATGCAATAACTCATACTTAACTGCTATTTAATCAGCACAACAATCAGAATACATTCTCACATTCAAACAACAAAAATTGAGAGAGAGAGAGGGAGAGATTCAAGTTGGAAATGCTTGCCACGAATAACAACAACAGAAATTGTAAACACGGAAACCAACCTCAACGTCATGCAAAGAAATGGTTCCATCTTCAAGACCAACAGCTATTGCTTTCCCATCCGGCCGCCAACACAATGACGTGATATTCCTTCCTAAGCAAATTCACAAACATCCAACACCAAAAATAATTATAGAAAAACCATTAAACTAGATTAACAAAAAACCTAAAAATTAGGAAGCAGAAATAATTAACAAATTAAAGTGATTCAAGGGAAAAGAACGGTAATTACCAGGGGAGATAGTCCATAACCTCTGCCAATTGAATCGATGGAGTAAAATCTTGGATTCTTCAGTTACCATTGCGAGTAAATCCTTTTCTGGATTCCACTCTGCTATTTTAACCTGAGAAGCGACTGGTTTATCGAATTGAAGTTGGAAAGGAAGCACGCGATCAGTCTCGTCGGTTTCCATGGATAGCAGGAAGAGGTAGACGGTATCGTTTTCGAAGAGGTTTGCGAGGAAGTAGAGTGGTGGTAGTGAAGTGGAAAATGAGAGAAGCAGAGAGGGCGGGCTTTTTCTTTGGGGCTTTTAATTCATAACAGATTGAAAATTGTAGAGTAAATAAAAAAGGTAAAATCGCCGTTGCCGGGGATCGAACCCGGGTCACCCGCGTGACAGGCGGGAATACTCACCACTATACTACAACGACTTTGATGCTTCGTCCTTTCAGAATGGCTTGAATTATATAGTATTACATGATGAGCTTTTCTGGTTAGATTTTCAAGACTTGGCTGACTCAATAAGTGGAACTGTCACTTAAATAGCAAAGCTGAAAGCTTATGATCATGACATAAATATCTAAATTTTGATCGATTGCTTTTGGAATATCTTTTAACTAATAACATAAATTGTGTTTCAGTATTTGGATGGAGATATCTGAAACATTTGGCTAAATTAATCTTACAACTCAAACAAGCCTTTAACTGCTAATGCCTTCATTGTTTTTCAATTAACATCCTAAGAATTTCAGCAAAGAAGAACAACAAAACCAAAATTATATATTTCCACTAGTAAATCTTTAAGCTATCTCTTTCCAATATTATAGATAATTCCCAAATTTCCTTTGTTCCTGGCACTCTTATTACGGATAATGCTTTACCAGCTTTTGAGGTTTTTCGTGTTATTAAAAATAAGAAAAAGGGAATAAAGGTCGCTTAGCTCTTGAATTTGATATGAGTAAGGCCTGTGATATAGTAGAATGCATTAGATTTTCTTAAAACAGTAATGATTAATCTGGGTTTTGATGCTGGTTGGATTCTTTTAATAATGAGATATGTTTCTACTGTCTCCTATTCTGTATTGTTCAATGGGGTGCCGGGAGATTTTTCTTCCCCTAATGAGGTTTACGACAAGGAGATCCTTTGTCTCAATATTTGTTTTGTTTATGTGCAAAGGGTCTATCTAGCTGTTTAAACAAGAGAGAGAGAGAGAAAAAGAAAAAAAAAAGCTTTTTTAAACAACCAGAAAGGGAAGGCAATCTCCATGAAGTTTCATTTTGTACGAGGGAACCACCTAGCTACTTCTCATCTTTTTTGCGTAGGCGACAAATTGTTCTTCTCTCGTGCCAATATCCAGGAGACTGAAAAAATCGAGTATTTTGCAAAGCTATGAAGATGCCTCTAGTCAAAAGATTAATTTTGAAAAGTCCGAGCTCTCTTTTAACCGAAATGTTCCTAATGGTATTCGATCTTTAATCAAAGGGAGGACGAAGGTTAAGGTGTTGGAGAGCCATGACAGGTATCCGGGGCTTCGTATGGCTATTGGAAAATCAGAGAAACAAGTTTTCTAGCTTGTTTAAACAAGCAGAAATTGAAGGATGGCAGGAGACCTCATTATCGATAGCGGCCAAGGAAGTGATGATCAAGTCAGTCATTCAGTCCAATCCCACATACGTTATGAGCTATTTTCTACTTCCTATTGGCCTTGCAATGAATTGAAGTCCATTATAGCACGGTATTTAGAGGGAGCAGATAGGCGATGAAAGGAAGGTTCCCTGGACAAGATGGTCGAAGCTGTGTTGGTCCAAACAAAAGGGTGGCCTCGGCCTTAGGGATTTCCACTCTTTAATTTAGCAATGTTAGCTAAAAAGACTCATGAAGAATCCAACTTCTATTGTTTGCAAATTACTTTCAGCCAAATACTTCAAGGATGGTTCTTTCCAGCTGGCTTCTTCGAAAGAAGGAAGTAGCTATTTACTTGTGGAGTAGCATTATGGAAGGAAAAAGTGTACGTAGATGGAATGAAGCCCTTGCGAAGCAAGTTTTTATGCCTTCTGAAGCTCAACAAATCGTCCAGATTCCTTTTAAGCTTTAGAGCACCACGTACAGTACTGTTTGGAATCACACAAAATCTGGTCCTTACTCTGTCAAAATTGGATACCATGTAGCTTTGAACCTGAAAGTTAATAAGGGTACGGGTTCTAGTGATATTAGCGATAAGGAGAAGGAGATTTGGAAGAGGGTGTGGTGCTTTTCGATTCCGCTAAAATGTAAGCATTTTCTGTGGAAAATTCTACAGAATTCTTTACCTACAAAGGAAAAATCTTTTTCGAATAAATATTGTCGATTTATCATATTGAAAGGCTACAAACGCTTAGGACTGGTTTTGGGACTCTCTGTTGAAGCATGATGACTCTGTAGCTGAGATTGGTGGTTTGATTGCTTGGTCGTTATGGTTTGCCCGCAATTCATTCATTTCGTTTTCAACACAAGGACATGACAGTGCAGGTATGGTTAGAATTGCTTTCAACACATTGCACAAATTTTCGAGAAGCTAATGCTGGTGGTGAATCCTCTAAGGAACGATATCGCAATCCACAGATTACGGCATGGCTGGCTTCTCAAGGTGTTTCGACATAAATTCATGAAACAGATCCAACCTAATTGTGTCGATCTAAATTCATGAACCAACAAAAGAAGAAAAACCTAAATTCAGGAATCGAAAACGTAATTGTTTCAAAATAAGTTTATAATGAAGGTTTGGAATAAAATAAAGGGAAATAGCGCCGTTGCCGGGGATCGAACCCGTGTCACCCGCGCGACAGGCGGGAATACTTACCACTATACTACAACGACTTAATTGAGAGGTTGAGCATTCAATGAAACTAAAAAAGCTTTCTCTAAAATATATTGTCAAGAGATTTTTTATTTTTAATTATTAGAATAAAGTAGTATTTGAATACATAATATATATCTATAAACGGTTGTGTTTTCCTTATAATTTTTTTTAATTATTTTATTTTTTGTACTTGATGTTATTCTCATAGATTGTTAATCCACTTCAATGTTACTCATTTCTAAATTACCCTCATCCTTAATAATTATAGTTGCATTTTATTTTGAAATTTTAAGATTAATTAAATTATTATTTTAACTAGGTATAAGAAATAAAAGTTCAAGTAAAGTCAAAAAGTTTATTGTACATAAAAGACAAATAACTGATAATTAAGTAATTTCTCTAAAAGTTTAACTATCATTTTTTAAATACAATCGAATATCAATATTGCATTGCAAAAGAGAATATGAAATTTATACATGTACTAGGTTTATGAAACCATTTTTGCACAATACTAAAATATATTATATAGATTAAAGCTCTACAAAAATAGGATATCCCTGGAACCAATCTCTCTAAATAACATAATTAAGAAAACTGAATTATAATTAAATAATACAAAAAAGATGTTATTATAGATAATAAGGAACAAATAGTTATATTGGAACAAATTAAGCATGATGATGAAAAAAAAAAAGAATAAAAGAGTGAAATTTAAATGTACTTGTCATTAGATTGGGTGAAATTTAAATAATCCGTGGGTGATTTGGTCTATTTTTGTAAGGAGAAAACAATGCTTCTCAAAAAATAAAATAAAAAATTATACGGAAAGATATATCCAAATTTGGTCCAATTAAGTATATGCACAATGAAATTGAATTGATAGTGTCTAGCTCTAACTTTCTAATATTCATATATATTCATTTTTAAGGGGTTGTTTGATACCATTAATTTGCCATTTTCGTTTAGAAACAAAAAACGAAAATGACAAACTGCTTAAAAGTTTTTATTGCTCCACTATTGTAACCTTGATGTATCTTTGTTATCTTCTAATATTCCATGAGTTTTCTCTTTTCATGTCACGAGTTGATGATAAGGGTACCGCGTTGGGAAATATTGTTTTACCATGCAATGGTGCCATAGGATTGAGCCAACCTTGCTTTCTTCTTTCGACTGCTGCGTGTGCTGGAGACTTTCCTTCTAGCTTTTTAAGGTAATCAACATCATTTGACATATCCTCCATAAGACGAGTGAGCACATGGCTCTCCTGGTAATTCCTACTCTCGACTGCAAGATACAAGGGAGACTTATGTTCCTTGTTCTGGTATAGGAAATCTCCGACAATTCCAAAACCATAAATTTGGCCACATCCTTGTGGCAATTAATGACTGCCTCATGAAGAGCAGTGTTTCCTTTGTTATTCTTCATCTTCATAGAGTCAGCTATCTTGACGATGCTTTCTCGTGCCGGACTTTTTAGCTTGTTGTAGTAGTTTCCTTCTGTCCAGCTCTCGCAGCAACATGAAGTGCAGTATCATCCAGGAAGTTAATCTTTGTGATTAGAAGCGGAAATTCCTCAACAAGTTTTTCCGTGACTTTTCGGCTTCCATGGCTTGCTGCAACATGAAGCAGAGAATTTCCAGAAGGGCTAACCAGTTTTAATATGATGGATGATGGTTTCCCTGATGAAACACACCCCAGTTTTTCAGATAATTCATCATATTTGTCTTCTGCTGCGTACTTGTACAACTCATCATCCATCATCTTATCTGACTCATCATCTGGTAGATGTGCGGCGGCAGTACCTTGTCCGTCTATGTCTATCGATACTACCATAACTCGAATTATGAAAACGTGCAGCTCTGCAAGCTGATGCAGAAGTGCAGGGGCTCGCCATCATGGAGCCTAAGGAGGCCAACCGTCATCTACTGAGTGAGCCATCATCTCTTGGTCGAAAGGGTAACGCTGGTGCTAATGATCCCGGGGGTACCCTTGCTTCAGAGAAGGACAACGCTGACACGGAAACTAAAAATGGCAGCGACAATTCTAATGTTGTTGATGATGAAACAAACCAAAGCCATGGCACCAACGGAGGTCAATCATCCACCATAGCACATCACCATTATCCAGGACGTCACTATTATCCGGATGGCGCTTGAGAATTAAAGCCAGTACTGAAGCTTGATTATGAATGTAAACCTTAATGGGGTGGGTTCTGTGATGTTAATAAAGTGGAAGCAAACATGTTTGTAGCCACGGCAACACAGTTTGTGTGTGGTATTGTTTCCTGGGAAATAGCAATCATCAATTTCTACTAAAGATAGTGTGTGATATACAAGTCTGGCCCTTAGGCCAAATAATATTATTACATGCAGGGAATTAAGAAGGCCATGGCTACTGCTTTTTTATTTTTGATAAACCAAATCATAATATCGAAGTTCCGGATTGAAAACCAAAGTGGTGAAGAGAAAAAAATATAGCAAACAACATGCAGCGGCAAAAACAAGAAGTATCAATATCTAAAACTGAAAAAACAAAAGTCAAAAGAAAGAAAAAGCTTAAGACTTAAAAGCCAAAGCCGTCATCCCACGTAGGGATGTTTGTTCGATAATTCGGTTCGATTTTAAATTTTTTTGATCGATTTTCGATTAATCAAATTGTCTAGAAAAATAACCGAAATCGAATCAAATTGTTATTCGGTTTTTCGATTCGGTTTTGAAATATATCGATTTTTTTATTCGGTAATTCGGTTTTTATCCGTAATTATCTATACTTTTGATCTTTGAAAGGATCATGCACTTTTGAAAAAATAAATTTAGTATTTGCATTGCGATTTTTAGGCTATGTTCCTATATGTATAAGTTTTTCAATCTCGGTAAGCTCTGTCTATTTACTATTATTTTACTACTACTCAATAAGCATTACTAATATATATAATACGAGATGTCATCATTACGATATAAAATCTAATAATATATAATATATGTTATTGTCTATCGATATCGATAGATAATACCGTCAAATATGTGTTACAATTAAGACATTTTAACAATTCTTTCTAAAAAGAAACACAACATGCTTTGAAGCTTAAATATAATCGACTTATTTGTCTTTATGAAAGACATTTTTAATTAACTTGATGTAATTAGAACTAATAATTTTGAATAACTTGTTAAACACTACAGCCATAAGCTAACATTTGCTAATTAAATGGCAATGTTGTTTTTGAACAATGAAGAACATTAAAACTTTAAACACTCAACTTTCTTTAGCGTAATTTTAAATTATATGTGTTTACTAAAAAGAGACATACTAATTATTATCGGGGTCCATAAATTAACTAGTTTTCTTTCACATAGAAAAAAACACTATCTCACATCTTTTTTTTTAAACTATAAATTGAATCAAGAAAGAAATTATGTACCTCCTTGGGCAATTATAAACAAGAATTGGTTATGATCATTTAGCGTTAGGCCAGTTGGCTCATGTAATTAATGCAATAAGAATTGGTTATGGGCTAATTGATTTAACTCCAATTAGCTTAGGTTTGCATGAGGGTGAAGTGAGGGTGTGAGGATTGGAATGAACGACGTCGTTCATCGATGAATTTTTTTAAAAAAAATTTAATAATTTCGATTATTCGATTTTAATCGAATTTAAAAAAAAAAACCGAAATCGAAATTGAAAACCAGCTATATTTCGGTTCGATTTTTTTTTTTAGTTTCTAAAAAAACCGCACCGAAATTGATATTTCGGTACGATTTAGTTCGGTTATTCGATTTTCACTCGAATAGTGAACACCCCTAATCCCACAGCGAGTAGGTGCATCAAATAGTCTAGATTGCAGCCATCATCCAGAACTCAAACTGCAAGAATATGCAGAAAAGGCCCTCAGAATTTCAGAACCAAGCAACAAGCTTGTTGCCCATGCTTAATTTCGGTTATATATTATGTTAATTTTAGCTAGAGATGAGAGATGATGACTCAGTAGCAATAATAATGGGGAAAAAGTTTTCCATATATTCATCATGAGAAATTACAGAACATCATGGTTTCATTAATTGCAAGCAAATTACCTCTAAGTCCCTAATAATTACTAAGGAACAGTCGCAGTTTTTTAAAACTCCAGCCGGAGGGGATCGGTGCGTGCAATTTAACAGGATTTTTTTTCCTTGGATCTTCGTGATATTCTCTGGATCTAGACTATTTTTTTATTATTTGATGGAACGAATAACACAAATATAATTATTTAAAAAGTCTTTTATATATAAAAAAAAATTAAATTCAAAGCTATTTATTTAAGCGAGTAAAACTCATTTCGTTCAAACCAACCTTCTTAAATAATTAAATAAACTTTAAATATAAAGACAAAACATGAAATTAAATTTAATATCTCAACATTAAAAATATATTCTTATTCTAGTAAATCCGTACGTTATTTTTATATTTTATTTAAATTCCTCATAAATTATCTGTACCTATTGATATAGGATATCAGTACTCGTATAAAAGAAAAGAAGTAATATATGAGTAGCTGAACATGCCTTTGTTTTTTAAGCATTATAAGGGCATTGTACGTAGATGCATGGTAACATAGAAGAAAGTAATGTTGGTACATTTTAATATTAAAATAGGTTTTAGTTAAATGAAAGTTAACGCATTAAATTAAACAAACAAGCATACACTATATTTATATAAAAGTTTAATTAACTTAATTTTAAGTTACATACATATTGATATATAAATAGATAAAAAAAAAATCTAAGATTGTCATATATATATATATATAAAGAGATTAAGGTGAGAAGATATAAGGTGTCAAATAAAGGCGTTTTAATGATAAAGTTTTGAATTCTCTCACTTGCGTGGAGATATGATAGAGCTAACAGTCGGACTATTGTATCCTAAAAAGAACAAGTTATATAAATAGATAAAAAAATCTAAGATTGTCATATATATATAGAGAGAGAGAGATAGAGATTAAGGTGAGAAGATGTAAGGTGTCAAATAAAGGTGTTTTAATGGTAAAGTTTTGAATTCTGTCACTTGCATGGAGATATAATAGAGCTAACAGTCGGACTATTGTACAAATCCACTACTGGAAGGGTGCAATTCTACTCAGCTTACACATACGAACACAATCAACTATCTGAGATCATTGCTCTTCCATGATGGAATTCTGCGCGTAGTAAAAATGTGTAGGGATTGATGTAAACAGTTCAAGACAATATGTATGGAATGGTTCGTGACTAAATTAATGTTATGTTATCGTCTGCAAAGTGGCAAGCAGCAAGCAAACTAATGGGAAATTAGGAAGTCGGGAGATTTTGAGATGACATTTAAAGAAAGGTTCAGTACTCTTCCTAAGATTTTTTGACGACTATATGTAACGGTGGTCACTGTAACTTCGACGTACTTTTGTGCTGGTGTGATATTGAAATTGGACTAACTTTTTATCTATATAGACTTTGTTTTGATAAAGCTGAACATAAAAAGGAAGCACAATAAGGCTACAAATTAGCCGCCGGTGAGATACATTAACAATGAAAAAGCTGCAAGAAAACAGCAGCAGAAACGACATGTATACACTAGAAGTTATGAAACAGTCCTTTTTTTTTTTTTTTTTTTTGCCTGGGCATCCCATTCAACGTTAAAAATAGAATTAATCACGTTAAAATTTAATTTTTTTTTAATAAATACGATTTTAAAATTTAAATTCTATATATTAACAAAAAATTAATTTATAGGAAGACTAACATGTTTATCACTTCTATAAACAATTTGTTGGTAAAAGACATGAAAGAGCTTTACTCAAATCAGTAAGACTCCATCCACAACTCCACCAAGCTTCAGTTAATAGCCAAAAACCAGTTACAGACTAGACCAATCAAATTAATTGGGTCAACAATATATTGCGCGCGTAATTAAAATTCCACGAATCAACTCTTAAGTCTGAACAATTGATCTGCAAACCCAACTGATTAACATAAAGATCAAGTACAAAAAGTCAAACCTAATAATTATCAATTAATACATAACAGACCAAGCCAACTTTGGGAAGAACTTCAAATCAATAACAACTACTGAAAAATATTACTGTAACAACATGCATGTTCAGTTGGATATAATGCTATATGATTAAACGGGTATACTTGATTGAAAAAAAAAATATAAATATAAAATAATTCATTACATTCTTCTGTCTGATTGCAAAAACTTTTATATTTGTTTAAAAGATTGGGTCTTATTTGAAACCTTTTTTTGGTCATTATACTTTACACAGTTTACAATTCAGTCCTTATGATGAAAAGCTTTTTGCAATCAGATTCCTATAAAATTACTCTTTCATTATATATATATATATGTGTGTGTGCGCGTGCGCGTGTATTTATATTGCTTGTAAGGTAATTGATTATTATAATTGCAATGGTACATTATATTATAATTTTGAAAATGACACAACCTAACATAGATATGAAATGAATTATTGCATTATATAGTCGTCCATTACTTCCAAATTAAACATGCTATAAAAGATAAATTGTTGTTTGGAGACTTGATCAAATAATTAATGAATGGCTTGGAAAGAATGGTCCGCAAGCCAGGAAATTACTGTTAGAGATGATAAAACAGAGGACAAAAGAATTTTGTTAAGAATGGTATATTAATGGCTAGAATAGCAGCATAGTCCATGATCAATTATGACAATATTGAACATTTACAATGAAATTGCTTTAATTATCAATCTCAATCATAATTCCTCCTTTGCCTCTTCCAAGTTCCAATTAATGGTGGTACGATATTGTGATACTGCCACCGAGTTCTTGTTTTTTCAGTGCTTACACAGTTATTTTGATCGTTCATTGATCTCACAGTCCAATTGTAATTGTTAAACCGTAATAAAAAAAGAACTGGCTATATATAGCAACCCTAACTAGCTTGCTAGAACCCATGCATATATGTTCCACATAGCTCAGACAAAGCAAATTATATGTGTGTAATTTCTAACCTATATATCTAGCTCCAGTTTCTTTATCTTGTTTTCTATTGCTAGCTTGGTTTTGGGAAAAAGAAAAATTGAACTTAACTAATGGTTTAACATAATCATATTGCTTGTTTACAGGGTACTGCAGACAAGTATTTGATCACGATGAAGATCTTGCTAGCCCTCTCCATTGCTTTCCTGTTTATGTTAGCAGCTCTGCACGCTGATGCAGAAGTGTTCACCATCATGGAGCCTATGGTGGCCAACCGTCATCTATTGAGTGAACCATCATCTCTTAGTCGAAAGGGTAACGCTGGTGCTAATGATCCCGGGTGTACCCTTGCTTCAGGGAAGGGCAACACTGACACAGAAACTAAAAATGTAACATCTAGTATAGATAATAATTTTATTTTTTATAATTAATGTAAATTGATTTTAGAACATAAAAAAATAAATAAATAATAAATAACTAGAGTTATGTGTGTAAATACATAATTAATTTATAACAAAAGTAATGATAAATATATTTCAATTATTTTATTTAAAAATATTAATTTTAGAATATAAAAAAATAAATTACAAATAATTAGTGTTATGTATGTATATACATAATTAATTTTTAACAATATATATATATATATATATATATATATATATATATATATATATATATATATATATATATATATATATCTTTTCATATTTTTACTTTTTTTTATTCTTCATCTATTTATTAAAACAAAAAATAGAATCATTGATATAGCAAAAAAAAAAAAAAAAAAATTTGAATCAAAGAAACTAATGTTGTTATGTATGCGGATACATAATTAATTTTTAATATATATATATATTAAGATCATACTTAGTAGATTCGAGTATATAGTATAAATAATTTTTTTAATAAAAAACCATCTAATTTGTATGGAATATATTAAAATCAATAATTTGAAATAAAAACTATTACAAAATTGGTTTCCATAAATCTTACTTCTTAATTTATGATGAAAGAAATTCTTAAATTGCAAATTAAATAATAAATTAGTTCATCTCATTTTGAAAAATGAATGAATTAATTTTTTTATTAGTGTTGACCATGAATAATTTATTTTCTTATTTTTAAAAAGTCTTTTTTTATATTTTTCCTATATTTTTTAGTCTTTCTCTATTTTTTAAAACAAAAAATAAAAACATTGAAATAGCACAAAGGATAAAAAAATAATTTTTGAACCGAAGGGACTAATGATGTTATGTATGCGGATACATAATTAATTTTCAACAAAGATAAAAAAATAAATCATATTTATAAACAAATAAAACTTCATAAAAAAGAAATTAATTTGGTGAGAAGTTTTATAATGAATGACAAATTTAAGAGATTAATTTTAATTAAGAAAAAAATATAATTTGATATATGTGTTTGTTCTAAAATTTAAAAACATAAGAGGCTAAAAACATTTTTTAAAAATATGAAGAACAAAAAGTATATTTTAAAAAAAGTGAGGTAAAAATTGACTAAATTAAAAACATGAGATTTCAAAATATTTTTAAAAATATGAGGATTTAAAAATATATTTTGAAAACATAAAGGACAAAAAAAACTATAAAAAATCATGAAAATACCATTACAAAAAATATTTTTTTTTTACTAAAAGTTAAAAGAGGGTCTTGGCTACGGAAAGCGGAAGGAAAAAACAAAAAAAAAAACAAAAAACAAAAGAGGGTCTAGGCTTCGAAAAGAAAAAGAAAAAAAATATCTTATTGATCAAATGAACAATAAAATGGGTTGGGTAAAAGCAAAAAAGGATGGGCCTTGGCTAAAAAAAAAAAAAAAAAGTTTTATTGTTCAAATGAATAGTAAAATAAGGGTTAATCTAAGAAGTTCACTTGTTCATTCACTGTTTAATTGAATAATGAACATCCCAAATGTTATAGTGTTTAGTGGAATAAGGGATTATAATAGACCATGTATAAAATGAATACTTGTTCAATTCGATATAATAAATATTTATTAAAAATATCAAATATATATTAAAGTGGATACGAGTAAAAAAAAAGTATCGTTAATATGGTTTTAGAATATGAGTATTCACTACATATCTTATTAATGCCCACTAATTGCATAATATGTAAAAATAAAAATATTTTTTATAAAAACTTAATTTGAGGACAAAAAACTTAATAATAAAAGGCCAAAATGTAAAAAACAATAATTTTAAGACCAAAATAATTTTTTCTAAAATAATAAGGACTAATTGCATAAATTTTAAAAATTAGGAACCTAAATATTTTTTTATGAAAACTTTGAGGACCAAAAAACTTATTAATGAAGGACCAAAATGTAAAAAATAATTTCAAGAGCCAAAATAACGTACTTAAAATAATAAAGACTAAAATAAAATATTTTGATAAAATATTTTTAGCAGATATCAAATAGGGGGATAAACTAGATTGGACCTTATCATATGTGTTGTGTAATATTGATTTATAATGTAATTTCTTAATAAATATAGATATGGTATTTTTTTTTTTTTTTTATAGATATGATAGAAAAATTAAATTAACAAGCTGAATACCCATCCGTTACCCCTTCTGCTCAGAATCCAGTTGACAGCATTCTTAATTTGAGTCTGACTCAATAATACAATTCATCTTATCAACATTGAAGTTATAGCTACGTACAGGTAACGTGTGTTACATGTTCAGATTGATGATTTCGGGAAACTATTTTATTTTGTTCTGCCTTTTCATTAATTGAGAATTCCTAAAGAGTCTTGGAAATTATCTTGTAAGCAATGAACCAACAAGCGTAAATAGGAAAAAGTGAGATGACGAAAAGAATATAGTAATTAATCACCAGCTAATAGGAAAAAGGGAAAAGAAGAAGAAGATAAGAATTGCATCACCATGTCCCAAGTTTGTTTCCTGTCATTAGTGGACAAACTGTGCAGATTAGCTTGTACAAATCGATCCACTACTGGAAGGGTGCAATTCTACTCAGCTTACACATACGAATACAATCAACTATATATCTGAGATCATTACTCTTCGGTGCTTTGAGAACTTATTGTTGTAGTCCGTCTTTCACAAAGTGGAAAGGGATGAATTTGGCAATATAAAAAGTTGCAAAATGCATGATTTAATGCTAAAGTGTCATGTTCTGATCATACGAAAACACACTAGTGATTTGACTCGAAAGGTGTAGTTTCAATTAGTCAAAACTTTAGGCTTATTTGCATGATCTAGGAATTAAGGAAGTGTCATCACTCAACTAAAAGTTTAAGCACCTTAAGTAAATTGATCTTTCTATAAATGAGATGGAGACACTTCCTAATTCTATTGTCAAGCTACTGAATCTGCAAATGCTCAATATCAATGGTTATAAGAAGCTTAAGGCACTGCCTGGAGAGATTAATAAGCTGATTAATCTCAGGCATCTTGATATCGGTCATCATATTGCTGATTCTCGTGAAAGCTTGGAGCTTAGCCATGTGGGATAGGGAAACTAACTTCTATTCAGATGTTGTCGCGTTTTGTTATTCCAAGAAAGAGTTCTGGATCCAAGAAAATTGGTGGATTGTATGAGTTAGTAGGTTTGAAGGAGTTGAGAGGGCGTTTAGAAATAAGTGTTCGAGGGGCTGATATATAGGAATTCAGAATTCAAGGAGCTAAATTGGGAAACAAAAAATATCTTCAGTCACTGCTCATTCATTGGAGTCTTTCAGATGATTCTGGTAACTAGGATGCTGGTTTCTACGATGAATTATTGCGAAGCCTTCAGCCAAACTCAAACCTTCAAGAGTTGTGGGTGAATCTTTATGGAGATATGAGGTTTCCAAGCTGGCTTTCGCATCTCAAAAATCTTGTAAGAATTTGCCTGAGTGTGAAAGATGCAAGCATATCCCACCCTTGGATGGCATCTCTTGTCTCCAACAATTGCTGATTCAGAATGTGAATGATTTTTAGTACATTGATATCGAGGGGGTTGGAGGAAGAGGAGGCTTGACATTTCTCTCATCTCTAAATACACTCACGATCTGGAATTGTCTTAAAATGAAGGGACGGTGGAATTAGAGTACTGACAATCAAGAGTCAACAGCAACAAGAGCACAAGCAGACAAGCTGCCACATTTTTCCTGTCCTTCTCTCTTGCAAATAAGTGTCTGTCTTAATCTGACTTCAATGCCATTGTTTCCATATCTCGATGACAAGCTAAGCATGGATATCACCAGCTCAGTTCCATTGCAGCAGCCAATGAGAGCTTGGAAATCACCATCAGGTATTCTTCTTCTTCATTTATCCATCCTCTCACCAAGTTGAGGGAACTAACAATTGCAACCATTGAGCAAATGAATCTCTTCCTGAAGATGAACTGAAAAATCTCTCTTCTCTTCAACAGCTAACAATTCAGAATTGCCCAAGATTGAAGTCTCTGCCTCTGCCTCAGGAGATGCATTCTCCTCAGAAATTAGATATTTCTCTTTGCCAAGAATTGAAGTCTTTACCTCAAGGGATCCGCCATCTTACCTCTGCAAGAATTACGTGTTTCTCTGTCTTCAGTTGAGAGGAAGACACAGAGGCAAGAGGGCTGAGAACTGGTCTAGGATCGCACACATTCCAGATATTGTAATCGATGAACAGTTCATTGAAATGGACGGCCGCGATGTAATGGACGACTATGGCAAGTTAGTACTTTCTCTCTTTAACCTCCTCCTTTTCTATTCCATCTGATCAAATTTTCACTCCTTGTTATTCTATCTTTTCCAGTTCTGTTAACTCCCTTCACTCATTGATTCCTTTTATCATCTTTTCATGAAATATGGACGTTCAATTTCTCTTGTGAGACAGTGGTAGTCTGCCGAAAACGGAGAATCATATGGTGATGATGCCAAAATTATGGAGGGGATACTTCATAATTCAGAGTGTGCTGAAGAACATAGGTTTCGACATCAATGGTGTGTTCTGCTTTTGTGTTCGGTTTGATTAGGCAGCTCTAATGGTTTGTTGGTTTGATTTTATCTACTGTATGCTATGGTGTGGGCATTTGTTTGGATTCTCCTTCACAATTTCTCATACCGACAAGGTCGGGATTTTCGGAAGGCATGGTGCTGGAAAGTGCTGCTCAGCTCAATGCTTTTTTCTTTTCTTTTCTTTTTAAAGAAGCAAGAAGAGTTCTTGATTAGCCTGTTGTTTCTGTCACAGGTTTTCGTTTTTCAAAGCATTTCCTGTATTCTCTTCTTTCCTGTATTGTTTTTCGTGTTTGTGGGCATGTATTTAAGAAAAAGGTGTTAAATCGAAATCACTTTCTTGTTAGATCATCAATTCTTTCACAAATTTTTAATAGTTACTCCTCTATTCTATGCTCTTTTTCTATATTAGATCTCCCTTTTCAGACCAGGTCCTTTGCTTCTGAGGGTGTGGTATTTGTCCTGGTTTTTGTACTGTATTTTGATGGACCGGGTTTGACTCTTAAGTGGGTCCTTTAACAGATGCTATAAAAAAACATGAAAGAAGAATTTGGATCATTATGAATCATAATGGGTCAGCTCTTGTTCTTTCGTGAGTTACATAAACCGGTTAAACTGTCCATTGTTCTTTCCTTTCTCGACGGGAGACTTATATGATGTTGTAAAATGCTTAAATCTCTTTTTCTTCACGAATTTATTGCCCAAAGGCCAGGTGGCATTTCGAGTCTGCCGATGGCTAGGTTCCTTGAATTATCCTTTGGGATGATTGTTGGTCGCTTCTGTTTGGCTCTGGCGAGCATAAGATACGTGCTAGGTTTACCATGGGTATCCTCCTGATCTAGACGGTGAGCTTTAATCTTGTTTTAAACTGGGGTTTTTCTATTTTTTTTTTCAAAGCTTTGTTTTTTCTGTCTGTTGTGTTGCTATAAGAAATGGAGTGCCTATAATGCGTTTGACAAAAGTGTCTATGTCAGTTTTCCAAGTGCTGTTCTCCATGGTTTACTTTGGATGCTTGTGAAATGGCAATGGATTCCGAATAATGGGTTTGAGAGTCAGTTACGTCTGAGATAATCAGATCATGTAATCCAATTATTTGATAAGAACAGAAAGGTTGGCTAAGCAACTAAAGCGACAGGAAGAGAGAGAACAAGAGTGGTCATAAACGTCAAAAATAGCTACTCCTACTAGATCATTTGAGGCTTAGAAAGGTTCTCCCTGCCCCAGTTGACATTTGAACTTATAACCACAAGACAATAATCATTGTGTTTATTAATGGAAAAGTACACATACAAATGCATCATCAGATTCGAAATTAGTCTATTATTTCATTATTTTAGTACACTCTTCTGTATAGATGCATGCTCACTCGCTCACTCGTAAATAAGATTAAGAGGGTGTGGGTGTGTGAGTCACGTAAGCCGTGACGCTAGCTATTATGGATTTTCTTGTCTTCACTTTTTCCTTTGTATTTCCATGAAAACTATATTTATTAACGACTGATCTTGAAAATGAAAAAGCCACACTCCTAGCTATAGTTTATGAATAATAAACTCTAATATTTTTCGTTCTTCAAAGCCCCAATACCAATAGGAGGATCAGAAGAAGCAAGTTGACCTTTCTTTCATTCAAACTATTTATGTTGTTTGTGATTTCTTTCATTATTATACGTAGTTGCTGTTCTTCTTAGCGTTGTGTTCTGTAGCTGCTGCTCATTTTGTTATGTTTCTCTCCGTTTATTTTTGTCCCCTTTTGTTTTCCTCTCTCTGTTTAAACAAATGTTGGTAAATTAAGCAATTTTGGTTTGTGTAGGGTGGTGGGGAAGATGGGTTTGGAGGCATTGGTTTGGTATTGTCGACCTATGGCAAATGGGGTTTGGGCAAAAAAGGTGGATAATGCATTTGGTGCTTACACTCCCTGTGCCATTGACTCCCTAGTCATTTGCATTTCTCATCTAATTCTTCTTGGTTTTTGCTTATATCGAATATGGTTGATTATCGACAACAATTCCAAAGCTCAAAAATATTGTCTCAGGACAAATTACTATAATTACATGCTGGGTTTTTTAGCTGCTTATTGTACAGTTCAACCTTTATTAAGGTTGTTCATGGGTGTCTCACTTTTCAATCTGGATGGCCAGACTGCCCTTGCTCCCTTTGAGGTACATGAGTTTAATTTCTCATTAATTTAGACTTTCAATGTTTCTGTCAAAGATAAACTATACTTCTAATTTAGCATTTGCTGGCTTTTTTTTTTTTTTTTTTAATCTGTATTAAACTTGTTCAATTGGAAGATTACGTGCTTATATCTTCTGATAATTATTTTGTACTGAAATACTGGCTTCCTAGAGTTCTGCTAAGTGGATTTTCTGTCCTTTGCAGATGGTCTCTGTGATTGTTGAGGCTCTTGCCTGGTGCTCCACTCTTGTTATGATTGGTCTGGAAACAAAAATATACATTCGCCAGTTCCGATGGTATGTGCGGTTTGGAGTCATTTATGTGTTGGTAGGGGAAGCGGCCATGCTCAATCTCATACTGTCAGTGAGTGATTACTACAGTAGGTCGGTCATTCTTCCATTCCCTGACTTAATAAATGAACTCAACCAAGTTCTATTTTTTTTGTATTTTTCCCTGAGGTTGTAGTGTCATTTAATTTGAGTAAGTCTTATTTGTGTGCTAAAGCTCCATCTTCATCTAATATTGTTAAAGTGTTAAGCATGATACTGTTTATGAAAAACAGAGGCAAGCTATATATTTTAGTACTGAGTGGAGAACAATATTGTAATTACTTAGTTGATAACATGAGTGATACTAAATGAAATAGTAGCCTTTAGGGAAATTAACAAAAAAACTAAAATAAAACTATGATTTACTATTCATTGTATTATTTGAACCACTATTCATCCAGACTCATTTGCACTATTTCTTTCACCATGCAATGGCATTTTTGTAGCTTTCAAATATTTTTAAGACATTTATTATAAAAGTTTTCATGACATTACACTTTAGTCACCTTTTTTTAAATATTGTTTTTTCGGTTCTTAATTTTTTTAGTTTTATTTTGGTCCCTCTTTTTGTTTTATTTTAGTCATTTTGGTCATTGCATTTTTTTTCCTCTGATTTTTTTAATTAAAAATTTTAAGATAAAAAGATGTTTTAAAAAAACAATTTATAAAATAAGTTTTTAACTAAAAATATGGATAAAAATAAATAAATAATATTTTTTAATAAAAAATTATGAAAATATAAAGAATAATTAGTCAAATATAAAATTTTGATTAAAAAATTATAAAATTGAATGAATTTTTGTTGCGTTTTGATTTAATATATTCTTCTAGACACATAATATAATACGGAATATCAAAATAAAATAATTTTTTAAAAATAATTTTATGTATTTTCTTCGACTCGCAATGTAGCCTCGGTAAAAAAAACTAGTAAAATAAAAAGAAGGATTAATTGATCCATCCATCCTTATTTATTGGATGTATTCTTCCATATGCCCTTTAAAGAATTTCTCTTCCATATGTCTTTTTTGTTACTTTTTAGAACAAAATGCCCTACAAGCATTTAAAAGAATTGGAAAAGCCTAAAAAAATTACTTTAAAATATTTTTAAAAACTCAAAAATACCTAGAAAAAACCCATAAAACATAAAAACGTTAAAAAGACATACAAAAAAAAATTTAAAAACTGAAAATTAAAAAGATATAGAAAAGAATTTAAAAACTGATAAACTTTTATAAAAATTAATACTAACTTGTCAAATCTAAAAAATAAAAAAATGTCCGTAAAGCCTCGTAAATAGAAATATGCCTATGACAACAAAATAAATTTTTCAGAACATGGAATTTTCAAAATTTTCTTTAGTTACTATTTTTTTTTTTTTTTTTTTGGTTTTTTAATTTAATTTTTGTGTGTTTTGAAAATTAAATATCTTTTGGTAGTCTAAGGGGCATTTTTGTCCGAAAAGTATAAAAGGGTTACATGAGACAAAAATATGAATATACAAAGAAATATGAGAGTAAAAAAATTCTTAAAAAGTATATGGGAGAATATGCCAATGTACAAGGGTAGACAGATAAATTAATCCTAGAAAGATAGTAATGATGACCATAATCACAATCTGGGCTTGTGCCAAACTTTTTATAGTTGACAATAAGAAAAGGGAAATTTTAGAAGCTGAATTTTGAACAAGAGTAGATGCTTGCCATTCTTATTTAATTGTGTTTGGGTGGGGGGTCGTCCTCGACTCTTAATTCCAATGAACAATTTTTTTGTAGACTCTGATACAATCCAATCCACATATAAGTCAAGACATTGTGCAATTCAGGCTAAAAAATTTGCAGAAATAAACTATTTTTATTGATGAGAACTGGCATTACAGCTGTACAAGCCTCAACAAGCATGTTTACAGCATATATGCAATTTGCAATGAGGTTGGATGGGCTGGACTAAGATAGATTTCATGATTATTCTAGATAAGGATGCTTGCAGCATTAGCAGAACTATTTTCTGGAGTTCATATTCTCTCAATTTATGTTGGGGCAGCACTAAATTACAGTTCTATTACAAATGCAGATTTACATTGTATTTGCATATCAGCACGGTTTTCTGCCAGGTTCGTGGCCTTCTTTTATTTCTCTGTTACATAAAGATCATAGGCTATATCAGCTCTTCTAATTTTTTCATGTTTCTTTGCGCTACTTTAACCTATCATCCATTCAATGATCTTCAAATTAGTGTCTGTAAATGCTTATGCTAAGGTGGACATCTCTAGCTGTTTTTGTACAAATTTTGACTCTGCTTCAGTCTATCAAAATTGAAGTCACTTGCCATGGCCTTGGAAGAAATTACAACTTGAGCCTGGCTTCACTTGACCTTACACAACAAATCAACAATCATTGTTAAATTAAGATTTCTATATAACATTTTAGGGAGATATTTTAAAGTTGAATTTGTAAGAATCACATTTTCGGTGCAGTTGTTTTGGTTGTGTTGATACTCATTAGCATTTCTTTGTTAGGTTTCTCTTATGTTGGTAAAGGTGGGGAGTGGACAATGCCATGGATATTGGCATCTTTAGATCATAGGATGGAGCCTGTTGGAACTTCTAGTCTCATGCTGATGCCTATAGATACAATTCTTTCTCAAACTGCCCGGCAGGTTCTTAAGCCTTGGTTGAATTGGTCCACTTTTGTTCCATAGGCCACTGTAAAATCTTGTAGTCTAATCACAACACAACCCAGGACTTGCTAGGAACTGTAGAATTTTGTACGTTACAAATTGATACCAAGACAATTGAGTAGTTTAGAATACACCGACGTCAACTATAAATCTTGGCATAGAAGTTAAATCTTGTTTCATTAACTTGGAAAATTTCTTAATCATTTCCAAAAATGACAAACATCTCAATCATAATTTGCTGTGTGGCTGCATCTGTTGCAGGTTTTGTTTGGGATTCTTCTACTCGTTTATATTCCCAATTTGGATCCTTATCCAGATTATGTTATGGTGGAACCTGAGTCTTTTGATAATGGTGAATATGAAGCACTTCTTGGAAGAGAGCAAATTTGTCCTGAGAGGCATGCTGGCTTATTTTCCAGTAAGTAGTTCATTATTTGCTGTTCTCAATGCCAAGAGGTTTTAAATATCTTTCTTCTGTTTCTCAAGCAGTTGCAGAAGATAGTATAAGTAATGAACTGCACGTTGGCTAGTGATTAAAAGTGTGGCTTCGGTGATAGCTAAGTTAGACATTAATTTTTGAGCTGCTCATACACACACACACACACACACACACACATTTATATATTGATTCATTGCCCTCTGCAAGGAATATTTTTTGGATGGTTGACTCCACTCATGAAGCAAGGCCATAAAAGACCTATTACTGAAAAGGATGTTTGGAAGTTAGATACATGGGATCGGACTGAGACATTGATAAAAAGGTATGGACTATGTTCTTCTCTTTCATAGTTTTAGGGAAACCTCGTATCCCTTTTTTTGTAAATGTTTTCATCTATTGCAGGTTCCAGGCTTGTTGGGTTGAAGAATCTCAAAGGCCAAAGCCCTGTCTTTTAAGAGCACTGAACAATGGTCTTGGAGGAAGGTATTGGTTGAATTGCAATTCTCAAGTTGTTTCATTCCCGTTCATTTTGAGACTAACTGGACTTTAAACATACCAATTGGTGTCCTTATCCTTCCTAACACTTCCTGAATTATAAGTTGTTTCTTTGATTGAGACCCTTGAAGCATTTTCTTTTCTTATTTCATCTCCTAAATTATTGGTGTTTTGATTTAGACCCCTTATATTAGATTCCGTGCATTTATCCGTCAAATAACATCTGAGTTGCATTTGTTCTCCAATAAAATGTCAAATATCATAAAAGAAAATGATTAAAAAAATCATCAAGAAATCAGCCTCCACCAACGTTATGATCAAAATATCATCAAGAAATCAACCCTTGAGATTTTTATGATTTTCTTGTTTTTTTGGGTGTTTTTGAGGAAAATATGTGGCTTGCACATGATATTTAACAACTAAAATGGATGAAATCTGAGAGAAGAAATATGACTCAGAGCATCCTATGGTTTAGGGGTTCAAATCATAAAAACATATCAGGAGTGTTGTAAAAAATACTTACAATACATGAGATGTTTGTACGGTTTAGCTTATTGTAACAGAGATTTTATTCTGGCCTGTATCTATGTCATTTTATTCACTTTTCATGTATACATTTTCTGTAGGTTTTGGTTGGGAGGACTTTTTAAGGTATGCTTTCCTTGGATTGATAATTTGCTTTTAACCTGTTTAATTTCTCAATAAATTATCATCCTTATTTCTGCTGTATTGTAGTTTGAATTTGGTGAACCTGGAAGCTTGAATTTTTTAGTTCTATTTTGTTCAATTGCATGCTGGGCCATTATTTCTCTTGACTAAATATGTATCACAATTGTGTCCTCAACTATTACATTGTAAGGATTACAATCAGTTTCAACATTTATTAGTTATGTACCATGCAATATTCTTTTTGCCTATTGTATTAATTTCAATTCAGACTGATGTTCTAGACTGGCGAACTCTCTACTAATGGTACAAATCATGTGGAGCTTATACCTTTTTATTTTTATTTTTTACTTGTAGATTGGCTCTGATCTTTCTCAATTTGTGGGACCTATTGTATTGAGCCACCTCTTGCAGGTTTGTTTCTTTATTGGCAATGCCTCGTTTTATATAATTTATGACATCCATTTTGCAGTTAGCTAGAGTTTCATGTTTTGTAAGAATTTATTTAGATTTTATATTAAAGGATTTTGATAATGCTAATTATCTATTTTCTTTTTGTGTGCGTGTAAAGACAATGGGGTAGTTAATCCTTCAATTACTTTTTTGACTGCACCAAATGTCTCTCAACATTTCATGAAGATTATTTTTCCTATGATACAATAATTGTTCTATTGATTAGCATTTTTCCTATGATGGAATAGTTCAATAGATTAGCTCAAATTTGATATGAAGTACAACTCAAAACTCTTTCACATTGTGCTTATGCTGCCAAATTCGTAATTATTCTACTACATGCAGTCAATGCAACGAGGTGATCCAGCTTGGATTGGCTATGTCTATGCCTTCTTAATTTTCCTTGGGGTGGTATTATTTCTATCTCATCTATTCTTTCTAATTCATTTTTATAGGAAACAAACTGCATATATATAAACATTCCCCTCGGAGGTCATCTTTTAATTCGCTGTTCGTTTAATGTTATTTGTTTTTATTTCCTAAGCATTATCTTTTGGCACACATAATATATTCCATCGTGTGTATTAACAATCGAGCAACTCAGTTTACAAATTTCAACATTGAATTGCACATGTTGTTGACATTTTATTTGGGCATGACCTAGTAGATAGGACAAAGTTTTAATCATTTGATACTAGCGATGAAAATTGGTAAGCCTTTAGTACTCGCAAAATGTTCAACTACAAGTTAAACCTGTATTTGGTATATTCGTTGATAATGAAGCTTGCTTATTGTGGAAATGAGAAATATCTCTTTGTCATTCATTTTTCTTATTTAGTATTCTTAATAAGAAATCGTATCAAACAAGCCAAGATCTACATGTTACCTACCAATCTTGCTTGCACGATGGAAAGAGCTACTGGTTTAAGTGATACATGGCATAGCTGTACGATGCTTTAACATCGTGACAAATAAAATCAGGCAATTCTTCATGTTCCTAAACCAAATTTATTTGTACGTTGATAGACTGTGGCATTCCTATTATTCTTATGCTATGGATATTGATTTTGGGTCTTACATTACATGTTGCATCTTTCTATTATTTAAGCATGGGTTTTATTTGCCCATAGAATGATAGTTTATGGATTGATTGGTTGATTTATTTGGTTCAGTTGTTCGGTGCGCTATGTGAATCTCAGTTTTTGCAGAATGTTCTGCGTGTTGGTTTTCGGCTGAGATCAACTTTGGTAAAACTATTTCTTTAATAATATTTTTGTGTGAACTTGTTTTTGAAATATCTCTTTCAGCATCACTTTTCTTCGGAAATTTTGGCTGCTTGCCCAATCCAAATTCTCGCTCTGTTCTTACTGAATAAGTGAGCTATTTTTTATAGCAGCCTTTTTTCCAATCGTAGGTTGCTGGTATATTTCGTAAATCTTTGAAACTAACTCACGAGGGTCGAAAGAACTTCCCATCAGGCAAGATAACAAATATGATCACAACAGATGCCAATGTACTTCAGGTATGCTTGTTATGAACAACCATTCATGTGCATTTAGTAACTCATGTCTTGAAAAAAGGAAATTGATTATTCATTTACTTGAAACATAATACACTATATGAATTTAAAGAGAAGTTGTAATAGACAACAAAATATTTTTCTTATGTTGTAAATATTAAATATTCTCAATCTATCAAGAAGTAACCAACCCATATGTTAGTCACTGATCAAATGGATATAAAATACTTTCTAGGGTCATTGTGCCTATTCCAAAACTGATTCTCTTAGTGAAATTACTCAATGATTTATCTGTTTTATCTTTATTTTTATGGGAAATTGACTTTGTCCTTATATAATTGGTTAGGTCTCTATTATGTCCTTATGATTCTAATAACGTTATTGCCAAAAATTTTAATGGTTGGGAAATTTCAAAATTTTTTAAACATTTTGGAAAATGGTTTTTTTTTTCAAAATAATAATTTTTTATTTCTAAAAAAAAATAACAGCTGAGAATTATCAAATTATTTTTATTTGAGCATTTCAAAAAAATTTTATTTCTCAAACATTTTAAAAAATATATTTTTTTTATGTGAAAAAAATTTCAAGGAAAGAGGAAGGTTGCTGTCATTTTTTCTTTCCTGTGTGACCTTGACTTGTTCTTGAATCTTGGCTTTGAGTGTCATATGTAACAAAGAATTACCAAGGGAAGAGGGAGGTGACCTTTTTTTTTTTTTGAGTTCTGAATTATGAAATAGAAAGGAATTTAAGAATTTCTTAGTCAGGCATTTAATATATTAACAACTAATATCATTATTCTCAAAAAGGAAAAACAACACTAGGATAGGATCATTTTTGTTTTTGTTTTTTAATGAGGATAGACAAAATTAAAAACTTAGGGATATTATTGGAGACTTGCTTAATTATATAAAGATATGTTGAGCCATTTATTCTCTTTTTTTTTTCCTTTCCTTTTCCTATATGAATTATATGCATTGCCATTGCATCCTGCAGCAAATGTGCCAACAACTTCATGGATTGTGGTCTGCTCCATTTCGTATCACCATGTCCATGGTTCTTCTTTACCAGCAGTTAGGTCTTGCTTCGCTTTTGGGTTCACTAGTGCTTGTTCTCATGGTCCCTACACAAGTAAGAAATATTTTCCCTTTTGCTGAATTTGGTGGTGTAATTTTAGAATCAACAATTTGCATTGTCTTAATTTTTTAGTTCATAATATGCAATTGTGTGATATTCCTATACTGATTTAATACGGATAGAACAACAAGTGTCCCTCGATCCCAAATTACCTGGGGTTGACCATATGGATCTTTTTACGTCATCCAGCTTGATCATAACTGATTTAATAGCAACAAAAAAAAAAAAAACTTTCAAGAACTCCAGAATGCTTATTGATGTGGTTAGATACTATGGAAGACACGTGGAGGTATCTAGTTGTGTCCTGATTGTGCTGAACTGGTTCAGTCTGAAGGTTGGGCTTGAACTCTGAAGACCTGCAACGCAAGAATCCTCAAAGGCCCTAGACTCGAGAGAGCCCTCCGATGGTTAATTCGGTAGGTTGTGAAGGGGAGCTGTTTGTTGATAGAGTAGCTATTACCTTTTGTGTGCATGAGGGTCTCCTCATATACCAAGGTTTCTTTGGGCTCAACTCTAGGTGAACATATGGCTTAGCTCCTAAGTTATGTAGGTGTAAGGACTAGAGTGTTCTTGAACGGCTCCTTGCTTTGTTGGGTGAACCATTGGTAAAATACTACGTGGAGAGGTATACTTTATACCATATTCACTTATTTTTCTTGCTATCCACACATATTAGGAAATTCAAAAACTATCTTTGCCCCACTCCCCATAAATTGGTTCTTGGAGATAGCACCTGCAAACTTTTTGGAGCATTGCTTAATAAGTATAATTATTGTACATATTTGTTCTTGTATGGAAAAACTTGCAAAGAGTTATAAATGTCAAAAAGAGAGAGAGAGAAGGTTACAGTAGGATAATGCTACATGAAACAAAAAAATGTTAACTAATTTTAAACGAATTTATACAATGCAGGAGTAGTAATATTATACAACTTTGGGTCATTTATTTCATGTGTCTATTCTTGTAAAATTTATTAAAATTCATTCATCGTATGCATTTTTATCCTTTGCAATAATATGAAGAGTATTGCATTTTCTATGGTTTACTTGTAAGACATATTATTTGGAGCATCATAGTTTACTTGTTTGTCAAAAATAAAAAAAACCAATGATTATCAACTTGATTACAAAAGGCCATAGGGTGCATTTCGTATGGCCAAGCAAAGTGTTACTTTTGCCATAAATTCGTAAGTTAAATAATATGTGGTAGTATCATTTTGAATAGCACTTCAAGTTTCTGTCTTGCTGTGCCTAGAAAGATATTTTGAGTCAAAATCAGTAATCAAAAGTTAATTTTTCTCACTCCAGCAAAAGTTACAAAATTTAGTTAAAATCCAGAAGTAAATTGTGCATTAGAGTTGAACTAATTTCAAACAAACAATTTTTGTGTGACTTGAGATTTTATGAGGACAAGATTGAAAAGTAACTTAAATCAAGTGATTGGAAACACACTTATTATAGGTTTAGAGTTGTTACATCAAGTCATTAAAGTTTAGAAGTATCATTACTTCTGCAGTTTGATAGGTTTCTGCAATTAAATTAATTAACTGACCTTTTTTCATTGCATCCATATTGATTCTCATTTCTTTAATTGTTGTGTAATAGACAATTTTGATGAGCAAAATGAGGAAACTAACTAAGGAAGGGTTGCTTAGGACAGACAAAAGAGTCAGCCTCATGAATGAAATCTTGGCTTCCATGGATGCTGTGAAGTATGGTTCAAGTCTAAGAAGAATAGTTCTTATATTTTCAGTCTCATGCCATTTAAAGTGGTTGTTTTGATGGTATACTGAAATATTTCAGATGTTATGCATGGGAGAAGAGCTTTCAATCCAGAATTCAAAGCGTGCGGGATGATGAGTTGTCATGGTTTCGCAGTGCACAATTACTATCTGCTGTATGGAACAAACTGTATATCTTGGAATTTATTTTATTGCTACTCTTGCAAGAATATGCTTCACTTGTTCGATTTAAAATTATATTCATAGTGACATCTAGAAAACCGTGAATGTAACCTAAACTACTAGGTACGATTTGTCTTGTTTTTTAACAATTGCCAAAATTTGTATCACCTACATCCTACCACCTCTGGAGTTGTGTATACCTATGTGTTATGGTAAGTATTTTTACCTTTTTTTCTGAAAAAGAAAAGCTCGTGTGCTTAATTTTGACTCATAGAGTGAGTATGCAACTACATTCTGCTAGAGAACAAGTAGCTATGCATAATGTTAAAAAAAATTCTCCGAACAATGCTTTTAACATGTATGTCATCTTTTTTTTTTTTTTTTGCTTCTCTAATTTGTAAATTTGCATATCAGTTAATCGAATTTATTGTAGTTATAATGATTTGCTCCTCTAATGTGTAAATAAGCATATCAGTTAATCTAATTTGGTAGAATTATAATGATTTCCAATGGGACACTATAACTAAACACTTAAAGAGCATGATTTGTCACTTCTTTTGTTGCATAAGTGATGCTGATCCTAAGCATGCAAATGAAACACTAACCGGATTATGGCAATTTTTCCATACTGCTAGTATTAAATTTATTTGAAAATTACATGTGCATTGACTGACTATTTCCCTTCTATTGCAGTTCAATAGTTTTATACTGAACAGCATCCCAGTTGTTGTGACACTGGTTTCATTCGGCGTGTTCACCTTGCTTGGCGGAGATTTGACACCTGCAAAGGCATTTACGTCACTCTCTCTGTTTCAAGTGTTAAGATCCCCTCTAAACATGCTTCCTAACTTACTAAGCCAGGTTCTGTGATTTTTTCTTTTTCACTAATTATACTTCACAATATTCAATTGTTGATGATATCAGCATTGCCTTTGTATTAAGATATATATTAGCTGTAAATATTATTATTATTATTATTATCTTCTAGATATTAGGAGTGTTAATGTTATCCCTTAATTTAAGGGACTCTAGTTATGTTTATCTTTATCCCTAGATTAGGTAGTTTCCTACTCGACTCTAAGACTCATTGTATATATATTCGATGCATTGTAACCTACATAAGAGTGAATATATAATTTTTCTTCTCAATTTTCTTCAACATGGTATCAAAGCTTTAGGGTTTCTTTGCTGAAATTCTTTACGACCTTCATTCATTGTCGGTTTTCTTCTGTTTTTTTTTTCCACAGCCTTAATTGCTGTAATTTTTTCATAGTTCTTTTGTTTCTAAACCTTTTATTCCTTCACTATGTCTACAACTCGAAACTTCCATCTCGGAGGAAGTAAATTCCGTCCAAAAACCCGATGAGTTACAAAACATTAAGGCCTCCTATCGACTTAATGGAAAAAACTATCCGAAGTGGTCTCAATTCATTCGCACATACCCGAAGGGTAAAGGAAGACTTAACCATATCACAGGAAAGGGACCAAAAAAGAAAAACCCGGCATTTGACGCATGAGATGAAGAGGATTCAATGATTATGTCATGGCTTTGGGACTCGATGGATCCTACCATTAGTGACACCTACATGTTTCTTGCTTCGCAAAAGAGATTTGGGAGTTTATCCGGCGTACCTACTCAAAGGATTGTGATGCGACCGGAATTTATGAGGTAAAAATCAAAGCTGGGCAACAAAACAAGGAGATAAAGCTGTTACGAGAATATGCCAATATCCCGCATAATTTATGGCGGGAACTTGATCATTATCGCGTATTTGAGATGAAGTGTGTAGAGGATGCTGCAATCTTAAAGAATTTTATTGAGAAAGATCGGGTGTATGATTTTTTGGCTGGTTTGAACCCGAATTTGACCAAGTAAGATTCTAGATTATTGGCAAAGAAGAGATGCCATCATTGGAAGAGACAATTTCGTTGATTAGAGCCGAGGAAAGCGGAAGAAACATTATGCTCGAAGTCCCAACAACGAAGGGTCTCGCACTAGCAACAAAAGGAGATCAACGGGAGAGAAAGAGGACCGACAAATATCCTCGGTTGAAGGATAATAGAGACAACATGTGGTGTACATATTGTAAGAAGTCGAGACATACCAAAGAAAGATGCTGGAAATTAAATGGTAAACCACCAAGTCATGAGTGGGGAAACCGTGGAGGACAACCAAGGTTCCAGCAAAAATCTCAACATCAAGCTCACTCGAGCAAAACAAGTCAATGAGGAAGTAAAGATGGATAATGGTGGATTCAATAGTGTGGAGATAGAAAAAGCTGAAAAACTTATTAGGTTCTCTTGAAAAACCATCCGGGGCTTGTTCATTGGCTCTTTCGGGTAAGTCTTCATTCTCCACATGCATGTATGTCTCGGATACAACCTATACCAATTCATGGATAATTGATTCGGAGCCACATACCACATGACTCATTCATCACAGCTTTTCCATACCTATAACACTCGCCCTAGTAATAGGAAGATCATAGTGGCAAATGGATCCTTGGCTACTCGTTGTAGGTGTAGGAAACATCATGGTTACACCTACTCTCACTCTTAAAAATGTACTCCATGTGCCAAAATTATCAACCAACCTAGTGTCAATCAAAAAACTTGCTCATGATCTTAAATGCTTTGCAATTTTTTCTCCTTCTTACTGTGTTTTGCGGGATTAGGGCTCGGGGAGGAAGATTGGATTTGCTAAGGAAAGGAATGGCCTCTATCATCTTGATTCTTCTCGGAGTATTATGAATAATTTGTCCGTGTCTTTGTTTAGTTCTTCCAATAAAGAGGCCATTTGGCTCTATCACATTCGTCTTGGTCATCTTATGTTTAGAGTCCTTAAATTCATGTTTTCTAACTTGTTCAAAGGATTAGACATTTCGGATTTTCATTGTGAAATTTGTGAGTTGACAAAACACACTCGTATATCTTTTCCTATCGGTTATCAAAGAAGTTCTAAACCTTTTCATTTGATCCATAGTGACATATGGGGCCCTTCTCCTGTTTCAAATATTTCGGTGCTAGATGGTTTGTTACCTTGATAGATGATTGTACTCGAGTTACTTAGCTTTATTTACTCAAACAAAAATCCGATGTTAGCATTGTTATCCCTACTTTCCTTTCTATGATTCACAATCAATTTGGGGTCAAAATTAAGAATTTTAGGTCGGACAATGCTAGGGACTACTTCAACCACACATTGACTCCATACTTTCAACAACGAGAGAATCATTCATGACTCCTCTTGTGTTGACACACCCTAACAAAACGAGGTGGCTGAACGCAAGAATGGGCACTTACTCAATATGGCTAGGGCCTTACTTTTTCAAGGAAATGTTTCAAAATCTTATTGGGGGAGGTCGTCCTCACAGCCACTCATATGATCAATAGATTGCCCTCTCAAGTTTTATCCCATAAAAGTCCCATGGAAGTCCTCAATACCTTCTATCCGGAGTTTCGAATTTCTAATGGACTCATTCCTAGGGTATTTGGTTGCAAAACCTTTGTTCACTTTCATAGTCATCAAAGAGGAAAGTTAGATTCTCGAGCACACAAGTGTGTTTTCCTTGGTTATTCTTTTACACAAAAAGGCTACAAGTGCTATAATCCTCTCACTAAAAAATTTTATGTTTCAAGTTGATGTCACTTTCACGAGAAAACCAGCCATACTTCAAAAAGTCCTATCTTTAGGGGGAGACTACATCACTACTAGAAGATAGTACTTTTGATAGTACTTGTACTCTTGATTTCCCTAATCGTCCGGTAGAGTCGAGTTCCATCTCCCGTTCTTGGTTCTCCATTAGAGTCTGTTCCTAATCCAAAACGAGTCAATTATCAATTCCTAATCCTACAAAATCTAATCCGAATCCAACCCGAGTTCTAGAAATTGTATATTCTCGAGATTCGGATCGGGTTATTCATAATGATCCGAGATTTTCACGGGTATATACTAGAAGGATCGTTCCGGACACCGCAACAAGTTCAAGAATCCTACCCGGACTCGACAAAAACCCTATGGTAAGATCCGATCCAACCCTAAGCACACAATCGGTAGAACCACTCAATGACCTTCCCATAGCTATCGGAAAAGGTAGTAGAGAATGCACCAAAAGACCTATGTACCCATTGTCTCACTATGTGTCACTTAAAAACCCGTCACCAAACCATAGACAATTCATTACCAGCCTCAACATCATTTGTATCCCCACTATCGTATCCGAGGCATTGTCAAAAAGAGAATGGAGAAATGCCATGAAAGAGGAGATGGTCGCTCTCAGAAAAGAATCAAACATGGGAGATTGTGGATAAACCAAAGGGGAAGAACATAGTCGATTGTAAGTGGATTTTTACACCTAAGTATAAGGCTTATGGATCACTTGAGAGGTATAAAGCAAGGTTGGTGGCTAAGGGATATACTCGGACTTATGGGGTAGACTATCGGGAGACATTTGCACTGTGGCAAAGATGAACACCGTTAGGATTCTGCTATCCCTAGCGAGCACATTTTGATTGGCGAATGTTACAATACGATGTGAAGAATGCATTTCTTCATGGAGACCTAGATGAAGAAATTTACATGGATGTTCCTCCGGGATTTGAAGAAGAAACAGAGAATAAAGTTTGTAGGTTGAAGAAGGCCCTTTATGGACTAAAACAATCACCAAGAGCATGGTTTGGAAGGTTTATTAAAGTTATGAAAGCTTTTGGATACCAACAGAGTTAGGGTGATCATACCCTTTTCATAAAGCACTCATCAACATGGGGAGTGACAACGACTTCTAGTGTATGTAGATGACATCATCATCACTGGGAATGATGAAAAGGAAAAACTAGAATTGAAACAACGACTGGTTAAGGAATTCGAGATAAAGGAGCTTAGGAGATTGAAGTACTTCCTAGGTATTGAGGTGGCATACTCCGAAAGGGGATTTTCATATCTCAACAAAAATATGTGGTTGATTTATTAAAGGAGACGGGAAAAATTGGATGTAAGCCAATATCTACACCCATTGAAGCTAATTAAAAACTCGGAGAAGCCAAAGAAGAACCTCCAAGTGGATGGAAAAATGTATTAGAGGCTAGTAGGGAGGCTCATCTACCTTGCACATACTCAACCGGACATAGCATACTCGTAAGTGTGATCGGTCGGTTCATGCATGATCCGAGGGAGTCACATTTACAAGCCGCTTATAGAGTGTTACGATATTTGAAAGGAAATCCGGAAAAGGAATCCTGTTCAAAAGAAAAAGGGATCTTGCTCGTTGAAGTCTACACCGATGCAGATTATGGAGGATCTATAATGGATAGAAGATCAACTACCGGTATTGTATGTTCCTTGGAGGTAATCTTATAACTTGGAGGAGTAAAAAACGGAATGTTGTGGCTAGATCCTCTGCTGAATCAAAATTCAGAGCAATTGCTCAAGGTTTGTGTGAAATGTTGTGGCTGAAGATTATCCCGGATGTCTTGAGAATCAAGTGGGAAGGTCCTATGAAACTCTACCGTGATAACAAATCTGCTATCAACATTGCTCATAATCCTATACAACATGATAGGACTAAGCATATTGAGATTGACAGGCATTTTATCAAAGAAAAGCTAGAGGAGGGATTAGTATGCTTATCTTATGTTCCTACGGGATACCAACTTGCAGATGTTCTTACCAAAGGGTTGAATAGCTCCAATTTTCATGATAATATTTCCAAGCTAGGAATAGAAGATATCTATTCCTCGACTTGAGGAGGAGTGTTAAGATATATATTAGTCGTAAATATTATTATTATTATTATTATTATCTTCTAGTTATTAGGGATGTTAATGTTATCCCTTAATTTAAGGGACTCTAGTTATGTTTATCTTTATCCCTAGATTAGGTAGTTTCCTACTCGACTCTAGGACTCATTGTATATATATTCGATGCATTATAACCTACATAAGAGTGAATATATAATTTTTCCTCTCAATTTTCTTCAACACTTTGATGTAAACAGATTCCCCACCTCCCCACCCCCCAAAGGAGCATTTTGTCCTACATTCCTATAATTATGTGCAGTCGGCTGTGTGAAAAAAACCGAATGGTCTAAAGGACCTGCTTTTTCTAAAATTTATTAAAAAATTATAAACCTAATAATATTATTACTAAAAATTCCTTGTAAAGAAGTCTTCTATCCCAAAAATCCAAAAATAATTTTTTCATACCAAAATATTTTGTTGGGTTTTTTATAGCAGACATTTTTATAGAAGGTTTTTAGTAATTCTGCCAAAACTTAGCTGGAGAGACATAACTTTATTTTCTTGTATAATTCTATCCCAAGACAAATTTATCACGTTCTTCATTCAATGTATGGCCTTTATTATGTGCTTACAACAAAATTAATGTCATAGTTAAGAGCTTTCCTTTCATGTCTGCAGTATTACTCATATTGGTTGAATAGTTTCTTATGTCTAATAGTAACTTGTTTTGTAGGTTGTGAATGCAAATATATCATTGCAACGCTTGGAGGAACTGTTTTTAGCTGAAGAGAGAATTTTAGCACCAAATCTGCCTCTTGAACTTGAAATTCCAGCCATCTCAATTGAAAATGGAAACTTTTCATGGGATTCAAAGGTTAACTTCTTAAACTTACCTATCTGGGAAATAATCTCGTGGTGATGGTAAATAAACATCATTATTTCTTGCAGTCTACTTATTGATGTTAACTCTCAGACATGCTTCCTGTCCAAGAAATCTTATAATCTCCTGCTTTTTCCAGTTAGGAAAGCCAACTTTATCAAATATCAATTTAAACATACAAGTAGGCAGCTTAGTCGCAATTGTTGGTGGGACTGGAGAAGGAAAAACGTCGCTTATATCAGCAATGCTTGGAGAACTGCCTCCTACAGAAGATGCATGTGTTGTTATACGAGGGATTGTTGCATATGTTCCCCAAGTTTCATGGATCTTCAATGCTACTGTGAGTTACAGCTAAGTTTCTTCTTTGTTAATTAATTTAGGTCTCTTATCTAATGATAAAATATTCTGTATCTTTGTGCTTCTCTGGTGATTCTCATATTTTGCATTAATGTGGTGCACATTTCTGACATAGAAAATCCTTTCTTACAGGTCCGTGACAACATATTATTTGGGTCAGAATATGAACCTTCACGATATTGGAAAGCTGTTGATGTAACTGCATTAGAACATGATCTCGACTTACTCCCAGTTGAGTGCATTCCTTTCTTTTTTAACTCTTGAATTCTTCTGTTTAGTTTGAAATATCTCTTATATTATTACCTCATTATTGTTTATTCAGGGCCATGACCTAACCGAGATAGGTGAACGAGGAGTCAATATTAGTGGTGGGCAGAAGCAAAGAATTTCCTTGGCTAGGGCTGTCTATTCCAATTCAGATATATACATATTCGATGACCCTTTAAGTGCTTTAGATGCTCAAGTTGGTCAACAGGTATTAGGTCATGTTAAACAGTATAAGCTCACCCCAAAGTTAATTTGATCACTTGTGCTATATTTTTTAGCGAGGTTTATATGTCTACTCTTTATTACTAAGCTTATGTTATACAAAATGAACATTCTATAACTTCATTCCAACAATGTTATTCCTTGAAGAATAAGATAAAAGTTGCAGAGAATTTCTTAATGTTTCCTTTTCATAGTATTCTACTGTATTATGACTTTGACTATCTCTAGCTTTACACATCCAAGCTCTAAATGTGAGCTTCCCTTTAAGCTAGATATTATCCTAATCTCAAATTATTTACAGGTCTTCAACAGTTGTATTAAGGAAGAGTTGCAAGGAAAAACCAGGGTTCTTGTCACAAACCAGCTACATTTTCTTCCACAAGTGGATAAAATTATTCTTCTCAGTGAAGGTATGATTAAAGAGGAGGGAACCTTTGAGGAACTCTCTAAGAATGGCAAGCTGTTCCAGAAGCTGATGGAAAATGCAGGGAAAATGGAAGAAAAAGAGAACAGTGAAAATGTGGACTACAAACGCTCAAAACCAGCAGCTTATGGAGGAAATGATTTGCCACAAAAAGCAGGCAACACAATGAAAGGGAAAGGAGGGAAGTCTGTACTTATCAAGAAGGAAGAACGAGAAACAGGTGTTGTCAGTTGGAATGTTTTGATAAGGTAATATACAAGGCTTATTTAAGATTCTTGCAATATTGTATTTCTTCGATAGTTTGGGCAATTTCTAACAATGCCTTAGGATAAAGATCCGTTTCTGATTTCATCCTACCAATGTTTATATGATGCCCACAACCCAAGCATACAAATCAAGTTTATGGGTAAAGACCTCTGTGATTTACCAAGGAAACTTCAATGCAAGTCAGACTTGAAAACATTATTCAAGGTCTTTAACTGCTGTACCACAATTGTGGCCAAGGTAGCACTGGATATCCTGAATAGTAGTGATGCTCAAATGCTCATATTATAGATGCAAAAACATTTTGCATCAACTGGATGCCAACTACTTACTGTAGATGTTCCCATGTTATACAGTGTCTTTGTAGTTTTAAGCACTGCAGTAAGATTTGACTGGAAATATAGTTGACCCTTTGCTATGCATGGAGGCTTGAAACCTCGTGGTACTAACATTGTTTCAACTGTTGGCCATTCTGATATTTGGATACATTAATATTTACTAGTTTCTCAATAGCATGTATGCTGGTCATAAACATGATAGATTCAAAGAGAAGTTTGTTGTTCTTGTACTTAACATTTTTATGTCCATTTTCAGGTATAAAAATGCTTTAGGAGGCATATGGGTGGTTTTGATAATTTTTTTGTGCTACTTATTAACTGAAATTCTCCGAATTTCAAGAAGTACATGGTTGAGTTTTTGGACAAATCAAACCACTTTGGAGAGCTATATGCCAGGATACTACATTTTCGTTTATGCTCTTCTCTCATTTGGTCAGGTTTGTTCACAGCCAATAATTGGCATCAATATCTTAGAGGCACAATATATTGTAAGATTTTAGCTGGAAAAATAAAGAAATAATAATTTAATCCCTTATACTTTCTTTCATCTACAGTGGTTTTTTTTTTTTAACATAGATAACAGATATGGAAACAAAAAGAGAATCAGTGAGGAAGAAACTTTAGAATTTATGTAATTGCTATGGTCATTGGAGTCTTACTTCATATTTCTGGTTCAGGTGACTGTGACACTGGTGAACTCTTATTGGTTAATCAGCTCAAGTCTCCATGCAGCCAAAAGACTTCATGATGCCATGCTAGATTCTATCCTACGAGCTCCCATGCTATTCTTCCACACTAACCCAACTGGGAGGATGATCAATAGGTTTGCGAAGGATCTAGGTGAAATAGATCGTAATGTTGCCAATTTTGCCAACAATTTTCTAAACCAAGCCTGGCAGCTGCTTTCAACTTTTGTGCTGATAGGCATTGTGAGCACAATATCATTGTGGGCCATAATGCCACTTCTGATCTTATTTTATTCGGCGTATCTATATTATCAGGTATGATGAGAAATCCCTAGTTATTTTTTTGGAAACTTGTATGGCTTTTGCAATGAATGTAACTTTAGTATTTTGTTTGGGATGTTCTATGAGGTGGGTTCTGCAAAGTATCATTTTCTTGTTGTTTTATTCCTTCCACATGTAAAGAGATATCTTCCTAAATAAGCCCAGTCAGGTCCTAAATAAGTCAAATTTGCATGTCTTTTAAAATTTAGAATAACCTTAGACCACTGGCAGTTAGGAGGCTGACTCTTTAAGAGGTAATTTTATTTGGGAAAAAAGACTTGTTAATTCAAATAATGGTAAGCATGCTGAAATCCAATAGACAATATTGGACCCATTTTGATGGACTTGGGCTATGTATGTAGTTCTGAGCTTCAATGCTGGAAGTTAGTGACTGCATTCTAGTTGGTCAAATCCTGTCAAGAGATATACTACCATTCAAAATGTTGTCTCTGTAGTGGCCTTCAGCTTCTCCTTTCAGTTTATTTGAAGAATTATCTCAAGGAGAACAGATTTTCATATGTCAGAATTCATGTAAGCTCAATTAGAAGATCTTCAGCAAGAAAAGAAAATCTACACCCTTCAGCTATGTACATGTTTAAAGCATGTCTCCTGTCACCTGTTGTTTGAATATCTCATTTTAACTCCTCATGGTCACAGTTTCTGCCAGCATATATTGCCATTAATTTTGAATTAACATTTTATGTTCGTTATTTCATCTTGTCATTATTACATTTACAAGTTTTAATGACTATACTCATGCACTGTGTTGTACAGAGTACATCCCGTGAAGTGAAACGTCTGGATTCCATTACCAGGTCTCCAGTTTATGCACAATTTGGAGAAGCATTAAATGGTTTGTCAAGTATTCGTGCATATAAAGCATATGATTGGATGGCCATCATCAATGGCAAGTCTATGGACAATAATATCAGGTTTACTCTGGTGAATATTAGTTCAAATCGTTGGCTTACCACAAGGTTGGTAACATTAGGAGGGATCATGATTTGGTTGATAGCAACATTTGCAGTTTTGGGTAATGGAAGAACAGAAAATCATGTGGAATTTGCATCTATAATGGGTCTACTTCTTAGTTATACTTTGAACATCACTGATTTGTTGAGTGGCGTTTTAAGACAAGCCAGTAGTGCTGAAAATAGCTTAAACTCTGTTGAGCGTGTTGCCACCTATATAGATTTACCCTCTGAAGCTCCAGCCATAGTCCAAAGCAATCGTCCTCCTCCTGCTTGGCCTTCATCAGGATCAATTAAATTCAAGGATGTTGTTCTACGCTATAGGCCCGAGCTTCCTCCAGTCTTACATGGTTTGTCCTTTGCAGTCTCACCTAGTGAAAAGCTAGGAATAGTTGGAAGAACAGGAGCAGGGAAATCTAGCATGCTAAATGCATTGTTCCGTATTGTAGAACTAGAAAGAGGAGAAATTATTATAGATGGTTGTGATGTTTCTACGTTTGGACTCACAGATTTGAGGAAAGTTCTCAGTATCATACCCCAATCACCACTTCTCTTCTCAGGTACTTTGTCAAGAGAAACTGAAAACTGGATTTTGCTAGTTCAACTTCTTTTCTTATGTTGACATCCATATATTGGCTTTTGGATGAGTTGGGGTGATTTATGCTCTTTTTCTGTTTTGTTTTTGTTTCCACTTGAAATCTTGGTAATCAAGAATATTTGAGATTTGATCGAGACACCGTAGGCAATCTGAAGCCACTTTGGGATTACTTTCAACACTTATGTCATTGTAATTGTCGCTCATTTTTTTTATAGGAACTGTGCGATTCAATCTCGATCCATTTAGTGAACACAATGATGCTGACCTATGGGAGGCTTTAGAGAGGGCACATTTAAAGGATGCCATTAGAAATAATCCTTTTGGTCTGGATGCTGAGGTATGCCCTTAGATTAACTCTTATCAAACTACCTTCTGTCAGTGAATCTTAAACTGTCAAACTTTGTTAGGAATTCTTACATTCGAAATGCATTTCATATTATTTATAAATTTTTTTTTTTTTTGGTTATAATGGTGTAACAAAAGCTAATATTAAGCTCATATGGGTGGAAATAGTGCTCTGGTGCAAACATTCTGTAAAAAATATGCCATTGAATTTGATTAAAGCTGATTTGAAGTCAAAGAATTGTTTTTAAGACATTTTTTTTCAGATGTGCACAATATTAAGTTGATGATAATGTAATGCAAACTGTAATGTTGATTTGTTATGGTGTCAAGGTTTTTGAGGGAGGGGAGAATTTTAGTGTTGGACAGAGGCAACTTCTAAGTCTCGCACGAGCACTGCTGCGAAGATCTAAGATTCTTGTTCTCGATGAAGCTACTGCTTCTGTTGATGTTAAAACTGATGCTCTTATACAGAAAACCATTCGAGAAGAATTCAGATCCTGCACAATGCTAATCATTGCTCACAGACTGAATACCATTATTGACTGCGACAGAATTCTTGTGCTTGAGGCTGGACAGGTTTGCGCTCAAATTTGGTTTCTGAGGAAGTTCCTTGTTTCCAACTTTCATGGAAATCTAAAGCTTGTTTAACACAAACCTGAAAATTTAATGGCCATAAGAAATAGCGGTAATCATTAAGAACTTTCATGCTAACGGCTAACCAACTTCCTTCAAAATTGTCATGATTCTGATATTCTTTTATAATTATTCTTTATTAACAAGTTAGAATCTTCAAACTTTCAGGTTCTAGAACACGCTACTCCGGAGGAACTGCTATCAAATGAAGGAAGCGCATTCTCTAGGATGGTTCAAAGTACAGGGACAACAAATGCGCAGTACCTGTATAGCCTGGTGTTTGAAAGTAAAGAGAATAAGTTGAGTAGAAAAGGGAAGGATGACCTGAGAAGATGGATAGGCTCTTCAAGATGGTCTGCTGCTGCACAGCTAGCCATGGCTATTAGCCTTACTTCATCAGAGAATGATCTTCGAATGTTGGACGTTGAAGATGAGGACACCATCCTCTGGAAAACAAAAGATGCAGTTATAACACTGCAGGATGTCCTCGTGGGGAAGCATGACGAAGTGATATCTAGTACACTGCAACAATGCCAAGCTCCCCAAGATAGATGGTGGTCTTCTTTCTACCGAATAATTGAAGGTACACAATATAACCCTGCATGCATACATTATATATACGGATACGAAAGGATATCTTTACCGTTTAATTGCATGCATGTACGAGCATTTTACTCGTGGAAGAAGTTGATTTGATAGGACAACCTTGGCGAGCTCTAGCTTTAGTGAATTTGGATGATTAGGGATAGGTGGTTTTGCTTTCTCTTATCTGATTGGTTTCTTGTTTCAGGTCTGGCTTTGATGAGCAGGTTGTCGCACAATAGGGTTCAGCAATTGGAATATGATTACGAAAATGAACTCCTTGATTGGGACAATATTGAAAATTAGGGAAAAATGGGAAATGTGATGTTCTAAGAAATGAATTTAGTCACAGCTTCAACAGAATAAGGTATGCTGGTAACTCAATCGAGCAAACATCCAAATGCGTAGCGAATTTCAGATGGTACTGCTGAAAGTAAAGAGAACCCCTGATGATAATTTTTTGTACTTAGCTAGTGAAATCCCACCATATTGTGTTAGTGATCATAGTCCCTCCCATATTTGGGAAATTTAGCATCCGAACTTGATGAACTAAGCTAGTGTTAGGCATCCCAGGCCACTACATGATATTATTACTTCTTGTTTACCCCTGATAATCTCTCCACCAAAACAGCCAACCCCTTTTTCCCTAAGATTTATGTCATCTTCCTGAGCTAACAAAGCCAAATCTCCCGACATACCTAGTCCGCAAAATTTGACAAAAACTTATTGCAAGGTACTGTCCAGCACATAAATTAAACCAAATCAAGCAATCATCTTCCTGCGTATGCCAGACTTTCTCCACCTTGAGGGGAATTTTGTTGAATACAGAGATTGCAAGGCTTGACCTAATGAGCAAAGATGAAATGAAGGGCCAAGATTAAATTATTGAGTAAATTAGGTTTTTATTGTGAGCCTGTAACTGTAAGGAGGGCTTTCCACTTTGTGAAGGGGAGGATTTTTGGTTCCGCCCCCCCCCCCCCCCCGCCCCACCAGAGAATTGAAACCTGTCTTTTGTCTTGAATTCGTTTATTAAATTATAACTTAGTCCCTATAGTTTAGCAAAATTAGTTAAGTAGTTTTCATGGGTTCATAAACTATTTATTTAATTCTTATGTTTTTAAATTCATTTATAATTTAATATTTTTTTATCTAATATTTTATTTTTTTTCAATTATTTTGATTTTTATTTTAAGACATAGGACAAAGGGAGAAAAAAGTATATAGGAATAGGATGAAAAGGTTGAAGATCAACGAGAAAAAAATATATTTTTTAAAATAAAATATTATTAAATTAAGATGAAAAGATTAAGTTATGATCATGATCGTCTCTCTTTCATTTTTTTTTTTTTTGTTATTATTAGTCTTAATAAGAAATTGTATCTATTTAGAAATCAATTATTTTTGGAGAATTTGTGTTCTTTCCATAGAATGTTGTATGACTGTAAGTATAAAGATATGACATCTAGTTTTTTATTTTTTTTAGCAAAACTTTCATCACTCAATCAAATAAATCATATCAATCGCTCCTTAAAACATTAAATTTGTTTTAGCTTTATTGTTATTTTTGTTATTGTTTTCTTGATATTTTTTCTTAATTTATTTTTATTTTTTCTTTATTTCAATATTTTTTTTCTAATTTTAGCTTTATTGTTTTTTTTTTAATTGTTTGCTTGATATTTTTTCTTAATTTATTTTTTATTTTGTTTTATTTCAATATTTTCTCTTGTTTGGTAGCCAAACATAACTGGCTTACATCATCAGGATAATTTTACTTATGCATCGAGGCCAGAAGTTTAGAAAGTTTTAGCCACTCATACCTTTTATCGTAACAAAAATCCCAAGAATTATAGCATAACTAACCACTGTAATATTATGTTATTTTACATTAATCCTGATGTCTTTATAAATATAAATTTCTAAGATATTTTACTATTAATATCAAGTCTGTAAGGGCTTTCTACTTTGTAAAGCAGAGGATTTTTGGTAATTCTTTTTTTTTTTTTTTTAATATTATTACAGTTCAGAGAATTCAAAATTATCTCTTGTCTTGGAATTTTTTTATTAAATATATAATTTCAATCTTGCTATGTTTGATTCTTGAATTTGTGTGTGATACAGATATTGATTTATTTTTAAGCTTTGCTGTAAAGTTTATAGGTGCTTTGGCATGTAGATATCATTACTTTGGAGAAATTTTGAGCATATTTTGTGGCTATAGGAATTATTTTACAAGTTTTTATTCAATATCATATTTATATTTACAATATTTACATTATATTTATAATTATATTACATTGCATAATTACATATATATAATATAAAATAATTTTTTTTCATTTAAACTGCAACCATTGTTTCCATAGTTATTTTAATCAAAAACATTTTTTTTTTCGCATGTAAAAGCCATGCGTTGACAGTGATAAGGAAAAATTAGATATATGGAATTTTTTTAAGGGTTAAATAGATACAAAAATATTTGAAAGGGTATTTTTGGATAATTTTTTTTACAAGATTGGATAATTATTCTTTAATTGTTTTTTTCTTTAACCTTATAGTATGCCCTTGTATCTATGTTCAACCTATAAATTTGTTCCTTTATCTTCAATTCAGTTATCTACCCTCATGTTTTTCTATTAAATAAATTATTTAATTGTCATTGTTTTAAAAATTAATTATTTAGTTGTAAATTAATTGTTATAAATTAATTATTGAGTTATCTACCCTCATGTTATGCAGTTATCCAAATATATTTTTGAATTGTTATAAATTAATTGTTTTTATTTTTTAATTTATTTGGATATTTTGTTTTAAAAAAGAAAAAATTTACATGTTTTGAAATAAAATAATATTAAATCAAACATAGTAAATAACGATTAAGAGATTAGATAATTAATTTTTGAAACAAGAAAAATTAATTAGTTTGTTTTTTGAAAAAATAGAAGGACTAATTTGTAATTTACTCATCAAATGATTCATATTTCTTCTATAATTTTTTATTTTTATTTTTATTTTTTAAAGTGAGTAAAATCTAAATAAAGAATAAAACAGAATCCTAAATTAAAAAACTCTAGTTTTTACAAAGATAAAAACGATCTTCCACCCCTTGTTTTTACAAAAACTTAAACTAAAGAACTTTTATTCTTAATTTACAAATTTTTTTCGTCTCCTTTCAATTTCGCATTCTATTCTAATAAGTAAATTTCTAAATTTCAAATTAATTGTAAATAGATATAAAATCTAAATTAATAAAAACTCATTTTTTCTATCTCTCTTAATGATTGGACAGATCATTGAATGTCATATCACCTAAAGCTAACATTTGATCTAGATAAAACTTAGTAATCAGCCCTAATTGACTCAAATTGAATAATATAAGGGTACATTGATTAAATTGGAAATATAAGAACAAAATTGATGATTGAACACAAACACAAGGGCAAATTATAGGGTTAAAACCATTTTTTCCCCATCCCTGTATGGTTCTATAGCGCTATACTTTGCAACTATTTTAAAAAATAATTCTAGGAGTTGGTATCATTGTAAGAAATATTTACTATCTCATTTAATTGTTTAGACCGACATTTAAGATAATTTATTAAATTATTTTTATTGTATCAAATTGATATAAAAGATTTATATTTAAGATAATTTGAAGATATAACTTAGTTCCACTAACTCATAAGTTGATCGCAAAATATCACTCACTATTCATCAAAATATTTTAGAGAATAAATTCTAAATTAGTCCCTCTAATATTGAAAATAAATTAATTAGTCTCTTTTACTTTAAAAATTAATTATTTAGTTCTTATGATTTTTTACTCTTTCTTGTAATTGAATCTGTATTGTTCCTTTTTAATTTATTTTAAAGTTTTTTTTATAAATAGAAAAAAAATAAGTAAAAAATACAAAAAATTGATGAGAAAATATAACATTTTTTAAAATAAAATAATATTAAATTAACATGATCAACACTAGTCAAGAGATAAAACTATTAGTTTTTCAGACAATGAGACCAATTAATTTGTATTTGAAACAGAAATAGACTAATTAATAATTTACTCATGTTTTATAAAAGGGGTATTATTGGTAAAGTGCACTGTGAATTTTAGCAGACTTACTGGGCCACATCCACATTCTTTTTCGTTGAACACGTGAAATGACACATCCATGACTCACACATTCCCCCGTAGTATTTAAGACATGTCAGCCTCCATCTCAGTTTGTCAACTAATTATTGTCTTCACCTTTTCCTTTGGTATTCCATGAAAAAACAAAAAATATTGACTCCCAAGTCATTGTTTTTGTTCCTCAAAGTATTAAATATACGACTTTGGAAATGAAAAGACCACTCTCCCTCTCTTCCTGCTCATTGTTTATGTTCCTGAAGTTGAATCATAGATATCTTTCATTCTTCGAAGTACCAGTAGGATCATCGGAACCAGTAAGTTGATCATTCTTTCATTCAAACTATTTGTACTTGTGAATTGCTGTTCTACTTAGCTTTGTGTTCTCTTGACGCTGCTGCTCATTTGTTATGTTTCTTTGCTGTTTCTTTTTTTGTCTTCTGTTTTCCTCACTCTGTTTAATCAAGTAAGGTAAAAAAATTAAGCAGGTTTGGTTGGTGTAGGGCGGTGGGGAAAGATGGGTTTGGAGGCATTTGTTTGGTATTGTCGACCTATGGCAAATGGGGTTTGGGCAAAGAAAGTGGATAGTGGATTTGGTGCTTACACACCATGTGCCATTGACTTCCTAGTCATTTGCATTTCTCATCTGGTTCTTCTAGGCCTGTGTTTGTATCGAATATGGCTGACTATTGACAACAATTCCAAAGCTGAAAGATATTGTCTCAGGAGAAATTACTATAATTACATGCTGGGTTTTTTGGCTGCTTATTGCACAGTTCAGCCTTCATTAAGGTTGTTCATGGATGTCTCAATCTTCAATCTGGATGGCCAGACTGCCCTTGCTCCCTTTGAGGTACACGAGTTTAATTTCTCATTATTCTAGACTTTTAATGTTTCTCAAAAAAGATAACCTATACTTCTAGTTTAGCATTTTATGGCTTTCTTTGTTATGTTATGTTTTTTAATTCTTTCCTGAATGTGTATTGAACTTGTTCAATTGGAAGGTTACATGCTTACATCTTCTGACAGTTATTTTTGCACTGGAATTCTGGCTTCTTAGTGGGATGCTAAGTAGATTTTCTGTCCTTAACTTGCAGATGGTCTCCTTGATTGCTGAAGCCCTTGCCTGGTGTTGCACTCTTATTATGATTGGTTTGGAAACAAAAATATACATTCGACAATTCCGATGGTATGTGCGGTTTGGAGTCATTTATGTGTTGGTAGGGGAAGCCGCAATGCTCAATGTCATACTGTCAGTGAGTGATTACTACAGTAGGTTAGTAATGCTTCCATTCCCTGACTTAATAAATGAAGTCATACAAGTTCTATTTTTTATTTATTTTTCCCTTAGATTGTTGTGTCATTTAATTTGAGTAAGTTTGTTTCAGTGCCAAACCCCCATTTTCATCTATATTATTAAAGTGTCTGACATAATAATGTTTATCAACAACAGAGGCAAGCTATATATTGTACTATTGAGTGGAGAACCATTTCTTTGATTGTACAACGAGTGGTGCTAAGTTAACTAGTAGCCTTCCAGGGTAATAAACAAATAGATAGTAATGATGAGCATAATGAAAATATGGGCTTCTGCAAACTTTTTACAGTTGAGATTAAGGAAAAAAAAATATTCTGGAAGCTAAAATTCTGAATAAGAATAGATGTCCTGCCATCTTGTTTTACAGTCAAGACATTGTGCAATTTAGGCTAAAAATATTTGCAGAAATAAACTATTTTATCGATGAGAACTGGCATTACAGCTGTACAAGCCTCAACAAGTATGTTTGTAGCATATATGCAATGTGGAATGAGGTTGGATGGGCTTGAGATAAGAATGCATGAGCATTAGCAGAACTACCTTCTGGAGATCATATCCTCTCAGTTTATGTTGGGGTCAGCACTAAAAAACAGTTCTTTTATCAATGCAGATTTACGTTGTATATGTATATCAGCACAGTTTTCTGCCAGGTTCGTGGTCTTCTTTCATTTCTCATGTAATATAAAGATAACAGGCTATATCAACTCCTCTAATAACCTTATCTTTCTTCATGCTCCTTTAACCTATCATCCATTGTCCTTCAAAATAGGGCAGGTAAATGCTTATGCTAAGGTGGACATCTCTAGCTCTATCAAACTTGAAGTCGCTTGCTGTAGTCCTGGAAAACATTACAACTTGAGGCTAGCTTGGCCTGGCCTTACACATCAAATCAACAACATTTTTAAATTAAGCACCTAATAGGGAATCTCTATAGATATTTTTAGGGAAATCTTTTAAAGTTGGAGTTTGTGAAAATGACATGAAAGCTGCAGTTGTTTTGGCTGTGTTGATACTCATCAACTTATCTTTGTTAGGTTTCTCTAATGTTGGTAAAGTGGGGGAGTCGACAATGCCATGGATATTAGTATCTTAAGATCATAGGATGGAGCCTGTTGGAACTTCTAGTCTTATCCTGATGCTAAAGCAACCTATAGATATAATTTCTTTCCCAAAGTGCCTGACAGGTACTCTTTTTTTATAAGCGTTGATTAAATTGTTTCCACTTTTGTTCCATAGGCCACTGCAACATATTGTAGTCTAATTCCAACACAACCTAGAACTTGCTAGGGACTGTAGAATTTTGTATATTACAGATTGATAGCGAGATGATTGAGTTATTTAGAGTATACAGACATCAACAATAAATCTTGGTATAGAAATTAAATTTTGTTTCATTAGATAGACAAATTTCTTCATCATTCCCAAAATTGCACACGCCTCAATCATATTTTGCTGTGTGGCTACTTTTGTTGCAGATTTTGTTTGGGGTTCTTCTACTTGGTTATATCCCCAATTTGGATCCTTATCCAAATTATGTTCTGATGGAACCTCAGTCTCTTGATAATGGTGAATATGAAGCACTTCCTGAAAGAGAGCAAATATGTCCTGAGAGGCATGCCAATTTATTTTCTAGTAAGTAGTTCATTATTTACTGTTTTCAATGCCACGAGATTTTAGAAATCTTGCCTCTATTTCTCAAGCAATTTTTTAAGAGAGCAAAAGTAATGAACTGCATGTTGGCTAGAGGTCAAAGGTGTGGTTTCAATGATAGCTAAGTTGGTTGTCATCAATTTTTGAGCTGCTTATAAACATATATTGATTCATTGCCCTCTGCAAGGAATATCTTATGGATGGTTGAATCCACTCATGAAGCTAGCTCATAAAAGACCTATTAGTGAAAAGGATGTCTGGAAGTTAGACACATGGGACCAGACTGAGACATTGATAAAAAAGTATGCAACTCGTTCTTCTCTTTCATAGTCTTAAGTCAACCTCGTATCCCTTTTTTGCAAATGTTTTCAGCTTTTGCAGGTTCCAGACTTGTTGGGTTGAAGAGTCTCAAAGGCCAAAGCCATGTCTTTTAAGAGCGCTAAACAATAGTCTTGGGGCAAGGTATTGGTTGAATTGCAATTCTTATGTTGTTTCATCCCCTTCCATTTTGACACTAATTGGACTTTAAACATACCAAATGATGGCCTTATTATTGTGGATAATCCTTCCTAACAGATCCTGAATTATAAGTATTTTTTGATTGAGATCTTGAATAATTTCTTTATCTCTCTTTTTATTTTTTTCAACTTCTAAATTATAGGGTCTTTTGATTTACATGCCTTATGTTAGTTTTCTTCTTTTTCTCCATCAAATAGCATGCGAGTTCCATTTGTTTTCCTATTTCCTATAATATGTTCAAATACCATAAAAAAAAATGATTAAAAAAAAAAATCATCAACAAATCAGCCTCCACCAACATTATGACCAAAATATCTTCTAGAAATCAACCACTGAGTTTTTTTTTTCCTTGATGATTTTTATGTAAAAACATGTGGATTGTACGTTATATTTAACAACTAAAATGGATGAAATCTAAGATAAGAAATAAGAGTCAAAACATCCTACAGTTTAGGGGTTCAAATCAGAAAAACATATCAGGAGTGTCATAAAAAGTACCTGTAACACATGAGATGTTTGTAAAATTAGCTTATTGTCACAAAGAATATATATATTTACTATGGTCTGTATCCTTACTTTTTTCGGTTTTCATCTATACATTTTTCTGTAGGTTTTGGTTGGGAGGATTTTTTAAGGTCAGTTTTGCTTGGATTGTTAATTTGCTCTAACTTGTTTACTTTCTCAATAAATTATCATCCTTACTTCTTCTATATTGTAGTTTGAATTTGGTGAACCTGGAAGCTTGGATTTTTTAGTTTTATATTTTCAATTGCATGTTGGGCTATTATTGCTCTTGATTCATAATCTATATCAAAATTCTAGCCTCTATTATTATATTGTAGGCAATGCTCAGTTTCAACATTTATTAGGTATGTAACATGCAATATTTTTTTCCCTCTATTACCCTAATTTCGATTCAAACTGATTTTCTAGACTGAAACCCAACAAAGTGGAATTTAGAAACTCTCTACTAATGGCGCAAGTCATGTGAAGCTTAGTTTTTATTTTTGTTTTTACCTGTAGATTGGCTATGATCTTTTTGAACTTGTGGGACCTATTGTATTGAGCCACCTCTTGCAGGTTTGTTCCTTTATTGGCAATGACTTATTTTATATTATGCATGACATCCATTTTACTGTTTGCTAATGTTTCATGTTTTGTAAGAATTTATTTAGATGTCATATAAAAGGATTTTGATAATGCTAATAATCTATGTTCTTTTTGTGCATGTATAAATAAGAGCCAAGGGGGAAAGTTAATCCTTCATTTAGTTTTTTGACTGCACCAAATATCTCTCAACATTTAGTCAAAGATTATTTTTCCTATGATACAATAATTTTTTGATTAAGTAGCATTTTTTCCTATGATCGAAATAGTTCAATTGATTAGCACAAATTAGATATGAAGTACAACTCAAAACTCCACCTTATGCTTACACTGCCAAATTTGTAATTCTCCCACTACATGCAGTCAATGCAACGAGGTGATCCAGCCTGGAATGGTTATGTCTATGCGTTCTTAATATTCCTTGGGATGGTATGAATTCTATCTCATCTATTCTTTGAAATTTATTTTTACAAGAAACAAAGTGAACACACACACACACACACACACACACACACACACACATAACATTTCCCTCCCACTTCCTCTATTTGATTTTGTTTTGGTTAATGTTATTTGTTTTTATTTCCTTAGTGTGATCTTTCGACAGACATAATATATTCCATTGTACGAATTAACATGCAAGCAACTCTGTTTAAATATTTCATCGTTGAATTGCAGATTTTTGGATACATTTTATTTATGCATGGATCTAGTAGATAGAACAATGTTTTAATCATCTAATTACGATTGATGATAGTTGAGAAGCCTTTAGTACTGACAAAATATTCAAACTACATCACCTTATTTGGCATTCAGTGATGATGAGACTAGCTTTGTGCAAGTTATGATCATGATCATCTTGTTGTCATTCATTTTTCTTATTTAGTGGTCTTAATAGGAAATTGTATCGATTTAGAAATCAAGTATTTTTGAAGAATTTGTATTCCTTAAATAGTGTTGTATGACTGGTAGTATAAAAAATATGAAGTGTAACTTATTTTGTAGCAAAACTACCATCAATCAATCAAATAAATCATATCAATCGATTCTTGAAACATTAAATTTATGTTTGCTTTATCGCTGTTTTTTTTATTGTTTGCTTGATCATTTTTCCTTAATTTCTAAATTATTTATTTATTTTGCTTTATTTCAATATTTTCTCTTGTTAGTAGCCCAGTGTCACTGGCTCACATGATTAGGATAATGTTGCCTATGCATTGAGTCCAAAAATTTAGGAAGTCGTACCAACTCCTCCTTTTTCTTGTAACAAAGATCCAAAGGATTATAGTATAACTAGCCATTGAATATCAAGTCATTTTCTTGTTTTTCTGTATTAATATCAATCTCGATGTCTTCATAAATATTTAAATTTCTATGACATTTTATTATTGATATCAAAATTTGGGACTTAATTGACCATGATGAAACTATTTTTTTTTTTTTTTTTTTTTTTTTTAAAAAAAAAAAAATGTTTAGATGATAAATCCACATTAGATTTGAGAAAACATATGTAAAACGGAAGTAACTAAACCAGAATAATATAAATGAAGTAGGAAAAGATGATATGCAATGTGATTAAAATATCCTTGATAATATAATTTCTAAGTTCTGGTTTTTGTGGTAGCCTCAACCTATTACCCAATCTAAGGGCTTAAAGAAACAACGATTTACATGTTACCATCAATCTTGCTTGCACAATGGACAGAGCTACTTGTTTAAGTGATACCTGACATGGTTGGACCATGCTTAATATTGTGAAAAATAAAACCAATTTTCCATATCCAAATTTATTTGTGTTGCTAGACTATGTGGCCAGCGACTTCATTAATTCTCCAAACCAACGTTTCTTTATGCTTGGCTAATTTTATGATGTTATGGATATTGATTTTGGATCCTACATTGCATGTTCCTTCTTTGTATTATTTAAGCAATAGGTTTCATTTGCCCATCAAATGATAGTTCATGGATTGATTGGTTGATTTATTTGGTTCAGTTGTTCACTGCGCTATGTGAATCTCGGTATTTTCAGAATGTTTTGCGTGTTGGTTTTCGGCTGAGGTCAACTTTGGTAAACTATTTCTTTAACAATATTTACACGTATGTGAGCTTTTGTTTTTTGAAATATGTCCTTCAACATCATTTTTCTCTGGAATTTGAGCCGATTTCCCAATCCAAATCCTCACTTTTTTGGTCCTGAATCAGTTAGCTAGTCTTATAGCAACCTTTTTCCAATTATAGGTGGCTGCTATATTTCGTAAATCCTTGAAACTGACTCATGAAGGTCGAAAGAACTTCCCATCAGGGAAGATAACAAATATGATTACAACAGATGCCAATACACTTCAGGTACGCTCTTTATTAACATCCATTAATGTGCATTTAGTGACTCTTGACATGAAAACAGGGAATTAATCATTCATTTCGAATGAGTGTTTACTTAGAAACATGATACATTATATGAACTTTAAGAGAATTTGTAGTAGACAACAAAATATTTTTCTCATGTTGTCAATACTTGTTGATATACTATCTATCAAGAATTAAATGAAACATATGTTAGTCACACTTCAAAACAATATAAGATACTTTCAATTGTCATTTTATCTAAATTCAAAATTGTTTCTGTTAGTGAAAGAAGTTTACACTGGTTTTATCCTTTTTTTTTAATTATTATTATTATTATTATGGTTAAATGACTGTCTTTAAATTATTAGGCAAATTTCATTATGTCCTTATGTTTCTAATTATTTTATCAGAATTTTTTTTTAATTTCTTAAACACCTAAAAAATTGATTTGTTTTCCAAGATCTAATTTTTAATTTCTAAAAAATTATAAAATATTTTGATGGCTGAGCATTTTCAAATTTCTTATTTCTCAAACATTTTTTAAAAATTGAAGTTTTTTCAAAAATATAATTTTTTGTATTTTTAAAAATTATTGAAGGAAGAGGGAAGTGTGGAATATTTTTCCTCAATTTTATTATTTTTTCATTTTTTATAAGATTGACCTGTTCTTGAATCGTGGTTTTGAGTGTTATATGTAACAAAGAATCGCTATAGGAAAGGGGAGGTGGCTATTGTTTTTTGGATTTTGAATTATGAAGTAATTAATTTTTTTAAAAGGAGTTTAAGAATTTCATCTTAGTTAGACATTTTATATAAAAAAGAAAAGAAAAAAAACTTCCTTCATGTTTGAATTGATTTACATTGCATGGAACTCCAATCTCCCTTAATCTTGTTTTTTTTTTTGGCTGCTAAAATTATATGAAGTCACTAATTTTTTTTCCTAAAGTTTCAAAAAAAAAAAAAAAAAAAGATTTGAAAGCTATACAATTAGGCGTTCAAGGGTGTTTTTCAAATGAAAAATATACTTTGTCAATTTGTATAAAAAAACTTGATAGGAGAACACATTAGAGAATATGATATTATAAAAGTGTATAATTGAAGAAATTAAAAACATAAAGAGAATATTGGAGACTTGCTTAATTATATAAGGACACGTTCAGCCATTCATCCTATTTCTATTTTTTCTTTTCCTTTCCAATATTTCTTCTTTTCTCATGCCATTGCATCTTGCAGAAAATATGCAAACAACTTCATGGATTGTGGTCTGTTCCATTTCGTATCACCATGTCCATGGTTCTCCTTTACCAACAATTAGGTGTTGCTTCACTTTTTGGTTCACTAGTGCTTGTTCTCGTGGTTCCCTTACAAGTAAGAAATAGTCTCCCTTTTGCTAAATTGGGTGTTCTAATTTTAGAACCAACTTCTGCATTGTCTTAATTTCTTAGTTTGTTATGTGCAATGTGCGCCATATCCTATACTGATATAATAATGATACAGCAACAACAAGTGCCTCTCAATCCCAAACTAGTTGGGGCCGAATTTATAGATCTTTTTATGCCATTTAGCTAGATCATAACTGATTTAACACTAGTAAAAGATAAAATTTTCAAGAACTCCAAATTGCTTATGAGTTAATTACAAGTTAGTCCTTATAGTTTATCAGAATAAATTAATTAAACCCTGTAGTATTAAACCGTTAATGGAATAGTCATTCGACCAGTGTTGACTATGTTTTCTCTTCAATCTTTCCATATTATCTACTTTTTTGCCATTTTCTGTTTCTTAAAAAAAAAAAAAAAAGAGGAAAAGAACATGAAATGGATGAAAATGATTAATTATAAATAGATTTAAAAACACCACAATTAAATATATAGTTTCTACAATCATGAGAACTAATTAATTAGTTTTTACAAAATACATGGACTCATTTATAATCAATTCAATACTTATTGATGTGGCTAGACACTAGGGAAGACACATACACGTGTCTGATTGCTTGTGTCATGATTGGGATGAACTGTTTCTATCTAATGGTTGGGCTTGACCTCTGGAACCCACAAGGCAAGCATCCTCAAAGGCTGTAGACTAGAGAGAATTCTCTGATGGTTAACTTACTAGGTAATTTGGGTGTGAAGGGGAAGTTTTTCTTGATAGATTAGCATTTACCTTTTGTGTGCATGAGGGTGTCCTCATATACCAAGGTCAATTTGGGGTAAACTCTAGCTGAATAGATGGCTTAACTCTCAAGTTATGTAAGTACAAGGGCTAGATGGCTCCTTGTTTTGTTGGGTGAGCCATTGGTTGAATACTATATGGTAAGGTACCATTTATACCATATCACTTATTGTTCTTGCTATCCACACATAATATGAACGCAAAAAAACAATCCTTCGCCCACTCCCCATAACTTAGTTCTTGCCAATAGAACTTGTAAAAATTCGGAGCTTTGATAAATACATATATTATGATATTGTGCATATTTGTTGGTATAAAGAAAACATGCAAAGAGTTGCCTTAAATGTTGAAAAAGAGGTAAAAAAACAAAAAAGGTATTTGCAATAATATGAAGAGTATTGCATTTTCTATGGTTGTCAAAGCATCATAGTTTACTTGTTTATTCATTAAAAAATAATAAATAAATAATTAATAGTAAAAGATATAAAAATCAACGAGCATCAATTTTGGTCTACTGGATGTTATATTTAATGAGGTTACATCTGTACTTTTTATATCCTCTCAACTTGATTACGAAAGGCCACAGGGTGCCCTTGGTATGACCAAGCAAAATGTTACTTTTGCATAATTTTGCAAGTTACTAATATGTTTGGTAATATTACTATGAATAGCGGTTTAAGTTTCTGTCTTTCTATATCTGAAAAGATATTTGAGTCAAGATCAGTAACCAAAAGTTAATTTTTCTAACTCTAGAAAAAGTTACAAAATTTAGTTTCAATCCACAAGTAATTGTGTATACGAGTTGAACAAATTTCAAACAAATAATTTTTGCATGACTTGAGATTTTATGAGAAAAAGGTTGAAAAATAACTTAAGTCAAGTGATACGAAACACACTTGTATATGTTTAGAGTTGTTGTATCAAGTCATTAAATTTTAGAGTATCGTTGATTCTTTAGTTTGATAGGTTTCAGCAATTAAATTAGTCAACTGACATTTTTTCATTACAGCCATATTGATTCTCATTTCTTTAATCCTTTTGTGTAATAGACAATTTTGATGAGCAAAATGGGAAAACTAACTAAGGAAGGATTGCATAGGACAGACAGAAGAGTCAGCCTCATGAATGAAATCTTGACTACCATGGATGTTGTGAAGTATGGTTTAAGTTTAAGAACAGCTGCTCTTATATTTTAAGTCTCAGGCCATTTAAAGTGATTGTTTTGATGGTATAATGAAATATTTCAGATGTTATGCATGGGAGAAGAGCTTTCAATCTAGAGTTCAAATTGTGCGGAATGATGAGTTGTCATGGTTTCGTAGTGCACAGTTTCTATCCGCTGTATGGAACAAACTATATATCTTTGAATTTATTTTGTTGCTTTTTGTTCAAGAATATGCCAAAAGCATGATGTTTGAAATGGTTTCGTTTAAAATTATATTCCTAGTGACATCTAGAATTTTATATATATATATATATATATATATATATATATATATATATATTTACAGGTAGTGACTTCTAGAATTATAATGATTCACAATGAAGACTATATCTAAGCTCTTAAAAAGATCATGATTTGTCACATCTTTTGTTGCATAAGTGATCTTGATCCTCCACATGCAAATGCAATACTAACCAGAGTACCACAATTTTGTCATACTCCTAGTATTTAGTGTATGGGAACCTTACATGTGGATTGACTTACTATTTCCCTTCTATTGCAGTTCAATAGTTTTATGCTGAACAGCGTTCCAGTTGTCGTGACATTGGTTTCGTTTAGCACATTCACCTTGCTTGGTGGAGATTTGACACCTGCAAAGGCATTTACGTCACTTTCTTTGTTTCAATTGTTAAGATACCCGCTAAACATGCTTCCTAACTTACTGAGCCAGGTTGTGTGATTTTTCTATTTCACTAATTATAATACTTGATAGCATTCAAAATTTATTGATGATATCAGCATTGCCTTTGAAAAGATTCTAATTGTCATTAGTCTTCAAAAAGAAAAAATTCTTATTCATTTTTGTCATTAGGCTTCATAATTTCATGTCACAAATGGTCTAAACTGCAAGCTTTTTCTAAAAAGCATGAACTTTGATCCTTTTTTCTATAACCTTTTTTTCCCCTCATACTAGGGTAATTACTAAAAACCCTTGTAGAAAAGACTTATCCAAAACATCGAACAAAATACTTTTCTAACTATAAAAACCCAAAATAAAATGCCTCTGACCAAAATATTTGGTTGGGGTTTTTGTATAGAAGATTTTTTTTTCTTTTTTTTTTATTTGCAAAGGGTTATTAGTAATTATGCCAAAATAGATATGAAGAACTATGAATAAGGAAGTACTAGCTTTTTTTTTCTTGCATTATTCTGTCTCAAGACAAATTTATCTGTGGCCATATTATTCGTTTAAAACAAAATTCATATCATGTAGTCAAGAGCTTACCTTGCATGCCTGTGCGATTACTCATATTGGGTGTCTAATAGTAACTTGTTTTGTAGGTTGTAAATGCAAATATATCATTGCAACGTTTGCAGGAACTGTTTTTAGCTGAAGAGAGAACTTTAGCACCAAATCTGCCTCTTAAACTAGGATTTCCAGCCATCTCAATTGAAAATGGGAACTTTTCATGGGATTCAAAGGTTAACTTCTAAAGCTTAAACATCTAAGAAATTGGTCTTGTGGTTGGAGGGAAGTTGAATTTGAGCTTAATTTGAAATTTTGTATTTGTATGTGATTGGAATTCCGTCTTCTACACATAGTAACATTAGGGTCTTTGCTAGAAACGTTGTTAGGCAGTGGAGATGGTAAATAAACGTCTCGTTATTTCTTGTAGTCTACTTATTGAAGTTTGCTCGCGGACATGCTTCCTGTGCAAGCAATCTTAGAATCTCATGATTTTTCCAGCTAGAAAACCCGACTTTGTCAAATATCAATTTAAACATACAAGTTGGCAGCTTAGTCGCAATTGTTGGTGGGACTGGGGAAGGAAAAACATCACTTATATCTGCAATGCTTGGAGAACTGCCTCCTATGGAGGATGCAAGTTGTGTTATAAGAGGAACTGTTGCATATGTTCCTCAAGTTTCATGGATCTTCAATGCTACTGTGAGTTACAGCTTAGTTTCTTCTTTGTTAATTAATATTAAGGTCTCTTATATAATCATCAATTGTTTTGTATTTTTGTTGCTTATTTGGTGATTCTCAGGTTTTGCATTAATGTTCACATTCTTGACTTAGAAAATTCCTTCTTACAGGTGCGTGACAACATATTGTTTGGGTCAGAATACGAACCTTCACGCTATTGGAAAGCAATTGATGTAACTGCATTACAACATGATCTTGACTTACTTCCAGTTAAGTGCATTCCTTTCTCTCTCTCTCTCTCTTGAATTCTTCTGTTTATTTTGAAATATCTATTAGATGATTAGCTCATAATTGTTTATTCAGGGCCACGACATGACTGAGATAGGTGAAAGAGGAGTCAATATTAGTGGTGGGCAGAAGCAAAGAGTTTCCATGGCTAGGGCTGTCTACTCCAATTCAGATATATACATATTTGATGACCCTTTAAGTGCTTTAGATGCTCACGTTGGTCGAAAGGTATTAGATCATGTTAAACAGTACAACCTCACATCAAAGTTTATTTCATCGCTGCTGTTAGTTGCACTATACTTTATAGCGAGCTTGATATGGTTTGCAGTGATGAGCAGCTCTTTATTATTAAGCTTACATTATACAAAGTGTGCATTCCATTACTTCATTCCAACAATGATATGTCTTGAAGAATTTCTTCATGTTTCCTTTTTCATATATTCTACTCCCTCCATCCCAAAAATTGTTAGTCCCATTTGACTTTTCACACAGCTTAAGAAAGTACAATTAATAACATGCCATGTCATCTGCTTTCAAATTATTTTCCACTATTACCCTTCATTTGAATATAGATCAGAGAGAAAAGTTGGATTGGAAGAATTAAAGTGGGTTATAATTAGGGTATAACAGAAAAACCAAGTGTAATAGTTTGACTATTTGATAATGGACAATAGTTTTGGGCATCCTAAAATGGAAAGGTGGACAAACTCTTTGGAACAGAGGGAGTAGTATGTTATGGCATTGACAATCACCAGCTTTACACATCAAAGCTCTAAAAATGAGCTTTCCTCTGAGCTAAATATTAGCCTAATCTCAAATTATTTACAGGTCTTCGACAGTTGTATTAAGGAAGAGTTACTAGGAAAAACCAGGGTTCTTGTCACAAACCAGCTACACTTTCTTCCACAAGTGGATAAAATTATTCTTCTTAGTGAAGGTATGATTAAAGAGGAGGGAACCTTTGAGGAACTCTCTAAAAATGGCAAACTGTTCCAGAAGCTGATGGAAAATGCAGGGAAAATGGAAGAGCAAGTAGAAGAAAAAGAGAATAGTGAAAATCTGGACTACAAAAGCTCACAACCAGCAGCTACTGGGAAAAACGAGTTGTCACAAAAAGCAGGCTACACAATGAAAGGGAAAGGAGGGAAGTCTGTACTTATCAAGCAAGAAGAACGAGAAAGAGGTGTTGTCAGTTGGAATGTTTTGACGAGGTAATATAGGGGGCTTATTTAAGATTTTGGCTATATAAAATAATTGTACTTAACGTAGATGTTCCCATTTTATGCAGTGTCTTTGTAGTTTTAAGCACTCCAGTAAGGTTTGGCTGGAACTATAGTTAACCCTTTCCTATGCTTGAAGGCTTGGAACCAGTGGTAGTAACATTGTTTCAACTTATGGTCATTCTGATATATGGATACATTAATATTTCCTATTTTTTCAAAGATAAGTTTGTTGTTCTTGTACTTGACATTTTATGTCCATTTGCAGGTATAAAAATGCATTAGGAGGCATATGGGTGGTTTTGATACTCTTTCTGTGCTACTTATTAACTGAAGTTCTTCGAGTATCAACGAGTACATGGTTGAGTTTTTGGACAAATCAAAGCACTTTGGAGAGCTATAGTCCAGGATATTACATTTTCGTGTATGCACTTCTATCATTTGGTCAGGTTTGTTCGCAGCCAATAATTCACATCAATATCTTAGAGTCACAACATTTTGTAAGATTTAGCAGGAAAAAGAAAGAAATAACTTAATCCTTTTACATTCATTTACAGTTGTTTTTGAACATAGAATAACAGATATGGAAACCAAAAAGAGAAGCAGTGAGGAAGAAACTTTAGAATTTATGTAATTGCTTCAGTCGTTAGAGTCTTAGTTCACATTTCTGGTTCAGGTGACTGTGACACTGGTGAACTCTTATTGGTTAATCAGCTCAAGCCTCCATGCAGCCAAAAGACTTCATGATGCCATGCTAGATTCTATCCTACGAGCTCCCATGCTATTCTTCCACACTAACCCAACTGGGAGAATAATCAATAGGTTTGCGAAGGATCTCGGTGAAATAGATTGTAATGTTGCCAATTTTGCCAACAGTTTTCTAAACCAAGCCTGGCAGCTGCTTTCAACTTTTGTGCTGATAGGCATTGTGAGCACAATATCATTGTGGGCCATAATGCCCCTTCTGATCTTATTTTATTCAGCCTACCTATATTATCAGGTATGACGAGAAATCCCTAGTTAATTTTTTCTGGAAACTTGTATGGCATTTACAATGAATGTAACTTACAGTATTTTGGTTGGGATGCTCTACTAGGTGGTTTCTTCAAAGTACCATTTTCTTGTTGTTTTTATTGCTTCCACATGTAAAGAGTTATCTTCTAGATAAGCGCAGTCAGGTCCTAAATAAGTTAAACATGCATGTCTCTTAAAATTTAGAATAACCTTAGACCACTGGTAGTTAGGAGACTAACTCTTTAAGAGTTAATCTTATGGATTCTGTCTGGGAGAAAAGACATGTTAATTTCAAATATGGTTAAAACCCAATAGACAACATTAACCCATTTTGGTGGACTGTGGCTTTGCCGTTCTGAGCTTCAATGCTGGAAGTTAGTGACTGTATTCCGGTTGGTTAAATCCTGACAAGAGATATGCTACCTTTCAACATGTTGGCCCTGTAGTGGTCTTTAGCTACTCCTTTCAGTTATCTGAAGAAGTAGCTGACAGAGATTAGATTCATATGGCAGAATTAATGAAGGCTCAATTAAAAGATATTCAGCAAGAAAAGAAATTTATAACCTTCAAATGTACATGTTTAGGGCATGTTAATGTTGTTTCATTTTGACTCATGTTCACAGTTTCAGCAAGCATATATTTGTGCTAATGTTAAATTAACATTTTTGTGTTAGTTGTTACATCTCGTCATTATTGTATTTACAAGCTCTAACTACTATGCTCATGTATTTTGTTGTGCAGAGTACATCCCGTGAAGTGAAACGTCTGGATTCCATTACCAGGTCTCCAGTTTATGCACAATTTGGAGAAGCATTAAATGGTTTGCCAAGTATTCGAGCTTATAAAGCATATGATTGGATGGCCATCATCAACGGGAAGTCTATGGACAGTAATATCAGATTTAGTCTTGTGACAGTTAGTTCAGATGGTTGGCTTGCTGTAAGGTTGGTAACATTAGGAGGGGTCATGATTTGGGTGATCGCAACATTTTCTGTTTTGGGGAATGGAAGAACTGAAAATCATGTTGAATTTGCATCTATAATGGGGCTACTTCTTAGTTATACTTTGAACATAACTGATTTGTTGAGTAGCGTTCTAAGACAAGCTAGCAGTGCTGAAAATAGCTTAAACTCTGTTGAGCGTGTTGCCACATATATAGATTTACCCTCTGAAGCTCCAGGCATAGTCAAAAGCAATCGTCCTCCTCTTGCTTGGCCTTCATCAGGATCAATTAAATTCAGGGATGTTGTTCTACGTTACAGGCCGAAGCTTCCTCCAGTCTTACATGGTTTGTCCTTTGCAGTCTCACCTAGTGAAAAGCTAGGAATAGTTGGAAGAACAGGAGCAGGGAAATCTAGCATGCTCAATGCTGTATTCCGTATTGTAGAACTGGAAAGAGGAGAAATCACCATTGATGGTTGTGACATTGCTAAGTTTGGACTCACAGATTTGAGGAAAGTTCTCAGTATCATACCCCAATCACCAGTTCTCTTCTCAGGTAATTATTAACAGACACTGAAAACTGGATTTTGCTAGTTCATCTTCTCTTCTTATGTTGATAGCCACAAACTGGCTTTTGCATGAGTTGAGATGATTTATGCTTGTACTCTGTTTTATTTTTGTTTTCCACTTTAAAGCATGCGAATCAAGAATACTTGATATTTGGTCCAGAAACCATAGCCAATCTGAAGCCACATTGTAGATTACTTTCAGCAGTTGTGTCACTCTAATTGTCACTCATTTTCTTATAGGAAATGTGCGATTTAATCTCGATCCATTTAGGGAGCACAATGATGCTGACCTATGGGAGGCTTTAGAGAGGGCACATTTAAAGGATGCCATTAGAAATAATTCTTTTGGTCTGGATGCTGAGGTATGGACTCTTATAAAACAACCTTCTGTTGGTGAATCTTAATCTGTCAAAATGTTTTAGCAATTCATATATTCAACATGCATTTTACTTTTAACAAAATGTGTGACAAAAACTAATATTGAACTCATATGGGTGGAAATAGTGCTCTGGTGCAAACATTCTATTAAAAATATGGCATCATGTTTAATTAAAGCTGATCTCAAAGCAAGGAATTGTTTTGAATTTTTTTTTTTTTTTTTTTTTCAGATGCACATGAAATTAAGTTGATTATTGTGCAAATGCAAACTGTAAAGTCAATTAGTTTTGGTGTCAAGGTTTACGAGGGAGGGGAGAATTTTAGTGTTGGACAGAGGCAACTACTTAGTCTTGCTCGAGCATTGCTGCGAAGATCTAAGATTCTTGTTCTTGATGAAGCAACTGCTTCTGTCGATGTTAGAACAGATGCTCTTATCCAGAAAACCATTCGAGAAGAATTCATATCTTGCACAATGCTAATTGTTGCTCACAGACTAAATACCATTATTGACTGCGACAGAATTCTTGTGCTTGAGGCTGGTCAGGTATGCTCTTAAATTTAGTTTCCAAGGAAGTTCCTTGGTTCCTACTTGCTAGGAAATCTGAGTTTATTGAACACAATCCTGAAAACTTAATGCCCATAAGGTATAGCTGGAATCATTACGAGCTTTCATGAAAACCAAGTTCATTCATGATTGTTGTGATTTTGATATGTCTTAAAATGATTCTTTATTAAACTTTTGTTGGAATTTCGGCCTTTCAGGTTTTAGAACATGCTGCCCCAGAGGAACTGCTATCAAGTGAAGGAAGCACCTTCTCTAGGATGGTTCAAAGTACAGGGCCAACAAATGCACAGTACTTGCATAGCCTGGTGTTTGAAAGTAAAGAGAACAAGTTGAGTATATAAGAGAAGGATGGCCAAAGAAGATGGATAGACGCTTCATGATGGGCTGCTGCTGCCCAGCTAGCCCTGGCTGTTAGCCTCACTTCATCAGGGAATGATCTTCGAATGGTGGATGTTGAAGTCGAGGACAATATCCTAAGGAAAAATAAAGATGCAGTTATAATGCTGGGAATGCATGACGAAGTGATATCTAATACACTGCAACAGTGCCAAGTTCTGCAAGATAGACGGTGGTCGTCTTTCTACAATATAAGCCTGCATGCATACATTAAATACATGGATATGAATGAATATGTTTGCCGATTAATTGCATGCATGCATGAGCATTGTACTTGTGGTAGAAGTTGATTTGATTTTGACAACCACGGCTGGCTCTTATTGAATTTTGAAATTAGGGATAATTGGTGTTGCTTACTTTATCTGATTCAACATGGGGCGTTTCTTGTTTCTGGTCTGGCTTTGATGAGCAGATGATCGCACAATAGGGTTCAACAATTGGGATATGATTATGAAAACCCCTTGATTGGTACAACGTGAAAAGTTAGGGGAAAATGGAAAATGTGATATTCTAATGATGTTAGTAAACATCCAATTGTATCCCAAATTTCAGATGGGACTAATGAAAGTAAAGAGAAGATCTGCAATAACGGTCTTTTTATTCGAAGGGAATGAAATCCCTCCATATTTAGCTACCACTGTCCCTACCATATTTGGAGCATCCAGCATCTGAACTTGTTCTCTTAGAGGAACTAAGTTACGCTATGTTTTTCAGGCCACTACATGATTTTGGTATAGTAGATGACAATTACCTCCAGTACTTGTTGTCTGCCAACGCTTTTGCCGTTGTCCTTTTACCATTTCTACCAAATGTAACGTAAATTAGAAGAGTATAAATTCCTGACAATGTCAAACAATCTTGTATTGAACTAAAAAAAGGACTTCAATACCTCGTAAGTTGATAGTTTAGGGCCAATAAAACTATGAGGATGCCAACGGATAAAATTAAATGAGGTGCAGAAGTTGTCAAGAACTTGCACATTCTAGGAGATAGAGCACTGCAAATTCGCTATCAAGTTCAATGGTAAAGGTTTTGGTTATTTTCCTTTTCACAACTAAGGAATCTGCATATTAATTAGCAAGAGGGAGTTCACAATTCCTTTGGTACTACACTTGCAGGGAAGTGTGTGTCTGAGAAATCAAAAGCCTGCTTGCCTGTTATCCAGCTGAATCTGATGAAACAAACAGATTTAACGTTAGTTTTCTACTATTTTTTTGTTGTGCATCAGATTTAACCATGCCTTATCAGTTTTCTCTTGATCAATGGACTGGAATGATGTTTGTATCACAAGGATGATAGTGGATCAGATACAAAATAGTTACCCAACCTAGCCCGCCCATCAATTATCTATTTAAAATATATTAATGGATAATGAGCTAAATATGAGTAAAATAATATTATTCATTTATATTAATGGATAATTTATTAATGAATGTGGGTGTCCTCTTTTTATCCTATTGATGCCTATCTTTTGCCCATTAATATAAAAAATACTAAAACATAAAATTTTAAAATAAACAAAAAAAAAAGGAGGAAAAAAAGTATGTGCTTTTGTTTTTGGTTGTCAAAATTTCTCAAAATCCATTTTTAATAGCTTCTGGTTGTCGGTTTTGATTTTCTTCAAGCAAAAATTTAGAACAAACAAATTTTCTCAGTTTTTGTTTTCAAGAATTTGAAAATGAAAACCACAAATAATCCAAAACAATCCCTTTTTTTTTTGTTGGTACAATTATATATACAAAAGAGAATATTAATTAAAGCCAAGTTGAATATTTGTGAATTAACATGAAAACGTAAAAAATTCATTCTTGATTTTTTTCAAAAATTTTTGTTCCAATTCCAGTTTTATTTATATCACGATTTGATCTTTAAATATAAACCTAATATACATAATTTTAAAAATTGATCTTCTCATCAATATTCAACAATAAAATTTTATTTTAATTTTTTATGTAGTTTTTTACATTAATTATTGCTTTTTTTTAATCCAATCTTAAGAAGAAAATAATTAAAATGTATAGTTTTGTTTTGTTTTTTTTTGGGATTTCTGATCAATTGAAACTTACCTTTTAGATTATTTCAAATTTTATTTTAGAATCCATGAAAAACAAATTGTGTTTTTTTTTTTTTTTTGGAAGAACATCTATTAAAAAAACACAAGAAAGAATTAATTAAGTATAAAATTTGATTAAAAAATTATAAAGTTAGGTGATTTTTTTTTCCTTTCGATTTCAAGATATTTTAGTAGGCATGTAGTATGGCCAAGACCATCAAACTATAATAATTTTTATCAAATGATTTCATCTATTTTATTAAAAAGTATCAATTTTAACTAGTTAAAGATCTTTTCCTCTAATTGCATTGATTTGCATCTCTGTGGTCCAAATTCTGTTTTTCTTTTTCAATCTTTTTTATAGTTAATAACCGATAATTGGTTATGGGAAAAAAAAAAAAAAGTTTGTGCCTTTGAACTGCATGATCAAATTGTTTCCATTTTAAATACACATAATATACACACCAGTACAGGTTCTTACTACGAGAATAGCTCTTTTCTCTGAAGCAAAATTTTCACAAGGATTAAATTATGAAATTCTTTCGGTTTACATAAATGGCAAAATACAAATATGATCAATTATATAGAAAAATCTTATTATATAAAAAGAATCAAGACAAAAAGAGTTCATAAAAAAAAAATCAATAAAATTTTTTTTTAAAAAAAAGTCTTTAATTTAAAAAAAAAAATAGCAATAAATGGGTATAGACGAGATATAATATATTAGATATAGGTTGAATAAAAAAATGAGTAAATAATTTTTAATAGATAACGAGTAGTATAATATGGATATAATATTTTTTAATAAATAGCATAAAGGATTGGCTTAATGGGCCGGTAACCGGCCATCGCCATCCCTATTGGTATGTCCTTCAATGGCTTCAGATATTGCGTGCGTGTATCAAGGCAAAGTTGTTAAACAAAATGAGTCAATTCTTTCACAAATTTTTAATATTCACTCATTCTATGATCATTCTCTGTATCTGCTAGAACTCTTACTTTGTTACTGTAACTTCATAATTGACAGAGACAGTTGTTAAGTCTCTGCTAGGGCACTGTTGTTGGAGATCGAAATACTTGTTCTTGATGAAGCTACTGCAGCTGTTGACATCAGAGCGGATGCTCTTACTCAGAAAATTAAATTAGCAAACTAGATCCATATGCTTCAGATTATGAGGATTTAATATTTCAAGACAAACCCTAGTTTTGGTATAGTAGGTTGCTTGGCCCTAACCGATACTATAAAAAATGAGTTGCTTATAAGCTCTTTTTTCCTACATAGGCTACGGAAACAAAGTGAGCTTGTTGAGCCTGCAGGGGTGATAATCTCTTTAATAGGAAGAGTGAGATTTGACACTGCTGTGAGTTTTGGCTTTTGGATATATTATGATGATCTCATCTACAATGGCAGGGTTCCTAGAAGATTTCTTAGGATTTATAGGTGATTGCTTCTGTCGGACGCTGTGTTGTTCCTAGTACCCAATAATAATAATAAATAAATAAATAATAAAAATTCACATAATAAATAAATAAATTTATTATAAATTAAGGTAAATAAAGTATTGAAAACTTTTACCTTAATCATTAGAAAAAAATATTAAGAATTAAAATCATGTTTCATAATATAAAAATGATCGAAGCATCAAAATAATTTTAATAGAATTTTTGAATGATTATCTTGATACAGGTTGTTTTCTTTATATGATATATGTTGTTTGTAGAACTTATCTGATGCAATAGATTAATTATAGATTGAATGCAATTTCAAAATACAATAAATTCAGCAACTTTGCTATATTTTTAATAAATTTACACTATTCATAAAACTTAAAATTCAAAATAAAATAGTACAACTTTTACCTAAAAAAATAAGAAATATAATTATATAGCTTTTTTAAAAGGTACTATAAAGACAAAGAAGTGAGGTAGCCATTTTTTTTTTATTTTTTATGCTACTATGTTTCTTGTCAGATGACAAAAACCCATATATATATAGGATTCAAAAGAAACTAACGTTTTAAAAATCATATTGCCATTTTAAATAAAAACAGTGACAAACAGTTAAAACAATGAATGAGAAGTTTTTTAACCTTTATGAAAAAGTAATAATTTCTTGACTAATATAAAAATAAATGATTTAAGATTTTTTAATTAATAATAAAGTTTTCAATATTTTATTAAAAGTACTCCGACATTCGGGTATATACATGCTACATTAGCAAAGAGACTTTAGGGAGGGAGAACAAGAGAGGTCATAAAACCATGGCTGCTTCGAGTGGCATGATTAGATTTGAATAAACAATGAAAAGTAATTAGTGTTTTAACGACAAATATACTTTTTCCATTTAAAAACACAAAGATTCTTCTTTATAACTCAACAAATTCGAATGGAAAACTCTATACAACTATACCTGTATGCTCACCCACAAATAAGAGTAAGAGGTGCGTGTCAGTCACGTAAGCCGTGACGCATGCTAGTATGGATTTTCTTGTCGTCACTTTGTCCGTCGTGAGTCCATGAAAAACTATACTTTTAAGTATTATTAAATGTAAAAACGACTGACCTTGATAACGAAAAAGCCACACTCCTAGTCATAGTTTATGTTTCTGAAGTTGAACAATAAACTCTAATGTCTTTCATTCTTCAGGGCACCAATAGTAGCTAGTGTCTGAACCAGTAAGTTGAACATTCTTTCATTAAACTATTTATGTTGTTTCTGCTTTCTTCCAGTGCTATAATTGCTGGCTATTCTTCTTTGCATTGTGTTCTGTTGGTACTTGGTACTGCTCTTTTTGTTATGTTTTTCTTCTTCTTTTGTTTTCCTCTCTCTGTCTAATCAAATGTGGGTAAATTGAGTAGTCTTGGTTTGTGTAGACGCTGAGGAAGATGGGTTTGGAGGCATTGGTTTGGTATTGTCGGCCTATGGAAAATGGGGGCTGGGCGAAACAAGAGGATAGTGCGTTTGGTGCTTACACACCCTGTGCCATTGACTCCCTAGTCATTTGCATTTCTCACCTTGTTCTTCTTGGCATGTGTTCGTATCGAATATGGTTGACTATTGACAACAATTCCAAAGCTGAAAGATATTGTCTCAGGAGAAATTACTATAATTACATGCTGGGTTTGTTGGCTGCTTATTGCACAGTTCAGCCTTTATTAAGGTTGTTTATGAGTGTCTCAATCTTCAATCTGGATGGCCAGATTTCCATTGCTCCTTTTGAGGTACATGATTTTACTTTGTTGTTAATTTAGACATTTAGGCATTTACGTCTAATTTAACATTTGTTGGCTTTTTAACTTGTTTAATTGTAACATTACATGCTTATATTTTCTGATGTCTTTTTTTTTCTTTAATAGGCTACTAGCTTCATAATGTTATGCCATTACTGGAATATGCTAAACAGATTTTCTGTTCTCTTGCAGATGGTATCCTTCATTGTTGAGGCCCTTGCCTGGTGCTCCACTCTTATTATGATTGGTTTGGAAACAAGAATATACATTCGACAGTTTCGATGGTATGTGCGGTTTGGAGTCATTTATGTGTTGGTAGGAGAAGCGGCAATGCTCAATCTCATTCTGTCAGCGAGTGACTACTACAGTAGGTTAGTCATTCTTCCATTCCCTGACTTGAGAAATTAACTCACCCAAGGTCAATTTTTTTGTGTATTTTTCCCTTAAGTTGTTGTGTGATTTAATGCTATCAAGTTTTATTTCTCTCCTAAAACTCCATATTAATCTGTACTATTAGACTGTTCAACAGAATCTTGTTTATCAAGAATACAGGCAAGCTATATGTTGTACTGTTGAGTGGAGAATATTTCTTTGGTTGGACAATTGTAATTACTTAGTTGATAAAATGAGTGATGCTAAATTAAACTTTAGCCTTCAAGAGAAAAAAACTAAGAAAGATAATAAAGATGACCATAATGACAATATGGGCTTCTGCCAAACTTTTTACCAGTTGAGAATAAGCAGAGGAAATTTTTTAGAAGCTGAATTTTCGAATAAGAGTACATGTCTTCCTCAACAAGCATGTTTCTACCATATATGCTTTTTTCAGTGAGGTTGGATGGGATCAACTAAGATAAGGTTACATGGTCTTCCCAAAAACAACAAAAACAAGAGGAAAGATTTTGTGTTTATTCTAGATAAGGATGCATCCGACATTAGCAGAATTGTTTTGTGCAGTTCATATCCTGTCAATTTATGTTGGGGGTAGCACTAAATTACAATTTTTTTAACATGCAGATATACATTGTATATGTACATGAGCACGGTTTTTTGCCAGGTTTGTCGCCTTCTTTTATTTCTCATGTAATTATAAAGATTATAGGCTATATCAACTTTCATTCCTAATTATATACATCTCAATCATATTTTTCTGTGTTGCTACCTTCATTGCAGGTTTTGTTTGGGATTCTTCTACTTGTTTATATTCCGAATTTGGATCCTTATCCAGGTTATGTTATGTTGCAACCAGAGTCTCTTGATGATGGTGAATACGAAGCACTATGTGGAAAAATATGTCCTGAGAGGCATGCCAGCTTATGTTCCAGTATGTAGTTCATTATTGATTGTTCCCCAATTCCAAGAGTTTTTAGAAAACTTAAGTGTCTATTTCTCAAGCAGTTGTTTCAGATAGCAAAAGTAATGAAACTGCATGTTGGCTTGAGACCAAAAGTGTGGTTTCCGTGATAGATAGCTAAGTAGATGATTAATTTGAGCTGCTTATAGACATATATTGATCCAATGACGTCCTCTCAGGGATATTTTTTAGATGGTTGACTCCACTCATGCAGCAAGGCTATAAAAGACCTATTACTGAGAAGGACGTCTGGAAGTTAGACACATGGGATCAGACTCAGACATTGATCAAAAAGTTTGCACCACAGTCTTCTCTTGCATGGTCTTATGGTTACCTAACTTGTATCCCTTTTTTGGTAAATTAATATTTTATAATTTCAACTTTTGCAGGTTTCAGACTTGTTGGGTTGAAGAATCTCAAAGGCCAAAGCCATGTCTCTTAAGAGCACTAAATAATAGCCTTGGGGGAAGGTATTGGTTGAATTACAATGCTCATGTTGTTTCGTTCTCTTTCATTTTAATAGTAATTAAACTTTAAATGTACCAATGATGGTCTTATTACAGTGGCTAATCCTTCAAACTTCAAACCGCTTCATGAGTTATGAGTCCTTTTAGACTAAGACCCCCTAATAATTTTTTTTATTCAACTCTTAAATTATAGTATGTATTTGTTTGTTCTAATTTAGACCCTTGTGTTAGATTTCATCCGTTTTTCTGTTAAATAACATGTGATTTTTGTACTCCTAAAATGTTCAAAACGGAAGGATCAAAAAGTCATCAAGGAATTAGCCATCACCTACATTTCAATTAAACTATCATCGAGAACTCAACGCTTCAAGTTTTTGTCACTGTTCTTGATGATTTGTTTGTGATTTTGAGAAAACACATGACTTGCATGCGATATTTTTAACACTAAAATGGATGATATGTAATAGAAGAAGCGTCAATCAATACATCATAATCCTATAGTTGAGCAGTTCAAATCAGAAAAAGAAATCAGGAATGTTAATAAAAAAAAGGGTGCTGTATGATTTAGCTTGTTGAAATAGAGATTTTCTTTTTGTATTGCTCATATTCATCTCGTTTTATATGTATTTCATTTACATGTTTTCTGTAGGTTTTGGTTAGGAGGATTGTTTAAGGTACCTTTTTCCAGGATCGTTAATTTGCTCCAAACTTGTTTAATTTCTAATGAAATATTATATCCATTTCTACTGTATTGTAGTTTGAATTTGGTGAACCTGGAATTTTGAATTAAATTTTTAGTTCTGTTTTTTCAATTGCTTGTTGGGCTATTATCGCTATTGACTCATAATCTGTATTGTAGCCTCAACTATTATGCTGTAGGGAATACTTATAGTTTATACATTTATTAGTTATGTACCATTAACTATTTTTTTTCCTCCTGTTCTACTAATTTCACTTGAAACCGATGTTCTAGGCTGAAAACCAACATAGTGGAGATCAGGAACTTTCTACTAATGGCAAAAGTCATGCGGAGCTTATAGGTTTAATTTTTCTTTTTTCAGATTTGCTATGATCTTTCTCAATTTGTGGGACCTATTGTGTTGAGCCATCTCTTGCAGGTATGTCTTTTTTTTACTTGTAACGTATGACATCCTTTTTGCTGTTAGCTAGAGTTTTGTTTTGTCTTTTTTTTTTTCTAAGAATTTATTTGGATTTCATATAAAAGGGATTTTGATTGTACTAACGAACTGTATTCTTCTTTGGCATGCGTACATAAGACTAATGAGACAGTTAATCCTTCATGTCGCTTTTGTGATTGCAGCAAATGTCTCTCAATATTTACTCAATATTATTTTTCCTATGCTACATATTATTCTATTGATTAGCTTTTTTTGCATGATACAAATAGTTCGATTGACTAGCTTAGATTCGATATGAAGTAAAACTCAACAGCTTCTTTCCCTTGTGGTTATACTGCCGAATTTGAATTTCTCCCACTACATGCAGTCGATGCAACGAGGTGATCCAGCTTGGATGGGTTATGTCTACGCCTTCTTAATTTTCCTTGGGGTGGTATGGATCCTATCTCTTCTATTCTGTTTCCTCTCCTCTCTGTTATTCTGTTTTTCCCTTCTCTTTTCTGTTCTACATCACTTATGGATTGACTGGTTCATTTTTACTTGGTTCAGTTTTTCGGTGTGCTATGCGAATCTCAGTTTTTCCTGAACGTTATGCGTGTTGGTTTTCGAACGAGGTCGACTTTGGTAAAACTATTTCTTTAATCATATTTATATGTGTGTGGACTTGTTTTGGAATTTCTCCTTCAGCATCATTTTCCTTCAGAATTTTGGCACTTGTCCATCCAGATTCCTACTTTTTTGTTCCTGAATATGTTAGTATTTTAAGTCTAATGCTATTTCAAATTGTAGGTAGCTGCTATATTTCGTAAATCCTTGAAACTAACTCATGACGGCCGAAAGAGCTTCCCATCAGGAAAGATAACAAATATGATCTCGACAGATGCCACTGCACTTCAGGTATGCTCTCTATGAACAACCTAACGTGCAGTTAGTAACTCATGATATGGAAAAGGTGAATTACTTATGATTCAAAATCAGTGTTGAATTCTGTCATGATACGTTATATGAATTTTAAGAGAAATTCTGAGACAACCAAATATTTTTTTTATTAGATTATAAATATTTGTTGATATACTATCGATAAGCAAATGACCCAATTATGTTAATCACACATCAAAAGAATGTGTTTGTGTGTGGCACTTAATGGTAAAAGAGAATGCATAAATGTTGTGATATAAATGTTAATAGCTCACATAGCTACAGTTCTTCACCAGATTCTGATGCCGAAATAGCTCTTCTTTTTTCTTTTTATCTCTTGGATGAGATTTTTTTTTTCATGACTACAGTACAATATGTGTTTAAGTTGTGTGAAAATTTATATTCTTGTACCATGTTAATGCTGAAAACCTTAGACTATATGTAATAACATAAGACTTTTTGGTGTCCATTTTACCAAGATCCAAAACAGGTTCACTCACGCTTAGTGAAAGAAGTTCACTGTCATTTTATCTCTCTCTCTCCCTCTCTCTTTTAATATTTCCTTTTTGCTTCCATTATTTTTTCTGTTTTTTCCATTGTCTTTGGAGGTCTGAATTGCATTGCCATTGCATTCTGCAGCAAATATGTCAACAACTTCATGGATTATGGTCTTGCCCGTTTCGTATCACCATCTCCATGGTTCTTCTTTACCAGCAATTAGGCATTGGTTCCCTTTTCGGTTCACTGGTGCTTGTTCTCATGGTTCCCGTACAGGTAAGAAATTTTCTACTTTTTACCAAATTTGATGATTTGATTTTAGAACCAACATTTGCAGTGTCTTAATTTCTTGATTCTATTGTGCAATTTGTGCGATATTCACGTACTGATTTAATACCAATACAAGTAGAACATCAACTGAGCCTCAATCTGAAACTAGTTGGAGTCATCTGTATTTGCTCTTTTGTGTCATTTTGCTTGATCAAATCATTATATTTATAAAAGATAATGCAAGTAAGGAGACAATAGAGATTACTGCTATAGAGAATAATTCATCAAAACTTATTATGTCATCTCACAGAAGGGCTATTTATATAGCCATATACAACCTTGATTAGTTCCTAGTAGTTCCTAGAATTAAGGATAGATGATTGTCTAAATACAATACTAACCATTTATAGACTAATTACACCAATCTAACAATTTATAAGTTCCTATTACTTCTCTAGTTTGATAGTTCTTGCAATTAAATTGGTTAACTAACCTTTTATTAATTGTGTCCATATGAATTCTCATTTCTTTTAATTGTTTGATAACAGACAATGTTGATGAGCAAAATGAAAAAACTAAGGAAGGAAGGATTGCAGAGGACTGACAAATGAGTCAGCCTCATGAATGAAATCTTGGCTGCCATGGACACTGTGAAGTATGGTTTGAGTTTAAGAAGAACCGCTCTTATATTTCCAGTCTCATTCCGTTTAAAGTGATTGTTTTGTTGGTATTCTGAAATATTTCAGATGTTATGCATGGGAGAAGACTTTTCAATCTCGAGTTCAAAGCGTGCGGACTGATGAGCTGTCATGGTTTCGCAGTGCACAGTTCCTTTCTGCTGTATGGCACAAACTATGTATGTATCTTGGAATTTATGATCTTGCTGCTCCTTCTGTTTCAAGAATGTCAAAAGCATGATGTTTTAATGGTTCCATTTAAAATTAAATTCATGATGGCATCTAGAAAATTGCAAATGTGATCTAACTACTACTAAGTATGATTTATCTTGTGTTTAAACAATTACCAACTTTTATATATATATACACTGCAATCTGTCATATTGCTAGTATTCAGTGTATGGGAACCTTATATGTTTACTGACTGACTATTCCCTTTTATTGCAGTTCAACAGTTTTATACTGAATAGCATTCCAGTTATTATGACATTGGTTTCGTTTGGGACGTTCACCTTGCTTGGTGGAGATTTGACGCCTGCAAAGGCATTTACATCACTTTCTCTGTTTCAAGTGTTAAGATACCCTCTAAGCATGCTTCCTAACTTACTGAGCCAGGTTCTGTTATTTTTCTATTCCACTAGTTATAAAGCTTGATGATATTCAAATTGTGTTGATGATATCGGCATTGCCTTTGATTTTAACTTATTCCAGAGAGGGAAAAAAAAAAGAAAAAAGAAATTCTCAGGCATTCTTGTCATTAATCTTCCTAATTTCATGTCAAAAACTGAACTCGTGTTTGCTAGTATGGTTGACTGTGTGAGAAAGCCCTAAATTAATAGTCTAGAGTAAAGCTTTTTCTAAAACCTATTTAAAAGATTACATAATTAAAGTGAATAACCTTATAAACATACTATAGGGATAATTACTGAAAACCCTCGCAAAAATAACTTCTATCCAAGAAATCCAACAAAATCCAAAATGAAATTTATCATACAATAATATTTGGTTGGGTTTTTGTATAAAATATATATATATATATTTTTTTTACTAAGAGTTTTTAGTATTTATGCCAAAACTTAATTGGAGAGAAGTCCAACTTTGAATAAAAAAAAAAATGCTAGCTTTTTTCTTGCATAATTCTATCCCTAGACAAATTTATCACGTTCTTCATTGATTCTCAGGCCTTATTACATTCTCAGCAAAATTCATTGTGAAATTAAAAAGCTTTCCTTGCATGCATATCTGCAGGATTACTCATATTGTTTGTGTAGTTTAGTAGGGATCTTATACTAACTTGTTCTGCAGGTTGTAAATGCAAATATATCATTGCAACGCTTGGAGGAACTATTTTTAGCTGAAGAGAGAATTTTGGCACCAAATCCACCTCTTGAACCAGGAATTCCAGCAGTCTCAATTAAAAATGGAAACTTTTCGTGGGATTTAAAGGTTGACTTCTAAAACTTAAGTATCTAAGAAATTCGTCTCATACATGATTGGAGGGAAGTTGAATTTGAGCTTTATTTTAATTTTTTGTATATTTGCATGTGCTTGGAATTCCATATTCTAAACATAGTTACATCAGGATTAGACTAGAAACATGGTTAGTGGTGATGCTAGCAAATATAGCATGGTGGAGTAGGTGATCAAAATATGATGGATGAAGGATTCAAGGAGGAAATTGGCGGATGTTAGGAATAGGCAAAGTAGCCAGTTAGAGAACCAAAACAGTCATGGCAATTTTGGTCATTTGAACTCTCAATCAATTGTTATTAAACCCGGACTGGAGTGGCTGGTCTGACTAGAAAGCCCAGTGAATTGGCAACCTAACTTTTCCAGGTTGATGCCAAAGACCACCGGACAAACCCAAATGGTTAACTAGCGGCTCAAGCATTGATCCGGTTTGAAAAGAAATGGGAAAAATTGAAGTTTATTCTGTTTGAACCTGGAAAAAAAAATAGTGCAAGGAAAGTTTACCATCAAATAAAAGGACAAGAAATGAAACAGAAATAGAATGAAAGTTCAAGGACTAAATAATGTGTGTTTGATTTTTATTTTTTTTTTCCTTCCAAATCAAATCACCTCATCTTGCTCCTACCCAAAATGAAGTGTTCACAATACAAGAAGGTGTGACCCCAGTTTAGTGCTCTTATGTTTACTAAATACATCAATCTCTGTTTTTCACAATATTGGTAGAGAAAGAAAAAAGGCCTTGATTGTTTGAATGTAACTGCTTTGAATTACACCACCTCCACAGTAATCAGCAATGATTTTCTATGCTCTTGTTAATCCGGTCATATTTTGTAGTGTACTGGTTGATGTTAAACACTCAGACATGCTTCGTATTCAAGCAAACTTAGAATCTCATGCTTTTTCCAGCAACAAAAGCCAACTTTGTCAAATATCAATTTAGACATACAAGTTGGCAGCTTAGTCGCAATTGTTGGCGGGACTGGAGAAGGGAAAACATCACTTATATCAGCAAAGCTTGGGTAGCTGCCTCCTATGGAAAATGCAAGTGCGGTTATAAGAGGCACTGTTGCATACGTTCCTCAAGTTTCATGGATCTTCAATGCTACTGTGAGTTGCAGCTCAGTTTCTTCTTTGTCAATTAATTTTTGGGTTTGTTGTATAATTATGAATTGTTTTGTACCTTGTTTCTTGTCTGGTGATTATCAGGTTTTGCATTAATGTTGTGCACATTCCTGACATAAAAAATTCGTTCTTACTGCAGGTGCGTGACAACATATTGTTTGGGTCAGGATATGAACCTTCACAATATTGGAAAGCTATTGATGTAACTGCATTGTAACATGATCTCGACTTACTTCCAGTTAAGTGCATTCCTTTTTCCTTTTTCTCGAATTCTTCTGTTTAGTTTAAAATATCTCTTAGATTATAACCTTATAATTGTTTATTCAGGGGCATGACCTCACTGAGATAGGTGAAAGAGGTGTCAATATTAGTGGTGGGCAGAAGCAAAGAGTTTCCATGGCTAGGGCCGTCTACTCCAATTCAGATATATACATATTTGATGACCCTTTAAGTGCTTTGGATGCTCACGTTGGTCGAAAGGTGTTAGATCATGTTAAATAGTATAAGTTGACATCAAAGTTATTTTGATTTCTAGTGCTACTTGTGCTATATTTTATTGTGAGCTTGATATGGTTCGTGGTGATGAGCAGCTCTTTGTTATTAATCTTACATGATACAATGGGAACATTATATAACTTTAATCCAGAATATTATTCCTTAAAGACTAAGACAAAGGAGTTGAAGGAGATTTTTCTTCATAAATTTTTGGGAAATATTATTTTACTGTTTTATGACTTTGAGAATCACTAGATTTATATTTCGTTGCTCTAAAAATGAGCTTCCCTGTAAGCTAAACATTAGCCTAAAATCAAATTTTTTTACAGGTCTTCGACAGTTGTATTAAGGAAGAGTTGCAAGGAAAAACCAGGGTTCTTGTCACAAACCAGCTACATTTTCTTCCACAGGTGGATAAAATTATTCTTCTCGGTGAAGGTATGATTAAAGAGGAAGGAACCTTTGAGGAACTCTCTAAAAATGGAAAGTTGTTCCAGAGGTTGATGGAAAATGCAGGGAAAATGGAAGGGCAAGTGGAAGAAAAAGAGAATGGTGAAAACCAGGACTGTAAAAGCTCAGAACCAGCAGCTAATGGAACAAATGAGTTGCCACAAAATGCAAGCAATAAAATGAAAGGGAAAGGAGGGAAGTCTGTACTTATCAAGCAGGAAGAACGAGAAACAGGTGTTGTCAGCTGGAATGTTTTAAGGAGGTAATATAGGTGCTTATTTTCTTCTTGCTCTATAAAATAATTGTATTTCTTTTATTGTTTCGGCAATTCTTATTACATTCAGAATAAAGAACGTTTTCTCAACTCATCCTAAATATGTTTATATGTTGCTAACAGCAACCCAACATACAAATCAAGTGAAAGTTGAAATCATATTTACAAGTCTTTAACAGTTTTACCACAATTATGGCCCAGGTAGCACTGGATATCCTAAAGAGGAGTGATGCTTAAACGCTCATATTTTTAATGCAAAAACATCTTATACAAATTTGATACCAACTAGTTAGATGTTCCCATGTGTTACAGTGTCTGTTGCAGTTAGATTTGCTGGAAATATAGCTGACATTTTGGTATACATGGAGGCATGGAACCAATGGTAGTAACATTGTTTTGACCAATGGAGGTTCTGGTATGCAGATACATAACTTTTCGTACTGTTTCAATAGCATGTGTACTGGTCATAAACATGAAATTTTCCAAGAGAAGTTTGTTGTTCTTGCAATTGACACTTGACAGTTTGATATTCATTTGCAGGTACAACGATGCATTAGGAGGCATACGGGTGGTTTTGATACTTTTTCTGTGCTACTTATTAAGAGAAGTTCTTCGGGTTTCAAGAAGTACATGGTTGAGTTTTTGGACAAATCAAAGCACTTTGGAGAGTTATAGGCCAGGATACTACATTTTCGTGTATGCACTTGTATCATTCGGTCAGGTCTGTCTGCAACCAGTAGTTGGCATCAATATCTTAGAAACAGAATATTTTGTGAGATTTTGCTGGAAAAAGAAGGAAATAAGTTATTGCATCCTGCCTTTCCTTCATTTACAGTTGTTTTTGAACGTGAAGTAATAGATATGGAATAAAAGAATAGAAGCAGTGAAGAAGACATGTAGAATTTATGTAAAGCCATGGTTTTCAGAGTCTTACTTCATATTTCTTGTTCAGGTGACCGTGACACTGGTCAACTCTTATTGGTTAATCAGTTCAAGCCTTCTTGCAGCCAAAAAACTTCATGATGCCATGCTAGAATCTATCCTACGAGCTCCAATGCTATTCTTCCATACTAACCCGAGCGGAAGGATAATCAATAGGTTTGCAAAGGATCTAGGTGAAATAGATTGCGATGTTGCCAGTTTTGCAAACAATTTTTTAGGCCAAGCTTGGCAGCTGCTTTCAACTTTTGTGCTGATAGGCATTGTGAGCACAATATCTTTGTGGGCCATAATGCCACTTCTGATCTTGTTTTATTCATCCTACCTATATTATCAGGTATGATAAGAATTCCCTAGTTATTTTTGTTGGAAATTGGTATGACTTTAGTAATACTTGTAACTTCAGTGTTTTGGCTCAGGTGCTCTTGCAAGGTAGTTTCTTCAATGTATTATTTTCTTGGTGTTTTTAGCCCTTCCACATGCCAAGAGCTATCTTCATAGACATGCCTTTATGTCTGTGGTTCCTACTTTGAAGAATTAGCTCAAGGAGTTTATATTTTTGAATGTCAGAATTTATGTAGGCTCAATGAAAAGATCGTCAGGAAGAACAGAAAACCCATACCCTTCAGCTATGTACATGTTCACAGCATTTTACCTGTCGTTTATAAATCACAGCATGTTCACAGAATTAACTCCTCATGTCACAGTTCCTGCAAGCATATATTTCTATTAATGTTGAATTGCCATTTATTTTCATCTTATCATTAGTGTCTGTACAATGTCTAACAGCTGTGCTTGTGTCTTGTGCTGCACAGAGTACTTCCCGTGAAGTGAAACGCTTGGATTCCATTACAAGGTCTCCAGTTTATGCACAGTTTGGAGAAGCCTTAAATGGTTTGTCTAGCATTCGTGCATATAAAGCATATGATTGGATGGCCATCATCAATGGGAAGTCTATGGACAATAATATCAGATTTGGTCTCATCAATATTTGATCAAATCGTTGGCTTTCCATAAGGTTGGAAACATTAGGAGGGATCATGATTTGGTTGATAGCAACATTTGCAGTTTTGGGGAATGGAAGAACAGAAAACCATGTTAGTTTGGCATCTACAATGGGTCTACTTCTTAGTTATACTATGAATATTACTCATTTGTTGAGTAGTACGCGAAGACAAGCTAGTAGAGCTGAAAATAGCTTGAACTCTGTTGAGCGTGTTGGCACATATATAGATTTACCCTCTGAAGCTCCAGCCATAGTCAAGAGCAATCGCCCTCCTCCTGCTTGGCCTTCATCGGGATCACTTAAATTTAGGGATGTTTTTCTACGTTACAGGCCCGAGCTTCCTCCAGTCTTACATGGAGAAGCTAGGAATAGTTGGAAGAACTGGAGCAGGGAAATCTAGCATGCTAAATGCATTGTTCCGGATTGTGGAACTGCAAAGAGGAGAAATCACCATTGATGGTTGTGACATTGCTAAGTTTGGACTGACAGATTTGAGGAAAGTTCTCAGTATCATACCACAATCACCAGTTCTTTTCTCAGGTGCTTGTCGTGAATCATCATGAGAAACTTGAAATTGGATTTCGCTAATTCAACTTCTTTTCTTGCATCAATAACCGCATATTGGCTTACTTTAACACTCTTGTCAATTCTAATTTTCAATCATTTTTCACAGGAACTGTACGATTTAATCTTGATCCATTTAGTGAACACAATGATGCTGACCTATGGGAGGCTTTAGAGAGGGCACATTTAAAGGATGCCATTAGGAAGAATTCTTTTGGTCTGGATGCTGAGGTATGGACTTACATTAAACTTCTTTATGTCAGTGAACCTTAATCTGTCAAAATGTTGTATCAATTCAAATTATTTTAAAAGCATTATTTAAATTCATCACAAAAGGTAATGTTAGACATAAATGGGTGGTAATAGTGCTTCGTGCAAACATTCCGTAAAAATTATGGCCTCGTGTTAGATTAAAGCTGATTTGAAGTCAAGGAATTGTTTTACATTCATATTTTTCAGATTTACCTGATATTCAGTAGATTATAGTATAATGCAATCTGAAAAGTTAATTCATTCTGGTGTCAAGGTTCTTGAGGGAGGGGAGAATTTTAGTGTTGGGCAGAGGCAACTTCTAAGTCTTGCACGAGCACTGCTGCGAAGATCTAAGATTCTTGTTCTTGATGAAGCAACTGCTTCTGTCGATGTTACAACTGATGCTCTTATCCAGAAAACCATAATAGAAGAATTCAGATCTTGCATAATGCTAATTATTGCTCACAGACTAAATACCATTATTGACTGCGACAGAATTCTTGTGCTTGAGGCTGGTCAGGTATGCAGTATGCTGACAAATTTAGTTTCCAAGGAAGTTGTTCCCTGTTTCCAAATTGCTATGAAACCTGAGTTTATCGAACACTATCCTGAAAAATTAATCTCCTTGAAGAAATAGCAGGAAAACCTTCATGCTCACCAACTTCATTCACAAATTTTCATGATTCCATTATGTCACATAATGATTCTATATTTAACTCGTGTGAAAATCTTCAACCATTCAGGTTTTAGAACATGGTACCCCAGAGGAACTGCTACAAAATGAAGGAAGCGCATTCTCTAGGATGGTTCAAAGTACAGGGCCAGCAAATGCTCAATACTTGTATAGCCTGGTGTTTGAAAGTAAAGAGCACAAGTTGTGTAAAAGGAAGGATGGCCAGAGAAGACAGACAGACTCTTCAAGATGGGCTGCTGCTGCCCAACTGGCCCTGGCTGTTAGCCTCGCTTCTTCAGAGAATGGTCTTCCAATGGTAGATGTTGGAGACGAGGGCAATGTCCTCAGGAAAACAAAAGATGCAGTTATAACACTTCAGGATGTCCTGGTAGGGAAGCATGACGAAGCGATTGGTAATTCACTTCAACAGAGCCAAGTCCCGCAAGATGGATGGTGGTCAGCTTTCTACAGAATGATTGAAGGTACACCCAAAATACTCCTTCATGCATACACTAAACATATGTTCTGCAATTAATTGCATACATATATCAGCATTGTACTTGTGGTAGAAGTTGATTTCATTACAACCACCAAGGTTTGTCTTTTTTTAGTGAATTTGATGATCAGGTATAAGGTATAAGTGGCTTTGCCTACTCTTTCTGATTCAACAGGAGGGCCTTCTTGTTTCAGGTTTGGCTGTAATGAGCAGGTTGTCGCGCAGGAGACGTCAACAATGTGATTATGAAAATGAACCCCTTGATTGGGATGATGTGAAAATGTAGGGAACATGGGAAATTTGATGTTCTAAGAAATGATTTTAGTCAACGCCTCGACAGAGTAAGCCGGTAACTCAATTTTGAGAAAAGCAAATTTCAGAGGGGACTGCTGAAATTAAAGATGAAAACCTGCTATATGCATTGTTTATGTACAATTGAAATCCGTCCACATTGTATCAGTTATCACTGTCAGCAAATCCCATATTTGAGGAATTTAGCATTGATCTGAACTTAAGGAACTAAGCTAGTATTAGGCTTTTCGGACCACTAAATGATTTTGACATGGCTGATGACAATCACCCCTGATACTTGTTGTCTGCCAAAACATTTGCAGTTGTCCTTTTCATGTTGCTACCAAACTTAATGTAAATGAGAAGGATCTATAAATTCCTGACAATGTCAAACAATCCTATACATATAAACTAAAGAAAGGATTTTAGTGCCTACTAAGTTAATGTTCTTAGGCCAATCAATATGAGCATGGCAGCGGAGCAAATTAGATGAGGTGCAGAGATGGCCAAGCGCTAGCACATTTAAGGAGATAAGAGTACTGCATATTAGCTATCGAGAGGCTGCAGGTACCTGCAGGGAAGTGATGTATTATGTATATATTGAGAGTGAGGAAGGTAATGTTCAAGTTTTAAATAATTTTAATCCCAATTTGCTATCAGAAGTGCAAAAGTGATAGTACTGCCAAGATTTGCAACTCAGAGTAATGGAGGTGTAAATATCCCAGCTTCATCTTAGGTTGTAGGCGCTTAGATTTTAACATTTCTCAAGGCGCGAGAAGAGAAAACAAAAACAATGTAGCTTTCAACATATATTTACGAGTTGATTATAACTTAGTCCCTATAGGTTAGCAAAACTAGTTAATTAGTCTTCATGGTTTCAAAAACTATATATTCATTCCCTATATTTTCAAATTCATTTATAACTTGATCCTTTTCCTCTTATTATACTTATGTTGTTTTTCAATTTACTTGGATTTTAAGAAATAGAACAAGAAAAAAAAAACAGAGAGTATGGAAAGACGAGAAAAAAAAAACAATTTTTAAAATAAAATACTATTAAATTAATCATGATTGACACTAGTCAAATTTTAATTAAAGGATTATTTAATTATTTTTTTATGATGTATTAATTTTATTATTATATTAATATTGATAAACTATAGGAATGCATGTTTGTAAATATATTGTTGATGAGTTTTCATGTCATTTTAAGGTGTGAGTTACTGAGTTTAATGTGCAGGGATTTGAAAAGGATTTCTTGAATGCATGTTTGAGTGTACAGGACTATCTAAGACCAGACTGGAAAGGATTTAATAAAATTTCCTTTCAAAAAAAAAAAAATCTTAGCAGTACATTATTATTATTATTTTGAGAAAAGGTTATTCCGTAATTAATTTGAAAGGATTCGGTCTAGGTGCATGTTTTAAAGCTGGTCTAATAATATCCTTTGAAAACAAAAAAAGAAAAACATCTTAGTTGTACCTTAATGAATGGAAAATTTTTTATTAACAGCGCAACAAAGTCATGTTAATAAAAAGTGAGAAAATTCAGACACCTAATTTTATAAAAAGGACGTAATATATATATATATATATATATATACACGCACACACAATCGTTTGTAGAAATTATATTGCCAACTGGTAGCTTCGTCCTCCCATTGCATTTCCATATACGTTGCATTTGGTATCTGTAATTTGTATGTACCTTTCCAAAATTCGATGTAAAACATTAACATTTAATTTTACAAAACAGGTGCAATAAAGATATAAAAAGATAGACGTATTTTTCAGTTGATTTAATTTAGAAAATAATAATTTAGTTTCCGTTGATGAGGAAACAGCTAGAAAATAACTCATTTTCTGTAAATAATAAAAAAAGGAAGTATAATGTTGTCTTATAGAAAATATTAATAAAAACTACTAAACCAAAACGTTAATTTATTATTCATTGATACTATTTCAAATACTATTCATCTAAACTCATGTGCATTATTCACAAAGATTAATATATACTATTCATTTGACTATGCAGTGGCTTTTTTATAATTTTCAAACTTTTTTTAAGTCATTTATTATAAAAGTTTTTATGACATTATACTTTGGTTTCTCCCTTTTTAAATATTGCTTTTTCGATAAATTGTTTGTTTTATTTTGGTCCCTCTTTTTTGTTTTATTTTGGTTATTTTGGTCCTTATTTTTTTTCCTCTGATTTTTTAATTAAAAATTTTAAGACAAAAAGATGATTAAAAAAAACAATTTACAAAATAAATTTTTAGCTAAAGATATAGACAGAGATAAATAAATAATACTTTTTAATAAAAAATTATGAAAATATAAAGAATAATTAGTCAAATATAAAATTTTGATAAAAAAATTATAAAATTGAATGAATTTTTATTCATTTTTAATTTGATATATGTTGGTAGACGTCGCATAATATAACACAGGATATCAAACTGAAATAAATTTTTAAAAATAATTTTATGTATTATGTCCGATCCGCAACATAATACGGATAAAAAAACTAATACGTACTATGTGGCAATCTAATACTACCATTTTATAGTCTTGGTCCTTGCTTTTTTTTTTTCTTTGATTTTTTTAATTAAAAATTTTAAGGTAAAAAGATAATTAGAAAAAAATAATTTACAAAATAAGTTTTTAGCTAAAAATGTTGTTTAATAAAAAAAATTATGAAAATATAAAGAATAATTAATCAAATATAAATTTTTGATTAAAAAATTATAAATTTGAATGAATTTTTTTCAATTTTAAAAATAATTTTATGTGTTCTGTTCAACATGCGGAATAATGCGGGTAAAAAAAACTAATACGTACTATGTAGCAATCTAGTGCTACCATTTTATAGTCTTGGTCCTTGCTTTTTCTTTTTTCTCTGATTTTTTTAATTAAAAATTTTAAGGCAAAAAGATGATTAGAAAAAATAATTTATAAACTAAGTTTTTAGCTAAAAGTATAGATATAGATAAATAAATACTATTTTTTAATAAAAAAATTATGAAAAATATAAAGAATAATTAGTCAAATATAAAATTTTGATTAAAAAATTATAAAATTGAATGAATTTTTATTCAATTTTAAAAATAATTTTATGTGTTCTATTCGATATGCTACATAATGCAAGTAAAAAAACTAGTATTATGTGGCAATCTAGTACTATCATTTTATAGTCTTGGTCCTTACTTTTTTTTTTTCTCCTTCTGATTTTTTTAATTCAAAATTTTAAGGTAAAAAGATTATTAGAAAAAACAATTTACAAAATAAGTTTTTAACTAAAAATATAAATAAAGATAAATAAATAATATTTTTTAATAAAAAACTTATGAAAATATAAAGAATAATTAGTCAAATATAAAATTTTAATTAAAAAAATTATAAAATTAAATGAATTTTTATTTAATTTTTATTTTGATATATTTTACTTTTAAGGAATTCAGGGTATCCAAACCAAATCTGGACTTTTATACAAGATTATCCTCACCGCGTCCACACCTACCATATATTATACGTGCGTGTGCGCCTGCATCTTTTATATCTTCCAAATAGGAGAAAAGAAAAATACAGCTTTCAGCCATGGCCAAAGTGTGCAACAGAACTCCTTTCTACCGTTACAGAAGAAGCCGAAGCCGAAGCCGCTCTCTTTTCTACCCTAGATACTCTCCAAGGAGAAGCCAGAACCCTAGCCCGAGCCCTAGCATCTCTCCAAGGTCTTACCCTCGAAGCCCTAGCCCTCGAAGGTCTTACTCTCGAAGCCCTAGCCCTCAATGTTCTTACTCGAAAAGCCAAAGCCCTTTGATCACGCAATACCAAAGTGGATGGCTAGGGCAGGACAGTGGTAAAGAAGACCACAACCTCCTTGATAGCTCTGGCAAAGAATTAGATCGAATAAGTGAATTGCCCGACTGCATTATCCAACAAATTCTCTCCTTTTTGCCTGCCAAAGATGCAGTGAAAACCGGCGTTCTATCCAGTAGATGGGCCTATTTGTGGACTACAATTCCATGCTTGAGTTTCCGGCAGATTGATTTCCCCGGCAGAATATGTGCGCGAGATTTCATTAAATTCATTAATGCAACCCTAATGCTTCATAGGGGTATGAACATTGAGAAATTTTCTCTCAGTTTCCATGATCTGGATAAATGTCCTCATAACAAGGTTGATTTATTGATTCGTTACATGACTCTAGCTAATGTTAAAAACCTTGATCTAGATTTCGGCCCAGCATCACGTCAAAGACAAACTGGCAATGACAGATATGTCTACAAACTGCCACAGCAGCTGTATTCAAATACATGTCTCGCAAAATTGTCTTTGTCTAGGTGTAATATGAAGCCGGTTGGTGCAATTAGATGGCACTCACTCAAGATTTTATCGATTGGAGAGATGCAATTAGATGATGATTTGATGAAAAATGTATTAGAGGGATGTCCTTTGCTGGAAGTTTTGGAGTTATATCAGTTTCATGGACTAAATAAATTGATCTTTAGTAATAGGAGCTTGATAAAGTTTGTGATAAGGGATCACCAATATCAAGATGATTCTACCTTTGATATCTCAGGCCCGTATCTTCAATCATTGGTTATGTCCGGGGATATGTGGATGTATAACTACAGGGTTTTCAATGCAAAATCTCTAGTTGATTGCTCTTTGGATTTTACCTTTGATGCATGGTATAGTCGAGGCTTTGAGGTGTGCGAAGTAGATATGCTACTTGATCTACTTAAAGATCTTCACCATGCCAAAGAACTTACCTTGGGAGCATGGTTTATTCAGGTTAGTTTTTCTCTACTCTTTGATTGCATTTGAAAGAAGAAACTTGCACCATCTACTCTCTCCATGTACAATATCTGGTTTTTATTTTCAGTTTATTAAAAAGAGCCATATTATGTGTGTGAAAGAATTTATAGTTCATTTCAAACCAAATTTCTTAGCTCTTGTTTTTTAAAAATAGTCAATTGATTTGAAACATACAATTAAAAAAAAACCTTACAACCGTTTCTTAATGTTGATCATCATTATTTTTTTTTAATGCCTAAAGTTATTACATCAAACGGCTATTTTTCATTTTCTATATATGTGTGTGTATGATATTGTTTTTGACCAATGAGGCAACATGTATACTTGTTTTTCTTGATTAAAGTGGCCAACAAGTATATTTGTTTTATATCAGCATGCATATTTGTTTTCTTGGCTAAAAAAAGCAGTATATATCATAGATCTTAAACTACCTTTCGTTCATTTGTATTCTTTGGATTCCATCAAAAGCCATATTGGTTGACTTTCTTTATATTATAAATATGGATAAGAGTGGTACCGAATTTTGTTGAATTTAAAGTTTTACAAATAGTATAAATTTATAAAACACTATAAGAAAATTGAACTTGATGTATTTTTGAGATCATATGCAACATATATTTGATTCTCTCGCATTAGTATTTTATGTGAACGATACATGTCGTTTCAAGAAAATAATCTGGTTATGCATATCTCGAAAATGTCACATAAAAAACAATAAAAAAATTATTATTTTGGTATTTTTCATGTTCACGATTTTAGGTCATATCTAATTCATCTCCAACTTGTTTAATTATAGTGACTTTGATGGTTCAATCTTATTCTTTATACCATAAAACTATGATAATTTGATTTTAATTTCTAATTTTTTTAATAATCAAGATAAAAGATATTTTTTATTTATCTTAATTTACAATAAATTTATTTATTTATTATATGATTTTTATTATTTAATTATATTTTTTTTATGTGTCAGAACAACAGAATCCGTATATAACAAGTTTGGTAGAAAAATATAACACTGCTGCATGTTCTTGCTACAATTAATCCTGCTCTGTTATTATTCCTTTTGCTACATATTGAGTGATTTTAATTAATTATTTATTTTTTTGTGTCTTTTGCTTCTTGCTGTAATTTCATGGCTCAGGTTTTATCCATGGTGAAGCTTAAAGGGATGTCTTGTCCGCTGCCTGAATGCAGATATTTGGCAATGGACACATGCTTGAAGAACTGGGACTTCCCTGGGATAGCATGCCTTTTAGAAAATTCACCTTCCTTAGAGACACTAATCATAAACTTGACAACAATTTCCATTCCAGAGGTGCTTCTTTCTAAATCCATCCCATAGTTTTTTTTTTTTTTTTTTTTGACCTTATGTTATTAAGTTCTAGAAATTAATTAACGAAAAATTAATAATTAACTTCTAATCAAGCTTAATTTTCTTATCTTTTTTTTAAAAAAAAATCTTTTCTTATCTTTTTTTTTTAATAATTAAGTGAAGCTAAGTTCTTAATTCTTCCCTAAATTGCTTTGGTTAAATACTAATTCTTTTCCTCTTCTGTTTTTAATACAGGTATGTTTTGACGAGGATGATCCGTTAATGGCTGATGCAGAAAACTATTGGATGTATCAAACAATAAGGAACTTCAAGTGTTTGATGCTGTATCTGAAGACTATTAAAATCACTGAGGTTTTACCATGGAATTTCGGTGAATTTGTTGTCCCATTGGTACATTTTTTGGTTTCGAATGGAAGGGTTCTTGAGAATATTACTGTGAAAGCAGCTGGAGAAGGTTCATGGAAGGAATTGTTTCAAATGGCCCAAAGATTGTTAAGTCTCCCAAGATCCTCTCCCTGTTCAGTCCTTAAATTCTTGGAGTACTGACATATTAAAGAAGCCAATGTGAAGTCTATTTTAAAGAACAGTGTTTTTTAATTGGATTTAAAAGCATAACTTACATCCAAACTATTAGAATTCTACTACAATAAAGTCTATATTATCAATTTAGATTATTTGGACTCCAACTATTAATTTTAAGAAAAATTATATCTTTTTCAATTATTTCTAACAGCCAAAGTATTGAGCATTAAGTATAATGATTAAAACAACACCGTTTTATACATCTTGGGTTTTTTTTAAGAATTATAATTTATTTCAAAAAACAAAAAAACAAAAGATAGATTCATAAATAGCAAAATCATCTAAACTTTTTTAAAGCTAACTATTATTAAATATTTTTTTCAAAAATAATTTTAATTTCAAAATAATAATATATAATTTAGTTTTTTTAATAGATGGATCGTTACACATCATTAATTATCCAACAATAAAAGTCATGTCCATAAACGAAAAAACATATAATCTTCCTTAAAACTAACTATTATTAAAAATATTTTATGAAATTAATTTAATTATAAAAAAGCTAAAATGCTTAAAATGATATCGTTTTAAGAATTTTACTTAATAGTGTCGCTACTCAAAATATGAGGCTCCCAACGATTAAGAATTTTTTTTTTTTTTTTTTTTTTTTAGAGCCACCATGTTTAAAAAAAAATGGTTCTTTATTAAAAAACAATTTATTTATTTATTTTTTTTCAATTAAACCTCATTATTCTCAATTTCAACCTTTCTTCTTTCTAATTTCCTTCAATTGCATTCTGATTAATTAACCTTTTTTTATTCTCTCTCTCTCTTTTAATGGCTATATATTTTTTGGATGATTTTCATTTTGGTCTATTCTAACCCGTTCTCTATTTTTCTTTTACTTACTCTAAAAAATAACAATTAAGAAAAATCCTAGTATGTGTTAAAAATCATATTAAAAAAAAATGTCAAAGTGTCTAAAAATCATGCCAAAAAAAAAATTATGCACCATGGAATTTTTGATTTTTTTTTTTTTGAATTTTTGCATAAATGATATATATATATATATAGAAAATTTATGAGGAGTCAAAAAATGGGTTATGACAAACGAGCAATACTTTGACCATTAGATGTGATGGAGAACAATAAAATTTATCCAAAAATTAATAGTTTAAAGACAAAATAGGGATGGCAATTTGCCCCATCCCAACGGAGCCCCGCCTCGCCTCGTGTCAATTTTCCCCGATCAACGGGGGATTCTCCGTATTGATCGGGGAACAGTGCCGGGCGGGGATGGGATTTGCTCGCCTCGCCCCGTTTGCCTCATTTTTTTCATTAAAATTATAATTATACCCCATATAAAATCTATAATTAGAGACTTTTAGGGTTTATTTTCTATATAAATTATCATTTTTCTATAATTAAAAATTTGATAGTAAAATTGGATAAAATAAGACGAAAAAAAAATTTGCCCCGTTTACGCCCCGTTTAGGGCGGGGACGGGGATGGCGATTCTCGTCCCGCCCCGCCCCACTCGCCATCCCTAAGTCCAAATAGTTAAAATTGATAGTACATGTCTTATTTTGTCACAATCTCAACAGTTTGAAAATAAATTATGCCATTAAACCTTTTTCTAATTATTTTGGTTGGCATAGTTTTCAAAATTTTCCAATATGCTATTTTTTTTTTTTTTTGTATTTTAAGGAATTGGAGACTTCTCTCGCTTGAATCTTGATTTTCATAGTACTTTTACTTGTTTTGTTCTTGGCCTACATAAACATTTGAAGTAACCATTTGCTAGCTTTCAAGATTAAAAGCACTCAATTGATAAAAATTTTAAAGTATAAACACTCAAATAATAAAATAAAAGTACATAAAATTAACTTACACTATATATATTAAGAGGGAGAGAGAGATGTTTATCAAGTATTAATTTATTAGTCATATATAATCAGAAATTTTATAATACTCAAAGAATAATTAAACTTTTTAAATATTATAAAATTTCGCATAACCGAAGAGCTATTTGTGGTGATGATAACACATATAAACATGGTGCAAAGTATTGATGTTTGGTGAGCCGATTTCGATGCTAATCGGTTGTTTGCTATGATTAAAAATGGCTAAAAGCTTACACTCCTTGTAAGGAGTCTCAAGCAATTATACTTGGTGATTCACATACGACCTAGGTGCTTGGTAGTGGAGAGGTCAAGTTAAAATTCATCTTTGAAAGAGTTTTGACCCTAAAAGATGTGTTGTACACATCTCCCATGATAAAGAATTTGATCTCAAGTTCTCTTCTTAGGAAGGTTCGCTTCATGTAGACTATGGAGTCCGATCAATATGTGATCACTAAAAATGATATTTTTATTGGTAAGGATTATGCTTGTGATGATATATTCAAATTGAATCTTGAAAATAGTAATACATCTACTAATTCGGTTTACGTGCTCTCTTCAATTAATTTCGGCACGTGTATGTCATATAAATAGCAAATATGTAAGAATCTTGACTACTTTAGGATTATTCTCAATGTTAAATAAAGACTTTGAAAAGTGTGAAACTTATAGCAAAGCTACCAACACTAAAAGGCCTCATATAAGTATGGATAGAAATACTGAATTGTTTGAGTTAATTCACATTGATCTTTTGTGAACTCAAATGAGTTCTAATTCTTGGAAATAGATATTTTATTACTTTCGTTGATGATTTTTTTTTAAATACATACATTTATTTGATGAAACATAAAAAGTGATACGTTTGGAATATTTAAATAAATTCTCAATGAAGTTGAAAATCAATTCGATAGAAAAATTAAAAGAGTTAGAAGTGATATAGGCCATGAGTATAAATCTTTTGAATTCAACTCATATGTTCAAACATTGTGAATAATCCATGAACTCCGCTCAACAATACTCTCGTATCTCTAATGGTGTAACCGAAAGAAAAAATAAAACTCTAATTGAGTTGGCAAATGCAACGTTGATGGAGTTAAGTGCTCCCTTGAATCTTTAGAGTGAAGTAATTTTGATTACATATCATGTTTTGAATAGAGTGCTCCATAAAAAGAGTAAAATTACATCATTTGAAATGTAAAAGGCTATAAGGCATAGTCGGGATACTTGAGGGTTTGGAAATACTTAGCCTATTTGAAGTTAACGGATCCAAAAATAGCTAAACTAGCTAGTAAAACTAATTTCTTAGTTGATGAAACAAACGATCCATTCAAAGAAATAAAAACTCTTACATAAAGAATTTTTTAAGGTAATAAAAAATAATGGTTTGATGGTTCAAGATGTGTTTCTATTGTTTTATTTGTCTTAATGGTGTCTCTCAATTAATTTTCTCATTCATTGCATCCTTCTACTTTAATTGGCGTCTTAATTTTGCCCTTCCGTCCAAATTTTTAGATAACGACATCAATTTTCATTGACATAAACACAAGATGCTAAAACGTGGTAATTTTTTTAATTTTTTAAAAAATAAATTTCTGGAAAAAAAAGTATAAAAAATCACAAAATATCCTTCTTTTTCTCTCGCTTTTATGTACGTAAATAAATAATTAATTTCATCCCTCGGTTTTTTTTCTCTCTCAAAGACAAACTAAAAACGAAAATTCTTTATGCATAGAAAGGAAAATTTTTTTTTTAATTCAGAAATTTATTTCAAATTCAAACAGAAAGAAAATTTTTTATGAAATTTTTTTCATAACATAGGAATAGAAGCAAAAGGCGAGAGAAAAGAGAGACATTTTGGGTATTTTTTGTTTTTTTGAAAAAACTGCCACTTGTTAGCATCATATGAGTATGTGGTTGGAAATTGACGTCGTTAATTAAAAATTTGAATGAAGGAACAAAATTAAGGCTCCAATTAAAGTGGATGGATGCAATTGATGAGAAAATTAATAGAGGGAACGATAAAGACAAATAAAATAATGGAAAGACATCCTAAATCATTAAAAAAAAAAAAAAGAATGTCAATGTGTCAACAGTTAAAAAATCTGATGAAACTTTTTTTTCTTTCGATTGTAATTAGAAAGAACCTCAACTTGATTATGATAATAATAATAAAAAAATCATTGTCGGACTCATCAAAACTATGAAATAAGATTAGTATTAGATAATTACTATAAAAAAATTCTAAATCTGTAAAACCCACCAATTTAGTTTTAAATTTCTCAAATTCAAAATAATATTTTTTTTAAAGAGACACTAAATAGTTAACTAGTGTTAAGTTGATAGTTAACTATTGAGTATTACAGTAAAATATATATATATATATATATATATATATATATATATATATATATATATATTATTTAGATTTGAGAGATATAAAAATAAATTGATGGGTTTTTTAAATAAAAGATTTTTTAGAGAGTTTTTCTAGTATCTCAAAAAAAGTTATTTTATATTTTACACTTATACTAAAAAGAACTAAATTATGAAATTAATTAAATATGAAAATATAAAAGCAAATGATTGTGATGTTTTCTATTTCTAAAAGTGCATGTATATAAAAGAAGAATATTATATTATTTATCATTTTTAGTGTTTTTTTTTTTCCATTTGAAAGATAGTGAAACGATAGAAAGGTGTCAAAAGTACGTTTTTCAAAATCATTGCGAATTTGAAATTTTTTTAAACAGAGAAATATTGCATTTGAATAGAATATTTCAATTTTTCCTTTTTTAACTGCAACTTTTCAAAAACTTGGACTATTTCTTTTTGTGCATTCGAACCAAATAAGAAAGCAAGATTTAAGAGGAAAGCGATTTCTTACATCATAACTAAGAGAGTAAATATGGCATATAATTCATGAAGAAAAGGTTATAATCAGTAGAAAATACTAAATTTGTATCAGTCATTGGATTGTAAAGAAATCAATGGTTGAGAACTCTTGTAAATCAGTTATATGAAAGTAAACTATACGTACTAAACATAGTTTTACAGGATCCCTCGTCAAATTATATTACAGTTAAAAAATGGTTTAATGATCTAAAATATCGTTTTATTGTTTCGTTTGTCTTAATCATGTCGTTTTATTAATTTTCTCATTAACTGCATTCCTCTATTTTAATTGGCACCATAATTTCGTCCCTCTCGTCCAAATATTTTTAAATAACGACGTCAATTTTCGATGATAGACGCACATAATATTGCACATGATAATTTTTTAAAAAAAATTTGAAAAAAATTAAATTTCTGAAAAAAATAAAAAATCACAAAATGTTCTTCTTTTCCTCTACCTTAATGCATAGAAATAAATAATTAATTTCATCCCTCAATTTTTTATTTTATTTTATTGCTTTCTCTCAATCCAAACAAAAAAAAAATTTATTTATAGCAAGAAATTTTTTTTTCAAAAATTTATTATGAAAATTTATTTCAAATCCAAACTTAAAAAAAAAATTATGAAATTTTTTTTTATAAAATACAAACAGAAAAAAGAAGAAGAAGAAGAAGAGAGAGGGGCATTTTGAAATTTTTTATTTTTTAAAAAAGTTAACATGTGTCAACATCTTGTGTCTTTGTAGTGAAAAATTGACATTATTACCTAAAAATTTGAATCGAGAAACAAAATTCAGATGTCAATTAAAATAAAAGGAGGTAATTAATGAGAAAATTAGTAAAATGAAATGACTAAGATAAATGAAAAAGTAGAAAATCATTCTATACCATTAACTCGTTAAAACATGAATTTTTAAAATAAGAGTATTAAAGGCAATTCAATCTTCAAACTTTTGGGTGTTTGGAGTAAATTCTCTATACCTGAGCGGTTATGTTATTTGCCCTTTAAATTAACCTTTTGTTTGGATAGGAAGTAAAGTAGAGGCGAGGAAAGAAAATGGGAAGGAAATGAAAATTTTCCTCTGTTTGGTTTAGAGAGGAAAGCAATGGAAAGAAAAAAAATTATTAAACAAATGTATTTTTGATGGGGCCCATTTTCCTCTCAAAATTGGGAGGAAAGTGGGAGAAAACCATGATGCTTAATAATTTTTTTTCATTTATGTTTTTACCCTTACCCACATGTGTCTTACTCAGCTCCATGTGAGTCTAGTAAGGTTTTGTGGTTGGTGTTTACAGTAGTTTTTGGGTACGATCATTTTTCATTTCCTAAAAAGTACCTACTTCTTCACGTGCTTTTTACCCTGTAACACAATATTTTTGTTCTTTAATTTCGGATAAAATAGAGTAAGTACGTGTGGTAATGCAATGCATATGCTTTTATAAAAATATGTTATCATTAATTTGATTTTTTTAAAAAAATACTTTTTGATATTTTTAACATTAATATATCAAAATTATTATCATTAAAGAATGTAATCTTAGATACTACATGATAGATTTTTATTTTATTATCATTTGTATAATTTTAATGAAAAAAATATTCATACAAATTTATTATAAGTATTTAAATATAGAAATATAATTATAGAGGTATTGTAGTAAATATACAATAATATATTTTCTTTCTCTCTTTTTTTATAATTATCTAAACAAAAAAAATATATTTTCTTTCTTTTCATTTCTACTCTTATCCAAAACAATAAGTGAAAAATAGTTTTCTTTTCTCCTCTTTTCTTTCCTCCATAAGGAAATATCCAAACACAGGTAAGAGCATTGGCCCCAACTTGTAGGGCACCCTACTCAAACCACTTTCAGGCACAAATTGCAAAACCTCACATAAACCCCAGTTCAGTTCTGTCTTTGGTCCCTAGAAACCATGGGAGAAGAAGTAGACCAAGAACAAGAACAGCAACACAATTCTCCCACAGAAACCATTCAACAAGACTACACATGGCCTGTAATTAGATATGATTTGCCTCCACAAAGAACCCACCATTTCTTTAAACAGTTCCGGAATACTTCTTCTTCAAACCCTAACAATTTCCTTAAAGGCGTTAAGTGGTTACAGTCCATCTCTCCACGTTTCTTTGTTTTCTTAACATGTTTCTGTTTGTATTTCTCTATTGAGCTTCTGAAAGTCTGTTTCTTCTTTTTGTTTTCTTTAAGGTCTCCAGATGGGTCCTGTTTTTTAACAAGTTCTGAGGATAATACCCTGGGTTTGTTCTCAACGTAAGCATTTTAGATCATATGATTGATTAATTTAAGGCTAATGATTTATATTTGGAAATTAATCTGTCATTTTAATGGTAATTTGGTGCTTTGTTGTGTATTAGACCAGATAATGGTAGTGGCAGCGGTGCTGATGGGTGTTCTTTAGCTACTGATGAAGGTGAGTTCTTTAGTTTAGACTTAGAAAATAAGCATATTTTAAAGGCAATAGAGAATGCCTACTTTTTTTCTTTTTTTCTTTTTTTGCCTTTTTTTCCTTCTCTTTATATGGTTGATGTTACTTAAACTCAAAAATTTTGCTATATTATATTAAATTTAAGATATTTTTTGTTTTTCATTTTAGATTCATATGATGCAAGTCTTTTAGTGAAGGAAGGGGAATCCGTGTATGACTTCTGTTGGTATCCGTATATGACTGCTTCAGGTGCTAACATTGGGATTATCTTGTTGGATTGCCATTTTAACTTGTGCAAATGCTGATTTAAAATGATGGAAATTTGATATATTGCTTGGCTTTTCAGATCCTGTTAGTTGTGTATTTGCTGCTACTACTCGTGACCATCCGATTCATCTTTGGGATGCTACATCTGGCCTGGTACTGTTTTGTCTATTTGTGTGAGTGTGTTGTATTTAAGTTCCTCAAACGAGATAAAGACTCTAGATTTTTTTTTTTTTTTAAAAAAAGGAGAATTGGAAAATTGCCTTGTAGTATAAACAAAGGTGAGGGCTTTATGAGTCTTTGCCTGTTTTGGGTGCAATTGAACCAGAAATTTTGATTTACTGTACATGCTTATGTGAAAGATGTGGTTACAGCCTTCTTTCTTTCATTTTTGGGTCCATTTCTTGTTTATGTTTGTATGACCACTGATTATGTATACTGAAATTGCAGCTTCGTTGCTCATATCGTGCTTATGATGCTGTGGATGAAATTATTGCTGCCATTTCAATTGCATTTAACCCAGCTGGGACTAAGTAAGAACATTCTTTTTGAAAGTTTTATTAATTGTTCAACTAGAGCTTGGATATGAGGTTGACATTGTCTGTTTTGTACAAATTAGTTCAGAATCTAGCTACGTTCAACACTATTTTACTTAATTCTTGCTTTGTCTGGTAGGATTTTTGCCGGATACAATAAATCTATCAGAATCTTTGATGTACATCGCCCTGGTAGAGATTTTGCACAGTATTCAACTATTCAAGGCAATAAAGAAGGACAAACAGGTTGATTTCTGCCCTGACTACTCAAATGTGTTACTGATAATCAATGAAATGATGAAGCATGTTATCCTTGATTTGTTTGTTGTCTACAGGTATAATATCTGCAGTTGCCTTTTCTCCAACTCACACCGGAATGCTAGCTACTGGTTCTTACAGCCAGACAACTGCAATCTATAGGGAAGACAATATGGAACTCTTGTACGTTTTACATGGCCAAGAAGGTGGGATTACACATGTAAGTGAGCATTTATTTTTATTACCTCGACTTTGATTGTGGTATCAATGAATTAAAGGTAAAATGCTTTCTCACTCAGGTCCAGTTCTCAAAGGATGGAAACTATCTTTTCACTGGAGGCAGGAAGGTACATTGTTGTGCATATATTCTTAGATACATGTTTGTTTCTTCCTTTTCTTTCTATATATCTCTTTGTAATTACAAAGTCTGAAATTGCATTTATGCCTTCCATCTGCACTACATTGCTGCGTCAATCTTTCCTTCACTGTAGTCTCTGCTTGCAGTGTTGGCAATATGAGCTACAGCAAAGCTGCTCTCTTTATCTTCAATTTATCTATGAACTTATGTGATTTTATGCTACACCACTTCTCATGAAGTAGGCTGTTTCAAATATGGCAAAACGAACATATATATTCTTTATCTGATGCGTCTTGTGGTTTATGATATCTATGCAATTGACAGATTGTTCCTGTATTCCTTTTAGGACCCCTATATCTTGTGCTGGGATATACGGAAAGCTGTTGAAGTTGTGTACAAGTAAGTATTTATCTTATTGGGACATTTTCTTTCTTTCGAAATAGTCATATCTGATACTATGTATATTTTCAACGACAGTAGTCATAACTGCTCTTGAAAACCATTTGAAGAACTGAGTAAGCTTCTAGATTCTAGCAACTTTTGTTGCTAGTCATTATTTGTTCTTTTTGTTTATATCTGTAACCATCTTACATAGGTTTAATGAGTCAAGTGGCAATGTCTGGTCAGTTGCATAGTTTGTTTCTCTGTACTTCAGATTCTTGGTCAAGTAGTTTGTACTTTGTTTTGGGCAATCTTGTAATAACACATTTATAACACCATGGATGTGCCTCATTTTCCGACATTCTGTGGTATTAGATTGTACAGATCCTCAGAGCACACCAACCAGCGGATATTTTTTGATATTGAGCCCCTTGGCCGACATCTTGCCACAGGTGGTCAGGTATGATTCAAGTTTTATCACTCTATCCATGGTGGAGGGAAAGGATGTGTCAATACCAATAACCAGTTATTAGATCTTTGAATGTTTGATGCTCATTTTCCACAACTTTGCCTTTAGGATGGTTTGGTTCATGTGTATGATCTACAAAACGGGCAGTGGATTTCCGGATTTCAGGCTGCAACAGGTATTCATATGCCATATCCTTTCTAAGTGGTTGTTGTTTTGATTTTTAAATATGCAAAGCTTCTCCTACATCTAATCATTTTTTCATTCTGTGCGCAATGCAGACACTGTTAATGGTTTCTCTTTCCACCCATTCCTTCCTATGGCGATCTCTTCGTCAGGGCACCGAAGGTTTCAAGTTCCTGATGATTATGACACGAATTTGCATTTGACTAGTAATTCCAATGACCTTAATGCTTTGAACTATTCATTTAGGCTAACTTTTAATCATTATCCCTCTTATGCTAGTTTTGTTTTGTGTGCATTTGCTGCATTTTGGATGGAAGTTTATGTAGGCTTTTGGCTTTTTCCAGTAGAAATACGAAAGGAGAGTTCCTAGGCTTCCTTCTAAGTTTTAACTCTCACTGTTGAGCTCCCAACAAGGAAAATGAAATTGGAGGGGTGGGTTTGGTTTTTTAGGTTGAACCTGTGAGTAAAGATAGTTTACCACAATAGTTAATTGATGCATACGGTATTCACAGTTGATGTATTTTACAAGGTTAAATCTTACCCATCAATAATTTTGTGTATGTTTTATGTAGGTTACGAAAACTGTGCCTCTGTGTGGAGTTTCTCCTGTGCTTCAATGGAAGAGGATGACACCAACATCCACGATGGCGATTTTACTTGATCCGAAAATGAAATCACAGTCACTCCCCGATGGCCTTATGCCGATACATCTCATGTCAACTCCCTTGTTATTGATATAGACAAGCAATCATTTGCCTAAATATTGTACATCCTATCATTCAATAGAAATCAGTACTTTCATTGAGCAGAGAGATCGATGTTTACATTGAAGAGTTGAATTTGGACTAATGTCAAGCATAGTGTTTATTTTAGCAACTAAGAAATTTCGAAGAGGTAAGTGATTGCAAGAGGGTGAAATACTGCGTCTTGTAACCCAAGCTTTACAGAAAAACAGAAGGAATCTGGCCGACGGAGTGCAAGTTGTTTTCGTGGTGTCGTTGACTGCCATAGAAATCAATTGGAGGCTCTCTTATGAGAATAAACAAGCCATAGGATGTGCGTTTGTGCGCGGAGACCTTATTTGCATAAATAAGAAAATATTCGATTTAAACGTTATGGCGTGCATATTCTTTATAATAATGGAAAAAAGGCAGAAGCACTACCATATATGGAAATCGATGAGCTTAAGTAACACGTGTCATTTCACATGGAGATCCGAAAGGCGCACAACTGGTCCAATGCGTCCGAAAAAAGTCCAGCTCAGGGGTGGGGTTCACGTTCATCCCCTCTTTTAAGAACCGATGGATATCTCCGAGAATAGTGAAGTTTCTTCGATTTCGAACACTCGCTCCGAGCATTGAAAAGTCCTAAGCACCTCTTTTAAGACTATAGAGACAAAATATATATTATTTACTATTAATATTTTTTTAGCATTACAAAACTAATTTATTTGAAATTAAATAATTAAAATAATTTTTTAAAGGAATCAATTAATTATTTAAATACATTTTTTTGTTAATTTTATTGATTATTTTTATTCATATATTTTTTTAAAAAAAATAATCTCCTCACTAACATTAAATAAGAATAAAATTTTATTTCTTCATTAATTAATTTTTATGTAAGTCTATACATTAATTGTAACTTTATTTTTTGAATACATTCTTGTAAAAAATATATATATTTAAAGTATTTATTTTTGAATTCTTAATTAATATTTCAAGTCTAAATTATTACAAGTTTTTATTTAAGAATTCTTGAATAAAAAAGAATAAATCATATTTTTTTCAAGTAGAAATTTTATGAAAAACACAAAAAATAGTAATAATTAATGAAAAAATTATAAAATTATAAAATTATTTTGCTCTATTTACATATAGTATTACACGGATAATTTCAAAAATTAATTTTCTCATCAGCACTAAATAAGAAATTCTTTTTCATTTGTTAATTTTTATAAAATTCTATCCATTAATTATAACTTTATTTTTTGGAATACAATATTATGAAAAATATTTTTTTATTTAATGCTTGATTAATATTTTAGCTAAAATTATTACAATTTTTTATTTTAAAATCAATCACTAAAGAAGACTAATTTATGTTTTTTGAGGCAAAAAATATATTAAAAAAATTAATTAAATTAAAAATTATAGTTAAAAAATTTTAAAATGATTTTGTACTATCGGATCCACAATGTCTGCACTGAACAACCGACTAGTAGTTACCAAATAGAAAAGAGATAGACAAGAGGAGAAGAGAGAAACATGAGAGAGAGAAATATATATTTGAGACTAGGTAGAATTATCGTCATCACTTTTTGTTGGTTTAGACGTGATTTTTTATTTCAATTTTATGTTTGTTTCTCTTCTCATAGTGAATCCATAGAGTAACAATGGATAGTTAAACCTCCGATATCATATCAAAAAAATCATCTCAATTTAAAAATTGAAAGTGTAAATTAAGACAACAAGAGTAATTTTATATTAACTATATAACAAATACTCATTTTCAACAATAAAAGGTATTATATCTAGTACTAAATTCTAATTATGGTAACTATTTACAATTATATATACACATGATTATCTATAATGATGATGATGATCATTATCCTCGTCTATAAGGAAGTATTGATAGATATCTCCATACATAATTTTATTTATATGATAAAAAACATGTGGACAAATTTGGTCTTGACACTTGGATAGACCCATCGGTACCTTATACTTAATTTTTAATTTAACTAAAAAGAATGAGACTTGTGTTTAATTTAATTAGAAAGAATGAGATTGATGATATTCAAACTCTTAACTATTTGATTATTAAGACTCTAAAATCATATAAAAAAAACTTATCTCAATCTAAAACTGAAGTTGGTAAGCTGAGATTGGAAGAATGATTTTATATTAACTCTCTAAAAAAATACTCATTTACAACAATAAAAAGTCTAATAGTTGATAATAAATTAATTTTAATTATGATAATTGTTAATTATTATCTTTACACATCATTATATGTAATGATGATAATGATGATTATCCTTATCCATAAAGAAGTCTTGATAAATATATGCTCCAAGAGTAATTACTAATAGTTACTCAATTTAAGATATATATATATATATATATATATATATAGAGAGAGAGAGAGAGAGAGAGAGAGAGAGAGAGATGATAGAAAACTTAAAAACATATATTTGAGCCTATGTAGAGATATCATCATCACTTTTTATTGGTCTAGATGTGATTTTTTTTTCATTGTTATGTTTGTCCCTTTACTCAAAGTGAACTCCGTAAAGTAAGTATTGGTAGTTAAGACTCTATATCATATCAATAAAAAAACTTAATTTTTTAGTTGAGACCACAAAAATAGTTTTACATTAACAAAAAAAAAAAAACTAAAGTAAAATGATAGATTACTATTTATTGTACTATTTGAAACATTGTTTACCTAGATTGATTCACACTATTGACCAAAACTCGGATGTACTATTCCTTTCACCGTGTAATGACTTTTTTTATAGTTTTTAAATATTTTAAAGACATTTATTATGAAATTTTTTATGATATTATACTACAATCTTTCTTTTTTAAACATTATTTTGTTTACTCTGTAAATATTTTTTATTTTATTCCGGTCCCTCTTTTTTATTTCATTTTGATCACTCGGTCCTTTCTATTCTCTTTATTTTTTTTTAAATTAAAAATTTTAAGGCAACAAAATATTTAGAAAAAATAATTTATAAAATAAGTTTTTAGCTAAGAATCTATTGATTTTGACATTATTTATACTATTATAAATTTTTTAGTTTGTAGATAGAGATAAATAAATAATGTTTCAAAAATTTATGAAAAATATAAAGAATAATCAGTCAAAACCAAAAATTTGATTAAAAATTATAAAATTGAATAAAATTTTATTCAGTTTTGATTTGATATATTTTGATACATGTACAATATAATTAGAAACATCAAAATAAAATAATTTTTTAAAAATAGTTTTATGTGTTTTATTTGATCCACAACGTAGCGCATATAAAAAAACTAGTTAACTCTATAACAAATACTCATTTACAACAATAAAAAGTCTAATATATGATAACAAATTCTAATCATGGTAACTAATTACTATTATTTATACAAATCATTATCTATAATAATGATGAAAATCGTTTTCTGTATTCATAAAGAAGTATTGATAGATATTCCTACACATAGTTTTCTTTATATGATAAAATACATATGGACTAATTTGGTTTGAGCTTGATGCCTAGATAGACCTAACAATATTTTATTCTTAATTTCTAATTTAATTGGAAAGAATGAGGCTGGTAATAGTCAAATTCTTGACTGTTTGATTATTATGACTTTAAAATTTTTATCAATAAATTATTTCAATTTTAAAAATTAAGTTATTAGTTAAGACCATATGAATAGTTCTATATTAACTCTCCGACAAATACCCATTTTACAACAACAAAAAAGTCTAATATTTGATAATAAATTGATTATAGCTATGATAATTGTTTATTATTATCTATATGTATCATTATCCATGATTAGTGATGGTCGTGGGCCCAATACAAAATAAGTACCATGTCCAACTCGCCCATTAATTATCTTTTTAAAATACAATAATAGATAATGAGTTAAATATGAGTAAAATAATATTATCCATTTATATTAATAGGCAATTTATCTATGAAATGGGTACCCTTTTTGTATCTTATTGAAACCAATTTTTTACCTATTAACATAAAAAAAATACTAAAATACAAAATTTTAAAATAAACAAAAGAAAGAAGAAATTTCTCTTATTGATGAATCAAAAGCATAGCATGTATGCGTGTGTATATATATATATATGCAGGTTGTATTTTATTTTGCATTCTTTCTTACAATATTTCTTAAGTTTTTTTTCTCTTGAGTTTGAATCGGATTCTAATTAAAAAGTTGAAATTGACTTGTCCTTATTAGTAAATGATTATTTTTATTACTATATAAAAATTAATACTCCATGTACTATAAATTCTACGTCATAAGCTCTATAATTAATGTAGTATCATATATTTTTTCATATTAAGAACACAAAAAGCGATTAAACATTTCAGACCAAACACTTATTTTCGTACGCTAATTTATATTAGACAAGCCGCAAGAATTATAGCTATATTAAAAAAAAATAGAGTTTAAAATATGTACATATTATATTAGCCGTTAATTAGTATGCCAATCACTATCAAATAGGGCATAAATTAGGTTATGTGATATGGTGATTTTTTTCCTACAAAAATAAAATCTATTATAATTATTATTCATAGGTCTGATTTTTATGTAAACGAGAAAACAGTCTACTCACTTAATCATCCCTCTTTGATAAAATTAGACTGAATGCTTTTATTTATCAAGAATTTGAATAGTTGATTTGTACATAAATTAATTCTAAATTTCGTATCTTGTACTCACTTTGAAATATATTAATTTTAAACAGAATGGGATATGCTATAAACCCCATTTCTATTTAAAATGAGATGAATTAAAGGAGAATTGCTATTATTGCCATGCAGGCTGTAGCATGTCAGATAAGTGTTTGGTGGATCGAGAGTAAATTCTACTTCGATGACAAAATCATTTATAAATATTCAAAATGATATATTTCTGAGAGCTTTTAAAGTTACATAATACATTCAAAACATCTATCATCTCAGTCTTTCTAAGAATCTATCACCAATAAATAAATAAATAAAAGTTGTCACCAATTAAAAAAATTTCAATAAAAAAATTGAAAAAAAGTCTTCAATTGAGGAAAAAAATTAACGGGTAAACGAGCATGGACATGGTATAAATAGGGTATAATATAATAACTATGGATTGGGTAAAGAAATAAGCAAATAACTTTTAGCATGTAATGAACGGGATAATGAATATAGTATTTTTTAGTAGGTAGGGTATAAGATTAACTTAATAGACTCGATACCCGGCCCATTGTCATCCCTATCCATAATCATGACAATGATGATTATCTTGACCCATAAAAAGTTTTTTGATATATAAGGGTAACTATACACGTGCGCGCGCACGCATACACATTGTTATCACTTTTGCTTTGCTCATGTGTGATTTTTTTCTTTCAACTTTTTATTTATCTCTCTTCTTAAAGTATTCAATTTATTCTTCGATCAAATTTTTCAATCATAGACAAATTTTTTTAAAAAAATTAAATTGATTCACATGACATGTTCTATTTTTAAAGTCTTTAGAATTTTTTTTTAATTTCAATTAGATGAATTTTGGTTAAAAAAATAAAATTATATGGTCGAAAAAATTGATCGCGAGGGACGAATTAAATATTTGAAATACTTTTATAAATAAATGAGATGTAATTAAAAACCTATGAACATATAGAAAATTTTAAATATTATATAACGATAGATGGATATATTTACTCTTGTTTGAAAGTTGGAACAAAAAAAACAAAAACAATTAATGGTTATGATAAACTTGTTGTGTATGTGTGCGCACACGCGCACGCATATGAGCATGCACGTGCTTTAAGTATTGGAAGGTTGACGCATAATTTTACTCAAAATTCTCCAAAAATAAGGGCCGGTCAGTTAATCAGTTGGCCATTTACTTGTTTGCTGGTTAAGAGCTCTTTGCCAAAACAAACCACTACCGCTCACTAATCTAAAGAGGATCAACACTCTACATTTAACGAACTTCCAATTTTCGCACTAGGATTAAAGGATTTATGAGAATTTTGAAAGACAAGTCATCTGCGTCAGAACGAAGAAATTGACAATAATTAGCTTAATTTGTCCTTATAGTTTAGACTTAGTCTCCAACTTGTCCTTACAAGATTTAATTGCTTTCAATTTGTTTTCATATTTCAAGTTATTCTCCAATCTATCTTTATAGTAGATATTCTCATATAAATTGGTAGAAATATCCTCATATAAGGAACTCAAATCTAACTTGATTTATTACCAAAATAAATTTAAACTCCAATATGTTAAAAAAAAATTAAATAAATTAGATTGGATTTAGGCTTTTAGTTATATCAAGATCTCGTACAATTTGAATTTTTTAAATTAAGACTCTAAATTTTTTCTATACAATTTAAGAGTTTTACTCTTATATTTTTGTTGTTTGAGATCCTAATATGCCACATAAGCATACGTGATCAGTTTTAGCCGATGAAAGCTTACCATATAATTTTTTTTTTGTTAAAAATCAATTTAGGCCCACAATGAAAAGTTATCATTTGTTAAAACTTGCCATATGTGCTTATGTATCACATTAGCGTTTAAAACAACAATAACATAAGAATAGAATTCTTAAATTGGATAAAAAAAAATTTAAGATCTCAATAAAAAAAAATCTAAATTGTATGAGGTCTCGATACAAGTAAAATCCATTGAATTTAAGTTGTTTATATAAGGGTATTTAATGATAAATTTGAGCAATTATATTTACAGGGACAGACTGAAAATTGAGAATAAAATATAAGGATAAATTGTGAAGGATACCCCACTTCCAAATTCTACATATGCAGAAAAACGACTCTTGCATTCTGACCCGGTAACCCAACATAGCATCGCTGCCACCTCAGTGTGATTTACTGGTTGCCAACTTGAGCAAGTTTCAAGAGACCAAAAAGGGAAATCCAGGGTAGAAGCCAATTTCTCTCAACAGCAAAAAAAAATAAAAATAAAAAATAAAAAACAATAACAAAGCATGAGAAGAATAAAATCCCAAACCTTCTCCTATATCTTCTCTTCTTATATAAGATTGATAGCCATCACAAGAAAGTTCATAGTAGAAAAGATTTCGTCTCAATGGCATCACGAGAAAGTGTGGGGGGAATAATCGAACGGATTCCTCGTAAGAGAGTAAAGAGGCACTATCAGTGTAACACTAGTGCCAATGAAACTAATCACAGTGTTAATCTTCCTAATGATGCGCTTGATAAGATTCTCGCACTCTTGCCTATCAAAAAGGCTATGCAGATTGGAATTTTATCAAGAAGATTCAATAATTCTTGGATCTTTAGTCGCAGATTAGACTTTGATGATGAGTTTGCAAGAGGTCATACCACAGAAGATTTTATATCTTTTGTTAATAAAGTTTTTGACCTGCATTCATCTCCAACTATTTTAAGTTTTCGATTATTTTTTGATGCAAATGGTGAGCAATCCTTAGTTGAAAAATGGATCAAAAAATCTATTGAAAAGGGTGTTGAAGAGATTGAATTGTGTTTTTATGTGATTGGAAATTATTTTGATGGTGGGCCTATTAGACTCATTTCTGATGTTTATGACGTTGAGTCCATAAAAATTTTGAAGCTTAATTTTTGTCAACTTGATCTTCCACCAAAGCCAAAAGGTCTGCAATTTTTGAATACTCTTGTTCTTAAAAGGATCTTTGTAACCCCAGCATTGATAGATACTTTATTTCAAAACTGCATGTTCCTTGAGACTTTAGATATATCACAGTGTTACAGAATTTTTCATTTCAAAATCTGTACCGCAAACTTAAAGAAGTTTAAGGTGTTAAAGGTTGGAGATTGCCCTGAGATTCTGAGTATTGAAATTGATGCACCAACTCTACATTCAATCCATTATCGTGGGCATATTTGTTTTATCAAATTCACCAATATCCCTAAAGCAAAAGATGTGATGCTCAATTTCATACCTCCAAAAGGCTTTACAGAGACTTTTCTAGCTAGAGATATTGTGTATGATATCCATCATATTCATGTTCTCACCATTACCAGTACATTTCTTGAGGTATGTCTACATCCATGTCTGTGTTATTGTCTGATTATATATCTTCTGTCCTTTTTTTTTTTTTTAACTTTTTGATTGGAATCTTTTAATTTATTGTTGTTAAATGGTTTATTCAGGGTCTAACTCCAAAGTTTGTGAATGGAATATTGAAAGAGATGAAATTCTCTTTTTGGAATTTGAAAGAATTTCATTTGATCATGGAAGGTGCATTGTACTGTAATCCTTATGATATTGTTTCTTTCATCAAGAACTGCCAGCACCTAGAAAAAATTTTCATCGATGTGAGCATTCGTTCGATTCTTGACAATAATCACAGTTTTCTTAAATATATGAACAAATTAAGACATTATAATTAGTGTTAACTGATTAATTTAATTTGATGACTGGTGATAAATCCTTTGCAGCTCAATGAATTTAACTTCTCATCTGGATCGTTCTGGGAATTGCATAATCGAGAACCTTTCGAGCAATGCTGTGTAACCCTTTATAGCCTTAGGATCATTAAGCTGTCAGGATTTAAGTTTCAGAAAGATGAAATACTGTTGGTGAAGTTTTTCCTGGAGAAGGCACCCTGCCTCCAGAAACTAGTGCTTATCACTCCAAAATCTAGACGTGTCAAAGTTAATACCCAGAATTTAGAAGCCTGTCATGAGTATCTCAAATCTTGGAAATCAACTCGGGGAGCCGAAATAGCTGTGTTTGAGCATTCGAATGACAGGAGTTCTGTTTTTCCAACGCATTCAAAGCCCAGCAGGTACTAGTCAAGAAGGGTTGGCCTTGAGAGATTATGAAGTTAAAGAATGTAATTCAGATTACAGTCTTGCACCAGATAATGTAGCATCTTCATGCGTCTTATCAGTTTTTAAGTTAGAGGAAAAAGAAAGCACAACAACACAGTTTATATCATAGTTTACAGGTTTATTCAGATAGTAGTTTATATATTGGAAAGACAAGCCACAGATGTTGTGTTTCTCAATAAGAAAAATGTTTCAGAAAGCTCTTTTCGTAGTTGTGATAAAACAAAAAAAGATGACATTAAAATGAATGCCATAACTTAATTTTTTAGTGAGAGGTTACTTATAGGATTCAATAAATTTCTCTTCTCAAACCAAAAACATACCTACTGATTAGAAATTAGAGCATATACTAGAAATTTTCTTTGTTTTTGTTATCTCAAGTTTTTCTCTTTCTTCTTTTGTTCATCTCTTCCTCTCCATTTGTCATTTTTCTTTTACATTTTCTATTGTTTACTTATTTTTTCTTTCTATTCAATACTTTTAATAATTTTTGTCTATTTGAAATGTTTATGGATGTCATGTGGAATTTAATGGAAATTAAATTTTTTTTTTTTTTTGCATGAGAAAAACATTGAAACCGTCGGATAATGTTTAAGAAAAAATTGATGTAATCGGTTCGTGACGATTAGCATTTAAAGCGCAATTAGGGTTCGAAGAAAAATTTATAGTTAACGATAAGTTTTATTTTGGTAATTTCATTTTTCTATCGGGTAGCTAGTACTTTTAGACTAGATTTTCCAAATCGAGATTAAATCTAACTTATATCTCAAATCGAAATTAAATCCAACTTTTAGATTCAATAAAAAACTATTGTTAATTAAGTAATCATTGCTTATGTGTGTGTAGAGCGGTTAAATGATCATTATTGCGAGTCTCATAACTTAATGTTGATTGTTGATTAACTTTGTTTGAATGATTTTAACTTTATTATATTTACTTTTTTGTCATTATGCATATTGTATATTTTCTTTATTTTTGTTATCTTAATTCAAAATTTTTAAGTTTTTCTCCTTTCTTTTCTCCATCTCTTCCTCTTTACTTGTCTTTTTTTTTTACATCTTTTATTTTTTACATTGTTTTTCTTTATATTCAATATTTTTAATAATTTTTGTCTCTTGAATTTTTTTATGCATGATGTGTAGAATTTTAATGGAAATTATTAATTTTTTTTTTTAACATGAGGGAAAGTTGAAACCCTTGGATAATATATACGATAAAATTGATCCAATCAATTCGTGATGGTTAGCAATTAAAACTCATGTAGAGATCAAAGACAAATTTATAGTTAGCCGTAATTTTTATTTTGGTAATTTCAATTTTTTTATCATGTAATTAGTACTTTTAGACTATATTTTTCAAATCAAGACTTAATCCAACTCGTATTCCAAATCGAGATTAAACTCAACTTTTAGATTTGATAGAAGTATATTGTCAATTAAGTGATCATTGCTTACACATGGTTATAATAGAAAAAAATATTGAATATTGTGTCTCATCATTCGAGCTTGATTGACTTCGTTTGGATGGTTTTAACTCATTATGTCTTGAAAAAAAAAAAAAAAAAACCTTTTATATTTTTGTCACTATATATACTTCATATTTAATTATAATTATAATTTTTTAAGTTTTTCTCTTCTCTCTTCTCTTCTTCTCTCCCTCTCTATTTTTCATTTTTGTTTTACATTTTTTATTGTTTACATAAATTTTCTTTATATTCAATATTTTTTTATAATTTTTATATTAAAATTATTATGTATGTTGTGTGGAATTTAATGAAATTATTTTTTTTTAACATGAGGAAAACATAAAAACCGTTAGATAATGTTTAAGGTAAATTTGAGGTAATGAAAAATTTGTAGTTAACGATAAGTTTTATTTTGGTAATTTCATTTTTCTATCGGGTAGCTAGTACTTTTAGACTAGATTTTCCAAATCGAGATTAAATCTAACTTATATCTCAAATCGAATTAAATCCAACTTTTAAATTTAATCAAAACTATTGTTAATTTAGTAATCATTGCTTATGTGTGTGTAGAGTGGTTAAATGATCATTATTGCGAGTCTCGTGACTTAATGTTGATCAACTTTGTTTGAATGACTTTAACTTAATTATATTTACTTTTTTATCATTATGCATATTGTATATTTTCTTTATTTTTGTTATCTTAAAGTTTTTCTCCTCTCTTTTCTCTCGTCTCTTCCTCTTTACTTGTCCTTTTTCTTTCACATCTTTTATTTTTTACAATTTTTTTCTTTATATTCAATATTTTTAATAATTTTTGTCTCTTGAATTTTTTTATACATGTGTGTGGAATTTTGATGGAAATTATTAATTTTTTTTTTAACATGAGGGAAAATTTGAAACCCTTGAATAATATATACCGTAAAATTGATCCAATCAATTTGCGATCGTTAACAATTAAAGCTCATGTAGAGATGAAAGATAAATTTGTAGTTGACCGTAATTTTTATTTTAGTAATTTCAATTTTTTTTATCAGGTAATTAGTATTTTTAGACTATATTTTTCAAATCAAGACTTCAACCAACTCGATTCTTAAATCTAATTTTTAAATTTAATAGAAGTATATTGTCAATTAAGTGATGATTGCTTATATGTGGGTGCAATGGAAAAAAATATATTGAATATTGTGTCTCATCATTCGAGGTTGATTGACTTCGTTTGGGTGGCTTTAACCCATTATGTCTTGGGAAAAAAAACAACCTTTTGTATTTTTGGTTTTTTGTATTTTTGTCACTATATATACTTCATATTTAATTATAATTATAATTTTTTAAGTTTTTCTCTTCTCTCTATTTGTCATCTTTGTTTTACATTTTTTATTTTTTATAAATTTTCTTTATATTCAATATTTTTTATAATTTTTACATAAAAATTATTATGTATGTCCTGTGGAATTTAATGAAATTATTAAGTTCTTTTTTTTTTACACGAGGAAAACATAAAAACCGTAAGATAATGTTTAAGGTAAATATTATGTAACAATTCCCAACAGTTAACATTTAAAGCTTATGTAGAGATGAAAGATTAATATGTTGTGAACCTAACTTTTATTTTGATAATTTTTCTTTTATTTGATTGAATTTTTATTTATTTATTATTATTATTTTCAAACAAAATCTCGGATTGGGTAAGGTACCGTACCTGCTCTGCCAGGTAGAGAAAGTCCTTCACTCGTCCAATCCGACCAAGTCAAGGGTGAAGGCAGCTTACGAATTTGGATACTTCGAGTAGGTGGGTAAAATTTTATCGTTCGTACCATCTATGTCATCCCTAAATATTTTTAAATCTTATATACCAAAATCATGTTGTTTTAATCTTATTTACCAAACTAATTAAGATACTCCATCCCACCTCCATGTCACTTATACATGTTAGTCCCCCTTCTTTTTTTGTTTTTTTTTTTTACAGAAGTTAACGATTGCTCTTGAAACAGCCGTTAAGTATTATCTAAGTGCATTTATGGTGCTTCATTTGATGCCGAATTGTGTTTTTAAAAAAGGAATAAAATCTAATATCTAAATGAAAATCAGTGATTTTGATTATAGATATTAAATTACTGTTATTTTATATAGTGATTTATTTAAGGGTTTACTATAAATATTATAACAGAAAAGGAAAGCATATTTTTTTAATTCCTAATTTCCTAAAACGTAAAAAATAAAATGACGAGATAAGATATGGATATTCCGGATCATGGTAGGAGGGTAAAAATTTCTCCCCCATCCTATTCATGATTGTAATTCCTAGATATTTTTCAATATTATTTACCAAAATCAGGTTGTTTTAATTTATTTACCAAACTAAAATATTTCGTTAATTCCCAAGTCCATATCACTTATAAATGTCCCCTTTTTTTCTTTTTCTTTTTTACCCCAAAAGCTAACAATTGCTTTTGGAACACATGTTAAGTATTATCTAAGTGCATCTACTATACTTTATTTGTTGTCGAATTGTGTCTGAAGAAAGAATAAAATCTAATACTTAAAATTTGCTTCTTATCATATAAATAAATTTAAACCTATAAAGGATATTTTAGATAAAAATATATTTTTAGCTTTTTTTTTTCATTTTTAGAGAGAATGATCGAATATACCTTCATTTTGTTTCTTTTTTTTTTCAAATTTTTTATTTAAATTTGATATAAAAAACAAGATTAATACAGAAAAATAAAGTTCAAAGATGGAATTAAATTAAAAAAATCATAAATTAACAATTTTAGTTCAAAAATTAATAGAGAGATAAATTAAGACACAAACCAAATATAAAATGATGAATTTAAGATGAAAGAAGTAAAAAAAAAAAAAATACAATAAAAAAAGAAGAAGACAGAGCTGAGTGACTTCTACACCATTCAGTCGTTGTTTTTATGATTCTTTCTTTTGTTTACACCCTTGTTCATGACACGTATAATTTTTCTAGCTGTTGCCTTTCTAGAAAGCAGAATTTCCATGAAATTCCCATGGCCACAACCTCGTAAGGTTCCTAACCTGCTGTCTCAACTATTTGTAAGAACATATGCAATTTGGAGAGGACATGATGATGATTTTGTGGATTCAGCTTGAGGACCAACTTTTCATATGGATTTAAATTTTAATTTTAATCACCAGATACGAGATTAGGAAATTAATGAAATCTAAGAATTTTTGTTCCTTAGACAAATCTAAGTGCTCCTCCAGGATGCAACATAAATGATGCCCTTTCTCCAGCGACTTTGTGTTTAATTTATCCAAAGAAAAAAAATATATAAAAACTTAACAAGTATCTTTTAAGGGTAAATTATAAATTAGTCCCTCTAGTTTCAAGAAACAAATTAATTAGTCTCTTTATTTAAAAAACTATTATTTTATCTTTTAATCAGTGTTAAACATGTTTAATTTAATATTATTTTTATTTTTTTATCAATATTTTTTTCTTTTTTTCTTAAAAAAATTCAAAATAAATTAAAAATGAGCAAAGAGAACAAAATTATATGTAGATTTCAAAATATGAGGACTAAATAATTAGTTTTTCAAACAAAAGAGATTAGTTAATTCACTTCTCTAAAAGAGAGGGACTAATTTATAATTTACTCATGTTTTTAAGGGTCAAATGTTAATGGGTTCTCTTATTTCAAACTTAAGTGGTACCCATGGTTTAAGAAAAGAAAAGGTATTGTTCACTTATCTCCCATTGGATTGAATTTCATGAGGTGTTACAAATCAAGACAAAGACTTGATGAAACTTGAAGGTTTTAGAATTTTAGGGGAGCCAGACCCGTTTCAATGGACTCCATAATTTTTTCTCTAATTAATGGAAGAAATAAAGAATTTATTAAATGTTATTAATTATGTTAAAACATGGAAACTTATTATATGGCATAAATTTCCTTATAATAATAAATAAAATTAAAAGTAATTGAATTCGGGAATAAAGATTTAAAAATACTTTTTTTGGAAAAAAAAAAAAAACTCAAGTGATATATGGGATGATGATATAAACTTATAAATGAAAGTCTTAAATTCTTTTGTAGGCGAAAATGATAAAAATTCATAGCTCGTGGTGCACCACTGCACCCAAGCCAAACTATACCCTGCTTCAATTTTGAGATTGCCTCTAACTTAATCACCATTAGACTAACATGGCCAATTAAATAAATGAAGTTTATTTTTTTTCTGATAACATTGTTCGCTTTTCAACTCAAAACATTAACATACATAATGCACAAGCACTTGATATGATTGCAATGGAGCTTCAATGTTGAAGACAACTATTGCATCATTAGAAGTCAATTATACCTCCTAATATTCAATCCAATCAAATATCTAGACTTTTGTCGTGGATAGTTGTGGTTGCCCTATATTCATGCTATCAACTCTCAACGTATTGATGAATATTTAATTCCACTTCGTATAAATTAAATTTTATGAGAAAATAATCAAGTCAAATATACATAATAATTAAAAGTATAAAATAAATTAATTATAAAAACACAAAAATATAAGAACACCTAATTTATGTGAAAAACCCTATCTATTGTAGAAGAAAAAATCGGAGAACCAACTTCGAAATAATCGGTTACAATAAGAAAAAAGTAATATAATCACTCAAACACCCTCTTTACGATGTGCATCTACTCGATGAAATCATTAAGGTTAAGTTTTTTCTCAAAGTCAAGTATATCCATCTTAACATCAAAATCTTGATGCATTCTCCTCTATGTACACCCTTGTTGTTGCACATAACTTATTTCTCGGATGACTTGACTTGTAGAAGTTGAAAAGAGTTCTCTCCTCTAAATTTTTCCTCAATTTCAAACTCATGAGTTTGAGCCGTGTGGTCCCTCATCTAATACTCTGCAAACCTTTAGCATGCAATATCCAACTCCCTAATCAATTTGGCTTTAGTCATCATTTTTCTCTTCTTAAAGGCAACTTCATGAAAAAAAAATGTCAATAAACACATGTAGAAATAAATCTCAACTCTAATACCAAATTGATATTGGTCATGTGAAGATCAATGCAAAGCCAAAATCAACAACAACAAGTAACAAGCCAAAATACATTAAGCCTCAAAACACTAATAAATCCAACACAAATAAATACCAAACAACAATAATCAAAATAACCAACAATGCAAGATCCAACCACAAGTTAAATAATAACCGAAACATAAGCTAACCCTAAAGTTTAGAGTTGGTCGAAACTTAAAGCAAAAGTAACCAAACCTTAGTTGATTTTCACGCGATTAGTGACTCCACTATAACTTTAGCAATTTGTTGATCGATAACACCATCCCGATTGATCAAGTCAAGAATATAGAAACATGCTCCTAAGCAAAGCACAAGGACACACAAATATGGAAAAAAAAAACTCTCACAAAAGTTTATTCAATAATTCAACAAAAAAAAAAATTACCATATTACATAGGGATATTCAAATACTTACTCATAAAACTCGGTCAACTAAAACCATAAGGTTCAACAATCCTTTCCTAATGGACAAGGATAATTTCATCCCTAACCCTAACAAAACAAGAAAAATAAATCATTATAGGACCACTCATCTAAAATTCCAATCCACATTCGGTAAGGACTGATTAACTTAGTCCATAATAAAGATGGATTCAAAAAAAATAAGGACTAAAATAAACTCCAAATACAATTAGAAATCCTTATACAAATAGAATAAATTAAAAACCTAAAAATAAAGCATAATGAAATTAAATAGATGGACCCAAATATTTGGCCTAAACAAGACTAAGGCATTTGGCCTTGTTGGACCATGGACACACTCTCTTGTTAAGTTATAGTCTAGGCCATAATTTTGAAAAGGTTATATATCCGGCTCCACTTTTTTATATCTTGATCGATTGTATTTTTTTCATGTATAGTTTATCATAAATGTTACCTCTAGCAATAACCATTGATCTTCTAGTAAATTTTTATCTTCTACCATCAAAATAATTATAGTATCTAATGATGTCCAAGGTTTAAACCTATAAAAGGATATTAGATAAAAAATATATATTTTTTTTAGCTTCACTTTTTTTCCTTTTTTTCAATTTTTTATTTAAATTTGGTATAAAAAAAGATTAATATTTTTTAAAAAAAGTTGAGGGATGAGATTAAGATTAAAATATATATGTATAAATTAACAATGTTAGTTCAAAAATTAATAGAGAGACAAGAGAAACCAAATGTAAATAGATGAATTTAAGAAGAAAAAGAGTAGAGAAATACAATAAAGAAAAGAGAGAGTAGAGGAACCTCTACACCATTAACTTGTTGTTTTTATGATTCTTTCTTTTGTCTACACCCTTGTTCACGACACGTATAATTTTTCTAGTCTGTTGCCTTTCTAGAAAGCAATCCTTGGGCTTTATAATTTATTTTTGTTACTAAATCTTTTTTTATTGATTAAAAAAAAGATAAAATTCTAGCAACCAAGGTTGAAGTTGATGATGTTCCTATACATAAATTATTAATCTTGATACTTAAATTCTTATTATGAAATATGAAGAACATTTTTTGTTGTAGATGAATGTTGGAGAGAGGGAGTCTCCTCCACCATTAACACTACTCTCTAGTTTCCTTGTAAAATTTAATCCAATGTTATAGGAATAGACACGTCTCAAAAATAAAATGATTTCCATGAAATTCCCATGGCCACAACCTCGAAAGGTTCCTAGCTCGTTGTCTCAATTATTTGTATCCCAAAGAGTCATGTTGATCAATTAAGAGACTTAAGCTTTGATTGATCATGAAAGGATCGAGTTTGTAGAAGTTTTGAAAAAACATAAAGGACGTGAAAATGATTTTGTTGATTTGGTTTGAGGATCAACTTTTATATGGATTTAAATTTTAATCACAAGATACAAGATTAGGTACTAAAATCTAAGTTTACTCAATAATTCAATTAAAAAAAATTATCATATTGCACAAGGATGTTTAAATACTCACTCGTAAAACTAGCCAATTAAGACACCATAAAGTGCAATAATCCTTCCCTAATGGAAAATGATAATTCCATCACTAACCCTAACACAACAAGAAAAACAAATTCTCATAAGACCACACATCTAAAAGTCCAATCCATATTCAATAAGGACTAATTAACCTAGTCCATAACAAATATGGATTCAAAACAAATAAAGACTAAAATAAACTCCAAAGATAATTAGGAATCCTTATACAAATAGAATAAATAAAACACCTAAAAATAAAGCATAATGAAATTAAATAGATGAAAATATTCATCTCAAACAAGAGTAGAGGCGATCGAACTTGTTGAATCATTGGCACACTCCCTTGTTAAGCTATAGTCTAGGCTATAACTTTAGAAAAGTTCTATATCTCATTGCATTTAATTAGCTTCCGAGTCCGATCAATTGTACTTTTTTCGGGTACGAGTTTATCACAAATATTACATCTAACAACAACCATTGATCTCTTAGTATTTTTTTATCTTTCACCATCAAAATGATTGTAGTATTTGATAATGTTCAAGGCACAAGTAGAAATCGGATTCAAGCGTAAATTTAGTACATGAAAAACATCCTTTAAAATTAGTGTACAACTTCAATATATTTTTACACACATATCAACAACTTCTAAAACACCGGCATTGCTATCATTGTCCATCTTTGCTTTGCTAGAGTCTCATGTTTTGTACGGGGTAAAAAAAATCCTTCTTAGAAGTAATGATATGTAGCTTTCCTCTCCATTTTCTATTATCTCACTTTTTCCCTCTTCCAAACACTATATATGTGTTGGTTGTATGCTTAAGCTCTTGTCTATCTAATTTAGTAATATTTCAATCAAAGCTTTGTTACTGATGTTGAGAATTTAATTTTACTTCATGCAAATTAGATTTCATAAGAAAATAATCAAGACAAAATCACACAACTAAAAAATATAAAATAAATCAATCATAAGACAACTAGAATAATACTAAATATACATAGAAAATCCTCTCTATCATAGAGTAAAAATCACGGAACCAACTATAAAATAATTGATTGTAATTAAAAGAAGTGATACAATCACTTAAGTTTTTTCGTGAACTTGAAAAGCAAAAATATTGATAGTAATATAATTTCCCTCTTTAAATAAATCTATCTCAACACGAAAATCTAAAATCTATGTTTCTACAAAGTTTAATATTGTGTGAGATTATCATCTTGAACACTAAAAGTTTATGTGATTGTAGTGCCTAAAAATCAATAATAGATAAAGCTTTAATATTTTGTGCATAAAAAAAAAAAAAAATTACTTTCTTCCTATAAAATTCATCTTATTTTTTTCCCTCTCTAATGGTTCTTGTTAGCAACTGAACACTAAAGAAAGACGGGTTCTTTATTTTATATGCATGTCTTGGCTAAACAAGAAAAGAAACTTTTTTTGTTTAATTTCACGATAGTTTTTTTTCTTTTTTAACTTTAATTTTTTTCTAATTAATCATTTTCTTATTTTTAATGGGTTATTCTAAGACTACTCATAGGCTGGATCTTAAGTATACACCCAACATAATAAATATATATATATATATAGTGTTCGGAATAGGAGAAAAATGAAAGGAAAAGAAGTGGAGGAGAGGAGAGTGGGAATTCCAAAATATTTTCCCTTGTTTGAGAAGACGAGGAGGAAATTAGGGGAGGAAAATACGAGAAAAATTTTCTAGAAGAGACTATACTAATCATATCCTCAATTTGAATATAAAAAAATGAAAGGAAAATTTATAAAATTAAACTTTTATCCTTAAAAAATTCTATTTTAAACATTTTTTACCAACTTATGACAATAATTTCAACTTTTCATAATTTTTCCTTCTCATTTTTTATTATTTTAAATGAAAAAAAAATTATATGCTTCTCTCTTTATTTTCACCTCATACAAACACAAAGAGAGAAATTTGATTCCTCCCACTTCCTTTCCACACTTTTTTTTTGTTTCCAAACATAGTGTAATTCTACATGTAAATCAATCTACTTGGTAGAGGATTTATTCTCACAATTACAATCGCTAATTATATAATAAAATCTTTAGATCCATATAGTTTTTATATGTAGACTTATCGAAAAACAATATCAAAATAAATTTACTGAAGACTTTCAACTTTAGAGTGACCGGAGCTCATGACTTTTAAGTGGCAAGCTCCACTTGAGAAACTTTTGAAAGTCAATTTTTCATATAAATAATATGATTATTCATGTATTATTATTTGCTCATAAAAACAGTGAAAGTAGGGGAAAATATATATATATATATATATATATATATATATATTCATGTTGTTGAGAGAGACTAAAGTTTAAGATTGAAAGTTCGTTTTCGATGGAAAGGTGACGTTGGCGAGTATCATGTGAGATTGGATTGATTTAACGAACAAGTACGGAAAGAGAAGTCAAGCTTCTTCTTAACGAAGCATAATGATTAACGAGGAAAGATTGGGCGAGGTGAACGAGCAGCTCGTGGGAGAAAACAAGAAGTTTTATATGAGAAGAATGACAAAGCAATAGAATTATCACATGTCAAAGTTATATTAGAAGAAATGATTATTTGTCTTGACCAGTTATTTCTTCAGATTTAATGACGATTATTTGTTGACTATTATAAATATATAATTTTTTTATGTTCAATAACAAAAATGTTTTAAAATTAATTTTTATGCATCATGAAAACTAATCTCTTCGTGTACATAGCTAAGGAAATACTCTTTTCTAATACATCATTTTGGATATATCGAGAGTAAATTCTTAAAAATATTAACTACAAAAATCGAATATTAAACCTGATTCATAAATCGACGATTGCTTATCAATAAATTACCACCTTGTGGTTATGAATATGTAATTTTTGTAATTTAAAAAGATATCATCATTCAAGCAAAAATTAATAAAATTATCTTTCAAATAGTTTTAATTATTAAAATTAGTTTTTAGTGTGATATTTAGTGTAAATTCCATTACTTTTCTTCCAATCGGTGGTTGGAACGGACTGACCATGCTCCTTTGGTTTTTTTATTGTTTACATGATTACATCCCAAAAGCATTCTAATCTTGATTGTGTACCTAATAAACAGCTTTCTATTGGATTTTGTCCTTTATGCTAACATAAAGCCATAGTATTGACGTGTCGTTGACTCACAATAGATTGCTATCGTGCAAAACCTGCAACTGACGAACCGCAGTCAGCCGCCCTCTTAGAATATTCAGTCAAACAAACCATTGGGCACCGTTCAACTACCTCAACACCCTTCTCGTGTGTACTTCCACACTAAATCCCCACCATTCATCTATCACCCCCCTAAATCACCGCATCACTAGACCAATAAGTAACGCGGAAACACGAAATATATTAAATCACGGACAGGCCAGTTGTCGTTTTAGGCAAATGCCCAGGCCCCAGCACACCAAATAACCAAAAAGGCCAAAACGTGTTAAAGAAGGGACCGACGAAGCAGCCGACTTAGACCGACCAAATGCCACGTCATCCCTTAGCAACACACAAGTTGCTTCCTAATTCGACTCATCTCTCGCCACGTGTCCCACTTCAACGGCTAGTTTCTTTTTAACCGCCAAAAGGATTTGTACAGTAATATTTTAAAGAAACTTCCACACAACGAGATGATAATATCTTTGGAACTATAAACGTACCCACCGAATATCGATACAGTTTCAATTTAGTCCTTCTTCTCCTAATCACACAAATAATACCCTCCACTTATCATAATTGTTGTAATATATTCTCTCCCTTGTAGAACTATCAAATTTACATGTTAATACACATATTTGCACTTTCCTCTTTTTTATCTTTTCAAGAAAAATAATCATTAATATCTTTAGAGTCATTAGCAAAATTTAATCCCTTTATCTCAAAGTCCTCATATAAGATCTTAAATATTTAAAATATAAATAAATATTGTAAAAATAAAAATAATAAAAGGAATTATAATGATTTTTTTCTGAAAATATTCTTTAATAAATATAATTATGATGAAAGAAAATAACATTATTTTATTAAAAATATATTATAAATTATTTTTCTTAGCTAGTTCAATGGCAAGGAATTAAAGGTTTGTGAATTAACATGTAGATTTAACAATTTTTTAATGAGAAATAAAAAACGTTAAGATATATGGATGGTAGTATTGATATGCATAGAGAGGGACCAAAGAGAAATATTAATTATAATTGGAGGGCAATATCTTAAATTTTGGCCGAAATCTGTAAAGTTTTGGAAACCTCCAGCATTTTCTCGCGTTAACCACGTCAATATTAAGCACTTTTTTTACTGTTACACGTCGAATTTAAAAAAAATAAAAAATAAATCTTTTTCACGCTATATAAGCTAAACTTTACCATTTTTAAAAGCAAACCAAATTAATTTCCACTTCAAAGACTTCGGACTTTCTATATCTTTCACACTCAAAAGAATTTAGGTTTGAAACTCATTTGCAACCTTAGCAAATACAAGGTTTGTCTTTCTATCTTTTGAAGATTTTCCCAATATTTTCTTGATATTTTTGGCCTTATAGTTTGAGGGTTTTATAACTAAGCCTAATCTAACAATTGATTTTTTTTGGGTGCAGATTTAGTTATAGAGATTCGGTGATTTAAAGAAGTGAAATTTTGAAAATATGGCATTGGGGAAGAGGTGTAGTTCAATGAAGGCAAAGAGGGCTGGTGATGGTGCTTTAGTGAGTGGAGAAGAAGAGGGGTTAGGGTTCAAGTTTGTTAGGTCATATTCGTTTGGAAGGAAAAGGGTTTTAAGTACAAAGAATAATGTTAACAATGAAGATCTGTTGAATCTTGATTCCACTTTTAATTCTCCATTGAAGAGGCTTTGCAGTTTAGAGCCTGAAAAGTCTAATCTTGAAAGCCTGCCTCAAGATATCTTGGTAAGTTTTGCTTCTGTACCATTTTGAAATTTCTTTTGACTTTTGAGTATTTTTTTGGGATTTTAATCAAAGGGCTGTAGTTATTGAAAATTTCTATTTTTGGGTTTTGCAGATCAGGGTTTTGTGTGGTGTGGATCATGATGATTTGAAGCAGCTTTTTCATGTGTCTAAAGTGATTAGAGAAGCTGTAAGTGTGTTGAATCTAGATTCTTTTTGCTTAACTCGATTAGCATTTAGTAGCTTTTGATTAGTTATTAAGATTCTTGGTTCTCCTGTGTTAACAGACTTTGATTGCAAAACAATGGCATTTTGCCTATAGCACACCAAGGAAGTCTCAAGCTTTTCGAACTCCAATTGATTTGGAGAATCCAAGTGAATTGAATGAAATTGAAGCTCCGAATGCACCGAAGCACCGAAGGTCTTACAAGTCGCAGTTAAATCGGAAGAGTATTGCTGATGTATCAGTGGCATTGTTTGCTTCACCGAAGAAGGGGCTATTCGTGGATACAGAAATGTGAGAGGCAGGGGTCTTGTAAATATAAGTTATAAACACTAGACTAAACTATTGTTGTAGATAAAAAGGGTTTTGAGATTTGGATTGATCAGTTCACAATTTGGGTTTCTGTACATGGCAGTAATCTTTACATGGTACACTTTTGACACGGGCCATTGTAGATTCTTCGACTATTGTAGATTCTTCAACTGCTTTCATTGAAGATAGGAGTTTTGGCTTGTTTTGTATCTCTTTAAGGTTACTATTAGCATGTAAGTTAGGGTGGGATATTTATTTGAAGGGAAAATATGCCCTTTCTAGTTTGAGATAAAGAATGAGAATTGTTGTGTACATTTGCATACTCCTTTTGTTTTTAATAGAATAAAGATGGAATATTTCCTCATTAATTCTTTTTTGTGTTCAAATACCAAGACCAGGATTTAAATCCAATATCTTTTCTACTTGTAATTGCCTCCTGTGGCTTCTATTTCCGTTTATATCTTTTGTATTTGCTTAGAAGCGAGAGCACCCAGAGGTAGTCATAGCACTGGCAAGTGGGGCGAATTTTAGCACTGACGTGGGGAGATTGATATTACAGAAGATCCCCTGGCATTTAGGAGACAGCATATCTGGGCAGATGTTTCTAGACAGACAGCTGTTGGTGTGGGGGAGGTTTTTTATTTACACGTTGTCAGTGTTAAGGCAATACCTGCTTTGCTCAACTTCTATGAAGGATAGAGAAAGCAGTAGATTTTAGCTTTAAAAGAAGTTAAGAAAATCATCTTGGATCCTGTGGAGCTCTGATTAAATTCAGGGATGTTGTTTTACGTTACAGGCCCGCGCTTTCCTCCAGTCTTACATGGTTTGTCCTTTTCTGCCTCACCTAGTGAAAAGCTAGGATTAGTTGGAAGAACAGGAGCAGGGAAATCTAGCATGCTAAATGCTTTATTCCGTATCGTAGAACTGGAAAGAGGAGAAATCACCATTGATGGTTGTGACATTGCTAAGTTTGGACAGACAGATTTGAGGAAAGTTCTCAGTATCATACCACAATCACCAGCTCTCTTCTCAGGTACTTATTAACAGAAACTGAAAACTGGATTTTGCTAGTTCATCTTCTCTTCTTTTGTTGATAACCACAGACTGGTTTTCGCATGAGTTGAGATGATTTATGCTCGTACTCTCTCTCTCTCTCTCTTTCTCTCTCTCTTCCACTTTAAAGCATGCTAATCAAGAATACTTGAGATTTGGTCCAGAAACCGTAGCCTATCTGAAGTTACATTGCGGATTACTTTCAACTCTAGCGTCATTCTAATTGTCACTCATTTTCTCACAGGAAACGTGCGGTTTAATCTCGATCCAATTAGGGAGCACAATGATGCTGACCTATGGGAGGCTTTAGAGAAGGCACATTTAAAGGATACCATTAGAAATAATTCTTTTGGTCTGGATGCTGAGGTATGGACTCTTTTGAAACAAACTTCTGTTGGTGAATCTTAATCTATCAAAATGTTTTAGCAATTCATATATTCGACAAGCATTTTACTTTTAACAAAATGTGTGACAAAAACTAATACTGAACTCATATGGGTGGAAATAGTGCTCTGGTGAAAACTTTCTGTTAAAAATATGGCATCGTGTTAAATTAAAGCTGATTTCAAAGCATGGAATTGTTCTGAGTTTTTTTTTTTTTTTCAGATGCACATGAAATCAAGTTGATTATTGTGTGAAAGCAAACTGTCAAGTCAATTTGTTTTGATGGCAAGGTGTTTGACGGAGGGGAGAATTTTTGTGTTGGACAGAGGCAACAACTTAGTCTTGCACGAGCATTGTTGCAAAGATCTAAGATTCTTGTTCTTGATGAAGCAACTGCTTCTGTTGATGTTAGAACTGATGCTCTTATCCAGAAAACCATTGGAGAAGAATCCATATTTTGCACAATGCTAATTGTTGCTCACAGACTAAATACCATTAGTGACTGGAATATGCTAAAGCAGATATTGTGTGGGATGCTAACTTCATAGTGTTGTGCTGCGTGCAACAAGGTATTTAATTCATTACTGGAATATACTAAGTAGATGTTCTGTTTTCATGGAGATAGTCTCCTTCATTGTTGAGGCCCTTGCCTGGTGCTCCACTCTTATTATGACTGGTTTGGAAACAAGAATATACATTCGACAGTTTCGATGATATGTGTGGTTTGGAGTCATTTATGTGTTGGTAGGGGAAGCGGCAATGCTCAATCTCAATCTGTCAGTGAGTGACTACTACACTAGGTTAGTCATTCTTCCATTCCCTGACTTGAGAAATTAACTCACCCAAGGTCAAATTTTGTGTATTTTTCCCTTAAGGAGTTGTGTGATTCAATGCTATCAAGTTTTATTTCTCTGTTAAAACCCCATCTTAATCTACACTATTATACTGTTCAACAGAATCTTGTTTATCAAGAATAGAGGCAAGCTATATATTGTACTGTTGAGAACATTTCTTTTGTTGGACAATTGTAATTACTTAGTTGATAAAATGAGTGATGCTAAATTAAATATTATCCTTCAAGGGGGAAAAAAACCTAAAAAAGATAATAAAGATGACCACAATGACAATCTGGGCTTCTGCCAAACTTTTTACCAGTTGAGAATAAGCAGAGGAAAATTTCTAGAAGCTGAATTTATGAATAAGAGTACATGTCTTATTTAATCTGATATATGGAAAATGTATTTGCTTGGAGGGTCCCCCCAACTTTAATTACAACGAACAATTTGTTTGTAGATTCTGTTATAATCCACATAGATGTCTAGACATTGTGCAATCCAGACTAAAAATATCCAGAAATAAACTGTGTTAAAGCTGTACAAGCCTCAACAAGCATGTTTCTACCATATAGGCATTTTTCAGTGACGTTGGATGGATAAACTAAGATAAGGTTACATGGTCTTCCCAAAAGCAACAAAAACAAAAGGAAAAATTTTGTGGTTATTCTAGATAAGGCTGCATGCGACATTATAAGAATTGTTTGGTGCAGTTCATATCCTGTCAATTTATGTTGGGTAGCACTCAATTACAATTTTTTTTTATCATGTAGATTTACGTTGTATATGTACACAAGCACGGTTTTTTCCAAGGTTCCTTGCCTTCTTTATTTCTCATGTAATTATAAAGATTATAGCCTATATCAACTCTCATTCTCAATCATATTTTTCTGTGTTGCTACTTCCGTTGCTGGTTTTGTTTGGGATTCTTCTAGATGTTTCTATTCCGAATTTTGATCCTTATTCAGATTATGTTATGTTGCAGCCAGTCTCTCTTGATAATGGTGAATATGAAACACTTTGTGGAAGACATAAAATATGTTCTGATGGGCATGCCAGCTTATTTTCCAGTATGTAGTTCATTATTGATTATTCCCCAATTCCAAGAGTTTTTAGAAACTTGAGTGTGTATTTCTCAAGCAGTTGTTATATATATATATATATATATATATATATATATATATATATAACTTGTATAGATGGAGTGTTTGTATGATGTAGCCTATTGTAATAGAGATTTTCTTTTTGTATGGCTAGTTGCATGTCTGCGGGATTACTTGTATTGTTTTTGTTTCCTAGGGATCTTATACTAACTTGTTTTGCAGGTTGTAAATGCAAATATATCATTGCAACGCTTGGAGAAACTATTTTTAGCTGAAGATGGAATTTTAGCTCCAAATCCACCTCTTGAACCAGGAATTCCAGCAGTCTCAATTCAAAATGGAAACTTTTCGTGGGATTTAAAGGTTAACTTCTAAAACTTGAAGTATCTAAGAAATTGGTCCCATGGTTAATCAGAAATAGAATGAAAGTTCAAGGAATAAATAATGTTTCTTTGATTTTTTTTTTCCCTTCCTAATTAAATCCCTTCATCTTGCCCCTACCCAAAATAAGTGTTCACACTTCACAATAAAAAGAAGGTGTGAGTCGTGTGACCCCTGGTTAGTGCTCTTATGCTTCCTAAAAATATAAATCTCCGTTTTTTGCAATATTGTTAGAGAAACAAAAGGACCTTGATTGTTTGAATGTAACTGCTTCGAATTACACCACCAACACAGTAATCAGCAATGATTGTCCATGCTGTTGTTAATCCGCTTATGTGTTGTTAATCCGCTTATGTTTTGTAGTCTACTAATTGATGTTAAACACTCAGACATGCTTCCTATTCAAGCAAACTTAGAGTCTCATTCTTTTTCCAGCAAGAAAAGCCAACTTTGTCAAATATCAATTTAGACATACAAGTTAGCAGCTTAGTCGCAATTGTGGGAGGGACTGGAGAAGGAAAAACATCACTTATATCAGCAATGCTTGGGGAGCTGCCTCCCATGGAAAAAGCAAGTGCTGTTATAAGAGGCACTGTTGCATGCGTTCCTCCTCAAGTTTCATTCAATGCTACTGCGAGTTGCAGCTTAGTTTTTTCTTTGTCAATTAATGTTTAGGTCTCTTAAATAATTATCAATTGTTTTGTATCTTGTTGCTTCTCTGGTGATTATCAGGTTTTGCATTAATGTTGTGCACGTTCCTGACATAGAAAATTCATTCTTACTGCAGGTGTGGGACAACATATTGTTTGGGTCAGAATATGGACCTTCACAAATTTTGGAAAGCTATTGATGTAATTGCATGGCAACATGATCTCGACTTAGTTTCAGTTAAGCGCATTCCTTTTTCCTTATTCTTGATTCTTTTGTTTGGTTTGACATATCTCTTAGATTATAACCGTATGATTGTTTATTCAGGGTCATGACCTCACTGAGATAGGCGAAAGAGGTGTCAATATTAGTGGTGGGCAGAAGCTAAGAGTTTCCATGGCTAGGGCTGTCTTCTCCAATTCAGATACACACATATTCGATGACCCTTTAAGTGCTTTAGATGCTCAAGTTGGTTGACAGGTATCAGGTCATGTTAAATAGTATAAGCTGACATCAAAGTTAATTTGATTTCTAGTGCTACTTGTGCTATATTTTATTGTCAACTTGACATGGTTAAAGAGGGGCGAACCTTCGAGGAACTCTCTAAAAATGGAAATTTGTTCCAGAGGTTGATGGAAAATGCAGGGAAGGGCAGGTGGAAGAAAAAGAGAATGTTGAAAATCTGGATTGCAAAAGCTCAAAACCAGCACAGCTAATGGAACAAATGAGTTGTCACAAAATGCAAGCTCTAAAATGAAGGGAAAGGAAGGAAGTCTGTACTTATCAAGCAAGAAGAACGAGAGACAGGTGTTGTCAGCTGGTATTTTTTTGAGGAGGTAACATAGGGGGTTTATTTTATTCCTGCTTTAAAAAATAATTATATTTCTTTGATTGTTTAGGCAATTCTTATTACACTCAGGATAAAGAATGTTTTCTCGACTCATCCTGAACATGTTTATATGTTGCTCACAGCAACCCAACAGACGAATCAAGTCAAAGTCGAAATCATATTTCCAGGTCTTTTAACAGCTGTACCACAATTATGGCCCGGATAGCACTGGATATCCTAAAGAGGATTGATGCTTGAACGCTCATATTTTCAATGCAAGAACATCTTACGCAAATTTGATACCAACTAGTTAGATGTCCCCTGCTTAGCAGCACAGCCCTTTCATGATTTAAGCATGTCTTCCATGTCAATGGCCATGATCTGCATGGGTGGCTAGTTTCAAATTTTCCCTTTTTTGATGGCACAACAGAAATAATCAAGTTTTCAAGTTTCTAGGTCATAACGAAAATTAACCAATTTTAAGTATCACGTCATGAATCATACGTTGTTCTCCTACCATTCTTTACGATTCTTGCACCGTTTTTTTCCTGGTCAACATCGACTTGGTTGGTCCAAGTCTGGTATTCTGAATTAGAACTTTTATCTTCAAATTTCTCTGAAGGCGTCCACCTCTGCGGTACCGAAGTTAAGGGCAATTATTTCGCGAGTTTGGTCACGCTCATAAAGCGGTCATTCTAAGCTAATTTTATAACGGTTAAATAGATCAAATCTCTTCTAAAATTTAATTTAATTAAAATTGAGTTTTTGAATTTTAAATTTGATTTTTAGAATCTCTCAACTTTTCTAATGATTTTAACTTATTATCTTTTTCTGTAATAAAAAAATTTAATTCGTAGTATTTTGAGTTGAAATTTTACAGAAAAATTTTTAATTCATTTTGTAATATGCAAGTAGTACCGTGAGGGCAGAAGAAACCCTCGCAACAGGTTGCACAATTTGTAGTTCTGAAAGGCATGTCCTTTGAATGTCAGAGGTCAACCTTTTGACCTTTAGCAACTCCACAAGCCCATCCTGGCTCGCATCCAGAAGCCCATGAGCTCAAATTACAGTTCTTGTTAGGTTTCAAATAATTGCAATGTTCTATATCTCAATCCTGCTATGTTTTAGGGAGAGAGCTTTTAACTGGCTTTTTCATATAGGCTTTTTGATATTGCCTATAAATATTTCCATCATACTAAACAAATGATTCCAACTTAAATTAATTACCATCTGATTAAACAAATGATTCCAACTCAAATTAATTTCTTTGCAGATTTATTGCCGAACAAATACTCGATCACTCTTTCTTTCCAGCTTGTGAATTGGTTTTCCATAAATTAAGGAAAGAGAATCCAAACAAAATATCCGTTGAAATAATTATTAAGTTGTGCAGCATTCAATAAACCCCAAAATGCAGACGACCTATATTAAAATACACAAAAAATCATTCTAAAACCTTTATCAAATAATCATTGTTTTCAGGCTCCAAACTTTGTACGTACCGTTTGTTTTCTTGGCGCAGTTGGATATGAATGAGTTGTGTTTTTTTCGGAGAAATTGAATGCCATGTTCCAATCTTCATCCCTGCAAATCCAAATCAAAAATAAAAAATAAAATTAGCACTTTTGATAATCAGCATTCATTCCTGGAATCTAACATTACATTAAAACAAAAGTGACGGAGTTATCTACTCGTCTGTAATGCAGAAACCAAAATATTTGGCAATATCTTGCCTGAACACAGAGGTAAAATTTGAGAAACTGTTGTAGACCAGCTCTGAAAATAGCTCTCGTGCAGCCAGATTGTTATCATAGCCATCGAACTCTTGACAATAAACAGGGCTCGATGACAAAGCAAATGCAACAATAAAGATGGATACAGAGAGAAAACAACAATCTATCAAATTAGGCATTCTAAATTAACAAGAATTAATCAGCTAGAAACATAAGAATTAACACCAATAATCAGCCGGAAACATAAGAACAAATCAAGCTTCTCCTTTCCTTCTCCATGTACGAGTTAACCATAATTATAAGCAGTAATGAACCAATTAACAAGAGAGGAACAGGATAAGAAGTGCCAATAACATTCAGTATTCAGATGTTGCTCAAATGTTGGGCAGTTGCCCTTTACAATACCTTGATCTAAAATCAATTGACAAAACAACAGCTAAAAAAACCAATGGTATTCTAAGAAATTTCAGTTGTTTGGGAAAAAGACTTCATTTCTTTACATAAAACTCCTATAAGCAATCAATGCCAACCAGAACGAGGGATACCAACACTTTAGACTGGGATCACAAATGGAGCAATAAACCACCCAAGAGGACAGTAACCTCAAGGAACTGCAGGTTTGCTGTTGTAGGCCTCTCTTGCTTCAAGCACATCAGGACAGTACCGTTTAGTGAGAACGTCAACTTGGTCAGCAAATGAACTGTTACGATGGTCACCAAGGTGTTTGATCATTTGGTTCCATCGCTTCCGGCAGAGATCTCCAGACCTGTGCTCTAGAAGATTGTCCCACTCAACATCTTCCATGCAGCAAGCATCCAAGTCGTAGAGCTCCATCAGCAGCCGATAATCATCTGTATCAAGCCATTTACCTTCAGCTACCATAGGTGATGTTAATTGGTCGTACCATTTTTGGCAGCAAAGAGCATCAGTCCTAGTCTCCAACTTCTCACTGATTGCTGTCCAACTAATATTATCTCGTAACATCCCATGCTTTGTTTTCCTTTCTTCAAAAGCTTTCAAGCGCAGATCCAAATTCACTAAATCAAATAAAGACTGGTACTCATCCTGGGACCATTTTCCTTTCTTCATATTGATCAGTTTTATTCTACGCCACGTGTCCTTTACATGAAACCTATGCTTGCCCATGGCTTCTGCTAGTGTCTTCCAATCTGCTCCATGCTTTTCATGAAACTTTCGGATGAGTTCATACTCTTCTGGGGTCCAAGAAGAATTCTGACCCCTTTCAAACAATATATGGGCTCGATAATATACACTCTTATAAGGCCTCCAAGGTAGGGCTGCCCCTATCTCCTTCCAACAATGTGTAATTGCAGGGTGCTTTTTACAATTCAGCACCATGTTTAGACCTTCTGCACCTAAATCATGAACATTAATATAGTTTAAAACGGCTTCTTTAACCATCTCATCCTCCTCAGGCGAGAACCGCTTCCCTCGCACTAAGCCATCTTTCCCAACAGCCTTCTCATCACTAGGCTCATCAGATGAAGGGAAAACCTCTACATCTTCACCGAAACTTACTCTCTTAGATGTCACTTTTGAGGAAGATTTTTCTGAAGGACCAGTGGTTTCGATGTCTTTCTCCATTTGTGTTACTCTTTTGCTACTTTTTTCTTTTGAACGATTTTCCAAGGACTTGGCCTTCTTCTTCCTGTTGTTTCCACCTTCAGCATTAACCTTTAGTTTTCCATCTCTTGCCTTATTTTTTATAGAACTTGTGTTACATCCATCACCTTCTATTACACTGCTTTGGTTACCCATCATCTCGGCCATAATTTGCGTTGATGCAGCCTCTAGATCAACATTGTGCATTTTCCTCTTTTTCTCCTTCTCCTTCTGTGAAGACTCTACCTTGTCCTGAACAATTTCAATCAACTCCACTCTACCAGCATCTTTTCCATCAGCTACACATTTAATTACCTCAGTATCACCACCACCATCATCATACTTCTTATGTTTCTTCTTCCTTTTCTTCTTGTGATCCCATCCTTCCCCACTATTCATGTTAGCAATGTCTTCATTTTCAGGGCCATTCTGTACCTCAGCCACCTCTTCCCTTCTGTTATGGTTGAGGATGTTAACCACAGAAGAAATAGTGCTTGATTTACCTTCTCTGTTTTTCTCCTTGTGATTCTTTTTCCCATCTCTTATCACTTCTGACTCAGAATTGCTGACAAAATCCACCCAGACATTCTTTTGCAGTCCCGTATTATCCTCTATTCTCATGTGGGTCTCCTCCAAAGCCTCTCGAACTTCACTCACCTTATTTTTCTTCCTAGCCACCTGAGATTCTTTCTCATCATTACCATGCTCCAAATTTCTCTTCTTCTTCTCCTTCTTCTCATTCTTGTCTGCTGCATTATTCACATCTACATTACCCTCACTTTGACTAGAACTTATTGCAACATCCTCACCACTGGCATCATGTCTCTCACTCTTCTTCTTCTTCTTCTTCTCCTTCTTGTCATTCTTGTTTGCTATGTTATTCACATCTACATTACCCTCCCTTGGACTAAAACTTACTGCAACATCCTCACCAGTAGCCTCATGTCTCTCACTCTTCTTCTTCTTCTTCTCCTTCTTCTCATTCTTGTCTGCTGCAGTATTCACATCTGGGTTACCCTCACTTACACTAGAACTTACTGAAACATCCTCACGACCACCCTTCTTCTTCTTCTTCCCTTCACTACTCGGAGTTAAACTCTCCTCTCCACTTATAAGCAATGAATCTTTGGCTTTCAAGGAGTGGTCCTCATTCTTTGTTTTCCTTTTCTCGCGCTCTTGCCTGCCTACCATTTTGATACCATGTGGGTAACAACTGCTAATCTCCCTCGAACCTTCAGAAATAGCTATAGCTGAGCCAAACCCTCATGCAAAGCTGTAAAAAAAAAAAAAAAAACACAGATGAATAAAAGAAAAGTCAGATAACCAATGATTTAATAGAAACACCTTCGCCTAAAATACTCTAAAAACCAATTCAACCAAAGGGTTTATTCCAATTCCCTCCTCGGCACTGACAAATAACACCATGAGCTGAACACAAATTCTGATCAGCCGACTTCACTTTCCTTGAAAACCCGTCTAGCTAATTCACATCGAAATCACACCAACACGAAAAGACAAACCAAAACCCCAGATAATAACCAGTATCTAAAAATATTAACAACTAACACATCATTTGCACCTAGATACGAGAGGCAAACCCAACAGCAGCAGCAGCCGAAAGTGTGTACATAAAAAGAGCCTCTAAAATTCAACTCATTGCAATTCCAGATTCTTAACAGCAAAAACGTAATAAAACGAAAGGAAATTGATGAAATAGAAAGAAGCGGGTACCTGAAAGCTGGAGTCCGATCCCTTCCTCTCCCTCTTTCGAGCTCTGGAGATTTGAGAGGGCGAGGTCTGCTGGTAGAGGGATGGAGTGTGAGGGGACACTGAGATTAGGGCATGTATCCTCAGTGTGACAGGAACTGGAGGGAGGAGAAGACGATAAGCGGCGTGGAATTGGAGAGATGGAATTATTGGGCCCGGTGGTGATGTATTTATGTGAACGGGTTGGACTGATGGGCTGTGGGGTTAGAGTTGTGGAGGTGGGCTGATGTGGGCTGGGCTTGATGTGGTGGTTTTGTTACGAGGAAAAATGTTTGTTCACAAAAAAGCATAATGTCCCTGCTTACCAGCAGAGCCCATTCGTGATTTAAGCATCTGCATATATAAATTGATGTCTTTTTTACACTTTTATTTCGATTCAAACTCAGAACAGAACGACAAGGCAATAACAAAAATCACCTCCTAGAGCCGATCCCTAATATAGCCCACCAACTTCAATCAAGCCCAATAATGGCCTCACTTGGGCTTTAAGAAACAGCCCAAACCTCTTAAGTCGGACAACCATTTCTCTCTCCATTCCGTATAAATAAGCTGAACGGAAACCGTTATTCCGTTTCATTTCGCGCCTTCTACACTTCTCTTCTTCCTCTCTCACTCACTCTTTCAATGGCTTCCACGAAACGCGAGCTCTCACTCGGACCCGAACACGATTCAAAAAAGTTAGAGCTTGAACACGAGTCAAAAAAGGCAAAGCTTGAGCTCCCACCCGAACCAGAATTCCAAAAGGCAGAGATCGATGCTACTGAACCCGATTCTCCAAAATCCACGTCGAGCCAGCTGCGCGTGACGCTCAATCCCACTGATTGTAGTTTAGGTAACAAATCCCTGTCTTTTCACTCTTTTCTGCTTTCTAGTTTGATGTTTGAAACCCTAGCTTAAAATAAAATAGTTCGATTCACAATTTGAAGCATTTTTAATTATGTGTTTTGCTATGTTAGAGAATTAAGGGGCTTGATTGAGTAATTAGTGAATTAAATGATAATAAAAATAGGCATAATGCGGATTATCTTGTTTAATTATAGTGTGCAAGCCTCTCAATAGATATTATATGAAAGAATTGCTCTCCCCCAAAAATTTAGAAGGGGAAGACTAAAGATTGAATTTTTATGTCTTTAACGCAGGAAAACTTTGAGCTAAAGAATCTTAAAGCCTAAAAATTAAAATGTTAATTATAATGTGATTTTGGGGGAAGAATTAACAAAAACCTTTTTGTTTTTTTACCCCACAATTTTATTCTATGCCACCTGGAATATCGGAACAATAGTGATTATTTTCTCAGTGAAAGAAAAAAGACATTGTAGCAGATACAAAGATAGTCGATCCATTCTTTTCTGTGCGCGTATCTGTGAAAGCTATTCTGAACCTTTTGGTTTGCATGTGTTTTAGATTTTGATATTGAACAAGATGGTCTTCAAGGTTCTGGACTTCATGAGGAGGGGTTTGCTTATTGTTGGTCTGGTGCTCGAGCCAATGTTGGAATAACTGGAGGGAAGTATTGTTTCAGTTGCAAAATTGTTTCTGTTCAACCGGTTAATATGGAAGACACGCCACCTGACCAGCAGTATGTTTGTCGTTTAGGCATTTCAAGGGGAGATGATGCAGTTGGAAACCTAGGGGAGACTCCGCATAGCTTTGGGTTTGGAGGCACAGGAAAATTCTCTAGTGCTGGAAAATTTTCAGACTATGGTGAAAAGTTTGGGGTTGGAGATACAATCAAGTGCTGTGTTGATCTCGAAAGTAAACCATTGGCTTGTATAGGATTCTCCCAGAATGGAAAATGGTTGGGATTTGCAAAGGTATTTGATGCTGGCCCAAGAGGCCTTGAAGTGGTGGATTCTCCAATAAAAGAGCTTCAATGGGAGTCAGCTCTATTTCCTCATGTTCTATTGAAGAATGTCATGGTTCAGTTGCAATTCAGTGTTGAAGATGGACTTGTTCCTGAAGAAGGCTATAAGCCCTGGGCTTCAGCTCTTGATGATGGGAATGCAATAATGGGACCTAATTCTTCTGACATGAGGGATTGTGAAGTAATGATGATGGTGGGGTTACCTGCTTCTGGTAAGACTACATGGGCAGAGAAATGGATAAAAGAGCACCCTGAGAAGCGTTATGTGTTGCTTGGAACAAACCTTATTCTGGATCAAATGAAGGTTTCAATTTTGGCTTCTTACATTGTCTGTCCTTGCAGAAAGATTTTCTTCTAGCTGAATTGTTATCCTTGAGCATGGTGACTGACACTAATTTGTTTTTCCATAGGTTCCTGGGCTATTGCGTAAGCAAAATTATGGTGAACGATTTGATCGCCTTATGGGTCGAGCAAATGCAATATTTGATACCCTGTTATCCAGGGCATCTAAGACTCCTCGAAATTATATTATCGATCAAACCAATGTTTTCAAGAATGCACGCAAACGCAAATTGAGACCATTTTCAAATTTTCGTAAGGTAGTGTCATGGTGTCGTTCTCTTTGTATATGAAACAAATAATCTAGTATGATTTGAATCTCTTAATTTATTATTGCAAACCAGATTGCTGTTGTGGTGTTTCCAAAACCAGAAGAGCTAAAATTCCGAGCAGATAAGAGATTTAAAGAAATGGGGACGGAAGTTCCTTTTGATGCCGTAAGCAATATGCTAGGTATCCTTTTTCATTTGCATGTATTATTTTCGTCCACGTAGCTGACCCCAACTAGTTTAGGATCGAGACTTGGTTATTGTTGTTGCATTTGAACTGCAATTACTTTGGTTTGTTGAATCCTAATAAATTACGGTTTTACTATGGCCTGTTTAATCTTGGCAGCTAATTATGTTCTCCCCACAAGCAAGGATATGCCTGGTTCAGATGAACTTTTTGATCAGGTAAACATTTGGTAAGCATAAATCACACACATCCATTTTACACACTGTTGAGCATAATGTGGCTGACAGCTTTGACCATTTTATAAGGTCATTTTTGTCGAACTCGATCGTAGGGAGTCGCAGAAACATTTGGAGGAAATGAAGCATGCTTTAAAGACTAAAACTCTGCCTTGTTCTCGGCAGACTTCCATCGAGTTATATGCTAGGTCTCCAATGCAAAATCAAGGAGCTTTACCAGGTTTTTGTATTGCCTTTTTTTGATCCATTTATTCTTATGTCATTAGATCAGGTCCTGATGATTTTTCCATTTGATTCAGTTTGTAGCGGATCCTGGCAAAGTTCTCATCCACCTCCTCCACTATTGTGTTATGGCTACCAAAACACCAACCCAGCTCCCCCATCATCGAATTATGGCTACCAAAATACCAACCTTCCTCCTCCACCATTGAATGATGGCTGCCAAAAAACCAACCAGGTAAGAATTTCCCTGTTTCTAATGTTTTATTATTTTTGTTTTTTCCAGGATCTGTTTTCTACTTCGCTTCTGTTAGGAAGCTTGATTACTGTTAACTTCTTAGAGATGAGACCCTTACCAGAGTATGTGTATTGACAAATAGTGGCTAATGTATTAATACCCTATTCGTAATGTGAACACAATGTATCAGGGATTTGGATCTTCTTTGGGGGCATATCAGAGCTATCAAAGTCCGTCCATACCTAGAGCTCTTGTTCCTGATACCACTTGTGCAAGTTCTGAACCAAGAAATAACAGTGGTTACTCTTGGAACTTTGGTGCCATTTCTGGTGGTAGAGCTGACTCTTGCCAGAACTATGGATCTGTTGATCCGTATGGCAGAGCAGACACTGTTGGTGAGAAAAGTGTTGTTGGTGCTGCTGCTACTTCTGACCCCTACTGGAGCAATATGACAGAGCCCTCCCCAGGGGGAGGTGCAAGGACTTCTTCATTTACATACAATAATATTCGAGGTCCCCCCACCAGCCTGCAGACTCCAAGCGCACCCACATATTTGCCCAGTCCTTCCCCTTCTTCATATGGTAACCATTTTGACACGTTATTTCGCATATGCATGTGCATATAGATCTGTTCTAGAGAATCTATATAGCCTCGACAATTGAAGAAGCTGGACTGCCTAGTGAATTGCAACCCAACCATGCTAACCTTACTCTCTTATTAGTTGTTTGCTGATAGTTAATCTAGTGGCGTTCTATATTTTGTGGCCTTTGTGTCCATTTTTGTCTGTTGGCATTTGGTATTCAACAAAAGCCTCAATCTCAACTAGCAGGTTTCAGCTACAGGGATCTTTTTCTTGCATTTTGAATTCCCTTTGGCATTCAATACTAGACATTGTCTTTTAATTGGTTTCTTTTTTGCTTCAGGTTTGCCTTATGGATCTCCTTGCTTTCCACTGTCTGCATCTCCGACTCCATCCCCGAGGCCCCCATACGCCAATTTTCCTGCTGGCATGCAGCAGCATTCTGGACGATATAACCCTCGTCCTCCGAGATACTACTAATTTCTGTGCCCTCATTCCTCAAGACTTTAGAGATACTACTTCCGAACCAAAGACTGTAAAATCAAGGAGGCCAAGTTCCGGTCGATGATGAACTGCAGATATTTTGTAAACACGAACTTAATGAACAGAGTTCAAAGGGCCCCCTTCCAAGATCATCTCTAGAATTTTGTAAATACTACCACTAACTTCAAGATTTTTCTGACTTTATGGGAGACTATAGTTGGTATCTGTCACTCGACAGGATGTAGTTGGAGTTTAGGTCTTAGCGAGTTGGCTGGTAGCTGCAAGTTTTTAAAGAATTGCATGTTATATCTACAAAGAAATGACAAAGCCTGAGATTACCAGAAGTATCAAAGTGCTGGAAGGAAAGGTTTAGGTCCCATATGCTTTACACCTGAGCTCCTGACCATGTGAAAAGCCTCTCTCAAGCTGCATTTTCCTCTTCGTCAATCCATGCTTTGAACCCCACCATAAACCCTTCTCCCTGATCCACCAGTCTATCTCTCTAGTATTATATAATCCAACATATCTAGAACAGAAAGAAACCTCTTAGCCCCGTTCTTCTGTTACAACATTGAATTGACGGTCTAGATTCTTTGTCTGCCACAACCTAACCACCATCTAACTCGGTCTTTATGGCCCAAAATAAATAATAATAATCTACACAGCTTTTTGTCACGGTTCCCCGCCACCTAATAGCTTCATAAATATGTTAGCTCGATTCCTTTTTAGTTTAGGAAAATTCTCTGATTTGATTCAAGATAAAATTGGGGTTAGTTTGCTTTGAAAAGTGAATAATGATTAATGAAGTGCTAATTGGGTTTGTTCTAATTCAAGAAGAGATTCCTTTGAATATATTAGTTCAGGATCATATGTTCCGAGATTTTATTGTGAAAATAATTAATTTTGATACACAAAGATTGACTTGATACGTACCTTTCTGTTAAAATAATTATCAATGCAAATATATATATATATATATATATATATATATATATATGTTTTTGATGATAAATCAACGAGGGTTAAACTGTTTGACAAAAGGAGATTTCCGAGGTAAATGAGTGTAGTAATAATTCCACTCTCGTCAGCAAAAATCACTTTGTATTTGTATGAGATTGTAAATGAAATTATGATGGACAAAAAAAAAAACGAGAAATATATAAAATTGACCAACTTAATTTATTTTTCATAACTTCATATATGTTTTCTGACAAATAAAAATACGACATGTATATTAATAGGACAAATAATGTTTGACAAAAGCCTCATGAGTGACCACTTAACAAATAATTGTACATATATGTAAGCCAATAATTTTAAATTCTTTTGATTAAGGAAAACAAACAATTGTAATAATTCTAATAACAAAGAAACAGGTTTCCGAGTCAGAGAAAATCTAACACCTAAAAGAACATCCATTTCTTTTGAAATATTATCTCTGCTATAATCTATAGACATGCAGAAGTCCCCAGGGGACCCTGCAACTGAAATTCAATGTTTCTTTCATGTCCAATCATTTCTTTGCATTATTTTCTTAGAAGTCAAGTTAGGATTTTACGTGGTCGGCCAAATATCATTCATATATATATATATATATATATATATATAATAGTAGAGAGAGATAGTTCTATTCCTTTCAATATCAGATCAAAACATGGAGGCATGCATAACCTAAAAGACTTTGCATTTTCTCTCTTTTACTCTTTCTTCGAGTAGGTTTTCAATAATCAATAAAAAGCTTTTCTTGATGGGGGGGACACCTTACCTTTAATGGAGATCACCACTTCCATGCCGAACAGAAATGGGGTAATACAACACATCCATGCTTGTTGGTCCAATTACAATTAGCTGAGCACTCGGTGGCCTCATTTGAACCTCTCACCACTTTTTTTCTTTACTTATGGATAGGTTGTATTCTCCAATCACTGTTTTGTGTATCAAAATTTACTATATTTTTTTAATTTGGACATATTATTCTTGTTATATTTATTAGAAGTGTTGTTTTGATAATATTTTATTGTCAATTATCAAGGATATAGTCTAATAATAAGAAGATTCTTTAATTTGTTCAAGATTAAAGTTCAATTCTCATTACTTACGGATAACTAATCATAATTATTCTTTAATAGTATTAGATTTAAACTCATTTGGTTTTAAAAAAAAGTCCAATGGTCGATCAAAAGATAAATATGTTCTAGCCATGGCTTAACTCGGAAAGTGATGGCTTTAATTTCGATTTAAGTAGAAGTTGATTTGACAACATTCCACTATCTATACATATATAAAAAATATTTTATTGTCAATTAAAATAGTTCAAATTTAAATAGGAATGAGAAGTAATTACATATAATCGATAATTTAAGTATTTTATCTTATCTTATAATTTAAAATACTTTTTATGATATGTATTTATATATGTTTTTCATTTTTTTAAAACTAAAACTATATATTAGAAAATAATTTAAAAAAACCATTATTAAACAGCATTAAAATGGCTGAGATCATTTTTTTTTTACAGTGATCTAATTAGTTTGAGATTTGATTAAAAAAAGAAAAAAAGGTAGACGCAACCCCTTTAAGGGATAAGGTAATCTTATTGAATTCTGTATTGAAGCATAAGTTAAAGGACAATCTAGTACAAGTACAATAATTTATTGCTGATGTACTTGATATAGACATGTGTGCTTGTAAACTTTATTCTTTTGTTACTTAATTTGTTTAACCTCTTCCTAGACTCTTCACTTTTTACCATGATTTATTCTCATCTGGTACTTTTTAGGTATTGCAGCATGTGGCTTAATTTATCACCGCCCACGAGACCATAATGGCCTAAAATTCTTGACAATTATCATCACCTCATTAAACCTTACCTAGATTCTCGGTTTTGCATCAATCGTCAAAGTAACTCAAAAGGAATTCCATCAACAACAACGGTTTATTGAGTTATGCTTGGATTGTATGCATGATTTTTTTCATCCTATTCAATCAGTGGTGGTGTTCAAATTCTTTCCGATTTATACTTAGAAGCCACTTGTACAGCCAAAAATTAAAGATTTGTTTTGAAAGGTGCCCTTCCAAAGAAAATTGACAAGTTCTCTTGGACTATTCATTGAGGGATAGCAAGATGTCCAAACTTGAAAAGTCCACTACCTATTGTCTAGAGGAGGGGAAGGAAAAGAAAATTTTACCAACATTACATGACAAATGCCATCTCATAGAAAAGGAGGTTGATACCTATAAGGTCATGAAAGAAAGAAAGAAAGAAAAGAAAGAAAGGTCATGACCATGGAAAGGATTTTGATCAAATTAAAGTGAACGGAAGAAAAGGAAAGAAATAATTCTATCAAAGATAATTGTGCCCACGAAAATAATGTAATGTCTACCCGCACAAAAAGGTTTTTCAATCAACATTGTCCCAAATGTCCATTTATATATTTTATTGGGACACCAAAGTTTTCTTGTGTCATTGTTAAACCTTTTGCACTTAAGAAATTATACAGGTGATTATAAAAATAAATAAAAAAGGAAAGAAATTATATTAGCGTATCAAAATTTTATTATTTTTTTATTAATAAATTGTTAGTCTAGTGTATTAAGCGAGTTGGTCTCCAGATAAATTTCTTACTAACATATAGAACTAAAATTCTAAAATTATAATTATTGAAAAATATTAAATAAAACTTTATCTTTCCGGTCTTGAAAAAAATTATTCTTATTTCCTTAGGGAAATAAAATATCCATGAATGCAGCAATACAGGGAAAAGTTTTAGATTTTATACTTTTAATGTTGGATTTTGTAGATATTGGGAAGCCACGTATGATTATATGCTAGGTACATTGAAGCCCATCTCGGTAATTGAACAGTGAAACAGACCACAGAACCCTTTGATATGGATCAGTGCTGCATTTAATCCATCTATTATAAACGTTATCTCGGAGCATATCCAATGCTCTCTTTATATTAAGATTTTTCTTTATAATAAAGAAGTTTGATCCAAATTTCATCTCCAATGCTCTCTTTATCATAATCTTTATCTTTAAAATTAGTATAAAGAGTGTCTTTGGCTCTCCAATACTAGAGAGTCCAAATGACTCTTTATCTTATATTTTATTAATAAAAATCACTATTTCCAATGTCACTCAACCTCTTCACCAATAGTCTCTATGGGTTTTATAGATTTTGTCAAAATAAAAAGTTAAATAGAGAGTAGCATTAGAGAGGATATTGATCTTCTATTTATATAATTAATGATACTCTCTATTTATATTAAAAATACTAGTTAAAAATAAAGAGCACCGTTGAAGATGCTCTTAGTTTGCTCCCTTACTTTACTTCTCTTGTTGTAATCCTTCCGCTCTCTATTCTGATTTTTTTCTAGAATTTACACTAGTCTTAACTTGCCCCCTCAACATGATTGAATTGAAAATTCCACTAATTATGCAAATACAGAAAAAAAAATATGTATTTACAAAAGAACATGAATGTATTTGTTAGAATAAAAAAGGAAAAAATGCATTTTAACTAAAAAAAATTATAACTATCTTGCTAATATAGTTATTTTTATCTTACGTATATGACATGGTTAGTGTAGATTTTTTAAGATAATTATGTTAAACTCCACGATCAACTAGAAAATATGACACCATGTGTCCATAAGTTGTAAAATACATGTGACACGTAATGGTGTAATTTAACTTCATTATTGATAGAAGTATCAAGTGATTACAAAATAGAGAATAAGGGGAAGAAAATACGACAAAAAAAATTAAAGGGATCAAAATGAACAAAATTTATAGTCGACACCTAGAATCCCCTTTAATATATTCCATGCCTCTCTCTTACGCACACTTACAAACCTCTCTCTCTCTCTCTCTCTCTCTCTCTCTCTCTCTCTCAAAAGCCTATAAACCCACAAAGCAGTCTGCTTTAAATCCCACTTCTCTATCTTTCTTTCTCCTGCATGTCTTGTAAAATCTATTGACTTTTCTCAAATGGGTTTTAAATTCTTGTCCGAAATCTAAACTCCTAGACTTCAATAATCCAAGTTCTCTCTCTCTCTTTTTCCTTTCTTTATGGAAGAAAAGGAAAATCTTTCATGGGAATTGAATTCTAATACAATCTCATTTCTCATCTTCGAAATCATGACTTCCATTAATCTTTCTTATAATCCTCTCTTCTCTTGCATTATCACTCTCTACACTCTAATTCTCCTATACTTCCCTCAAGCACTTAAACTCTCAATCTCTTCAATTTTGATCATTACTTTAACTCTTTTGCTCTTTCTCTTACGCCTTGGTGCAATTCAAAGACTCCAACTTTCAGTGGCTGAAGGCGATGAAACCAATGAAATCAACCGAAACAAAGACACCCATTTTGCTAAAACTTCAGACTCATGCTTTTTGACTCATGTAGACAAATGGGATGCTTCCCAAAGTGCTCGTATAGCCCCGGATCGGAACCCGAATTTTGGAGGGTCGTTTGTGGAATGGGATGTTAGAGCTCCATTGGAGGTTATATATGAGGAACATGAAGGAGAAGAAGGGGAGGAGGATCCGAATGGGAAGGATGCAGTCCAGGATCCCAACCAGTTTGGTGGTTTGGGAAGGTATCCGTCTTTGGCTAAGTATTACCCGGAAACGGATTCGGATTCAGATTCTGACGGTGGGTTTTCCGTTCCCGGAGAGTGGGACTCGGCGGAGAGGTTTTGCTTTAAATGGGAAGATGAAGATAAAGAAGGGCTATTGATAGAGATAGCTCTTGATAGTTATAATAAGAAGGATACGGGTTTGGGATTTCACGTTGAAGAGGATAATCTGATAGAGATCGATATTTCTCCGGCCAAAAATGACATGCTGTTTCCCAGATGAAGTGTGTGACTAATTAGTGCTTAAAAGTGGTTTAAGGTTTAGAGGGTTAGGTTCGGTTAATTTGGATTAATTAAAGCTGATAATGAGAGGCAGTTTTTTCGGGTTGTGAGTCTTTCTTTTTTTGTATGTTTTTTTGGGTTTTTGGATGTTTGTTTGTATTAAACCGATGATTAAGTACAGTTAATCACTAAATCCAAGGATTTAATTGAGTTAACATGAGATGACTAATATGCCCCTATATGGATTTTTCCTCCAGAAAGATTTGGCAAAAGGGTCATTATATGTTGTTGGAATGGGAAAGGCAATTGGGTTCGAAAGTGCACTTTGATAAAAGGTTATGGTGTGCCACGCAAAGTTGAATAATGCATGAACATGGGAGTGATAGAGAGATGACACAGAAATGGAGGGCATATTCTACCTGTTTGGGTGACTAACTAATGTCTACGTGAAGCTAATATGTTTGTTTCTTAATTAATGAAATCAGAATTATATACATAATCCGTGTTTTATAGCTGGTTGCCTTTGTTGATTTTGGACGATCTTTTGTTTTCTTGTTCTGCTTTTATCTTGAATTTGTAGAAGATTGCAATTGATTTGAATATATATTATTGATTTAAGCAGCATTGACGTTAAGAAATGGAAATTGGAATTGGCCTTAGTTCATGGAAGATAGAATTGGCCCCGCTTGTTTGCTTGAATATAGATTGAACGAGTTAAAAATCATTTTTCGATGTTTGTTTCTGAAAAATAAATTGAAAAATAGCATTTTTTATTTATTAATTATTTAAAAAATATTTCTATCAAACATTTTTTTTATGTTTGATGCATATAAACATGACTTCTTCTTCTTTTTTTACTAGCTTAAAACATTTTTCTTCGAGGCAAATAAAAAATAATAATAACTTTCTTTTACATGGTATCTTATTTTTATAATAAAATCTATATGATCTGATACGCAGCATGACTTCTTCTTCTGTTTTTTACTAGCTTAAAACATTTTTCTTCAAGGCAAATAAAAAATAATAATACCTTTCTTTTACATGGTGTCTTATTTTTATAATAAAATCTATATGATCTAATATGTATGATTGTTGAAATTATATGTTATGTACTATAATGCATTTTCTAGCAAACTTACATAAATTAGCATATTTTTAATAAATTATACACATTATATATTAAATTGGTATAATTTTTACAAATTATATATTGATATATCTTCACAAATTATTTTCTATATATATACATATAACTTTCTAGTAATGTTATATATTTTAAGTATTTATGTTAATATATTAATTAATGTTTATATATATACGAATAGAAAAACTGGTGTATCATTTTAGCTTCTAAGTCCTTTATACAAAGGGTATACAGCTCTTTTAAATTAGAAAATACTTCCGTCGCTCTATACCTTTATTTTCATCATTTGTTTATTTATTCACTATAAAATAGATTTTTTAATAATTATTTTTAATTGTAATTTATTTTTTGATGTCGAAATGGTTTGAACTTTAAAATTTTTATTGAGCTATTAGGTCTTATTAAAACTCTAATAATATATAAATTTAGATCATTGAAATTAGATTTCATTCAAAATATTCAATTCTTATAATAGGTAACATATTTTTAATTTTATATTTTATTTATTATTTGTTTAATTATTATATATGTTATTTGACATAAATCAATATTTGGATTGACAAATTTGGAGACAGTCGCACAATATTATTCCTACTAAAATAGTATTGAATTAGGCCTATCTTGGATCATTAATTTGGTTTGATCATTCGTATGGATAACCTAGCTAGTACAGGCAGAAATTTCTTTCGCTTTCGTAAGAAAACTTCCAAATGCAACGATTTACGAATCACATATCCTATCTACGTACTATTGAGGAAAAGAATCACTCTATATGAGACTGTTCCATTGGTGAAATGGATCGCATTTATGCCAAATTTTGATGTTGGACGGTGGCAGATAATGCAAAGACATGTTTGATTTTAGTTCTACTACGCTCCAAGATTGTTAAGTCATAAAGTTGGGGACATCATGCTAGAATCAAGCTTATTTTGAATGAAACCAAATGGTGGAAGAAGATAATAATCAAAGCTGGAGTCTTTTCAGTTTATAAGACAGATTAGACGGTACGTAGCCCTTAACTTGACCTAATGCCCATCTTAAACAGTTTTCCCCTTCTAGGTAATTACTGTTAACAATGACTTACTAAAAAATGACGAAAGGGACTTCTTATTCTCAAGGTCCTTTGAATCTAACTAATTATCTCGCCTAGTAGGGCTGTGATTTGCGATGTTTTATATATATTCTCGAAAAAACATCTCAACCAAAAAAAGTAAGGTGTTAGGAAGGTGAAGTTTCAATAATTATTTTTTATTATTTTCTAACACATTACATTAAGTGAAAACCTTCATCATTACTTTGTGCTTAATTTTTAATTTAATTAGAAGAATGAAGATATTGAGATTCGAACTTTTAACCATTTGTTCATCGGATCTTTCATGGCATGTCAAAACGAATGGTTTTCTATTATTTGCTAATATTCTTTTAGTTTTTTCCCTTAATTGGATCATCTAGTCACTAGTGAGTCTTAAGTCCGAGTAAATAATAAATAGTCTTTCTATTTTGTTTTTATATATACTTCTTCTTCTTATTCTCAATTTGCTTTCCTCGCCTTCACCACACCTCCTCTTCCGTCGCCGTCCACAAAAACGCTCACCCACGCCGCTCCACATCATTAAATCTTTTTTAAAACCGCTCAACAAAATGAGAGGTATCTTTCTCCCTCTAAGTCGGATCAAATATGTGTTTTTTATCCTTGATCTATCGGGTAAAGCTTTCTCTTTTTAACTCTTATGTTTTTTTTTAAAAAATTAAATAAATGTTATAAATTTTTAGTTAAGTTTTGTTATTTGTTAGTTTATTAATTGTTTAAATGTTGTTAATTATCTTGTTATGTTAAGTTGTATGTAATAGTTTAAATTTGTTAGTTGTTATTTTATTTTTATAATTGTTAAATTAACTTTGTTAAGTTTTATTTGGTTATTATGTTAATTGTTCGGTTAATTTGTATTTTAACATAAATTTTAAAAATTTTAATTTTGTTAATTTTTAGTTGTTAGATTAAAATTTAATTATTTAATTTTAAATTGTTATTTTAATGAAGCGAATTAATTATATATTTATTTGTTTTTAGTGTTAGGTTAATTTGGTTAGTTGTTTGTTTAAACTTAATTTTGAAATTATATAATTTTTTATGTAGTTTAGTTAAATTTGGTTGAAATTATATAATTTTTGACGTAGCTTAGTCATTTCGAATGTAAATTTTATAAGTAATTTTATTAGTTTAATTATTAAAATTGAAATAAGATAACATGCTTAATGATTTGATCATTCCTTCTACTCATCCTCCGGTCGATGCTTAAGTCGAGCCCTCCACACGATATGAAGAGGATATGGGATTAGACGAGCGAGGATGAGTGATATAATATTCAATCACTTAGTTTGTTTTGTTATTTTTTTATGGAACGTATTCTAGAACAATTTTATTAATATTATTTTATTTTTCATATATACATGATTACTTATAATTATTTACTATTAATTATTAATTATTAAATTTCATATTAATAATTTAATCTCAAAAAATGTCAACAAAAGCGACGGAATTGCGGGAAAAATCGTTTTCGAAATTAGCGACAAATTGGTGACAATTTCGTTTTCCAAACTTAGCGATTGATTAATTTTCAAAATTAGCGATAGATTGGTGACAATTTCGTTTTCCAAACTTATCGACGGACTAGCGATGGATTAATTTTCAAAATTAGCGACGGATTATCTACGAACAAAATGACCGATCCAATGACAAGATTAGCAACGGATTTTTTTGATTTAGCAACGGATTTTTCATTGCTAAATGTTGCAACGAACTAAGTATTCCGTCGCAAAAAATTAGCGACAAGCGAAATAGCGATTGAATATTTTTCTTCGCTATTCACGAATAGCGACGGAATTGGGGCGTTTAACAACAGAATATTCCATCGCTAAACTCCGTTTTTTGTAGTGAAATTAATTAATCATTTTGTTTCAAAAACTAATTCTTTATTCATTTTACCAATACCGACCGTATTTAATTTAATATTATTTTATGACTTATTCTTAAATTAAATTAAAAAATAATGAAAAGAATTAAGTTATAACAAAATTTAAAAATACAAGAATTAAATAATTAATTTTTCAAAGAAAATCAATTAATTCATTTCTCAAAACTAAAGGAACTAATTTATAATTTACTCCCCAAATCCCAACCTCAGGTAATTGATCCATTTACCTTCCTTCTTGTTATTGTTGTTGTTGTTGTTGTTGTTGTTGTTGTTATATATATATATTTAAAATTTTATTTTATTTCATTGTGAAAAAGAAAAGAAAGAAAGACTATGTACGAATACGAACAAAAACAGAACCAAATGAGTGATCTTTTAGAAGCAGGAGACGCAAGCCAAACTAAGAGAAGGATCCGTCCAAACAATTGCTAACTCAGATTTTACATCTCTACTTTCAAGTTTTTATAATTCACCCAGATTTAGTAATGTAAGTAGAAGAATTGTCGTAGGGACGACTCGAAATTTAATTTATATACCTTTGTCCAGGAAAAGAGAACTCCAAGCATCCACCCTTCTGGACTGAGTGACTGAGTGGGTAATGGGCCCAAACCAACAGAAATTCACATTTCCGAACCCATCTTTTCTTAATCAAGTGGGCAATGGGCCCATACTAACAAGCCCACTGTATGACAAGAAAGTTTGGCACTGGATAGCAGATACCATCAAGTTGCATAAAAGCCAATCTTCTTTATTGGTTAACTGCGAAACCCCTTCTCAACCATCGAACCAAAACCAGGAGCGAGCAGAAGAAACTGAAAGAGGGAATTATCGCGGTTTTAATTTGGTGTGAATATACAGCGTTCCAGATACTTTGTATATCTAGTAAATAATAGGGTGGTGTTATTCAAAATTTATTGAATTGATTAAATTTATCCATTAAATTTATAAATAATTAACTATTAATCAACATTATTGTTGTTTTCATTTTAATCCGAGAAACGTATTTATACTCTAATTTTTTTAATTACACATTAGATTTATTTTTATATATTTTATTATTTTTAAATTATTATAGTTTTTTTAAAATATTATTCACAATTATATTGTGACGAAAGATCGCTTATATGATACGTTTTGCGATATTTAATACGAGGGTTTAAAAAAAATAATATAAAAATAAAAATTAATAATTTAATTGTTGTGTTCTTTGAATTTTTTTAATTAAAATTTTGTATTTTTTATTGATTTTTATTGAAATTTAATACTTTTTGAATTGTTTTAATTCAATAAATTTATTGAATTTGAGTTGATCTTACCTCTAGGATTGATTGAGCATGAATCTCAACCATGTAAGAAATTGTATTCAAATGCGTAAATTACAAAAAATATATATATTGTTTATTTTTAACTATTATTCAGGATGATGCCATCCACCAAATTATTTCTCTAATTGGATTTTATTAGAGGTTTAATAAATCTCAACCATGTAAGAAACTGCATTCAAATGCGTAAATCATGAGTTTTTTTTTTTTTTTTTTTTTCACTATCATTCACGATGAAGCTATGTACCAAATGACTTCTCTAATTGCATTTCACGAGAGCTTCAACAAGTCTCAACCATGTTCTTCTTTTAAACAAATAATTAGCACGCAAGAGTATTACCGTTTTCGTTTTCTTTTTTCTCGAAAAGAATTCAATTAAGACAAACAAAAACACACAATGACACCTAGATCACACTAATTTGACATGTGAAGTCAGCATGTGTTTGCTTATGCAAAAGGCTGGAGGAATGAAACACCCCACATGCAATTGTTTTGTTAATATCGCTGAAAGTCAAGTGTGAAATGTTAATAAATCATGCTCATCAAGGCTGTTCAGAATCCAAAAAAGTATCAAACTAATTAAAAAGGGAAGCAGACTAGCATTAATTCTTCTAGAAAACCATGGCCTCGTTTTAACTAGGAATATTCGTACAAATCGCAAGGATGCGTGAGATTTGAACCCTCCAATGCTTCTGGTAGCCTTGAATAAAGCCATGTGAGTTGTGACGTCCTATGCTCGCTTTCATACGGAACTCAGCAAACCTACCTGTTTTTTTTAGATTAACATGGGTATCCGGGCCAGCTTTCGCGTCAACCGACTAATCCCATGGGCCCTGACATTATCGACCATGTAAGATACCTGTTTTAATTTGCTTTGTCGTTTTCAGTATAATTTTGCTCTTTTTTGTTTCCTTTTCACCTATAAGTAGGGAGAGTATGAGTTTCATTTTTACCTAATGATAGAAGTTTATATATGTTTTAAATTAATTTTTATATCAATCGAAATTATTATTTTATCGTCATACATGATTTACAAATTTATAATATAAATGTAATTTGGACTAATGGTTTATAAAAGGAAAAAGTGATTCTTCGTTTGATGATTTCTTTCTTATTTTTTTATAAAAAGAAATAAAAATTTAAAATTTTTCTAAAAAAAGTTATTTTTTCAAAAATAACACATTCCATTAAAAGACTACTCAAACCACTTAAATAGATATATATCGGTTTTTTTATTTAATAATGTAGGCTAGTTAGGTCACTAATTTACTTTGAGTTTGACTAATTACATTTCTTTGAGCATATGAGACGAATTTCTATCTACTAATCACAATAATCATCTAAATTTTTTTGCGTCTGATGTCTAATGATGATGACAGAAAGAAAAATACATATCAAATCCACATAATTAAATTGTAAATTCTCAATCCTTAGTTAATTTCACAAATTTTTTCATGATATATTTATGAGAGATTAATCTTTTAATTTGTTATTACCTTCCAATTTCAATAGCTTTGTATTTTACCACAAAAAAAAAAAATGATAGAAATATAATATTTTTTCCTTCCACAGCGGTCGGTCGTACCGAACCAACAAAACACTGTAAAAGAAGATCGGAACCGGTCCACCAAAATTGCCACGTGTTTAATTCCTTAACGAAGGACAACAAATTCCAAGTTTTTTCTCTTATGTCTACCTTTTAATTGCTTGCCAGATTCGCCACCGGAAAGCTCGTGCCGCCTTTTGCTTGCCCGACAAGCGAGTCAACCCTAAAAAACAAAATCAAACCTGAAAGGAACCATCTCTACAACAACCAACGCACTACGCAAACAATCACGCCTCTCTCTCTCTCTCTCTCTCTCTTCTCCCACCTTTTCGGGCTCTTTACATTTCTTTCTTCTCAGACCGTCAAAACCCTACACCTCTCTTTCTCTCTCTCTCTCTCTAAATTCTCTTTCTTTCATTTTTTTCCCTCTGTTTTTTAAAACTTTCTCTGTTCTTAATTGCGACTAAAAAGGACATAAGGCTCTGTTTTTCTTTCCTTTTTTTTTTTTTTTTAACACATTTTGTGTAGAGAATCTTAAGTGAGTGAAAATGAACGGTTTGAGTTTATTTAAGAGAGCTTCTAGAGCTTTCGATGACTATCCTTCACTCGCTAAGCTCATTGTCGTTTGCACCATCAGGTATTCATTCCTCTGTTTCTTTCTCTTCCCCAAGTTTTTGCTTCCTTTCTGTTAATTAAGCTTTACTGTTATTATTATTTTTTTATTTTTTATTTTCGTATTTTGAATGAAATAATACTGATTGCTTGATTGCTAAGTGAGTGAGTTTTGCGTGTGTTAAGTAGGTGATTAGCAGTTTAGTATTTCCGTTTGATCACTTTTTTTGTTGCGGTTAGATTTGATTTTTTTCCTCCAAGTTTATTGGATATTTCTATAACTAGACATTCTAAGTTTTTGAAGTCTGTTGCTGCTATTACAGAGATCGACTCTGTTTTGTTCTGTAATAATACATCAGTATAATTATTATTTTAAAATTCTTTAATGTTTTGTTTCATTTCAATATAATAGTGTTTGCAAATGGTTCTTTTGATAATTTTCCTGTTGTTGTTAAAATTGTTGGATTTTTTTTCTATCTATTACATTTTTCAGATTTAGTAATCAGTTAATAATTTAAGACAGAGATGTACTCTGTTTCTGTTCTGTGCTCATAAAATTGTATGTGTATGTATTTATGTATGTATATGTATATGTCAGATTTTGAAATTTGACATCTTGGAGAAAAAAATCTAATTAATTGGCGAAGTTGCTTGGGATCAAACATTAAAAGTTCAAGTAGGGTATTAAATAAATCTCATTCCTTTCTTCTTTTTTATTTCTGGGTTGCAGTGGTGGGGGCTATGTAGCTTATGCAGATGCAAATTCAACTAGTGGTGTACATGCTGCTGCACCACCTGTATCGGAGATCAAGAAAAAGAAGGTGGTGGTGCTTGGAACTGGTTGGGCCGGAACCAGCTTCCTGAAGAAACTGAGCGATCCCTCATATGATGTTCAGGTTATATCGCCTCGGAACTACTTTGCATTCACCCCTTTGTTACCTAGTGTTACATGTGGTACGGTGGAGGCTCGCAGCATTGTCGAACCAATTCGTAGCATTGTCAGGAAGGTAATGAGAACTAGGCTGTTCAGAAATGAGCTTCACTTTGGACAGTCATTAGCGTAAATCCTGTCTGTTCATCATGTGTGGATCCTATGGATGGACAGAATTTATGTAGGTGATTGCGCATAGAAGTTCACTTTATAATAGAATTAACAATACAGTAACCGGTCCTTGTTTCTTCCTCTTGCAGAAAAGTGTGAACGTCAGTTACTGGGAAGCTGAATGTTTCAAGATCGATGCAGAAAATAAGAAAGTTTATTGTCGACGTAATCCTGACTCCAGTATGAATGGGAAAGAAGAATTTGCTGTGGATTATGATTATCTTGTAATAGCCATGGGAGCCCGTCCCAACACATTCAACACACCCGGTGTAGTAGAGCATTGCAATTTCCTGAAGGTAATTCCTTGGGACTTCAGTGATATGCTATCCTGAATTCCTGATCTTTTTCATTGTCTGGAAAAAGTTTCCTCACATACATACATCTTATAGAACAAAATGACCCAAAAAAAAAAAAAAATCTTAAAGAAAAGTAATGCTGCTCTGTGTGGCATTTGGGTGACAGGAAATTAGGAATTGAGTCCCTTTGCACATGCGCAGCTAATTTGTACAAGAAAATGGATTTCTTCTGCAGGAAGTTGAAGATGCTCAGCAGATCCGTCGGTCTGTTATTGATTCATTTGAGAAGGCAAGCTTGCCGACTTTAAGTGATGAAGAGAGGAAAAGAATTCTTCATTTTGTTGTTGTTGGTGGTGGACCAACAGGAGTGGAGTTTGCTGCAGAGCTTCATGATTTTGTCAATGAGGATTTAGTCAAACTATATCCAGCAGCCAAAGGTTCTGTACAAATAACAATTCTTGAAGCAGCAGATCATATTTTGAACATGTAAGTACCTACCTCTTGCTCATGTTGATTGATGCCTCTTTAGTCTTGTTTCTGTTATTAATTTTAGATGGAATGAATGCTAGTATTTGTTTAAATCTCATTGAGATGTCCTGCAGTTCACTTTGATCCTTAAAGATTAAGTTGATTTTGGATTTGCAAATATTTAAGAATTGTTACATTGGCAATCTAAACCAGACTTGTTGAACTGTTCAACAAATGCAGGCAAGAGTCAATATGTTAAGCTTGTCAATTAGTTTTGATTAAAGATTGTCGTTGACTTGGGATTGGAGTGCAAAAACAAAAAGAACTATGTTCAGGAATTAGCAGCTGCAGCTGCAGTGAAAAGCTTTGGGGCTCAATTAAGATGTATGCTTTTGGAGCTGGGTTTTTTTTATTTTGGTTCCCTAGACCCTGTTTCTTGCAGTCTGGATTGGCTCATAATAGACCATGAGTTGGTGAGGAAAGACTGAGATGCTACACTTGCAACTACTTAGATAGATTACATAATGCAAGTACACAGATCAATTATAGTTTGCATATAATTGCATTGATCTCATACGGGTGCATATGCTTGAAGAGTTCCGATAGATGAACTCAATACCTTTGGGGATTCTTATTTGCAGGTTTGACAAAAGAATCACAGATTTTGCAGAACATAAGTTCCATAGAGAAGGCATTGATGTGAAGCTAGGGTCAATGGTCGTGAAAGTATCTGATAAAGAAATATCTACTAAAGTGAGAGGGAATGGTGGTGAAATTACAACAATACCATATGGAATGGTTGTCTGGTCAACTGGAATTGGAACTCATCCTGTCATAAGGGATTTTATGAAGCAAATTGGTCAGGTGTGTTGCTGCCTCATAAAAACTGATTTATATGTTGTTTCAGTGTCTTCAATGTATCTTTCATGATCTCTTTTTTAAGATTTCATCCAAAACGAGCACTCTTAATTCAATTTATCAATGGAAAAACATGTGCTCGTTTGAACGCAGACTAATAGGCGTGCTTTAGCAACTGATGAATGGCTGCGAGTCGAGGGATCTAATAGCATCTATGCACTTGGTGATTGTGCGACAATTAACCAGCGCAAAGTCATGGTATTGTTCTCATTATTTTTCTGTTACATTTGAGTGCAAGGCATCACCTGTTTTGTTATTTTTCTGTTGCAATTTATTGTTCTTCTATCAAATTATTATCCATCTAATGTACTCCTCATTCTACCTAAACATTGTTCCAGTTTATTTAGACTTAAAAAAGTCCCTACCTCTCTATTTGACTCTTTAGCACATTAAGTATTTAACTTTGCTAGGGGTACATACAGAACTGCTCATACTTACAGTGAACAACAAAGTGATATCTCTTTTAAGGATTATATGCTTGAACTTCTTCTTGTCATCCGAGATCACCTTGCACATTGAAATCATATCAGTAAAGGTCTAGCTGAAAACTACATACTTATCTCTCGGTCTATATTTGTTGTTATGGCTAATGTTAATAGCTGCTAAATGAATTATCCAAGATGATTTGTGACATACACCAGAAATACAAATACTGCTGATTGATAAAAAAAGTTAACACCAAAATGATATTTGATGTCAATGTTACATCGAGAATTTAATCACCCAGTCTGTTGATTTATGTTCTTATTCTTACACTGCCATCCTTGTAGGAAGATGTTGCCGCAATATTTAAGAAGGCAGACAAGGACAATTCTGGAACCCTCACCGTAAAAGAATTTCAAGAAGTCATTGATGATATTTGTGAAAGATATCCTCAAGTGGAGCTGTATTTGAAGAACAAACAAATGCGTGACATTGCTGATCTCTTGAAGATGGCTAAAGGGGATGTTGCAAAAGAAGCAATGGAACTAAATATTGAAGAGTTTAAGAAAGCCCTTTCTGAAGTTGATTCCCAGATGAAGAACCTTCCAGCAACAGCTCAGGTCTTGTGTTGAGTTTGTGATTCTACGGTCTGTGAATTACCACTCTCTACGAAATATCTCCTTATTATCTATTTTCATGTGCCTGGCTTCAGGTTGCAGCTCAGCAAGGCACTTATCTTGCTAATTGCTTCAACCGCATGGAAGAGGCTGAAAAAAATCCTGAAGGTCCTATCAGGTTCAGGGAAGAAGGTCGCCATCGGTTCCGTCCCTTTAGGTACGTCTTAATCTTGTATAAATTTGATGTAGCAAAGACTATGTTATGGGAGCGATTTCTCCCACCTATCTCTTTACTCATGTTAAGCATCCCTCCACCATGCCTGATGCATCTTTCCCATGCATATTTCTTTCAGCGATAGCTGTTTAACTTTGACCATCTATGAATTCAAGTTACAGACCACTTGTTTAATGCCAGATTATTTTATGAATGTCTACTTGCAATTAGTTAGGATCTCAACCATTTGCTTTACAATGTATATTGTTTCAGATACAGGCACTTTGGGCAATTTGCTCCACTGGGAGGAGAACAAACAGCAGCACAGCTTCCTGGTGATTGGGTTTCCATCGGTCACAGCAGTCAGTGGCTTTGGTATTCTGTCTATGCAAGGTACTGACTCTCTCCTTGGCTTCACGCTCTCGTAGAGATTTCAAAGTGAGTAGATATATGATTACTTGTTTTTGGTTTATGTCTCGTTCAGCAAGCTAGTCAGTTGGCGCACCAGGGCGTTGGTGATAACAGATTGGACAAGGCGTTTCGTCTTTGGAAGGGATTCCAGTCGCATTTGAGCAGCTATCAGCAGGTCACAAGGATTCCATTTGGCAGAATTATCGTGCATGTTTTGTTAACACCGGTTTGGCAGTGATTAAAAATTTTGCTTTCCGATCATCTTTCATTAACCACTTCTGTCGAATAAACAAACTCAGAATTCATGGTAGTTTACCATTTATCAAATCTGGAGAGTTGAGTTGTATAATTTTCCTGCTAAAGGTCTCCATAATTACCCTACGTGGTCCACAGTTTTGGCATTAGTGAGTGCCACGTTTTGTAGCTGAAATTTAATTACTTGGAAATTGAGATTTTTTTTTTCCTGTTTTTTGGTGTACCAATCTTTAAGCTCTATTCAAAGTCTTTCTTCTTGTATGTTTCTTGTTTTGTTGTAGTTACTGCTTGCCATTTGTTTTTCCTAGCTCGTAAATATTTTTATCCAGTCCTGTGGTGAGGATTATTGAAAAGTTGAAATATAGGGAAGGTGACAAAGTATGCCAGCCATGGTCCATCAATCAGTCATCTGGGTTTTGCATATTTTGAATTTCTCAATGTCGAGCTTGATGGGTCTGAGAATTTGTTCATGCTTGTTCATGCAACTTAAGGAATGGTAATGGGATGAGGCGGATCGCCATCCCATGCCCTTTGGGATGAAATTTCGCTCTTCGTCCTCATCTCAAACGAAGCGGGGTAGGAGCAAGGTTCTCGCCAAATTACTTTTTCTAAAAGTAAAAAGATGGGACGAGGCAGGGATTGTCATCCCTATTTCTGCCTCGTGCCCTCGTTCAGAGGCAAAGTATCACGCCCTATTCCCACTCCAAGCAGGGCGAGGTGGCTTCAGGATTGGTTGGATTACCATTCCTAATGCAACTTTAGATAATTTTGAGGGCTTAGAAAATTGGTATTTAGTAAAACTTGTATTTAGTCCTTTAGAAATTAATGAAGGTTAATGATATTTTCATCAACCAAATTCCCTTTAAAATCATTAAATAGGCACAAGGTCAAATTGCTCTTGATTTTACAAATGTTTGCATACCATCAACCAGATAGTGTTTACTTGGTGATCTTTTCCAGTAATTTGATCCGTGAAAAATATAATAAAATATTAAAATCTTCGTAGGCTAGCAGATAAAAACAAAATTCAGTGGGCTCTAGCAATCAATGCAGTGGTTTTGGGCTGTGAATCTGCCATTTAAAAGCAGCTATCAAAATCTAGTCCTTTAAATTGTAATCTTGGGATTGGGCTCATCGTCTATAGCATCTTGTCAAATGATTGGATTTATTTTATGTCAATCTAGAAAATCGGGTTAGGGTTAGAGCTGCGCAGCACTAAATTTTGAAAAATTAAAGAATAAAATAGTTTTCCTTTTTTTTTTTTTCCTGGCGTTAAAAAACTTTCTTTTTTCAGTAACCACGAATAAATTTGTGGTTGGACAACTGGAGTGTGTTTGGAAGCAATTTTGAATTTGACAATGACTTAACTTTGGAACCATTGCTAGGTCGGCATTGAAGACTCTGAGCCACAGCTTTTAAATGTCTCCTTTTTCTTTCTTGTCCGAGAAGTTAGCATTTCGGGCATGAAGTGTCACTCAGCTCTCATCGAGTGGACAACCTCGAGCAAATCTAGTGGAACACGTTTAAGATTTCAATTCTAACCTAGCCGGTGTGAATGCACTTTTGCGTAGGATTTACTCAAATTTCTGTGTTTCAAAAGAAAAATTGAAACTAGTGGAAGAAATAATTAATGCCTACTCTTCCTAATAGTGATTTGTGAGGATCGATTATTTTCTTTTCTAGCGGTCAGGACCGAAAGCGGTGAAAAATACTGTTTTGTCAATGGTTTTTGTTCTAAGCAATAAAAGCATTAAACGTTTAGCCGCATATCATTGTGCTCGGAATTTTCTACTTTGCCTTTCCTAATTCTCTGTAGACTGAAAAGATTAGAGGCAACTTCAAACAGTGTCTATCTAGTCAGGAGCATAACTAAAATTTTAGAAGTGGAAGGGCTAGAATGGCTAGTATGGAATTGTATCGAGAATAAAAGTAATAGTTGATCATAGAATAGTAAGTGATTTTTTGAGAGTGAGTATATATTCTACGTGAAAACTTTTTTGAAAAATTAGGGTTGAAAAGATAAAGTTCTCTAAGTTGGAGCTGTTATAGCCCCCCATGCATCTACATACTTTTGTCCTTCCCTTTAATCCTCTTCGGCACTTAGATCAGCATGTTTCTTTCTTGATGTTTCTCCTCAATACATCTCGTCTTATAAAAAGTGATTTTTTGAGAGCGCAAGTAGTGGTTTCAAAGAGCTCTTAAGATATAAGTAAAAATCACAATTTATATACAAAAAAATTTGTAATATCAGAGGCACAAATCATAATAATATAATATTGATATAAGGTACTTTGGCATATTTTTTTATTTATCGGAGGCCCAATAAATTTATTGGACGTACACAATGAGAATAATCCTCTTATTACATAATTATTAAAAAAACTGAAGTCACAAATACTCGAATCTTACTTCATTAAAAATATTAATTAAATAATTGTTAGATTAAGTCTATTTGATGTAATACTTTGATAAATTTACATTAATAGATTTATTGATATGATAATCAAGAAGTCAATATATGGACCGTCATATCAATAAATATATTAACTTATTAATAGTCGTAACGTGAAACTACTAATTAACCTAATAAGAAGTGTTAATGGTTCCGATATGTATTAATGTATTTCGTGTTAAAATTGTTGAATTGTAAAATCATTTGTTGGGGGCAAAAAAGAATATATTATATCTAATGTTTTCATATTTTAGAAACTATAGTTATAGATAGATATGTAAAATATTGAAATTGTAAACTTTAGCGTCATTAATCACTGTATAGCTTGGAAATCATTTAGCAAGAGATCTACAGGTCCCCTACCCTCAAGCAATGGTGACTTGCATTTCTGCACAATCTCTCTCTTCTTTTTCCAGGAGTGTTTTTGGCACACCTTTCGTGGTTTAGGTTGTCCCAAGAAAGTTCAAAGAGTGATGGAGCAACTTCTGAACAAGAAGCCAAAAAACATGTCTCGCACAAAATTACATCACCATTTTGTTTCTTATGCAAAAAATCAGCATCTGTGTAAAACCTCCGACCCCTACCTCCATGGCATCTGATCAAAGACCTAGAAGCAATTGGGCAAAACTGTGGCATACGCAATCAAAGTTTAAAATTCGTTACATTATCATTATCGTCAGTTATTAAAGAGAAATTAAAAGCTCAGTGTCTGAAGAACTAAATTATCTAACAAGTTGGACCCATTTTAGCGTACAGCTCAACTGCCAAGTGTAAAACTCCCAACTGGTTCTCTTGTATTACTGTAATAGACAAGATACACACATTGGACAAAGATGTGGACATTGAAAAAAAGACATGGTTGGTCGAACATGGGATTCTTAATCTCAGGGAGACAGAAAGGGTAGGGGTCTATTCTATAACTAGAAGATAAGTATAGACCTTTGTTTTTTAAAGGAGGTAGGAACAGAATCATCTTTATCTTTAATGGCGCATAGGTTTTCTAGCTCGAGAGAAGACCTTGGTTGACAGGACTAGCCTATCATCTCATCTTTTGTCCTGTGGAATGGAAGCTGATGAGGATAAGGTAGAGAGCTTGTTTTGAGTCAAGATTGATTCCATTGCTTGATGAATTATGAGTTAAATCAACGTAACCCCCAACTTTCTTTTATTTTCTTTTCTCGATCAACCAAAAAACACAATTTAATCCTCACTTATAGCTATGAGAATGGGAAATTCTCTTGATCCGACAATAATGGACATGGAAAGAGAAAAGAAACAATTTCATTTCATGTAGATCAAGGTCTTCACCTCATATCCGATAAATTAACAACTAATTGACAAATATTTCCCTTTGGAATATATATATTTTGCTTGAAGTCAGCACAACCTAAATTAGACACAATCATATGAGGAGTTTGGTCCAAGTAGCTCCTTCCTTAGCTGAACCCCAAAAATATTTTGGTTCTGTTGCAATCACAACCTCCTCCAAATTGACTCAAAGAGAAACCCTTAAAGTGGCTATGAGTTATGATTCGCTTTTTGAGAGAATATATTAGTAGAAAGTTAATGGGTCATCTCATGGGTGTACAAAAAGGCAATTAAGTTAATGACACTTTGTTATGATTCCTAAAATATATGCAAATGACTTTTCAAGAGTTAGCGATGGTGCAAAGCACATGCATCCCAAGAAATTAAGGGGTGGTGGCAAATGGCAATAAATGTTTAAAGACTCAGAAGCACCAATTAGATTGGGTTAGAGCATGATCAACGCCAGAATTATTTCAGCACTTTCCATTTTAAATTGCAGATTAAGGCCAAAATACAAGTTGGAAGCTTGTGTTTTCGATAACCTAACCCACCACTACTTTTGTATTATAATATATTAATTCCTGAATCACCATCACCATACCCACCTTGAATGGGAGCCCACTAATCAGGGAAATGGGCATTAGGGCCCACAAAGCTCTCCTCACATGAGCACACAGTTGATATGCCACTGTTGCATTCATTAGAAGTACTGTGCCCTAATAATTTTATTCAAAAAATGACGTGGAAGCTTCACCTCTGCTAGTTCGGTGACCCACAGCACGGGCCACTTTTTGTGAAAGGTTGGTAAAAAAGGATATGCATTAATGTTAATTCATGGTATACGTCCATTTTATGATTGGACTCAACTCTATAATGCTCTTTTTATTTGTTTGGATCTCAGAATTATTAAAGGTTTCATAGCTAATAGTCGCTATCCCAGTTGCAACCCTACGACTGAAGGCATTCATTCCATGAGCCACGAAGACGAAGGAAAGTGGTCGAGTCGCCGCTCTCAAGGCATTCCAAAATTATCACAGAGCATCATGTGTCCATTGGAACATATAAATTAATTCAAAATATTTTTAATTATTTTTTAGATATTTTAATTTATATTAGAAATAAAATTAATCATGTTTAGAATAAAAATAATAAAATTTATTATTTATTATAAATATAATTTTAGAAAACTATACAATTCATGTGAAAATCAACTTGTTTATTTATAGGACAATAATTTTTAGATATTTTTTTATTGTTTTTTTACAGTCTTATCAGCGAAACAGATTCGAGTAACCATGATTTTAATTCTTTTCTACTAATAAAATAACAAAAAAGAAAAAAAAAAACATTATTTCTTCCTACATCTCCGTGTCTCTTTCGTCCTCAGGCGCACGAACTGATGGCATTTAACAGGCTTGAAGGTCAACCATTGGCGCTCGCTTCAGAACTAAGACAATATTCTTTTGTAGTTCCAAGGTTTGCAAGAGATTAAGAACTAAATAAATTTAAATTACCCAAAAAATTTGGACAGAATAGCTCGATACAAAAACAGGAGGGCCACGTGTCTCCAGCTAAACTGAGTGAGAGACTGAGTTGCCAGCTGTTTCTTAGCAGAATAAGCTGTTTTTATTCATTTTGAAATAATATACTTAACAGTAAGATATAATGTCATTAAGATATTAATTATTTCATGATTATTATTATTTTTTTATCCCGTATCTTCGTTATATATTAGAAATAAGGTTAATATTTTTTGAAACAAAAATTATAAAATTTAATTCTTCTTAATAAATACAATTTTGGTATTCAAATCTATGCATTAATAGAAAATAACAACTTGTTGGTTATTCCATGATTATCTTTAATTATAGAGATTCGAGAAGATTAGCTGTTAAGATAGATGCTCTAATTTCTTTGCTCGTGTTGTGCCACAAAAAACGTGGACTCGTGCGGTTTAGGAGGGCATCACGTGATCTCCCACATGACTGTGTTTTGTGTCAGATTAATCTTAAACTGCAGTGCTTAATTAAGGGTTTGATAACCTCACTAATTAAATGTCCATGACCAACATAATTAGCTTTTCAACCCAAAGACGTACAGAATCATTAAAATTCAAATTTATTTATTTGTGAATCCTCCTAATTGAGGTTCAACTGATTTGTCCTTTACTCAACTAATATCATAATTTATTTTATTGCTATATTTTTTTTGTTTTATAATCTTAACGTATTTTTATATTAGTTTTTGGGTATTAAAATTAAAAATAACGAGTGTATTATTTATGGGATAGCTTGAAGTTTGAATTGTGATGTCCGTCGTGCTAATCATCTCAACTTTCTTTCTCGATTTTAGCTATTAGGAACATGAAATTAATTAACCCAAATTATGGTGTTGAATTTGCTTATCATGGATGTTAATTTCCATGATCACACCATAACTACAGATTGAAAAAAAAAAAAAAGATTTTAAAGCCATTTCAGACATGCACATGGGCATCATGGTCAGAAAATGACTGCAATCAGTTGTTGGATGCTCTAATCAGATCGTGATCCGATTATTTGACCTTTCCATCTTCACATTGGGCCAATCATGAATCAAAGAGATAGGGTCACATCTGTACATTCACTATCAAAACTATAAGCCCATTATTTTCTTCCATATTACAGAACTACCTGGACCCTTAGCATGCAAAAAATCGTCACCGTATTCTAGGTGGTTCTTCCGTGCTTCTACACTGACAAAAGCGAAGCTTTTCACGTGGCAGCATCTGCTTCTCTCTTTTTCCGCTGACTGAGATAGTGAGCTCTTTTACCGGTGATTTTGTACAAAGTGAGAGCTGACAAGACTAGTGGCACTGAGGTGAATAAACTCAAGTACAGACCCAATTTGTGGGATCCTCTTTCGTACTCCTAGTTTCATCATAGGTAACGGAATATAACTGCAAGACATAACACTTCCTCCTACTTAAAATGACAAAAATACCCACGTGATTCATACGCTGAACGCGGGCAATTTTGTCATTGGATAACTGGGATGTGGATTTCCAAGAAAAGCGATAGGTCAGAGAAATCATTAATGGCAGCGAGATGGAGATGTCATGTTTTTTTGAGATTTGATTAGGTTGTTCTTTTGATCTCAAAAGGGTTTCTTATTTTAATGTGAAAAAATTGAATTTCGTGTAGAAAATTACTGCTTTTTTTAATGGGAAAATTTCAGCATCTATCTCCACCACCAAATCATCTTCTGGTAATCCTATATTATTATTATTATTATTATTAGAATTGGCTAGTAGCTAGAAGAGGGGCAAAAGTGTGAATAAAAAGAACCTTAGTCAAAACGAGAATTCCTCGAATGATTAGATGCATGACATGAGGCAGTAAAAAAGTAGCCCCCCTACAGTCCAACGGTCTCCAACCAGTCAAGAGTAAAAAAGGCCAAAACTATTTTTACCATTTGCAGTAGCTCTAAAAGCCTGAGTAAATTATAAATTAGTCCCTTTAGTTTTAAGAAACAGATCAATTAGTCTTTTTTAAATTATTATTTAATTTTTTAATCAGTATTGAATATGCTTAATTTATATTATTTCTATTCCATAAAATCTCTTATTTTACCACAAATAGTTTCATATTTATTTCTTTTTTATTTTTTGAAAAAAATAAAATAAATTAAAAAGGAGCAAAAAAGGCTAAACTATAAATAGATTTCAAAATATAGGGATTAAATAATATTTTTTGAAACAAGAGGGACTAATTTATAATTTACTCCTACAAGCCTCTGCCGAAATAATTACTCCTTATCCGAAAGTGGGTTAAAGCTTTTATGGGCCCATTTATTTTCCATTTTGTACTAATTTTCTTTCTGTATTTTTATTTAATTTAATTTATTTTCCATTTGTTTTCGATCACCCAATTAGTCACGTACTCAAGAACAAGATGATATTACATGTCAAATCATAACAGTATATACACAAAATCCAATATACGTAAAAACAATTAGTTAAATTTTTATTTACTTTTATTCTCCTCCTATCTCCACCACCAAATCACCATCTTCTATCTCCTTAGCTGCTGCTTCAACCACCCATAACCCTATCAAACTCTCCACCATTGACAACAGTTGCTGCCACAAGCAACAGCGGCCACCTTTCAATGCATCAACAACAACCACGAACAAAATCCATAATTTAGATCCAAAATTAAAGAAATTTACAAAGTCCAAAAGTTAAGAAAGTTTAAGGTAGATAATCCAATCTCTTCTTATTTATTACTTTTAAGTTTTATGTATATTATTATATTTTTAATTACATCCTTTTGTTTTTAAATTTTTTTAAAGTATTCAATTTATTTTTTATTAATTTTTATAACAATGGATAAGTTTTTTTTACCAATATATATATATATATATATATATATATATATATATATATATAACATTTCAAGTTATATATGATCTGCATGTTTTATTTTTGAAATATTTATTTTTTATTTTTTTACATTTTACTTAGGAATATTTTGATTAAAAAAATCATGATTAGAAAAATTAATAAAAAAATATTAAATATTTTAAAACTGATGGATGTAATAAAAATTTTAAAAATAATAAGAGATTAATGATATTATATAAATATAAATTAAGCAATTTATCTTATCTGAAAATTTACAATAACTCATCGGACACAAGCATACAAACAAAATCCAAAACTCAGATTCAAAATTAGCTCCGAACAAAGTTTAATTCAAGAAATTTCAAAGAATCCGAATGCTATACAATGGAATTGATAGTGATAGACCAGGGAACGGTGATTTTTGACAGGTTGTTCGTGAGCTAGGGAGTGGCGGCTGGCATAGCAATTTAATAATGGAGAAAGAAGCAGCAATTTAATAATAATAATAATAATAATAACTAATTTTGGAGCCTTTTTGACCCATTAATTAATTTAACAGTTAGTTTTATTATTCAAGATCGAGTACATTTAAAATCCATATTATAGATATACAATTAATATAGAAAATCAGAAATAGAGCATTATGGTCTTTCTACGGTGACTTGCTGTAGTTTTAATTTATCAGTTGTGGTAATTACAAATCTGGCCGTGATTATTAAAATATTTGATAAAAGGATGGTGCTTAATTCACAATAAAAAATATTTTTTTATTTTTTTAAAAATAATTATTATCATGTCATTATCAATGAAAAAGATATCTCCAATTAAAATGTAATTAACATGCACGAAGAAAAAATATTGTTCATGTTAATAAAATCAAGTAGCGAGAAAATATATTAGTTATTTTAATAAAATCAAAATTATTTGTGAATTTGAAAATACGAGAAACGTAAAAACTTGATTTTATGAATTTATGTTTTTCAAATGAAAAAATTATAAAAATAAAAAATAAAGAAACAAAGAAAATGCTCTTTGTTTGAGTAAGCTAAAAGTTGGTGGGAGAATATTTAAAATAAATCTCAGAAATAATAATAATAATAATAATAATCAGTATTTAGTAATTAATAACTATTATAATATTTTCTCTCTCTCCAATAATAAATTCTTTAAAATTATTCCTTTATTTTATTTATCTCCTATCTGTACGAGTATGCTTTTCCTATTATATTACACCCCACCTCTCTGTTTTCTTTCTTGTTTGGCCTTTCAACCTCCCATAACCAAACAAAGAGGGAAGAAGGAACCAACCAGAGAGTGATTCCAAAATCTCCAATTATTTCTCTCTCTCATTCTTTTTCCAATCTACAACTTCTTCATCACTGCATTTCGCTTAAGATTTTGCTGAAGAAATCGTTTTCTTTTTATCATCTCCATCTTTCAAATCTCAAAATGGGTCCGCAGAAATTTTTTCACGAGTAAAAACACCCTATTTTTCTTTGTTTTCATCTCCATTTTTCAAATTTCAAAATGGGCTTCGCTGAAGATAATTTATAGTTTCATCTTGAGCATGAAAAATCTTTCACCATCCTAAAAACTGAGACTGAGTTCTGAGTTTTTAATTTGATGGGTCCGAATCCAAAGATGAAAAAGGAATTTCTTGACTCAACAAGATCATCGCCATTTCCAGATGAAGTACTGGAACGAGTTCTTTCTCTCTTGAAATCACACAAGGATCGTAGCGCAGTTTCTTTAGTGTGCAAGGATTGGTACAACGCGGAGAGCTGGTCAAGAACTAATGTTTTTATAGGAAACTGCTATTCAGTCTCTCCTGAAATTGTTGCACGTAGATTTCCAAGAATTAAGGGTGTTACTCTTAAAGGGAAGCCAAGATTTTCTGATTTTAATCTGGTGCCTGAAAATTGGGGAGCTGATGTTCATCCTTGGCTTGTAGTTTTTGCAACAAAGTATCCGTTTTTGGAAGAGTTAAGGCTTAAGAGAATGGCTGTTAGTGATGAAAGTTTAGAGTTTTTGGCTGTTAACTTTCCTAATTTTAAGGTTCTTTCTCTTTTGAGTTGTGATGGGTTTAGCACTGATGGGCTTGCTGCTATTGCCACTCATTGCAAGTAAGGATTTTTTTAGTTGCTTGCATTGCTTGTTTGTCATAATATTTTGGGTTTTTATTGTCTTAATGTTTCTTGTTTTGGGTTAGATCTAATACAAGTTGTCAGTGATTGATTCAGTTTTAGAGAAAGTACTGAACTTTTTGTGGTTTTTGATATAAACTGGCTGGTTTCTGGTTTATGCTTGTGGATGTATGTTTGCAGAGATTAAACTGTAACAGAAGTGGTTCCACTGTTGTTTGTTTACTTTCTTTTTCTAATTTATGGTTTCTTTTTCTTGATGTGACTTTTGACCTGTTAGTGATGATTTAATGGATCATGGCATGTAATTGATGTCATTTTCCGCAAAAAAATATCTTTTTTTAATTATATTTGGAAAATGTAACTTTTTTAAAATCGTAAATATTGTTGGGTCAATTATTTCAAGGATGACAGTCTCGCTAACTGGTGGGTTTTATAAATAGATACAATTATTTAGAGGTGTTCTGAGATGGGTGCCCGCTAGGTTAGCTGGTAAAGTTATAGTTGCTGTAACAAACTCAATTTTTTACCACAATTAACACCGAGTGATGCATGTAAGGTTTCTTGAGTCTCATACTGGTTTTGCTGTCAATGACTTCTTTATATTTCCTTGAAACCTTAATAGATCTAATGATTTATCAGAAATATACTGGGGAAGCTGTAAGGCAAATGTATCTGTCTTTGGATGGGAAGAATTTACCTGAAAAGTAGAGTTAATGTAAAAACAAGTGGTTCAACCTTTTCATTTCTTTTGTTCTGTGCTTTATTTCTCTCTTTTTGATGTGACATTATACCTGTTAGCTGTGCATTTAATTGATATCATAATAGTGTTGTCAACTTGTCATACAGCCGCGCAAATGCACTTTTGTGTTGGGTTGTTGGTTTAGACAGCGATGACCATGGAAAATGCTGAATGGTTTTCAAGATACTTCAATGTTTTCTGGATGGTAGTAATACATCACCCATCTTTGGTTAGCCATCTTCTAGTAAAATTATTATGTTCTGTCAATTTATACTTGGGCTTGAGATGCCTTGTGTATTAGAAAGAAGGGGGAGAATGAATGAAAAGGCTGTGTCCAGAATATTGGCATAAAAGAATTTTTTGATTTTATGCAACTGTGGATTTTGTGGGTTTCGTTCATTGAACCATGAGTGCTATTGATTCTTGCGATCTGTGAGGATTCAAGCTTGTTATTTGATTGATGGTGCTCCTTGATGGGGTTTCCTTCGTGACAATCATGTCAAAAGAGTCCAGTGAAGATGTTCCTTTGTTTTGCTGGAAACTTGGCTTTAACTTGAGAAATGAAGAATCTAGTGATGTTGATTGTAGCAAAGATTGAAATTCCTAAAAAATACTTCACTATGACATATGTAATCATGCCCCCTGCTTTTGTAGTGAGAACTTGATTTGACTCGCACATTACATGTTATGTATTCTTTTTTGCGTATCACTCTGCTGTTTCACATAATTTATTAGTTGACTATCAGGTCTTTCTGCAATTATTATCCTGCTACATGTTCAATTTAGTTTACTGTAAGATGAGACCTTCTCTTGTACTCATGGGTAAAAACGGTTGTGTATGATGGGAAAAAAAAAGTTGTTTTGCTTTACGTGAAGCTGCTATTTTCTTTCCTTTTGTTCATGTTTCTGAGCTTTCTTTCGCTGGTTTATAAACCCTTAATGTCATGATTTATGAATTCTGTTGTGCTTTATGGACATTTATGAGTTTTCTATATTGATTTTCACTTGCACAATAAAACTTCTCACTTTTTTCTGGTTGCAGGAGTTTGACTCAGCTTGACATACAAGAGAATGGCATCGATGACAAGAGTGGTAGCTGGTTAAGCTGCTTCCCTGAAAACTTCTCATCATTGGAAGTGCTAAACTTTGCCAACCTGAATACTGATATCAATTTTGATGCACTTGAGAGACTTGTAAATAGGTGCAAGTCACTCAAGGTTCTGAAGGTCAACAAAAGTATTTCCTTGGAACACCTACAAAGGCTGCTAGTTGTTGCTCCACAATTAACAGAGCTTGGTACTGGTTCATTCACACCAGAGCTTACAGCTCGCCAATATGCTGAGCTTGAAAGTGCATTTAACCAGTGCAAGAATTTAAATACCCTCTCTGGTTTATGGGAGGCAACAGCACTATATTTACCAGTTCTCTACCCTGCCTGTTCAAACTTGACGTTCTTAAACTTGAGCTATGCTTTTCTGCAAAGTCTTGAACTTGCTAGTCTTCTTCGTCAGTGTCCACATCTTCGACGCCTCTGGGTATGAATCTTTGTTTTTAATCTTTTTCATTAATTTCATTCTTGGAAACCAACTTATTAAATTTTACATTAATGATTTAAATCATCTTCACTTCTAAGTTTGTCATGGCGAAAAGCCTTAGATTTCTGACTTTATTGGTCAATCCTACTGAGAGATATATTTTCTCCAGTTAATAAAACAACTGATATATTTTGCCTCATTTTGCACAATGGATATTGTCAGGCTCTCAACCTTTTTTCTCTGGTATTGTGGCAGTTAATTCTCGTGGAGTTGATTCATCTTGATGCTCCTTTTGTTTCAAACGTGTTGTGTGTTGTAAAACTTCTGATTTTGTATTTTTCCTTTGTACTTGTTGCTAGTTATAGTGAAACGTTATATACATCAAGTTGAATATTCTCACATTTACCATGTGCTTTAATAATGACTGTATATGCATGGAGAGTTGTGTTCCTTGCATTAACATGGCAGAGACCTTGATCTTTGGGTATCGTCTATGCAAGATAGATTATTTACAAATTTTTGATATTCAGAGAGAAAAAACAAATGTGTCTGTGCATGAGTTTTCATCCTTTTGTTTTAATTAATTCATAGAGCTGCTAAGGCAATTATGTAATTAAGTGATGGTAGGATCTGATCCCCACAAATAAATAGTATATAGAGTCTAAACCTAGGATTTTGGTGACGAGAGATGAATCTTTAAATGGTTGAAGGTCTGAGTGCTACATTTCAAATCGTCAACTACCCCTTCATCTGTAGCCCAGAGCCCTCAAGAACACAGACAAAATAAAAGGGGAAAAAAAGAAGAAGCTTAACTGTTCATTGCAGTTAATCACACCAAAGATCAAATCCTAGTCTTTAGATAATTAACTGCTTGGAGCTTTAATAACATCATTAATGCAGGTCCTGGACACCGTGGGGGACAAAGGGCTGGAGGCTGTTGGATCCAACTGTCCATTGCTTGAGGAGCTCCGTGTCTTCCCCGCTGATCCCTTTGATGAGGAAATTATCCATGGGGTGACTGAAGCAGGGTTTGTTGCTGTGTCTTATGGATGTCGGAGACTCCACTATGTTCTCTACTTTTGCCGGCAGATGACTAATGCTGCAGTAGCAACCATTGTTCAGAACTGCCCTGATTTCACCCACTTTCGTCTTTGCATAATGAATCCAGGCCAACCGGATTACTTGACAAATGAACCTATGGACGAGGCTTTTGGGGCAGTGGTGAGGACTTGCACTAAACTACAGAGGCTTTCTGTTTCAGGTCGCTTGACTGACCTGACATTTGAGTATATTGGGCAGTATGCCAAAAATCTGGAAACTCTGTCTGTGGCTTTTGCTGGCAGGAGTGATAGGGGGATGCAATGTGTGCTGGAAGGTTGTCCAAAGTTGAGGAAACTCGAGATAAGGGACTGCCCATTTGGAAATGCAGCTCTTCTTTCAGGTTTGGAGAAGTATGAGTCAATGAGATCACTTTGGATGTCAGCCTGCAATGTAACAATGAATGGCTGTCAGTCATTGGCAAGGCAGATGCCCAGATTGAATGTGGAAGTAATGAAAGAGGATGGAAGTGATGACTTTCAGGCTGATAAAGTTTATGTTTACCGTTCTGTTGCGGGGCCAAGAAGAGATGCCCCACCTTGTGTACTCACTCTCTCAGGTTTATAGAATATGCAGGTGGTCCTCTCTCTCTCTCTCTCTCTCACACACACACACACACACACACACACACATACACACACACACACACACACACACACGGGTGTGAACACATGCTGAGTGACACACCAAGGAATTCAATTACATGGTGTGTTGGTGGCATGGTTGTCTACTGATGCCTCTCTTTCAGAAGTAGTGGAGGTCTCTTTTGATGGCCCTTTTTGCACTTTGGTCAGAAAGAACGAATGTCTTTCTCCTGTATCTGGTTGAGTGAAACTATCGACTTGGAAATTGTTATTCAATTCTTTTACTTATGTAGTATGGTTATGTATGTTTGTAAAAACATTTTCCACCCAGATTAATGATCCTGTTTGGTAGGCTCACAGGGGCACCTGGTGTTAGATTTCTTTCATTCTTCTTCTATTTATTTATGAGGGTTTTGAAGAGTTTGTGCGTTCTCGAGGTTCTGCTGTGTTAATATTCTCACTCTGCTTTTCTTTATCATCACAGGATCTCATTTAAAATAACAAGACAAGCCACAGCATGCAGGGATTAGGATGCAGTTCATACAACTGAATGATGTGGATGGTTAAAAGGAAGAAAGATGGACCACGTGAAACTTGAATTCGTTCTTCTACTACTGTTTCTCTTATTGACACAGCAAATGGTGAAATATGGAAGCTAAATATACCACATACAAAGCTTATGCATCAACAATCTCCAGGGTTGGATGCAGTTTCTCTCTATCTTCTACTTGATTTCCCAAACCCTTGAAAAGCAAGATTGCTAGGTTTCCTATGCTGAAGTGGATGAAGCAGCCACGATAATGGGTCACAAACGAACCAAAATCCATCCCTACAATGCATTGCCATCCTGGTCCATGCACCCTGTCAAAGTCCTGCAAAACCAAGAAGCAGCGACACGCACCACGTGTTCAGATCTGCTTTCTTCAATTATTCAATTCCCAATATCATCTAGATACGTTCCAGGAGGTTACCTTCTTTATGAAGCAGGCAATATCAGTAGACTCGGTGACGTCAAAGGTATCAAGGGCCTTTGCAGCCAAGTGAAGTGCATCCTGCTGCATGGTTTGAAGCATGTCAGTCTCACCAACTATGGCTTTGCCTTCTAACATGGTTGAAGGATGCTTTGTTACTGGGGATGGAGAAGAGTTGAAAAGAGAGAGCGGTGGTGTTAGAGGTATGGCTTCCCTGGGGATTATATAGACCTGTGAACAAAGGATTGGCCAGTGGGTGCTGGTGATTAGTCCTACGATGTGTTGGGGGGTTGCATCAACTGGCGCAATAGAAGAATGCCAGGTATTGCAGACATAGTCTACTGGGGCCTATATGCTTTCAGTTCACCTGATGCATTTGCAAGTTCGGTGGTTTGATCTGGGACAAATTCTGATCAATGGCTTATGGTATGCCTAGTGTGGAAGGAGATATTTTTTCTAGGTCCACATTATCTTTGAGATGTTTTGGATGTTTGTGGTTGTATGACTGGTATTTTGCCATGAATTTCCTGGAGAATGTTGAAAGATTAATAATTTCTTGTCCTTTTGCTCCTATATCTACACCATTCCTTACTTTTCAAATGATTCCGAATATCTTTTCGAGAGCTGAGGTGTATCCATTTGCATTAACTGATAGCTATACTTTCCTATGAATTTGGAGTCTTGACTTGCTTAACGGGGTGCCTTTCCGTGCCAAACTTATTTTCCATTCCTTGCTCCACAGGTTCTTGTTTTGGGCAGACAGAAATGCCTACTATGCCTTCAACCATTGGATTTGCTTTTGTATTTGAAGAATTTGGTGTATCAGATCGGCAAGACCCTAAAACAAAGGCATTCTGAACTCACCCCATAGTTACATGCCCCTGTAAAAGCTGCCTTCTTCCATGCTTATCAATTATAGGCTTTGGTGCTTACGTTATAGTCTATCGCTCAACGCTCATGCTATCATTTTCCCCTACCATCCCCTATCTCATCTGGAGCTGAAGAAACAAAGCATCGTTTTGAAGAATCTGCACGAGGAATCTGCTTAACATTCATTAGGGGAAGAAGTTGGAAATCTATAAGATAAATTCTACAAATAATGCTAGCATTTTTTAAAAAAAAGAAAAAGAAAAGAAAAAAACAGCTGACGCTTTGTACCGGCATAAATCTGATGGAAGATAGCTTATGTGATAAATATCATATTTCAAATATGTGGTAAATGAGTTGTTCTACATCACTCCTGGCTTGACTAAGAATCATGCTAAACCTGCAAGTACAGAAGAACTCAAAAGTAGTCGCCTTTGCCTAGTTCCTATGTCCCAAAATTTGGTTTCCAAGTTCCTATGTCCAAATTTCAAGCCTGAAACTGGGTTTTGAAGTGGCTATGGATTTAAGGGCTTCCTTCGTTTAGGCTGGACCTGACTAAGATGGGCTAGAATTAGCAGGCCAGACCAGATAGCATTTCCTTTGCTTTTCTGGCGCATCTTCTCATTGGGATGGTAAAAACTTAGAACACCGTTTGTCACGGACCCCTAATGACTTCACAGCTGTACCCTACCCACTATTTATTTAGCACCCAATTGTCTTTAAAGCTATTGCCTTGAGGAACCCATCACTTTGATCACTGTGAATTCACAGGTTTCGTCGTGGGACTTTCAAGGAAAAGTCATCATGATCGTTTGCATTTTGGAGTTACTTCTAAGATTTCCACTCCTATAAAAAGAGAACTGCTTACTTTTTAGTTTTTACCATCCAATGATTCATCATTTAGATTCAGGCGTCAATAAATTTTCCTATTGGCGGTCTCTCTGGGGTCCAGTCACCTAGTTTCTGTGACCTATGGCCTACCATAATGGATCTTCCCACATAAGGGAGAGTCCAATTTCATTCCACTCCTAGAAGATTTTGGCTTGTTCTCTATTTGTCCTTGATTTGGATTGGAGCTCAATTGAGGAGGAACATTTGATTCACCCTCCTTAATCAATTAAGTTGCACAGCATGTTAATTGTTGTTTAGTGTATTTGATTTAGAAGTTTCGATTCAGTTTTCATTAAAAAATGCTTGTCAACAACATTTACAAATGCATATTTTACCAATTTTTAGATAATTTAGTTAAAAATTCATATTCATATCTTTTATGATAGTTCAGATAACCTAACTAATGGATAGGGATTGGTTTCATTAGAGATTTATGTGTGACTTTGTTAGATTTAAAATTAATTCAAGAGTTATGTGACTTAATTGTTCTTTTTTTTTCAAATTTGGTTTTAAACCAAGTAATGCAACTTGTGAGCTACCACAAAAGGGTAGCCTGGCTTCTCAACAAATTAAAATTTGATCATGCTGTATTTAATTAGAATCTCGTACTCATATTGACTCTCTTATGAAACTCCATTCATCCACTCTTGGTAAGCTGTCTCATTCAAATAAAAACCTAATGATAACCATATCAGTCTTTAGGCCAAGATTCATTTCCATGCTCGATGCCTTGAGGACACATCATTTTCTTGCTGGGTAAGTTGTAAAAAGCAAGCCACTCCATCATTTTTTTCATAATTGATAGCAAAGATAGTGAAAGCTGATTGAGCTCTGAAATGTTCATCCTTACAAAACAGATTTGCAGGCCACAAACTTAGCAAAACCTCAAGCTTTTTGCAGTATGAAACAATGGTTGATTTGTGTGGGAAAATGAGAAAGTGTTGAGCTGAAAAATTGAAACTTTAGCCTCTTTGGTCACGCACGATATGTCCATGAAAACTTGTTGAAGCTGGTGATTTGCTGAGATTAACCCCATTGAATATGGTAAGCTTGCCTTGACATTGACTTGTATTATTCTTACAATATAAAAAGAAAAAAAAAAAAAAAAGGAAAAAGAAAAGGACTTGGTGTTATTCTTATTCAATGGCATTGGCTTGAGTGACTAGTTAGCTAATAAACCACATGACCACTAGATATTTTAAAGAGTTGGCTCCACCTCATTGTACTGCTTAAAATTTTGTAGTCAAATAGAAGTGGTCCAAAGAAAAGATTAGGACTATATTATTCTGGGAAGGTCATTTTCAGTACTGTTAAGAATACTATTAAAGGCTTAATTTTTTATTTTTGTTTTTTTTATATATATCTATCATAGTGAGATCAATCATGTTCGAAACTGAAAGCGATAACGTCTAATTATTTTTAACAATTACAATTTCAAAATTCGAATCATATATATTAATAAAAAATTCGACTGGAGATCAACTCGTTTATCATCGAACTAATAATTTATCGGTGTTAAAGGCTTAATATAGTATATCACATCAAAGTCTAAATTCAAGATTTTCAAATCTGAATATTAATATAGTTTAGCTTACCTCTCTTTACAGGCAACCAAGAAGCTTAAGCAATGCTTTATACATTGTATCCTCCTTAATTAGAGGAATTTGTCTCTAAAATGTCCTGTTTGATTGGCATAAACTTTGAGAGATTAATTTAAAATATTCGAATTGCATTACACTTCCATGTCACACAGTTTGAATATAGTGAACATATAGCTTAATAGGTATGGGGACACCAAATCAATATATCCCCATCAAGCAATCTTTAATCCATTACTTGGGTCATTTTGCTTCTTATCACTAGCATAGATGAACATGAAAAGAAAATTGATGCGTGTATCTTTCTCTTCAAAGCCAAGGTATATTTTAGCTATGCTATTTTGTCTTGAATTTCACTTCTTTTCTACTCCAAGTTGTGTCTAAAGATAACAATCTTCGCTTTTGCACACAAATCCCATTTGTACCTAACATAGCAATAGTGCATTAATCAACCAAAGCACCGTTGCTTTCAGGGCTCATGCTAGCTAGGCGACACAACAGCCCTATTATGCCCAACAATAAATTATTCTATCTTCGTCCAACCAACCAAAAAAAAAAATGAGCATTACTTGTCATGATCGTCCTATGATCTGTTTGACTTCTCAGAAACTTTAAGCCACTTGAACCTGATAAGTAGGAGTGTAAATACAGAATATTAATGTAAATACTGTACGTAAAGAACCAACTATAATGAGAATGGTAAGTATGTGAAGAGTAATTTGGTGTCATGGGGTCCCTGAAAAATGGAATTTTGGCCATGTGCAGGTCAAATTATTCTGTGAAATTGATGAAGGCAACGAACTTTTTCTGATGGAGTCACTCAGCCAGCACATTGGCCTACATACAGAAAGTTCAATTCTGAAGGCAACCAAGAAAGGATTAGGCCTTAGGGCCTTCTTCCCCACATGTAAAAACCTTTTTTTCAGAGTGATTATTAAAGCTAAATCACAAGCACGTTAGCAAAAATTAAACCAATCCGTTCAAAACAATATTCCCCATAAATATATCATAATGATTTTGAAAAGTTAAAGTAAGCTAATGGATCCGTGACAAGCAGAAAAAATGGATAATTTTGTCACGCATTGAGACAAAATTAGCACGACCTTAGACACCTTATCATATCATGGGTCATTTATTTTTATTGCATCCCATTTGTCATCTTCCTGGCTTTTTAATATGCTTGATCCTCTTTGTATCCTTAGAACAATTCCCATAAATTCCTCTAAAGCTTATCCCTCAAGTTAATTTACATAAAGGGCAATATCCTTTGCGTTTTCTTTAGCAATATTGTTTTGGACTAGAGTAGCTTTTGGCCTTTTTCTTTAGCTCTTCTCTCACTATCTATCCCTCACACAAAAGATTAGAAAAGAGATCCTATATCGCACCTTTCTCTCAATGGATGTATTAATTTGTAGGTTCATCTCCACTTCCTATTGGAAAGGTGACTGCTTGCTCAAGGCATCCAACGTACGGCTTCACATGGTGGGGTGGGGTTTTTGTCATCTCCATGCTAGCTGAGAGAAATGAGAGCTACTCTTTTTCTTCTTTTCACCTAATCCAAAGGGGTCTCCATATTAGGAGTGTGGTCCGAAAGGGTTTTGTTTTCTCTCAATGCCTCTAATCTCTCAGCTTTATCTCTTCCTTCTGTTATCGATTCACTAAGAGCAAGTTGAAGACTAGCGAATAGTTTAATTAGTCTGAAATGAATCAAACAAGAAAGATAGAATAAAAAAAAAAAAAACAATCACACAATACAAAAATTTATATAATTTGATAATTATGCTTACTTCACGACTATACTAAGATTTTTTATTAGTATTTTATCAAACGACAACTATAAATACACGAGATATTATCTCTATTTATCAAGTAGACAACAATATATTTAACGTTCTAAATTATGAATCATATTCATATTAATCTTCATAACTTAATACTAATTTATGAATGAAATTTGAGAAAAGCAAGCCAAAATAATACCAGAACAAATTTAATTTTCTCCTTCCCAAATTATGGAAAAATCTCACCAAATCCACTCAATAAAAACAATAGGTGTATTATTATTATTGTTATTATTTTTTATAATAGTATTGCTTAATAACCCAACTCTCTCTAGGGACAAGATTGTGTATGATGATGCCAAAAAACAGCTTTGATAACCTCATATAACAACATTCATTAACTAATTAATAACTGCACAAGGAAAAGAATAAATACGAAATATAATGTGTGATATATTGTTGTTTACGTTTTAAAGAAATTGGTTATCTTTTTATTTATATTTCTTTCAAAATGTTTGTTTATTCAAAATTTTTAATACTGTCTTTTTTAAAAAGAAAAATATTTACATTTTACAGTGAGGAATTAAATTGGATAGATTTTTTTAAAACAAAAAAATATATATTTTTTAAAAATACCCTTAAGAAACATTAATATGGCATTATAATTAATAAATTTCTTAAATTGTGTTAAAAAAAAAAAAAAAACTATCGAGGTGTAATATTTTGCATTTAGCAGAGTACATTAGATGTATTTTCACATAAGACAATCAAGAAGTGAAAACATAATATTCTTGTAGAATGATCAGAAGAGATAGATAAAACCCCCCACATCCTGTCTGAAACCCACCGCTGCTAGTAACTGATTGCCCCTTTTCACCATCCCCATTTCTGATACTGGTAACAGATTTAGTCAGCAGAAGTCCATTCCCTCACTAAATGACAAGAATGCCCTTCAAACCTTAATGTCAGTCACGTAATTTGATTAACGAACCAAAGCATCCCACAGGACGCAATTCAGTTTTAGGTTCATAACAGAAGTCAGAAGATAAGCACAGTTAAATAGATAGATAGATAACACATAAAGATAGATATGCAGCCAGTCTCCTTCGCTCTCTATCTATGAAAAATTTCACCACTTGGATTCCTTTCTCTTGGTAGATACCAAATGGGGTTGTCGCAAAATCAATGATAAACAAAAACATGGGACAAGAAAATCCAAAACAAGACCAGATCTTTCAGGAATCTTCACCACCAAAGTGCAGTCTCAGGCAAGCTATTGAGGTTACTTCTTCTTTGATCTCCTATTCTCATCCAATTAAAGTTTTTGCTGTGAAATGGCAACTAATTAGAAACAAGCTAGAAGAGCTAAACTCAAGCTTAATTGCCATAGAGAATTGTGATTCAAGCCAGAATCCAATATTTTCAGGCATGATATCTGCCATCTTGGCCTCTGTTAGTGAATGCTATGATCTTGCTAGGAGGTGTGTGGATCTTTCATACAGTGGCAAGCTCTTGATGCAGAGTGATTTGGATGTAATGGTTGCGAAGTTTGATGGACATGTAAAAAATCTATCTGGGATTTGTACTGCAGGCATTTTGAGTCAGGGTTTCGCCATTGTTGTGTCTAGGCCTGCAGTCAATGCTTGCAAAGATGATATGAGGTTTTACGTCAGAGATCTGTTGACAAGAATGAAAGTTGGTGACTTTGAAATGAAGAGACAGGCTTTGGTCAATTTGTATGATGTTGTTGTTGAAGATGAGAGGTATGTGAAGATAATTGTTGAAGTTGGTGACATAGTGAATATATTGGTTAGTCTTCTTGATTCAATGGAAATGGAAATTCAACAAGAGGCTGCAAAAGTTGTGTCAGTGATTTCAGGGTTTGGTTTTTACAAGTCTGTTTTGATTGGAGCTGGGGTTATAGGCCCTTTGATCAGGGTTTTGGAGAGTGGCAGTGAAATAAGCAAGGAGGGTGCTGCAAGAAGTTTGCAAAAATTGACTGAGAATTCTGATAATGCTTGGTCAGTGTCAGCTTATGGTGGTGTGACAGCTCTGTTGAAAATATGTGCTAGCGTTGATTCTAGAGCAGAACTTATTAGTCCTGCTTGTGGGGTATTGAGAAATCTTGTTGGTGTTGATGAAATAAAGAGATTCATGATTGAAGAAGGTGCAGTCTCCACATTTATCAAGCTGGCAAGATCAAAAGATGAAGCTGTGCAGATAAGTTCGATTGAATTCCTTCAAAATATTGCATCTGGAGACGAATCAGTGAGGCAATTGGTGGTCAGAGAAGGTGTAATTCGGGCATTAGTACGCGTTTTTGATCCGAAAATTGCGTGTTCTTCAAAATCTCGAGAGATGGCACTAAGGGCAATTGAGAGTCTATGTTTCTCTTCAGCTGGTTATATCCGTATGTTGATGAGTTATGGATTTATGGATCAGCTTCTTTTCTTCCTTCGAAATGGAGATGTTTCTGTTCAAGAATTGGCATTGAAAGCAGCATTTAGACTCTCTGGAACATCAGAAGAGACGAAAAAGGCAATGGGGGATGCTGGATTTATGTCAGAATTTGTTAAGTTTCTTGATGCAAAATCATTTGAAGTTAGAGAAATGGCAGCTGTGGCACTCTCCAGCTTGGTCTCAGTGCCTAAAAATCGTAAAAGATTCGTGCTGGATGATCGCAATGTGGGTTTTCTTCTTCAATTGCTTGACCAAGATGAGGCAAATTCAGGTAGCAAAAAGTTCTTAATCTCTATACTATTGTCCTTAACAAATTGCAATAGTGGAAGAAAAAAGATTGTCAATTCTGGTTATTTGAAGAACATAGAAAAACTTGCAGAAGCTGAAGTTTCTGATGCTAGAAGACTTGTCAGGAAGCTATCTACAAATAGATTCCGTAGTATGTTAAATGGAATCTGGCATTCTTGATTGTAATTCTCTTTTTTTCTCTGTATATCTAAAAAGAGTGGTTTCAAATTTTTCTTCTTCATTTTTTTTTGTTTCTCAATCTCACATATGAGTCTCTCTTTGTTTCTTTTTCTTTTTTTTTTTTATCTCTTCATTAAATTTTCCCATCTGCAAAAACAGCTTTAGAGCAGCTTTCTATTGATTTTGTAACTATATAAGCAGATACATACCTTATAAAAAGCTGTTAATGTCAATTTGCGGTTACAGTTGATGCTAATTGAATAAATTATTGAAAACAGCATGTACTTACAGTTATTTAAGATATAAAAGTGCTGTCTGAATAATAAATTATTTGTGATTAAGCACATGGGAATGGCAAGAAACCCAGACAGGCATGTGAATATTTCCTATCCAGTTTGTCTATCTAGCCAGTATGGACACCAAAGATGGTGATAGTGAATTTCTTGTCTTATTGGCTTTTGTCTTTTTGCCATCCCTTTCTTTTTATGGCACTTTCATATCAAGAGACGCTATCTAATCTGTTGATTTTACGCTAAAGAAAAAATCAGTTTTATATACATTTAAGTATGTTTACAAGTCATCTCTTTAGGGCAGATGACAACACCATAACTGGTAGAGACAGTTTGGGTTGCAGAATTGTTGATTTCTATCGATTTGCTTAGCTGAATCATCTGGCAGACATGATGAGGTTGGTCTCTTGTCTTAATAGTAAAGGACTTAACAATTGTAGGGCATGCAGATTTAATTTTGGATAGAAAAACTCTGTTGATAGTAAGAAACGTGGACCACTGAAACCTTGTTTGCTCCTTGACAGCTTGTTGCTTGTTAGTGTTGTGAATCGAACATTAAATTTCACACTGTACCATGGAATGAATTTTCTTGTGGGTGCCAAAAATGTCATTTGCAGAGAGCTTTTCGACAGCTCAGGTGAACAACCTTATCTTCCACGTCTCGAAGCAAACCAACCATCATTGAGGCATGAATTTATGTTTCTCTTAGCAGAGAAGCAATGCGTGATGGGTTGGTCTAATTAGGGAAGTGAGGAAAGATGGTCCAGACGGGATTTACTGCCATTAATTGGACAGGATTAAGTTGGGCCTATTTGAAAGTGAAAGGGAAGGGAATGGTCCAATAGCAAACCTAGGACTTCGTGTCTCGAGTTCTCTGTTTCTTTGGGACATGGACCTAAATGAACAGGGATCAAACCAAACTAGTGCTTATAATTCTGTGATTGATTTTTATGTTTTCCTTGGGACTTCGGTTTTTTTTTTTGAAAGAAACGGGCTAATGAGTTAGTAAAATCTCATTATATGCAAAAGAGCTAGCTGAAAAAAGTCTTCAATTAAAAAAAAAATTCGAAAATTGTTAAATCCTTAAGACTAAAGCCAAAATGCAGTGACCACGATAGAAGGGAGTTGAAGAGTGATAATGGTTGCTTGCTCATTCTAGCTATACGGAGGAAAATGCCAAGAACAATGATCAAAGAGGTAGTTTGGAAAGCCAGCGATCTTGGTCAATGAAGGATGACTTTGAAAATCGATTTAGCTGTTTTGCATTAAGCTTCTTTTCCCATGGCACACGCTTTGAAGTGTTTGATCCTGGTCCTTTGCAATTAACTTCCCTATAGGTTAAATTACCTCTTGAAAAACAGGAGAATCAAAGTGAAAATCAAGAAAATAATGTAAAATAAGAAACAATAGAGAAGGGTCTCAAATTCTGCATGTATAACTTACTCATGCCCCTCGTTATTCCAAGCATGCCACCCTACAGGCTCAACCACTTCAGAGAAATATGTATGATGATATATTACCGTTGAATATGGTCTAAAGGCTCTCCCAAGGTAAGATCGAACACCCTTAATCCCCAAAACAATGCAACGATAAAACACAAAACCATTTGCATCATTAGGAAACTCCTTTGCTTGAGCTGTTATAAAACCTCCACTAGTAACATTTATTAAACAACCCTGCATCAACCACAAGATGCATGTTAGAACCCAAAAAAAAGAGTTACTAATCACGTCTAAATCTTGAAGTAAGTGGATTAGATACGCTCTTTGCATTATAGATGAATCGATTTTAGTGCACATTCCAGTGCATTGTAGTGTTGTGGTATAAGAAGCATTGAACAATGAATAAGGTAAATTTGTTCTCATGAGGACTAGAACTTACAAATTGATTTTCATGCATAACTTGTTGTAGAAAAATTGTTGGTTTAATGGCAAATTTTGCCATATTCTATTGTGATTTGACAACTTCAATTCTTTAGTATCAAATTACGTAATTTGAACCCCTCGAATTATTGATTTTTGAGCAAAATTTATTCAATTTTTCTAATTATCGTTATATATAATAGTCAACTAGTTTGAACGTTACTTGAAATACCCATGGTTAATAATGTTTTTTTTAAAAAAAAGTATTTTAAAAATATTTTTAGCCCTCATAATCTTGAATTTTTTAAAACTTTTTTTCCTATAAACATTTTATGATTTATAAAATGTTTATAACATTTTATAAGAATAAAAAAGCTTTTTAAAAAAGGTTCAAGATTTAAAAATATTTTAAAAAAACATAATTAACAACGAAATGTCAAAACGACGTCGTTTTACATTTCAAGTAACGATCAACCTAATTGACTCGTTATATATAATGATAATTATAAAAATTGAATCAATTTTGTTAAAAAAACTAATAATTTAATATTCAAATTACGCAATTTGATATTAAAGTTCTCAAATTATCAAATCACAATAAAAATATGAGCAAAATTTACAATTAAACCAAAAATTATTACATGACAAATTTTTACCTCATAAAAAGATTGGCCAGCACCAAATATGAAATCTACTGATCCTTCAATGTAGCAATTGGAGAAGTGATGACGGCCTTGGGCATCCCATAATGTATCTTGAACTCCCAAAAAAGCACAATCATAGAAAGCAGACTTGTCACCATAAATTCGTGCTGAAAGTGCTGGTAGTACGCCGGGCACTTTGATTCCATAGTAGATATTTTGCTTCCACCACCGGTTAAATGAATTCTACATTATTAATAAACAATCAGGAATTTTAGCTATTTAAAAGAACGTAATAGTGCTGGGCATGGATCTATAATAATTTAATTTTCATAGATTGTTTTAAAATGTTGTTATTTGGCTTTTGGATAACCAAAAAAAAACATAAAAAAGGATTGACTAGACATTTAGATCGAAGATAACAAATAATAATTTAATATCTGCTTAAAGATAAGTTGTTATTTGGCTTTTGGACTTATTTATTTATGTTTTTTATTTTATTAGATTAGTAGGTTTTAAAGCAAACAAATGTACATATTATAATTTTTTTTAAAAAAAAAAGTGTATGAAGAACAAAACAAGGGAGAAAAAGAAGACGTAGCAAAGAACTTTACCTTGAAGGTTATGCCCTTTGCTACAATATTGCTTGGTGATGAGGTAAATGTAGCACTACTATCAGTGCTTTCATGTGCATTATAAGTAACCGTGGTTTGCCTGGGACCTCTTCCTTCCAGAAAAATACATGGTTTCTCTATCGGAATATTCACTTGTTCCCTGCACATTATTATCCACCATATCTTACTCCATAATTTATTTATTTTTAACAGATTTTTTTAAAACAAAACTATTTATAAATGATAAAATTCTATGTATGTATATGTAAATTAACATGAACACGCTTCACCAATCCTCAATTTTCCCAACAACAGTTAGACGATTGATTTTTTTTTTTTTTTTTCATGAAGAGTGTTTTATCATAAAATTTTGTCCAAAAAGAGAACAAGTTATATGCTAGCTAGGTTAAGAAAATAGTATAGGGATCGATAAAATATCTTACGTGTAGATGCCAGGATTAATTTGAACTTTGATCCATCTTTTGTTATTTTGTGGAATGGAATCGATGGCAGCTTGAATTGTTTTGAAATCCCCCTTGCCGGATTGATCAACAACAATGGTCTGTGCAACTTTTGACCTACCACTTCCACGTTCGCAATCAATAGCCTGAGATACACCAAAAAAAGGGTGATAAACAAAGTGATTATGAAAATAAATGGAGAATTCTGCATTTTTTGTTTAGAACGGTGGAGATGAAATCAGAGAGCCATAAAATCTTATAAGAATGGTATAGATATTGCAATTTAGATCATTCGTATATTCACATTAATTAATTCTTGCTTGTCTTGCCATTTTAAAAATGATAAATTAATGGGATTACATTGCGGTCTTTATTGCTTTGAGAAAAATATTCAGTAATTTTAAAATTTTCCTTATTTTTTTCTGAGTCTTCAAATTCCCAATGAAGGTAATTAGTCACTAGTCTTTAATTCCTCTGCAAAAAGGAGTAAAAAATAAGCTTAATTATTAATGTTGGGCCAAATCGTTATAATCTGTATAAAGTTATCCACCTAATTAATACTCAAATTCAATATTCGTTGTCTAGAAGTTCATCAAAATAAATGCCTGGTTGTAGGCTTTGATGGTTTCACGTTCTCAATTGTAACCGACTAAAATTAATGATCAAAACCTATAGCCACTGTTCCGTATAAAAATTGAAATTGTAAAAATAAAAATTGAAATTTATTCTCATTTTATAGATATATGGTTGAAAAGAATGAAATATATATATATATATATATATATATATATATATATATATTTTTTTTTTTTTTTTTTTCGACCGTTGGGCTTTCTCTTAAATCAGATGAGTCTTGGTATCACTAAAAAATAATTTTGTCTAGTTATCGATACGGAATGGGAATTGAATATAGATTTTGATCAAATCAAGACAATTCTATTATCACTAAACCATATAAAAATTATACATAGTTTTATTTTTATAATAGAAGGTGAAAATAAAATTAAAAAATGATGATGGAGTTTTTCTTTTTTCTTCAAAAGAATGATGCATTATTTCTATGCATTGTATTTGTATAACAATCATTTGTATTTGTATAACAATTATTTCACAAAGAATGATTGAATAATTAAGGTTGGTTCTATGTCCCAAAAATCTCCTCATTTATTTTTGTTGAGCTAATTGAGAACTTCATTCGCTTTATTGTTTTTTTTTTTTTTTTCATTTTAAAGGTACATAGGAGAAAGCATGCAAGGGAGAATTTTTTTTTCTCTCTTTTTTTTCACAAAAAAATGGTTTATTTTAGATCTCATAATGAAAAAAAAAAAAGACATCAATGCCAATTTATCTAAAATTTTAATGAATTTTGAAAAATATGTTATTTTTTTGCTATTCAAAAAATCTAAATGCACATTTATAAGCAAACATAGATAGTGATTGTGTATATAGTTAGAGATTCTTTTAAATAGGTTCAAGCTTCAATAATTTTAATTTATTTAATGATTATGTAATGAAAGAAGGATACTTTCGTTATATAACCTAAAGTTCATATATCTTCCGATGAACCAAGAAATTAAAAAAAAAATATATATATATAGGCATACAGAAATGCTTACACTGTAAATTTGTTGAATATTGAGTCTTAACGGACTCGACCTAATAACCAAAGATTACAAGTTCACTACAAGAAAGTGAAATGATCCAACTCCTAAGCCCATTAGAAATTGGCCCTAAAATTGACCCAAATTTAATTAATCATAAACGGAAGAGTTGTGTCATTTTAAGGTTGGGCTTAAATGCTAAATTCAATTTGTCCAAACTAATGTTGGCCCAAAGCAAGCTTACAAACAAATTGGATTTATTCTAGGTAGTTCTTAATATAATCTCGAGTCTTTATTTACAAAATAGGATATCTATACTTATATTTTATTCTCTTAATTGAAATCGTGATGAATATGTGCTATTAAATAAAAAAATCCAAGTTGATTTGATAGAACAAAAGGTCCATTCAAAGATGGGCCCATTGGATCATAACTTTCAAAAGATGAATTATTTCATGGGCCCTGCAAACAAGCCATTACGTCAATTTGGCATATGATCTGTGTCAGCTCCATAGTGCTTCATTACATCAGGCTTCTGAAATCTTTGTAGATGGCATTAAAAAAAAAAATACAAAATACAAAATCTTGGAGTTCAAGATCGTTTCCCCAAAAAATGTGGTTTTTCCCTTGTAATCTTCTGTTGCAATTAAGAGAACATAGCTCCTTGTTATACTTGTTTTACCTGTATGATACTTGATTAGCTATCTCAATATCTGCTAATCTAGTTTGCCGTCTGTATTAATATCGGTACCACATTCCAGGATTTTCACCAATATAATGTATTATTTATCACACACTCTTTTTCTTTTCTCCCCTTGTCTATGATTCGGCTGCCCGGTTTGTCATTTACATTAAAAGATAAAATTAAAAATTATTAAGTTGTAGAGATTAATATGAATATAACCCTAATAAAAACTTTTAGTATAGCCGTAAATTATGAATAATTTATTCAACCATTTAAATTTTATGTTATATGATTGTTGTTTTTTTTATTTATAAATATACATTACATCTTCTTACTTGATTCATTTCATAATAAAAATAAAATAATGTAAATATCAAGCTATGGAAAATGCTTATCATCGCTTTCTATATTGCAAATTGCACCATAACTTCTTGGATTTGGTATCTGCTAGAAAACAAAACATTGAGCCATCCAGGGCATCTTATAACCATTTTACTAGGTACAGTTGTAGGGTTGAATAACCCTAATTATAAAAAAAGAAAATCTGGGTTTTCAAATTAGATTTGTTTATTGGTATTTGGTGGTGAAATCTTGATTGTTCTATCCTGTTCGAGATTTTAAGCAGCCTTTAAAAAAATGGGGGAAAAGATAAACCTAACGAGGACCACAATGGTGCAAATTGCAAGAAAGTGTGCCACCTAATAACTTTATCTGGTACTCAGGTACGCACCTGGACTAGGAGGGATGCACAAAATTTGTTCCAGCACATGTACTTTTGCCCAACTGTTTGTAAATATCACAAGCCCTCAGGAAAAAGAACAGACAGAGAAGAAGAAAAGTGAGATCATGACAAGTCTTTAATGTGACAGAAATTGGTAACTTTAGTGTATTTCCTATCAAAGGATTGTATATTACAGCTGATAATAAAAAAATTGGATCAGGAACATGGAGGGCTGCATTAATAGACCCACCAATGCCTAAAACATGTGATAGAGTATGAGTATGAAGATGATAGATCGTTTTCTGTCCGATAGTTGGGATTCCATGGTTAAAATCAAGCACTTTTTGAAATTTTAAGCTGTCCTGTCCTCTTCATTGCACGGCTTTCTCCACATGTATTAAGTTGGTATTTGGTTCTTTAATTAATGGGGTCTGGTTAGGTTTCCTCGTAGTGATCCGGTTAGAAAACGATTTAAACAAATAATAATAATAATAATAATAATAATCATCCGCGTATTATACTAAGATTTACGTAATTCGATAATATGCTTATTATATGATTACATTAAGAGTTTTTATTAAATTTTTCAATAAGTTACAAATACAAAAGATAATATCCATATTTATAGTATGAACAAATAGGATTATAATAAAAAAGTTTTACCAACGTATATTACCTAACCTGATGTTTTATAAACTTTTTAGGAGCTCTGCTCTCAAAATCTTCGTGTTGGCTCTGTGTGGCATATTAAACACAACTTAACCGATCCCTCTTATCTTATTAACCTCTCTTTAATATTTCTTCGTAGTATTAATCATCAAAGTACTGTAGGGTTATTCTCGTTTCTTGATTGTGGTTATCCATGGCCAGATCAAAAGATCATACAGAGATTATATTCGTCAAGATTGATTCAAAATTTAGCATTATCTTGGTCTTGCCAACTTGCTAGTTTAATGCAGAATCTTCGCAACTTGCTATCTTCCATCCAAGAAACAACTTGAAGCAAAATAAAAACCACACAACTTGGTCACTTGGGAAGTGAAAATTCGATTTTACCAGTTCCATGTTTTTGTAAAGAGACACTATTCTCAGTCAGCGCAGGGTCAAGTGAATAAAACAAGTTCGTAAAGTGGACTCACCAGTGAAAAGTAAACATTCATTGACTATCCCACATCCCAGGTAGGATCAAGGAAGCTGCTTGATTGGTTTTTAAGGTTCAAATTTTCAAGATGTGGCCCAACATTTGAATGTTGAATAAGCTTAATGCCTTCTACATGGGCCTCCTCTCTCAATGACTTGCTGCACAGTTTGGTTGTTAAGTCAATTTTTAATCCCAACTTTGAGTGCCAACAACCATGGTATGCATTTACAGTATTCAGTTGTTATATATAGTCACTGACTCGGCTTTAATAATGGATTCATGGGTTACATTGAATTATAGCAGATTCAATTTTCATTACCACTCAATTTCATCTTTGATTGAATATCAACACATACACAAACATGTACGTGTTGAAAAGTTTGAACCTTGTCGGGAAATTATTATATCCGAATCAGTTTTTTGTGGACAAAATATCTGATTAGTAATGTAGAAATATTGGGTTCCATTCACATGAATCAAACCTATGTAATAATTTCCCATACAATGGACGCAAACTATGATGAATTCGCTAGAAAGAATTTAAATGCAACAGAAGTTAGCAATTCTAAATAGAAAATATATAACCATGTAAAATGTCTAGAATATGTTTTGGTTGTCTTCTTCTGTTTGCAGTCATTGTTGCGGCAAACTCATTACAACAATTAATCTGACTCGCATAATCATTGGCTAATTAGAGTGCATGAACGATTAATTACAAATGCTTTTAGAATGTTTAGGTTGTCTTTTATGTTCGCTATTAGCTAGGTCATATTGAAATTAGTCTGTCATACTCCACGTTCAAACGTTCGAAATCTTAGTAAAGAATTCAAGTTTTTAGACTCCCCAAATGTAGAAGAAGTATACAAAAACTGTACATTGTATGTATAGCAATCTTTCTTTCTTTCTTTCTTTCTTTTTCTCAATCGACGTAGGATTTTATTGAGGTATAGATGTGAGTAGGGGATTTTGTATTCGAGCAGTCGTTGGACAGTAAATGGAGAGTCAAGAAGGTTTTGTTCATTCTTATGACTTATGACCATGAAACTCAGAGGATGGTATATCCCGTGATTTTGATTTTAAATCGAACCATAACGGCCACATAATTAAAACTTTGAAAAGCCTCATGCATGAACACCGCAAAGTCATGAAAGTAAGTAGGATTTACATATGCATGTGACAGCTGAGATCAAGTGATGATGCGATGAAGAAATGAATGCCAAAAGTCAATCAAATCCTATCTTATTGTGCAGGTAATACCTGCTTGCCCTTTGCGCCCTTAACCGAATGATACAGTACATATATGTAGACATTTTCAAAGATAATTCTTGTGTGCAAACTGTTCTTACCCAGGTCAATTTATGTTAGAATTAAATAGAGAATTCTACTTACCAAGGCACATTATAATTAATATTTGATGTCAGTAAAATTGGCCTGTGTATTTATTGATTTAAAAAATGAGTTTGTCAATTAGTTTAATAGACTAAGATGAAGTTTGCTTTTGGGTTTTAAAATGACATGAGTGTATGGTTTATAAGGAAGACGTCACAGATTATGTATGATTATAGGAGACCTCCAATCAACATATATGGAGCAAAAATAAGAAACGAGGCAGTACTCAATTAATTGAAACGCAAATTTTTTATAGTGAATTTGATGACACATGAAGTTTTAATATTTGGATTGATTGTATTTGATATTCATTACTAAATTAGTATTTTGAAATATACTATGTAGATATAAAATATGAGAAGAAGAAGGAGATTCAGTCAAAACTTCAAAATTGCCGATCTCCCCCATCCGGTAACGATGATCCAAGCCACCACCATAGATAGCTAGAGCAGCCTCTCCTTCACCACGCAGGGGTGACTAGGCATCTCAGTGCTAGTGTGAACTTTCTAATGGGTAATTTTGTAATTTTACCCCTTATTGGCTGTTTGG